ATACTAAAGGAGAATTATTTATGATAAAATATAATCCCAAACCATTAGAAAGAGTCTACATCTGAGAAATCAAGCTTATTCTCTTTAAATGAAGTGGATCTTTTCTTCTTTGTCTTCAATGTTTAATATTCTATGATACTCCCTTCCTCCTTTTATCCATCAATAATGGAAATATATTTTTCCCTTAATGAACGTAACGAAAAACTTAAGTCAGCTTAAAATCCAAAGATCATTTCCAAAGAAAAACCAAAAAAGACAAAAACGGGATATGGGTTTACTAGCATGTTTGGCTATTGTACTTCCTGCCATTCTGTACTACTTGCGAGAGAAAAATGAATTGGATAAAGATTACCCTCTTCTGAAGCTCGGCGCAATGTTTCCTCCTTTTTTGTATTCTGCAATGGAGCATTTCACTCTTCTATGGGACAACTGGAAGTCTAGCTGGAAATCACTATCTCTATTAGAAGCCGTGTTTTATTTGTTACTGTGTATCCTTTTTGCCTCAATATCCCTTGTCTCGGTTCTTTCAGCTATTATATTTGGATTCACCGAGTGGGACAACTTTTGGTATGATGATTTTAAGAGCTATTCCATCTTTACACCTTCCTCGTTTGTGGCTTTTGCATATTTGCTTTCCACCTCCTGTACCTTTACTCCGGAATTAATTTCATTTACCGACTCTGGCATTACCATCTTTTTTGATCTAGCTATACTCTTATGCTCTATTGCAAATCTAATAATGCTTCTGAAGGATGAATTGAAATGTTGCTCTTATTTTTCAATCGTTTCTTGTACTCTTATCTTGGTTAGATCGTTAAGGGAATACTTCTTCCCCTCGGCTGAATGCAAAGACCCTTCTACTTCATGGAGGGTCTTCATCCTTCTTTCCATCCTTCTTCTTGAAATATCCATTTATGGATTAATAGGTTTGAATATACGATCAAAAATAATAAACTAAAAACAATAGACTTTCTGAAATAACCTCAAAATAAATTACTTGGTTTTGGCTTCTATGGATCAAACCTTATATAACCAAATTTCCCATTCCTTTTTCTGAAGAACAGAAGAAGGCTTCCTACTTTAAGATTCTCATTATGTTTTAGTTACTTCTTAATGAAATCAAACAGCGTTGTTTGCTTTGTCCTTTTGGGAGGTTGATCTTTATCTTCTTTCTTCCCTTTGGCTGCGGAAACCACTTCATTTTTTGCCTTCCTTTTGAAATAATCAGTGTATTTTTTCTTTTCTATGCTGCTTAGAATATATAGAATGTCACCTCTTTCTTTCGAAAGAGTTATTTCCGTAATTCTCTCCTTATTTTTTATATTTAAGTATATCCTTTTATACCCGGGATTTTCGTCAGCAATCTTATTGAATTCCTTTCTTCCATTATTAAAGTACACAACTTCTTCTTCCATAATAGCGGTATTACAAAAAAGTATTTATTTGATACCTTACAAAAAAACTCCATCTATCTCTATGTAGCTTTCGCTTTTCTATCGACTATCAACTTAATCCAAAACTTTTGGGTATCCAGACCATCGTCGCATTCCCCCATACTTAGAATATCTCCTAAGAGATCTGCAGATTCTGGCCCATTAGCTGTAAGACATTGATTTTCCCCCTCCATTTTGAAACTTACAAATCTGGATCCTTTGCTAATAATAACTTCCCATATCGAATTCTTACTTTCATGGTTACACGACATGACTTTTGAAAATCCAAATTTTCTACATAAACGCCTATTCCCCTGCAATATCTCTGTTCGGACCTCGTCGACAATGAACTTTGAGCATCCCTTATTATCTTTTATTTTTTTCTTGGTTGCAAGCCTTACTTCTCCGCTAAACAGAGACAGATATTTCTTTGGGTCTACCTTAGAGACTATCTTGACTTTTATCGGATCAGAGATACAAAAAGCAAAGGATATCATCAATACAATTGTTAGTTTCATTCCGTTTTATCTTGATATCTTCATTTATTTTTTTTAGTTTCAGAACCACTCAATAGAACACCAGCATACTCGAATACAGAAATGAAGCAAAGTTTTAAAATAAAATAGTCTCAGAGCAACAGAGAGACAATAAATACATCGTTTAATTAATAAAGCTTTCCATAATCTGCATAGTTTGGCGTGATTGCAACCTCCTCCTCTAGTTTAGACCCTGACAGTGGTCTATAAGAAGAATACGGTGAGGTTACTTTGTTAGAGTGCGGCAGAATTCCAGAGCTTAGGCTGGCAATAAGAAGCGGACTTACAGACCCCTTGAACGAAGCCTTCTTTTTACCTTCACCGTCATATAGAATTATGCGTTGATTTGCTATTGGCTCTTTACCATAGAGCAAATAGGGAAGAAGATCCTCCAGGGGCAAGTCTTTCTGAGAACTTTTGTTGAATTCAACCTCATCGGAATCCTGGTTCTCCTCGTCAACAAATGTTAAATCAAAAAGCTGACTCTTTGTGTTTAACTTACATTCCTTCCCGATCAATCTTACTGGGTCTGCCTTTCCCTTCTCCTCGACTGCTTCTAGACAGACATCGTTTTCAGTCCGGAACCTAACTCCTCCATCCTCAGAAACTAATTTCCACTTTGAATAGAGTTCATCTTCTCCCGTGCACACTTCGATACTATCATTTTTTTCGTTTTTGCAGATTTTAGATCCCCCTTGCGAGATTTCTGTCATTCCCTTACTGATCTTGAAAGTCGCTTTCCCAGACTCCTCCACCTTTCTATCTTCTCTGGTACTAATCACTTTAATAGTACCCTTTCCCCCGAGCTTTGGGGGCACAATTGCTACAACAAAGTCTGGATGGGTCCTTGGAGTAATTCTAACCATTCTACTTCCCATTACCAACGAAGTCATACAGAAAACCAAAAGTCTCATGACTATTAAGATAAGATAAAATTTATATGTTTTGGAGTTTCACATTGATCAGATTTTAACAAATTAAGATGCCATACTGAAGCATTTGTTTCAGCCTCTATCTAAGCTATCAGCTCTGTATAAAAACGACAATCGGTTAAGGTGGGAAACATTCATAATAAATATTTATTCCTCGGGTAGCCTGATCTCTCCGGCATTGATCTCTTGAGTGACCTCCTTAGGACACTTCCCATCAATTTTACATCCGATGGACTTGCATGTTCCAAGAACTTCCTTAACTGTTCCAGAAAGACTTTTAGAGTATGATCTGGTAGATCGAGCAATCCTTGCTATTTCGACCACCTCGGTCATCCTAAGGCTTCCGTTGTGAAGAATATTCTTTTCCTTCTTTCGATCCCGTGGGGGCTCCTTCAAAGACTTGATTATCAGCGTTGCAATACTAGGCTGGACTTCCACTGTTGCCTTCCTATCCTTTATCGCAAGCTCTACATGGACCTTTAAGCTCTTATAATCTGCGGTTGCTTTTTTTATGTCTTCCCCAACCACCTTTGATGAAAGACCAAGTGGGCCAACCCTCTGAGCAAGAGTTGCTCCAGGAACTTCTCCACCAACTACTTGCAGCTTGATATACTTTGTATCTGGATCCACGACTTTTTGTTCTGCCATTAGCTGAGGGCTTGGGATTTTGAAAAATTTGTCTCTCGGCCCAAGTCACTGTGAATATTTACCATGAATACAAACCATAAATTGTTTCAAATATGATCCTAAATACTATTCTTTCTCCTTATTTGAAAGCTCTCTCTTTCTTGGAGAGATGCTGTCCAAAAGTGCAGATATGACGGGATCTTCAAGGCTTTCAGATATTTTTGTAAGATCATCAAAAACCTCAAAATCAAATCCAAACCTTTCCGCAATTGCAAGAATAAATCTTCTCATTACTTCAATCCTTTCGTTAAGCATCTTCATCTCTAAACTAATGTAATAGTTTTCTTGGCTTCTAGAGCTCCCAAGTATTCTTCCGTTAAGTAACTCTTTTCTCCGGCACTCATTCATAATAGCCTTTTCCCTGTTACCAACTTCCTTACTTTTTTCCTCTATTTTTTTTCTTAACCTTGATATGCAGGACGTCAATTCCTCAAGTTTCCCATCCTTTTCAATTATCTCTTCCTTCAGTTCTCTAACCTTTGCCCTTAACTTCTTTATTTCTTCATACCCTTTCTCCAACTCTTTGTTAAGACTCCGGGCCTCCCTGGTCAAAGAATCCAACTTTTCCTTCAAATCATCCATCTGTAATGGGATACGAAACAAACATCTTTAATGGCCTAAGGAAAGATATTGTTTAATCTTCTATTTTCAGAATCGACTTCTATGCAATTTCAAAGTTAGCATCATATGCCTCTTATGGTTTTATCTTCGGGCTATCCAATTCACTCTATATTTTGCATTCTTCTCTAGGTATGCACATCATAACTTTATTCAACACCTTCCCATTTTATCAAAGGGACCATCTAGAGTTTATACCTCTTTAACCTTTAGAGTTTTCAAAAAATCTCTTTTTGAGGCAGAATCTTCTTTTTAAGACCTTAAAAGACCATTACTTAGGAAAGAATAATGAAATTCCAAAGTTCACATTTATCCTGTTTCCTACCAGCAAGATTTTTTGGATTGTTTAAATATAATGTATACCTTATTAAGAAGATTCCAAAGTTTATTAACCTCTGTCTTTTTATTATAAATCATATGTTCAGTCCACTTTCAGCCTTAAATATGGATAAGGTCTAACCTTCCTCTTATAATCTTATTCCACTCTACTCTCCTCCATAATCCGACTTAGCTTTTCCTCCTGAATATCCATGTTTGCAACCATAAAGGAAGGATTTATATCCTGAGAAGCTCTGGACTCCTGGTTTTCTAACAGTTTTGATAGTACTTGTTGACTTTTTTACATTTGCAAAGTAATATTAAAATATTCTCCGTCAGGTCAATTCAATTTGATTTAATGAAATAAAAACCATCCATTCATTAGCTTTCCTTAGGTCCACTAACAGAAAATACAAAGACTAGAAATTTGAATTCTTACTTTAATATAACTCACTCGTCCCCAACTTTTAATAATGTATATAAAACTCCCATTTAAAACCTTGATATACTGGATTGATTCTTAATTTAATGATAACATTCAACTGTTCTATGGAAATAATTGGGAGAACATAATGCTTCTTATATTCTGTATTAAAGACTTACATTTAAATGAAGGAATTAATAATCGGCACAAAAGTATAAAAAAGAAATTTTTTGAACCTTACAAAATATGAAATACAGATCTATTGTGGTGCTTCAACTAGTTTTAACTGCTGTTCTCTGTTCCAATCTTCCAAAGGAGGGAAATGAAGAGAAGGTAAAGCTTCTTAGGAAGTTGCTAATAAAGAAGGAAACAGATCTTCTTCCTCTTGAAGACAAAGAGAAGGATATTTCTTCCGTCGGGGAAAAGGAAGAGGAAGAAAGCAAGGACACTGTCGAGGACAAGCAAGAGGAGCAAGGTGAAAGTGAAGATGCTGCTGAAGAAAAGGAAGATGAAGAGGAAGATGTTGCCGAGGAAAAGCCGGAGGAACAAGGTGAAAGTGAAGATGCTGTTGAAGAAAAGCAGGAAGAAGAGGAAGATGTTGCCGAGGAAAAGCAAGAGGAGCAAGGTGAAAGTGAAGATGCTGCTGAAGAAAAGGAAGATGAAGAGGGAGAAGACGAGTACATTATCCAAGAAGAGGATGCTTCCACCACCAAAGAAGGAGGCAAGAAAGAAATTTCTAAAGCACGCAAGATTGCCTCTTCTCTTGAAGGCAAGCTAAGGCTTCTTGTAAAGAAAAAGATTAGGGGGAAGCTTCTTATCTTTAAAAACAAGAACAAACTACCGCAAAGAAAGGTGAATCCTATTGTGTAAGGAGGAGATAAGGCACTCTTCCGAAACGGAAGGGAAGTCGGGATAAGAGCAATTAAATACCTTCTTTGATGTTCACATCTTTAGATCCAGCCCAGGCCTCTTAGTCGGGAAAACACAAACTATTTAATTGTAGAATGCAGGCCTTGTGTCGCTTCTCTCAACAACCTTTGAGTATGCCTCTTCAAAGTCCTTTTGCGTAACCATGTATCTGCTGGCCCGCACTGCAAGCATTCCCGCCTCCTGGCAGATCGAATTGATGTCTGCACAGCTTATCCTCTCGGGCCTGCACACAAGGCTCTCAATGTCAACCTCGTCCTTGAGGCTCATCTTCGATGTGATGGCATTGAACACAAGCCTCTTCTGCCTCCGGTCGGGAAGCGGAAACTCTATCTTCCTGTCCAACCGTCCCGGCCTGAGCAGTGCAGGGTCGATTGTGTCTGCCCTGTTTGTGGCCATGATCACCTTGACATTTGCCGTCTGGTCAAATCCGTCCATCTGGTTCAGCAGCTCAATAAGCACCCGCTGCACCTCCCGGTCTGCAGATGTCGACGCATCAAATCTCTTTGTTGCTATCGAGTCCACCTCGTCGATAAACACAATCGACGGCGCCTTCTCCCTTGCAAGCCTGAACACATCCCGCACCATCCGCGGGCCCTCTCCAAGATACTTCTGCACAAACTCAGACCCGTTGACCTTTATAAATGTAGCCTTTGTATGGTTCGCCACAGCCTTCACAAGCATCGTCTTCCCCGTTCCAGGCGGCCCGTACAGCAGCACCCCTTGCGGAGGATCAATTCCTATCTGTCTGTACAACTCAGATTGCAGCAGAGGAAGCTCAACCGTCTCCCTTATCTCCTGCTTCTGCACATCCAGCCCTCCCACATCTGCATACGTCACCTCCGGCCTCTCAGACTCCCCCATTACAGGAATCGTGCTGTCCACTTCCGGAGGGAGCACATCCACAATCGCACTCGAGTGTCTGTGCAGCGCAACTGTAGTGTTTGGCTTCAGCAGCTCTCGGTCCACAGTAGACAGTATTCGGACAACAAAGTTGCTCCCTGCTGTCGACCCCACAATTGCTGTCGAGTTGTCGATAGGCTCCAGAAACTGCCTCATTATCAACGGAACACTCTTGACTCTATCCAGCTCCTCTTTGCTGTGTCTCTCTTCCCTCCTCAGCGTCTCCACTTCCTTGCGCACATACGCCTCCCTTATCTCGAGAAGCTTGAGCTTTCTTTCCATTTGTTTGTATCTAACAAACAGATCGGCCTTGAGTCCTCCACACATTAAAGGGCTACCCTTCCCACCCTTTATCTCCATCCCCTTCCAGCCATGAAAGACAATCGGTATGGCAGAGCCACACCCAATCTTAAAATAAAAAACCTGGAAAGGGGGATGGAAGAGGAAAAGATCCCAGAGTCCGACCTCAAGCATCTGTCCTTCATCATACCAAAGTACACGCCCATAGAAAAAATAGGCGAAGGGTCGTTCAGTGTTGTGTACAAGGCCCTTGATGCAGAGGCCGGGAGACATGTCGCTCTGAAGGTAATAACAAGAACCAGCTCTCCAGCAAGGGTTCTCGAGGAACTGACGTTTCTGAAGGCACTTGAGGGAAAGAGGAACTGCATGGGGCTTCTCGGGGTTTTCCGGAACGAAGACCAGGTGATTGCTGTCTTTCCGTACTTCAAGCCCATCGACTTCCGGGAGTTTATTTCCAATGCAGGCCTGAATGACATCAAGCAGTATCTGTACAACCTGTTGGAAGCGATAGACCATGTGCATGGCAATGGCATAATACACAGAGACCTGAAGCCAGGGAACTTTCTGTACAATAAGGAGACTGGAAGAGGGATGCTCATAGACTTTGGGCTTGCCCAGTACGAAGACCGCAGGGAGGAACATCTTCCAAAGGACAGTAGCAAGCCCCAGACACCCCTGCTCTTCTTCAACTCGATTGTGTCGAAGACAAAGCCTCCGGGATACTACGAGAGAGACTCCAGGCCGCAGATGAAGGCTCCTCGGGCCGGGACACGTGGGTTCCGAGCACCAGAGGTCCTGTTCCGCTACCCTCACCAGACCAGAGCCATAGACATGTGGTTTGTGGGGGTGATTTTCTTGACGATCCTGACTGCACAATATCCCTTCTTCTACTCGTCCGAGGATATCGACGCCATTGTCGAGATTGCAACGATCTTTGGACACGCAGAAATGAGAAAGGCTGCAAAGTTCTACGGAAGACTGTGGAGGTCGAACATAGACACAATTCCCGAGGAGAGAATCCCCTTCGAGACAATTATCGAGTCGCTTAACCCGTGGGCCGAGGTCGGCTCCGAGGGATACGACCTGCTCTACAGGATGCTTGATCTCTGCTCTTCAACCAGGATCACTGCTCCAGACGCCCTCAACCATCCATTCTTCGACGGCTTGAAAACACATCGGGACCCTGCATAGAAAACACATGCTTTAATAATATTTGGTGTGTGTTGCCGTCATCCTTGCAACAGCTCACTAAGATATATGATCTCGTCGCCGCTGTCGAGATCGCTCCTGTAGATAACTGCATCGCCTATGTCCGGCCTCCCCTCGGAACTGTCCGACGTGCATCTGGTGGATGGATCTCCTTTCAAATAACAATCAATAAATGGATCTCCTCTTCTCCTCTTCTTTCGCCCAGGCCCTGTGGACTTCAACATGTACAGAGGCTTCTCCTCCCTTTGCTCGGACATGGAGCTTTCCGAGCTGCTGCTCTCTCCGAAATCTATATTCCGCGGCTTCTTGGGAATTCTTCTAGGGCCCACCGTCTTATTTCCCCCCAGAGTCTCCTTTGCAGAGGACACGGGGCTGGTGCTAGTGCTGGTGCTGGAAGTCTGTGCTTGGGGTTTTTTCTCGGTCTGAGGAGGCAAGAAAATGCATTTTGTAAGAGTGATTACCGAGGCAGATTGTGTCGAAGCAGGAGCGCTGCTTCTCGCCGGCGCAGGAGACGACACTGTCTTGAAGACTGTCCTTGTAGAAACAGGTGCAACCAACACAACCCTTGGCGTCTGCGGAGGCATCTGAAGATATCTCTGTCCTAGAGTACTTAACATGGTATATATTAGGTTCACCTTCCTTCCTATCCTGTTGATCATCTCATTCTCCCCATGAGGCTTCTCTTCCACAACATGCCTTGCAGGGAGTGGCTTTGCATTCCTCTTTGGTACTGTAGCCACACTCATTGCATTCACCGGAATAGGCATTGGCTGTACAAGATATCTGGGCTGTAGCACCACAACAGGCGGTTGCACACTTCGAGGTATCTCCATCGGCACAGTCTTCACAACAGTGGCTGTTACAGTTATTTGCCCTCCTCCAGGCGTCCTTGGGGCCGGAGGCTTACTTGCACTGCGGCTGCTCAAACCCACCACCGTCACCTTGCCCCCTACAAGATTCTTGGCTGGCGCATTTTTGGCTGCCGTCTGCAGAAGATTCACGCCGGCAGGACTTGAGTAATATGAGGCCAAGAGTCTTCCCCTCATGCACTCCGCATCACATGTTGGAACAAGCCTTATCACGTCGCATGCCATCTTCAAGGCAAAAATTAATACCGCTCCTAATGTTCTTCTCATGGCCCTCTAAAGCTTATCTCTCTTATATTGTTTCCTTGTTTCATTCCGAGAATGTGTATTGAATTTGTTTGATCTTTCCTCTCCCTTGTTCCCATGCACACTCCAAGATAAAGCCATGAGGAATTAAAACAGGCCATATAAAAAACAAAAATATCGGGGGTAAACAATGGGAGCAGTGATCTCCAAGGTAAACAATATATTGTACACAAGGCTCCGAGCAATATTCTCTGGACAGTCTGAGAGGTCGATAACCATGATAGGCCTAGACGGTGCCGGGAAGACAACTCTTTTACTGTATCTGCAGACTGGAGAAGTCCACCAAACCGTCCCAACACTTGGGTTCAACTGCGAAAATGTCAGTCTGGGGAGCATGAAGTTCCAAGTGTGGGATATCGGAGGACAGAACTCATTCATGAGGTTCTGGCATCAGTACATCAACGAGGGATGTGGGATCATATACATGGTTGATTGTGCAGATCCGCAGAGGTTTGGAAAGTCGAGCGAGGAATTGTGGAGGATACTGAACATCCTGAACAGCCCCAGGCCGCTGCTGGTGCTTGCAAACAAGATTGACCTGGTGAAAGAACATGAGAGGAGTGAGGTGATGAGGAGTATCAAGAACGAGTTTGGCCTTGAGAAGTACAGCGGGCCATCACTTGTTGTGCCGATAAGTGTTCTTCAGGCGGGATCGATGACTTCGGCCAACGATGAGAACGGAAGAGAAATCATCGATGCATTCAGATGGCTGAACAAGGAGCTTGAGAAGATGCCCAGAACAGAGGTCCTATAAGATTAAAGGTTTATATCTGACTTCTCTAAAGTCTTAGCTATCGAGAAACTAATTCCAAAGATAGTATCTAAGTAACTGCTGGGGATAATCTCATCCAAGTATAGGCACCATGTTTTTGAAGTATCTGTGAGACAAACCACTTTTAGCAGTCATTCTCATTCTTGGATCGTACTCAAGCATATTCGAAATAAGGTCGATGAAGTCGGGATCTGCCTTGAAAATCGTCTTTAAATCGACAGGGTTCCAAATCGGAAATTCTACTTTATAGTTTGGAAAGTTCTCTACATTCGACCACCTCGAGTTGTTTGGAGTCCCAAGGACCTTGAATATTCTAAATAATTGGTCTATTTCCGAGTCTCCTGGGAAAAAAGGCTTCATAAGAACAACTTCGGATATAATGCAAGCAGCACTCCATACATCTACAGATGCATCATAATATTTACATCCCAAAAGTAGTTCCGGAGGCCTGTACCAAAGTGTTACCACTTCTGTTGTATAGGTTCTTAGAGGAACACCTGCAGCTCTTCCAAGTCCAAAATCGGCAAGCTTGATATTTTCCTGAGGATCTATAAGAATGTTCTGAGGCTTTAAATCTCTATGAAAAATGTTTCTTGAATGGCAATATTCCATTGCGGTTAACAGCTGAAAGGACATTTTTCTAACGAAGTTCTTGTCAACAGGTCGTCCTTCGTCATTCATTTTGTCCAGGTATCTTCTGAGATCTAGTTCTACATATTCAAATACAAGATACATTTTGTTGTTATTATAGATTACGTCACTCAGCTCGACAATAGTTGAATGCTTTAGGTTTTTTAAGAGTAATATTTCCCTTATTGTAGTAGCAGGAATTCCTTCGTTCTCGTTTTCAAGCCTTATCTTCTTTAATGCAACTATTCTGTTTGTATTTCTTTCTCTTGCTTTGTAGACAACTCCGTAAGTTCCCTCTCCGATCTTCTCCAGCTTCTGAAAAGACTCTGTCATTTGGGATAAAAAAGACGGTAAATTTGACTCCATAGAAAACGAACAAAATACCTGAGACGACCTGATTTCCAAGGGCAAAAAACGCCCCTGGAGAGACTCGAACTCTCGACCTTTCGGTTAACAGCCGAACGCGTTAACCACTGCGCTACAGAGGCTGTGCTTCCACATACACCCCACAAACTGTTTCCAACATCCGAACAACAATCTAACAAAAACCCTCTTCCTCCTTGCCCCCATGGATACACCGAAGAGGAACTTTAAGCATCCTAGGAACCTCGTCTCAAAGATGCCAAGAAACACCCCACACGACATAATACTCTATGCACTCACCACAGAGAAGGCTGCAAGGTGCATGGAGCAGTTCAACATCCTGGTCTTCTATGTGGAGAAGACCTCGACCAAGCCGGAAATTAGAGATGCCGTTACCCAGCTCTATGGATGCAAAGTCAAGAAGGTCAACACCTTGATCAACAAGCATGGGAAGAAGGCATATGTCCGATTTGACAAAGAGGGAGACGCCATTCAAATCGCCTCTAAAATAGGTGCAATCTGAATTAAATTATTCTCAATCCTGTTTCTCTATGGAGATCCTACAATGCTCAATACTTGTCTAGATTTCAAAGGTCTTAATTTTCTAAAGAAGTTTTTATTTGGTTCAAAACCCGTTGTAATCCTTAGGAACTAATAAGTTCGCTTAATGCCATCACGAATGTAGACTCAAGTTCATCTACACTTGAAATAATGCAATATTTAAGAGGGAAGGTATCTAGGTATCTCTGGACAAACACGGATCCTTCCGAAACAGTTACTTTAGACATTCTCTTGACGTTGCATTTGTCGATCAGCAGGACTAGGAAGTTGGGGTGATGATGTCCTACATTCTGGAAGAGACCGTCGGTCAAAATAATGTTGATTCCATCATCAAACTCGTCGATCCAGTCGATCATGGTTTGGGAGTCACTGAATCTCATTTCTTCTACCGTACTTCTTTCCAGGAGTTCGCCAAATCTATAAACTTCAACCGGTATCCCAAGCAGAGAGAAGGATTTGTTTATCTTCGAATATAGAGACAAAAGAGTGTCAATCATCTCCTGGTTATACATACTCTTACTGTTGTCAATAAATAAGCGAAGGATATAATCCTTCTTATCATTTCTTTGGCGCCTCATCCAAATCCTATCTCTTCTGAATCCACTGGCTATATACGGAACCAACCTCTTCATGTTCAGCTTCTTTCCACTCTTAAAGTCTCCTTTGTACTTGCTTCCCTTTCTTGACTCCATAATTATCTTGAGCATATTCGTCAACTTAGTACAATCCTCTTCCTCTATTCTAATTCTTACAGTAGATTCAAATGCATCTCCACTTCCAGAATCTTCATCTCCTGAAATCTTTTCATTCCCCTCTCCTTGACAAAGTGCTCGATCCTCTTGGTTATTCCCTGCAACATATCTGTCGTAATTGTCTGCAACCTCACACGTCTGATTCTTGTTAAGAATTCCTTCTTTAAATTGGTATTCGCTTGTTTTAGGCTCGTTGTGGAAGTTGGAATCTTCTTCATTTTGTGACTTTGCCTCTCCTTCACTTTCTGATTCCGTGCTGTCCAAGACATTACTAGCATCTGTATCTTCTTCTGAGACATCTGGACCCAATTGTTCTTCTCCTCCATCTTCACTTTTCTCCGATCCAAAGCCCTCGTCTTCAACATCCATTTCTGTATCTTGTTCATTCTTGAGTTCTTCTTCGTTTTCATTTTCATCTTTTTCACTCTCTTCTTCATTGTATCCATCTACTCCGCTTTCATATTCTTCTTCCTCAGACTCGGAAACCGTCGAGACACTTCCATCATTGTCAAAATCTATCCCATCACTTTCACTTACTTTCTCTCGCTCTCCATACTCATCATCTATCTCATCTTCATGTTTAATTTGGTCACTCACATTGACATTTCCCGTTCCGCTCTTCATTCCTGTTTCCTCCTCGGAAACCTCTTCTTCTCGACGCCCAAATATAAATGTGAAATACATAAGTGGGATGTATGGATTCTCGATACATGCAAGAGTAAGACCCATTATTGCTCTGTCCTCTGTCATTTGATTAACAATCTTACCTAGGCATACTTCGGAGTTAGAAAACATCTTTTCAGGCATCCTGTTAAGGAAGCGCCCAAGTACATCTTTCTTTTTCACTTTGTTGTTTTCAAAAATTCTTTCAACTTCTTTTCGGTCAAACTTCTTTGAAAACTCAATCCAATCCTCACATTCGCAATCCGATCTCTCCCTAAGGAGGCTTGCACATACATTGGGATGATATCCCTGGCAAAGAGGATACGGTTGAGGAAACTTAAGATTTAGAACATTTGTGACAGGTAATATAAGGAACTTCTTCAAATCCTCCAGGGTCTTTCTAAATAGCTTGGGTTCCTTCCTTAATTTCGACTTAGCATCTCGAATTCTATCTTCATAAGCACTTTCTACTTCAAATGAAACGTACTTCAAAGTCACATTGTAGAAAACGGGGTCTTCATTCTTAACTGCCATTTCCCGTGCATGTCTAATCCTGTCCACAAACTCATAAACAGAACAGTCCAGAAAATATCTTTCAGCCATCTCAAAGTCAAATGGCGTTGTGATTAGGTACAGAAAGTACTTGTAGTTTCTCTCTATGTCACAGACAGACGTATCCTTATAAAATCTCTCTAAGGCTTCCATTATGGAATGGAGTCCAAACTCTTTATCAGCACTGGAATTTCTCTTGTCCCGATGTCCTGATATAACTATTGTCGATTCCAAGATCTTATCCGAGTCTGAGTCTGCGTTACTTATGTCCTTCTGTAGAAGAGCTTCGTAGTCTTCAGAATCTACTTTTTTCCTTCCATATTCCATGAGATACCCAATGCTTGTGAATATAGGGAGCTCTAGCATTTCTTGATCCATAAGGTCGACCAACTTCTCTTCTATTTCCAAACGGGTTGTTTCCCTTTCAATAATCTGAGCCCTTCCCTTGACTTTGAACACTAACATTAGGCACCTGTTCAGATCTTTTTCCTTAAACTCTAACAGATGATCAATCCAATCGGCTTCCTTGACATGTATCCTTCTGTCGAATATAATTCCCTCCAAAATCAAACTATGTCTGTCCACCGACCTCGAGTAGTACAACGAGTTTAGATATCTTGAAAATTCATGTCCTAAAGACTTGCAGTCAATCTTCCCTAAGAGTGGAAGAATCTCCAAACCGCGGTCAATTAAGTTTAAGCACAGGATACCATAGCTCGCATAGTCTCCAGATTCTTCTTCAACACTATTTCTGTCCCCGTATTTCGTACAATCTACCCCTATGCGCTTGATTTTACACATTCCCGAGCATCCTTCTCCGTTTGACCACCTATAAAACAAGTATATCAAATAATAGTCCAAAATATCATCGAATTCTGAGTATAAGGCCTTATCTCCGCACATATATGAGCAAAAGTCTAGGCCTCTTAAGGAATTCCTAAACTTCAGGTAGTCTCTGTTCATCCTTCCTTCAATCTCCTGGATTTTGGCCTTATATTCCTGGATACCCTTTTCATATCTATCCACCATCTTCTCTATAGATCCCTTTCCATATTTGTACATATTCTTCATAGTACCATATATCTCCGAAAGGCTTTTGTTTTCAAACTCATTCATCTCTGCTATCAATCCTTTCCTTACCATCTCCAGAGGATCATTTAAGCATCTTTCGATAAACTCAAAGAAAAACATATCGAAGTCGGAATGGAGAAGCCATTCCACATCCGGAAGCTGCTCCACAATCATTCTTAACTTTTTGTAATCAGAAAACTTCTTATCTCGAAGGCACCTGATGGCCTTTACTTTTAGATCTCTGGATGATTTCGGGAAGTTAAGAGAACACCCTCCTTGATCATGAAAACGGCTAAAGATCGAGAGATCTGCAGACTTGATAAATGCCACTGCTTTCCGATCTTCAGAGCTCATGGTAGAAATGCTTTTAAGTAGGTTAATTTTGGACACATCGTCGTCTGGTGTTTCAACATAAAGTCGGATCTTGTTGTAGAAATGAAGAATTTCAAAATCTATCTCATAATTTTCTATGTTTTTTCTTTGGAATTGGAACATCTCGTCAATCCTAGATTCCTCCAAAGCATTCCATACACCACAAAGATGTCTGCCGAGAAAACTAGGCCATACCTCCAACAACCTCAATCTCTTTAAATCCAATCCAAAATCAATTTGGCTGCGGTCCATAGAGAGACCATAAAAGTCTTCATGAAAGACAGAACTAGAGTTGGATTGCCTTACAAACAACTTCCACAAATCAATATAGTCGAGTCTATCACTCAATTCCACATGCATACATCTATCAAGTAGTGCCGGTGATAGCATACTGGGCTCTTTTACTAACAGAATTAATCGTGTCGATGGATTAACTACAACATTTGTGTCAATCCCTCTCTCATATATATTCAATATTCTTTCCGATTCAAACAAAGGATTTAACCGGTCAAAAACAGATTTCTCTACAAACTCAACTCCCGTAAAGACAACAATCATTCCTCTTTTTATCCCTTGCACAATTGCAGAATCACGCCATTCAAACATTCCATTTTCCATCTTTTGGTATTGCCCGAGAAGATCACACACGTCCGTATCCTTATGGCAGTTGAAGAGCATCATTTCCTGCCCAAACACAGAAGATACAAACCGAAGTAATGAATCTCTCCCCACTCCTCTAGATATAACAAGTGGAATATTCATCTCCACACATTTCATGATCATTTCCATCTGCTGGAGTTGCGAATGAACTAGTACAAAATCCAGGTTTCCTCCCTTTCTTTGGATGTGAGCAGATCCAATCCTAACAATAGACTCATCTATAAAATAGTTAATATTCTTAGATTCCAAACTCCCCATTTGATTTGCTCGGATATTTTCTCTTAGACTGGCCGAACTCACTATCACAGGTCTTGGAAACATCTTGTGGAGGATTTGTGCAATGTCGTCCGCCGTGTACCCGTCCATCTTGATTCTTACAAACCTATCAAGAAAGCTTTTTGGAAGCATCTTTCGTCCATTTATAGAGCTGCATGGATTGAGAGTTGCAAATATTCGGGTGTCCCTATGAACATCAACTGTGACTTCAGGTATAAAGAGCTTTCTTCTGTAGTCTAGCACAGAATTCAATCCTTCAATCACACTCTGAGTACAAAGATTAATCTCGTCAAGAATTATCCATCCTCCGTTCCTAAGACTGTGTAGTAACTCACTTTCTACAAAGCGGATTTCCCCGTCAATTGGGAGATAACTTCCGATCAGATCGCATAGCTCCGTTTGCTCGCTTAGATTCACTCTAATACACTTTTTCCCCATCTTTCGCGCTATCTCCTGCACTATACTTGTCTTTCCTATTCCAGGATCTCCCTCCAGCATAATTCCTCTTCCCAATCCCATCGCTCGGAGTACTCTCCTAAGATTTAAAGTAGGTGTTTTAGATTCAAAATCAAATGAGGATGGGTTTTTGTATCCTACTAGGTATGGAAACGCCCCAAACATCTTTTCGTTTTCAATGTATCTCGTCTCTATTTCAGAACTGTTCGCCTCGATAATTTCTAGTGCTTCTCTCCATGCACTTATTGCATCAAACATCTCCATGCAAACAACCTCTTCAAATCTCCCAGTATAGCGCCTGTATATAAAATCAACCACAAGTTCAAGCTTCCTGATAGACGTATCAAGTGACCTCGCCAAAGACTTGAACATATCTCTGCTCTCCTTTGGCATACCTACTTCTTCAAGCCGTTTATCTATGAGATGATCAAATACCAGAGGAATCTCATCCGAGGAGACTTCAAAGTACATCTCCGAAAATCTATTTCTAAGTGCTGGGCTTAACTCTCTTTTTCCAAAATCCCCTCCTGGATTCATAGTCGCCAGTATTCGAAATCCTTCGTGTGCAACCACCTCTTTTCCTGTCTCCGTTATGTATAGGGTGCGCTGTGGTTCCAAAACACTGTTGAGTCGTTCAAGCACAGAATCCTCCGCCAAATTGATTTCGTCAATCAGGAATGCTTCTCCGTTCTTCATTGCTCTGACAAGAGGCCCATCCTTCCATACCACCTTTGAATTCTCAAAAACAAAATTCCCGATGAAGTCAGAGCTCTCTATACCTCTATGCATGCTTAAAGTAATCAGCTTTGTCTTGAACAACGAGCTGACCACATCGCATATTTTTGTCTTCCCTATTCCAGTCTCTCCAACAATCAAAATTGGTTCTTTACTTTCCCATGCTAGAACCGTCAGACTAATCATTTTCCTGAATGTATCGGTAAACACGAGCTTCTTTCCATAAAGTTCTTCGGCTGCTAGGGATAAATCCTTCAAGTTGGTTCCCTTTTTACCAATTACTATCTCTTCCTTATCTTCTTTTCCTGTGATAATCCTTCCATACCTTTCCACTTCTACTTCCCCGAAAGACTCAGAAAAAACCTGGAATACCCATCTTCTGTCTTTTTCTTCTCTTTGTCTTTCATATATTATACTCATTCCTAGAAAACATACCTCGCTTAAGCTTCTGGGCACTCTTCCAGACCACTTGAAAAGATCTCGAAGGGTCACTAGAGCATTAACACTTCTTTTCGATCTAAGTCCACTATAAACTTCAACCATCTTCTTACAGAAGCTCTTAGGAAGCCCCGATCCTCCATGAAGAATCTCTAGTATCTCTTCTTCCCCTCCTTCATTGAAAAACATTTCAACAAACCGATTTCTAAATGCTTTGCTCAATCCTTTTCTACCTCCATACCCTATGTTCTGCGTAGCGAACACTCGGAAGTTTTCATGAGGAACAACAACCTCATCTATTTCAGGAATGTATATCTGCTTATTGTCATCTAAAAGTCTGTTCAACACCTCAAGTACATCACTAGATGCAAGATTTAGTTCGTCAAGAATAACCCAATATCCTCTTCTCATTGCTGTCACAAGAACTCCTTCTTGAAATTCAACTCCTCTGCTGGTGCAAGTAAAGCTACCAATGTAATCAGAAGCCTCCGTATGTTCGTGGTTGTTTATCCTGATAACACGCTTATTCATCTCCTTGGATAGAAACAAAACCATGCTTGTCTTCCCTGTAGATGTATCCCCCTGTAGAAGCAATGGGCAGTTAGATAGAACCCCTAGCTCCATTATTCTCAGATATGTTTGAATCCTGTGTGTTAGAACAAATCCATCTTTAACTTTTGTCCTTTCAACACTCAAGGATTGGGTTGCAAAGTACTTCGACAGGAGAGAAATTGCAATAGAACGGCTAACAAAGTCCAGCTGTGTGAACACAAACAAATCAAATCCCTCCCATACAGACTGCTCAAACCCCTTCTCTGCTCTTCTTCTGATAAAGTTTAAAACTCGAACAAGGCTTCTTCCGCTTATCAAGGGCTCAACTATATTCCCAAGCTCTCCCTTTCTAACCTTGTTCTTCAATTCCAAAAAGAATTCCCCTATCTTGCTCTTTCTTTCTTCGGAGATCTCATACTTAAGCACAGAATGAATCACAAGATTAATATCCTTCAACGAAGTACTGAAATCATGAATATGCACGCTATTAAATTCAACCCCCTCATACTTCTTCTTTCCAAAATCTCCCCCAGGATTCATACATCCAAATAGCATAAATCCCGGATGAATTTCAAGTGGCCTCAAGTCTCCACTTTCGTAGAGGAGTATTTCCTTCTTACCCAAGACCCCGTCTATCAGGTCAAGTGTCTCTTCAGAGGAAAGGTTGATTTCATCAAGAAGCAGCCATTCTCCGTTTTCCATACATTCTGTAAGAATTCCCTTTTTATAGACAAAATGCACCTTTTTTTCTAGTAGTTTGAGAAGATCATCAATCTTTTTGATAGCCCCTTCATGTTTTAACCCATCTTCTTTTCGAAGAGAAAGCTTCTCCCTCAGATATTCGAGCTTCTCTTTGTTTCCATAACAGACTGGTGTGCTTAGCCGTTCCTGATTACATATCCTCTCTATAGCCTTGTTGATGTCTAGAGTCCCATATCCTCCAATTAAATCCGTTCCATCAAAGTCTGCCGACATGTTTACAACCCTTAACTTGGTCGCTACTCCCAAGAAGAAATGGGACTTCGAGCTGAGATACTGAATCATTGAGGTCTTTCCCACCCCTGTATCTCCAATTAATAAGGTGTGGTCTCTGTTTTTAATGTTCCATAGAAGATTGAAGATGCCCCATTCAACAGAACTAGTTTTAGCAAAGTCTAATCCATGAAGTGAAATATCTGGAATATCAGTCAATGCAAGAAGATATCTTAAAGAATCCGAATCGTGTCTAAGCAATACATTGCATACTGATTGATATACCTTTACTCGCTCCTCTGTTTTAGTTCCGTTACTGCCTTCAAGTCTCTTCTTAATTCTCTGGAGAGATCGGAAATGGGCTCCACAAACTGTGGATTCCTTAAACAAACACCATCCGTTGTTCTTGCATGCAATTTTAAGGCAACTTCTCTGGCATTCCTCTCCTTTCTCCTTCGAACACCCCTTCCAGTGAGTAGAAATAACTTCGAAAACTTTCATAAGAAGCTGTCTAACACATGCTATCTCAAACATCATCATTGCTTCTTCAAACATAAACCCAAGTGGCCCTACAAACACAATGTCATCCATATCCAATATATCATTGGAAGTAAAGAATATCCTAAAATCTTCATGTGCAAGAACCTCCCTCCCATCGTTTCCCAGCAGCCTTCTGTACTTTACTACCGTAAAAAGATATTGCATCAGCCCATGGTTCTTATCAATTCTTTTGAACAAAACCCAATCTCCTCTCTCCATAGACTCAATCAGTAATCCCTTCATGTACTCAACATCTCCTTCCTTGACTGCATAGAAACCTCCTAATGTTCTTGCATCAGTTATTTCTCGAGAATCAATCTCAACCAACCGTCCACCTTTGCTATAAATCCCTGAATGAAGCCTACTTACCAATGAGGATCTTCCAACCTCCCCATACACTCCAACCGGAACCTTGAGATCTACAGCTTCTCGGGCTAGTCTTTCAAACTTCTCTAACGATCCAACTCTGGCCTCGCCCGTTTTTTGCTTCTTATGTTTCATCTCACCCCTAGATAAAATCCAAAATCATAACAGACAAAATTTTAGAGTCTTTATTTATTGAGGTTGATATAGTTTTGGCTTCCGCAACTGTCATTCAGAGCAGTCCTTTAACCTTCGGTAGTATTCCAAAATCTTTGAGACCAAAAACACAATCAATATGCATATAACTACAATGGCAAGGGCTTCCCCAGCCTTCTTCAAAATAGTCATTGCAGAAGACTCTTCTTCCTCTTCCAAATCCTGCCCCTCCTCTAATACAACCTTTTCCTCCTCTAACACAACCTTTTCCTCGTGCTCCGGGATTTTTTCTGACATAAATTCGTCAATCTTCTTTTCCATATCTTCCTTCATATCTTTTGTGGTCTTTTCCACAATTTCATACATCTCCTTCGTAACTTCTTCTTTTATAGACTTTTTTATAAACTCCTTCAGCTCCTCGTCAGCGTTCGAGCTACCGACTATTATCCAAAATACAAATATCGTTAAAAACATCATGTTTTGAACTCCACCTCCTGTTCTTTCCTTCTTCAATCCTTCGAAAGCAGCTCTCCTTTACAATCCAAATCCACTCCAATAAAACCAAGGAGAAAGGAGGAAAAAGGAGACGAAAAAGTATATAAGATCAAAATCTCTAGAGTAACATGAAGCTTGGAAAAATAGGATTGAGCTCGTTTTTGGTTTCCATACGCATGCTTGGGAAGATTAGTGCTTCTGGAGGAGGGGATCCTACTAGAAATTTACTTCGGCCTCTTTTTAATCAAGCTGTGAGTGAAAAAGCTGAACAAGTTGTTCAAGGAGCTAACCAGCTGAAGGATGAGATGATAAAGGAAGGAGGTGGAGGCTCTGGCGAAGGAAACGAGGACTGAAAAAAGATAAAGGGAAAAATTTATTTTATAGAAAATCCAGTCTATATGATAAGTAAACGTGACAAGGAAACAAAAAACAAAAGTTACAAATAAAGGTGGTAAAACATGGTGTACTTTTTTATTTTATCGGAATCTTAACTTCTTAGACTTGAAAAAGAAAAGAACTAACTCTATTCAAACGGATCCATGAATATGCCGAGAGAGATAATTCTGGTATTATTGACATTAGAGACCTTAAAAACTTTTTTATACTCAGAAAGAAACATTTCCATCTCGAAATCAGCTATGAATCTGACACGAGAAATTAATTCGGTAACTTCCAAGGATCCAGATGTTGCTAAGGTGTAATAGACTAGATCAAAGTAATGCGAGAAGTACCCCGTTCCTTTGTACTGATTATATCCTTTGAACTTGAACACATCGTACTTCTTGTTAATTACCCGGAGAAAGCTCTCGTGCGGCGTGACAAACTCCACTTTCTTTATGCCCTTATAGTTTGCTATTATCTTGTCTCGAGAAAGTGCTTTTAGTACTTTTTTGGCTTCCGAAACGGAGTATGAATTGAAATCTAGTGCTCCTATCCATCCTAGTTCGATTATGTTTTTCTTGAATTCTATATACAGTCTTTCCAACGAGGTTTGCTTTATATCATCTATCCCTTCATCTCCGAACATTTTCAATCTATCAAACATAGCCTCAAACTCATCGCCCTTGAATTCCGTGTAGATGGTTCTGTATGCCTCGTCATAGAATCTCTTCTCCTCGACATTGCGTATCTTTTTGTAGAATTCAAGCCTCTTTTCCAGGGAAACATACTTTCCACTGCTCTTGGATCTCTTTACCCTCTCAAAAGCCCTTATCCCCGAAGAGAGATCCATGGAGTTTTCTTTTATCATTATCTTCTTGCTTGATATCTCAATGTCGAGAACTTGGAGGTCTTTCATCTGCTTGAGTAAGGATACAAAGTTTCCTACTCCTATTTTTAATCTGATAAGCTTTCTTATGCTCTGGGGTAGCTTCATATCAACAACATCGGAGACCCTCTTTCCGGCAAGAGAAGTGATGTTTGAAGGTTCTGCCTTTCCAGATAAAATGCATTCTTTTGCTCTGAACGCATTACTATCTGTCTCTCCTGAGTCTATGAATTGGCAGAGAGACTCTCGGAATCCAATTCTGCCGAAGGGAACTATCGATAGCAAAAGGCTAAATTCCATTTCTTTTACCACCTCCCAGTCAAATCTTAGCGATTTTACTCCTTGGAAGGCCATATATTCCACAAGAAACCTATAGAACAGCTGTAGTCTTTCCTCCCTCTGAGGAATGTATCCGTTGTCCATCTCCACAAGCTTTGGTGAATTAACAAAGATGTTGTATATCTTTCTTTGGAATTCGGACATGTCTTCTTGGATGACATTGCTTGGCACATCCAAGGCCTCAATATCCGATTCAGAGACCTCGTTTCTTATTATCATATATCTGCTGCACTTTCCTTCCCTTCCCTTCTTTTGCTTGTATATCTTAAACCCTGCAAGTATAGCCGATCTGATTATGGTTCTTCTGTCGAACTCGTATTTCCATCCTGTTATCTCCTGAAGTTTTTCATAGGTCTGCTTATCAAGCTGAAGAACAGAACTCATGGACATAAGCTTTTTGATAGCTCTTACTCTTTCTTCCGAGGTTATATATTCTACAGTTCCGGCTTCCTCAGGGACTTGGTAGGAAAGCTCTTTGCAAGCCGCATGGTATCTGTATCTCCTAATACGGCCCTGGAATTCCTCAATCCTTTTGAAAATCCCCTTTTCTTCGTTGTAGATCTTATTGAGAAGCTTGTATCCTATTTTTGAGCTAACTCCAAGCTTGTCTTTTAAGTCCTTTGTAATTATTCCTCCCTCAGAGCTCAAGATCATTTCCCGAACGTTGTCGTATAGTCCAATTTCGATTCGGTATTCAAACAGGCGTCTTCTTCCAACCACATCAATCCGCCCCGAGTCTGTTAATGGTTGTGCTACTTTCCGCGTTATAAATCCTCTTTCATCCAGAATTGCCTTAATTTTGTATATAAAGTTTTTTTTCTCTGTTTCTTCGGATGTTCTGTATTCTATAAATCCTTTTCTCACAAGCCTTTTAATGCAGTAGTGGGTTTTCTTGGGATCAAGCCGCAACTTCCTGAGCTCCACATTGTCCACATACTTCTTGGTCTCTATAAGAAGACTCATTATTAGAAAGTACTCTTTCGATGTGAAATTAAATGTCCCAGCAGTTAGATAATCCTTCCAGGCAAGTGTCCCCATTCTTACATACAGCTTGTCCCAGTGGAAGTTATCTACCATATATCCATTCGTTTCTGTTCTCAAGCAATCGGTGATGAAGTTTCTTTTCAGATTTTCTATTGTTTCGACTTTTAGTATTTCCACCCACGGTTCTCCAATAGCGATTTCTACTTCGTCTTTACTCAGTTTTTCCAGCTTTGCTCCATATATTCCAAATTGAAAGATCTTTTCTTTCAAATCCTCCATTCTCTCGGGGCTTTCTTTATAATTGACCATACTATCTCCTTCTCGCATTTTGAAACCCCTTGGATGGAAGAAACATTGAAGAGAGACATCAGAAGAATTGATACCACCTGCATTGATCAGCAGCTAATCAAGTCTTTTATAAAGCCGTACTATGGAACAACGACTCTTGCCTTTGTGTTTAAAGAGGGAATGGTCATTGCGGTGGACTCGAGGGCAACATCTGGGCCATATATAGCTTCTCAGACCGTAAAGAAGGTAATTGAGATAAACAAGAACTTGCTTGGAACGATGGCTGGAGGAGCAGCAGACTGCTTTTACTGGGAAAAGCTTGTGGGTCTGTATGCAAAGAACTATGAGCTCACAAACGGAAGAAGAATAACAGTGTCTGCAGCAAGCATGTACCTAAGCAACTGTGTATACAAATACAAGGGGTATGGTCTCTCGATGGGGACTATGCTCTGTGGATATGACGGAAGTGAGCCATGTATTTTTTATGTTGACGACGCTGGAAAAAGAATTAAGGGCAACTTGTTCTCTGTAGGAAGCGGATCCACAATAGCTTATGGAATTCTTTCTTCATGCTATAGGTTCGACATGAGTAAGGAAGAAGCCTTGAACTTGGGAAAGGAGGCTATTTTCCATGCAGCCCATCGAGACGCCTTTTCTGGAGGATTCATCAACCTTTACTACATGAATGAGGAAGGATGGACCAAGGTGGGGTCCTATGATGTCAACGACTTTAACAAAGAGTAAAATTTTTGTTGAATCCTTTTTAAAGCTTGCACTTGATGATGCAGCTTCTTTTAATGGAGCATCTCTACCCAGGATGTGTGTATTTTCCTTAGAGAGCGAGCCATTATAGCTCAGTAGGTAGAGCTTTAGCTTTGTAAGCTAAGGGTCCTGGGTTCGAATCCCAGTGGTGGCTTTTTGCCACAGCCAAACCATCGCTGTATGAATGCCCCGTGTTCTGTACTTTGCATGAAAGTCAAGAAATTAAAGATGGAGCTTTCCAAAGTTGAAGATTTTTCCAAAATGAGTGTTGGACTAGAGCAATATATGACGCCACCAGACATAGCCGCATCCATGATTAGCATCATCCACTCTACATATGATGACATTGAGGGAAAGTCCATTTTGGACCTATGCTGTGGGACCGGAATGCTATCTTTTGCTTGCAGCTACTTCTCACCATCATACATCCTTGGAGTTGACTTATGTCCTTTGGCTCTGTCGGTATTCAAACAGAACAATCTTAAGTTTAAAGCTAATGTAGATCTTTTAAGGTGCTCTATAGACGATCTTACCTTCATCAATGAGAAGTTTGACACAGCAGTAATCAATCCTCCATTTGGCACAAAGATAAAACATGCCGACATAAAGGCTGTTGACAAGGCCTTAGAACTCTGTGACGTTGTATATTCCCTCCATAAGACAAGCACTAGAGAATATATAGTTGCGAGATATCCAAGTGCCGAGGTTTTGGCAAAGATTAAGTATGAACTTCCAAGAAGACATGATTTCCACAAGAAGGACAAGAAAATTGTCGAGGTGGATTTTGTTAGGATTCTGAAGAGAAAAGAAACGGATTCTGCTTCCAGCGTTATTTATTAGTCACTCTTCTTCTCTCTAATTGACGGAAAATTGACTTAAGGCAATTGCAGAAATCTTATTGATTACTTTGGGATTACAAAAAATATTATTTAAGCATAAGACAGAGTGCCCCAATGAAGGTCGTTATCTTTGGATCCAGTGGCGACCTTGCAAAAAGAAAACTTTTTCCTGCGCTTTCCAGGATAAATCTCAAGGATGTTGAAGTTGTTGGATATGCAAGAACCAAGTATGATGTTGAATACTCCGAAGTTCTTCAAGAGGTTGGGAATTACTCTCCGGAGTTCCTTTCGAAGGTTCAATACGTCAGGGGATCCTATGACGACCTTTCGAGGCTTAAAGATATAGCCGACCCAGAAACAGTGCTTTACTTTTCTGTGCCACCTTCTGTGTACACCAGTATACTTAAGGAGGCTTCGAAGCTTAAGTACAAGGTAATATGTATCGAAAAGCCATATGGAGAGAGCATCGAGTCTTTTGCACAGATGAAAAAGTTTGACCTAAGCAAGGTTCAGTTTATCGACCACTATCTTCTGAAACCATTGGTCATAGCAATGCCAGGAATTATAAGGGGGTCAAGTGCTATGAAGGAGACGATGAATAATAGGCATGTCAAAAGTGTTGAGATAATTTCCAAGGAGGTTCTTGGAGGGGAGGGAAGGAATTACTTTGACAAAAACGGAATCGTAAAGGATATAGTTCAGAACCACATGGCCGAACTTCTTGGGGTTGTTGCATCGGACGTTACAGAACCATCGAGGACTATGGAAGCGTTAGAAAGGGCCAAGATCTTTGATGCATGTACTATTGATGCGGAGAAGTGTATTTATGGCCAATACGATGACTATAGCAAGGAGATCCACAAGGATTCGAGCACTGAGACATTCTGTATAGTTCCTATCAATGTAAACACTCCTCGATGGTCTAAAGTTCCCTTTATCATTGTCGCAGGAAAAGGGATGAATGAAAAGAGAACTGAGATATCTATTGAGTTTAAAAGAGATGTATTTTCAAAATGCATTGAGCTTTTCTGCGAGGAAAAGAAGCTTTCTAACAAAACTGTTCATATCAACGAGATAGATGTGGTAAGGCTGGTGTTCAACATCTATCCAGAGTGCGAGGTGTTTCTCGAGGTTCTTGTTGGAGGAGATTCCGTCAAGCATGTTCTGCATGATAAAAAAAGAATCAACGATTTGATGCATGAGAGTTACGGGGGATACCGAGATTATGAAATCATTTTTGACAGTCTTATAAGGAACAAAAGTCTTAACAGTGTGAACTTAGACGAGGTAGAACTTTTATGGAAGGTGTTTGATCCCATATTGTCCACCGACAAAGAGGAAACTTTGTTTTACTATTCAAAGGGGATCGACATGCCTGAGGAGGCTGAAGAAATGATCAGAAAAATTAAAGATCATTAGAGAGTAATTGTGCTTGAATTGCTTCTCTTTACTTGGGAAATTTTTAATCCTCGAAAGATGAAATACCTTGCACTGGCCAGTGGGGGGAAGGACAGTCTATATGCTATGCATGTTCTTCAGCGCGAAGGGCATCAGGTTGTAGGCCTGCTTCACATGAGATGCGGAGATGGATATCAAGATTCTTTTATGTACCAAACTGTTGGATCCGAGGTGGCCGATCTGCTTGGAGAATGTCTCGGGATTCCTATTTTTATTTACGAGACGAAATGCAAGAGTATAAATCAGAATCTTCAATATAAAAAGGAAGAAGGTGATGAAGTTGAAGATCTTTATGAAGCCATTGCCTCGGCAAAAGAAAAGATATACTTCGAAGGCGTATCTTCTGGGGCTATTTTGTCCAAATACCAAAAGAACAGAGTTGAGGATGTGTGTAAAAGGTTGTCTCTTAGGTGTCTGTCTCCTCTCTGGGAAATGGATCAGAAGAAGCTACTTGGGGAGATGATATCTAATGGGATGGAGGGAAGAATAGTGAAGGTTGCATCGTCTCTCTTAGGAAGAGAATGTATAAACATGGGACTTGATGAAATTTATGACCGTCTGGAGGCGGTCCAGGGTCTGGAAGTGAACTTCTGTGGAGAAGGAGGAGAATACGAAAGCATAATACTTGACTGTCCTATGTTTAAGAAGAGAATTTCCATAGATAAATATGAGGTTACTCCTCATCCGGAGGAGATAGGAAGAGAAGGGATTGTGTTTTACATGAGGATTTTGAAGACAAGTCTGGTAGAAAAAGATATTTAGATAGGAATTAAACCTTCTTACTGTGTTAAGCCGTGGAGTATATTGAGCAGTAATTGTTCGCCCTGATGGAGGAGGATGCTGTTAAAAAGATCAAAGAAGGGGACTTTGAAGGAGCTCGAAAGATTATTTTGGAAATGGAAGATGGGATTCGTATTGAACCATCTCTATATGGCAGGAGAGTCTTGTTGGAGAAGGTGGCAAGGTTAAAGAAGATTTATAATGATCACAATCGAGCGGAAATTGGTACCATTCCGTTCAGGAGCTTAACTTCATTTGAAAGGCGAGAAAACAAGGTAGATGGTATCAAAGACAAGAGATATATCAAAGGTTCCAGAGACGAACTTGTAACCATTGAAGACTGTGTGGAGGTTGTCATTGAAGACTGCACCAACGCGGTGTTTGAGCACTTTTGCTGTGAAAAGTCGGTAGTTCTTAACAATGTTAAGGATTGTAAAGTGTCTTGCAGTGCACATCAGATAAGAATGAATGGATGCAGGAATGTTGAGCTTGAGGCCTACACACTTACAGGAGTGTTTCTTCAGAACTCTACGGGAATAGTGGTAAGAAGATATGGAGGTAGAAAAGACAATAGATTTAAGAATGTTAATGACTTTTCAAGTCCTTTTGAAAGTATAAATTATACAGTCTTGCCCGATGGTCTTTAATGAAATTACCGGAAAAACATCCTAGGGCTATGAACGGTGGTGAGCTTTCTCCAGACGAAGGTGGAGTGCGAAACGATTATTTGGATCTTCTCCAGAAAATAAGACTTCAGAGAGAAGACCTTCTCGAGGACAAGTCTAGATTGGAGGAGTTAATAAACACATCCAACATGCTGTTTAGGAAGATCAAAACATCTTCTGAGCTTAAGCTCGATGCAAAGATGAATGCTCTGTGGACAAAGCTGGCATGGACGAGGATGGAAAAAGACATCGATTTGGAGGACATTACATCGAGTACATTTGTCGAGTTGTTTAGAAAGAGCCTTCTCGACGACTTCTACAGATATGCCATGAAATGTAATGCAGGAATGAAGTTTCTAAATTGTTTTTCTCTAGTTTTTTCTGAAGAAGCCCCGAGTAGAAAAAGATCCCAGGTTCAAAGATCAAGACAACACCTTCCTGCTGCAGAAATTCCAGTACTAATTACTCGGGAAAAGGATTCTACAGAAGAGTCAGGGATTCTCATGCAAATCAGGAGATTGGTTTCGGAAAGGGACAGAATAGAATACTTCAGGCTTGTAATTAATCCAGAGTCATTCTCAAAGACTATTGAGAACATATTCTATCTGTCACTTTCCCTAAGGTCTGGATTTGTATCCATGGAATATGACGATGGGATTCTATATGCCATTTCTAAAACTTCGGAAGAAGGGGAAATAGGGCATCTTGCTGTAGAAATGACATATGACGAGTACCTTGAAATAATCGAAAATACCGGGATATCCAAGCCGTTGATAAAAAGTTAATATACAAAGATTCACTCTTTGGCCTGCTAAGATCGATAATTTCTTCTTAGTGAGAAATAGGGAATGTTACAACAAATCTTTCTAGAAGATAGACACTTAAAACAGGTTACAAGATGATCAAAAACGGATTTTGAGGTTGTGAAACATGTTTTAGAATCAAATATAAATACTAAGGAACGGAAAATAAACATGAAGAAGCTAATACTTGTCTCAGGACTTCTCATGGCAAAGGCCCTTAAAAGGATACATGGAATTGGGCATCATGGCTCAAACCTAACAAATTTGAGAAGACACCGTCTAAGACAATCAAGTCTATCTTCTTCTAATGTCAAAGATGGGAACGGTGATGACAAGGACGGGAAGAAAGATGGCAAGGACGAGAAGGATGGAAATAAAGATGACAAGAATGGAAAGAAGGACGAGAAGGATGGAAAGAAAGATGGCAAGGACGAGAAGGATGGAAAGAAAGGTGACAAGGATGGAAAGAAAGATGGGAAGGGTGGCAAGGATGGAAACTCTTCTTCTCTTACTCATCGCTCTAAACTCTGGAGTGGAAACAATAGTAGCTCAATGGAAGAACCAAAAGAAGATGATGGCAAAAAGGGAAAGGATGGAAAGGACGGAAAGGACTCTAAAGATAAAAATTCTGGTGCCAGCGAAAAGCCAAAAGACCAAGACAAAGGCGATGGAAAGGGAAACAAGGGAGGGGATGAAGGAGGAAATCCTGAAGAAAAGAAAGGGGGGAAGCCTTCAGATAAGAAGGAAAAGAAAAAATCCAATCTCATTGATTCCGAGTTGGTCGATAGCGAAGGAAGCGAAGATAATATATCATCTGCTAGGGATTGATAACAATAAACTCAAATGATTTTTTATCTCCCGAACTTTTGAATTTGCCCGAAAGGACTTCGGCCCAAATCCAAACAAGAGACATACTCACGGATTGACCCTGATGGAGAAGTATGAAAATATTAAGCAAGTGGGGGAAGGAGCGTTTGGGCAGGTGTATAAATCCAGAAGGATAGCCGATGGAACCGTGTTTGCAATTAAGAAGATGCCTGTAGATAGAGAAACAGGCTTCCCGTTCACGGCCATACGGGAAATAAAGCTCTGCAAGAGTGTAATTAATAAGCACATAATAAGGCTCAACGAAATTGTATTCGAGGAAGGCTTTATATTTGTTGTTCTCGAGTACATGCCATATGATCTAACAGGGCTTCTTGCGTCGGGGACCAAGCTCAGTAACGAACACACAAGATCTATCATATCGCAGCTCATAGAGGCTGTAAGTTCGATGCATGAGTTAGGATTGGTACACAGGGACATAAAGCCTAGCAATATCCTAATAGACCATCATGGAATGCTAAAGCTTACAGATTTTGGATTAACCAGAGAGATTTCGGGGATGATGACAAACAGAGTGTGCACACTCTGGTACAGAGCACCGGAGTTGTTACTCGGGGAGACATCCTATAACTTCAAGATAGATGCATGGTCTGTTGGATGTATAATGCTGGAAATGAGACTTGGGAGACCGCCATACAGAGGAAATGACGAAGTGTCACAAATAAAGCTGATATTCGAGGAGTTGGGGGCCCCTCAGGACAGATACAAGTGGTCTGATTTGCTTGATGTGGAAATTTACTCCAAAACCAAAGACGCTCAAGTTATAATTGGAGAGAAGTATGGGAATCTGTTTGACGAGGAAGAGCTAAAGGTTCTTTCGGGGTTTCTCTGCCTAACAAGTAGGAAGAGATTGTCTGTGGCAAATTCCAGGCACTTCCCCATCATCTCCAGCTATAAAAACACCTATATCCCACTAAACCTTGAAGAGTCCCATGAACTCTATACAAAAGAGAGAAAAGAAATGAAAAGACCCTAAGGACAAAGGGGGTTCTCTTTTGGAAGTATCTGGCCACAGAAACATGGTAAGTACAAATAAAAACCAATGGATAGCCTTTAATACTTCAGGGAGTAGAAATTTCTTGTAGTGTCGATCTCAAATGGCTCAGAAAGATAGGTCCTCATGTATTTGATCTCCTTGACGGCTTTTGCAATCTCTTCATCAATCTTCTTCTCTGCATCTGTCATCTCAACATCCATAGGCACATCATAAACGTCTCTCTCTGATAAGATAATGTTCTTTTCGTCGACATTCACATCCACACCAATACTCAAAATAGTCGATGTTGCCAGAAGATATCTCTCGTCAATCTTGAAAAATGGTACTCCGCTAACTGACTTTGGTCCAGCACAGAGAGCGAGATTGTCTTCCAGCGCCTTCAAATAGACTACTCTTCGAGATGCAAAAACCCCTTCCAGAACAACGACAACCATTCCCTTGCTCAAGTCGCTTCTCCTAGCCCTTGGCTTGCGGGCTGTTTTTGCTTTGTACTTCTCAACAAATTGTGGAATATCGTCCGGCATGTACAATCCTGCTTCATCCGGTATGACTCTAACTTCTTTAATAGACTGAAATTACTTCAAGGTCCACTTACCATTTTGAGGGATAAATTTTTTCCTCTTTTGTCTAGTTTCCCAGTTCGTTGGGAAGGGCTGGAAGCTATTTTCTTCATCTCAGTCAAATACCTCGAACTCCAGTTCGTCTTCATCCTCCTCGTTAGGATGGAAATCTAACTCATATCGAAACCTAAGGAGATTTAAAAGAGCCTTGGTGTGAAATCCCATTCTGAAGCTCGGCTTGCCAACCAGATACCATGACTTGTTTCTCTCAACCTCGTGAACAACATTTTCTGCCTCAAAGACTTGAAAAGTTCTACCCGATTTCCGGCTGTCATATATCTGGTATCTAAAGTTGCTCTGGTCCTCTTTAGGGTCGAAGCCGAATTTTGCCCAGCATCCTCTCCAGGGTCCCGAATCAATAAAGTATGCATGCAGAGGCAGAAACTTCTTTATTTTCCAGTCGCTGAATCCCATTTCTGCAACTCTTTCATCTGCCCTGAACATCTTTATGATGTTAGATATCCTTAGAATTGGATGCAGGGAAAATAAACGGTTGAATAAATCTTCCTGTAACCTCATCGCATCTACTCCGTGGAGTTTCTTCAGTCTTTCAAGCAAACCAGGGGCTGGACACAAAGGAACTTCGTCTTCGTATCCCACATGAACTGTATCTCCGGTTTTGTCTTTTCCTCCCTTGAAGTCCTTGAAATTATAATTTTCAAAGCTTTCAACTGTGGATATAATCGGAACCGGGTACATGGGGATTTCATTGTCCCCATATGACTTATCAAACATCTCGGCAATCTCCATGCACTGGCTCATGTCCCCATAAACCATTTTTGAGTAAATTTCAGAATAAAATTCCTTCGTTTGCTTGGGAACAGGAAGATAGAAGTCTGCTGGTGTTGTGAAGGAATATATGTTCTCTGTGTATCCAATTATATTACACTTATCCCCAGATATTTCCAAGTGGAAATATCCTTTAGGGCTTTTATCCTTCGTTGCAACCACCTTCTTGGCATCAGGCCTATCGCAGATCCTCATCTCATACCCCGCTTCTGTTTTTACAAGAGGGAGTACGCACCTCTCGGCCTTGAACGGGCACTCAACCATGTCAAAGTCTTTTATCATGGGCTGTTTACAATATTTCATCACTTGAAGTTTATTTCTAATATTCTTCCATCAAGAGATATTTGGAAGGACCCTCCTTTCTGTTCTTCATTACTACAACACCAAACATTATTTCAGCCGATATTACATTTTATCTTACCTTGCCGGAATGCAAACGCAACTAACCATCCCAGAAAACCATCTAGGTCCTTCATCCTATAGAAGTAGGTCTCTCCATTAGCCTTCAATGCAAAGTCAAGAGTGGTCATCTTGATTTCTGTCTTTACAAGATTCTTCTTAAGGGAAATCAGAAAGTGGCTCTTGGCCGGTGTAATTCTCATTATCTTTGTGTCCTCCGAAATATCAATCAGGTCTTCATCAGTCCCGCATCCCCATTTTACACATCCTATGCAAACAGGGTGCTTTACAAGATACACCCCCGCATTAAGAAGGTCTATAGTGTACTTTCTCTTAAAGAAAAAATCCTCGTCTTCGGGATTCTTGAAATCCCACTCCTTCTCGTAGGGGAAGTCCTCGGATGTTGTTTTGGTCCCTTTTCCGTTATAGCATGTAAAGAAGTTCTTTTTCAACGTGAACCAATTGTATTGGTACTTTCCATTCTTTCCTTTCTTGTAGATTTTCCCCATCAGATTCTTGTACTTAAGGTCGTTTAGTTTCATAACCTTTTCTATTCTTAGGTACCTCTCTTCCTGGTCCACAACAAACTTACGCAGCTGCATATCTGCATTGCACAGTAGATCTTTTCCTGTTGCTCTTCTCTCAGCCTCCTTTATGACCTTAAATGCCTTTTCTTTTGCTGCAATATCTGAGCTTGATTCGCTTCCTGATTCCCATCCAGAAGAGACATAGTCATTGAATACTATGGTTTCCTTTCCTCCTTCTCTTTCTCTCTCACCCTTTATTATGTTTCTTTTTTCTCTAATATCCTTTCCATTCTCCTTCCTTATATGAATTCTAGATTCAACATACACTTTATTTATCTTGATGTCGTTAAGCAAGTTTTCCTTTATGGCCAATCCTGGAATCGAGCGGAATGCCTCGATAATTTTCTTTTGGGATTCTGCATTTCTTACCAGCTCCTCCTTGTGTATAGATAATCTTTCAAATTCTAAAGCCTTTTCAAGTGATATAGGGTCTGTGAGATTTCGAAGTTCTGAGAGATCAACAGTGGAACCTTGGAGTATTCCTTGGGAAGGGCCGTCTAAACCCTCATTCTCTTTCCCTAATTCCTGTGCAACTGACTTTCCTTCTTCTCTTCCATAAGAATCTTCCGGCACATCCATGCCATAACTATTTAGGAAATTGCATATCATTTGAGACTCCAGATACTCTGATTCCTCCTCCTTCTCTTGGAAAGGATTACATTTTCCCGGATCCTCCGAACCCCAGGGACTCTGGGCCATTTTCTTAGAGGAGTCCATCCCTGCATATTCGTCAATAATACGTTCCTCAATAAAGTTCGTATCATAATGTTCCAGTATCGACAGAAGCATCTCTGTGGATTGGCTTTCCAAACCCTGATTGTAAGAACCCTTGTCTTTCATCGGATTTCTGTGGAACCCACTATGTTTTATATCGAAGCTAAAGCCCCTTTTCTCCTTTTATGTAGTCCTCTCTTGACATCTCAAATAATAAGTTTATTCCTCTAAGTAAAATAATATGGTTTGTTGCACAGAAATGTCAATCAATTCTAGATTCGTTTTCCAAAAACCTTGTCTTACTCACCTTAGAAAGTAACTCCGGAGCAGAAGCGGCAGCGTGCATTATGATTATTCAGGATGTTGGACAACGAATCAAGTGTCTGGGATGTTTGTTCATTCTCCCTTGTACATCCATGGCTGTCTATTTTGCCATCTCCCTCAATAAAATCCTCGCTCGACGAGCTATATTCATCCACATCTTGGCTATTGGCTTTACTGTCAGGAGCGGAAATGCATTCTTTTAAAGACTCCTCCAGTCCAAAGGAAGGACCAAGTAACATCTTCAAATATAACACAATTAATCCAATACCGATAAGTTTATAGACTGTATTTTTCTGTATCAACACTAGGCATATTAGGGTAATCAGTCCATACATGCATGGATAAACGATCCCTAGCATTGCTAATCCCAGTTTGGCTGCAAACATCATATTCGAAGACGAAAATACAGATAAAAATATAAACGGCTTCAAGCCAAATCTCGTTTTCATTTGAGTGGGATTACCATCAAGATATTTGTCCTAGGAAAAATTAATAAATTAAATCTTTAAGTAGTTTAACTATCAGACTCATCTCCCATTAGATGTTTGTATATACTTGATGCAATCATAGGATGCCTACAAACAATTTTGTAAATCATCATGGTCTTCTCCATCAGCATGTAGATCGAATCTTCTCCTTTACTATAGGCTAACTTCATCTGGCTCTTCTCGAGGTCTTTGAAAATAATATTTCCTCCTTCTCTCATATTAATGTAATTCAGGCCACTTCTTGAAAATCCTCGAAGGACAAGATTTCCAAAGAAGTTGTATTTTCCATCGTCATAGTATTTGCATTTGATGGTCTCTCTAACTACATACCTGTTTTCAGAGCGTTCCTCCTCTTCAGAACTGTCTTCAAAGAAATCAGGGTTTTTCACATACGTTAGAGCATTGGGGTCTTTTCTCAACGCCGTTATGGCCTCAAAAACCTTCCTATTGTGATTTCCTATGTCCTCTCTCCTCGACATGGAAAACGACATTCCAGGCCCCTTCCTAAACTTCAACGGCTTGCTAAATGGAAACTCGGCCATCTTTTCCATCCTCTTGAATGTTTCCAGAGAATTCATGAACTCGTCGTTGTCCCTGCGTTTGGGCACTCCACTCCAAAATACCTTGTCAGGAACTTGTATATTTCCCCTTGAGAGCATTTGTGCTGACTGTTGTTTCTATCCCCGGGCACCCTTTCCTCTTCAAAAGGCCCGAAGTCGTACAGTGAAAAACTAAACATACCAACGCCTTCGCCTTTTGGATCTCCAGTTGAATCATCAGATCTTTTGATAAAGGCTAAAAACTTCTTGTATTGGGAAAACAGCGGCGATAAGCTTGCTTCATGATCCTTCAATGCCATGCACGAAATAAGAAACGATCTGTTGAGAGCCGTGTATCTATCGTCGGCATCTTCGTCCTTTAGGATATCTACGTTCCCTATCAGTCTCTCCACATCGTCAGAGCACATGCTCTCAAAATCTATTTTTGTTCTTTTTCTGTAGAATGTTTCTTTCCTTGGCCTTCGGCTTTCGACCTTACCACCTACTTCAGAGACTTCTTCAAACACTTCACTCTTTTCGTCTCTGGCTTTAGTCATGCCGGGGTATCGTTAAATGTTTGGGAATGCAAAGAAGAATATAGCCATACTTAAACTACAGTACCCTGTTTGATCCAAAGGCCTTTTCAAAACATCACCTAACTGAAGTATTATGTGTGGTAAAATTTAAGATTTAATTCGGAAGTTATGTATCAAGAGATGAAACTGTTTCTGTATTAGAATTATAATATAAGGGAAAGCTCTACTAGCTTTATATTTAATGAAAGTAATTTCTTTTGGATGCATAATCAGTACAGCCTTTGCCTTTATGATTACCTCGGAGAATGACGAAAAAAAATTCGTTTCCAACAGTAGTGGAAAAGCTGTCATGACCACTACAGGAAAGCCAGCGGAATTCACCTCTACTGAAGTATCTCCTGGAGTTGATATTATTACAGATAAAAGCACTGGTAAGGTTTTGGATATGCAAGGAGGAGGTTCAAATGTAATATTCTGGGGTAAACATGGAGGAGCAAATCAAAGGTTTTCCATTGTTAAAAATAATGAAGGAGGCTATTACATCAAAAGTGAAAATAAGTGTCTAGAGTACGACGCTTCAGGAAAAATGTACCGAACCACCTGTTCCAACAAATCTGAGCAGAGGTTTAGTATTATCTACACACCAGGAGAACCCCAATACAAACCACCCGTCGAAGTTCCTGTTGAGGTTCCTGTTCCGGTTGAAAATCCAGCACCCCCTCAGCCCCAAATACTTATATTTAACACTGGGAAACCGTCTAGCTCCAAATCACATGATAATCATCATCGCTCCCAATCTTCTGAAGATTCTTCTTTGTTGTATGATAGTGGCCTTATTGGATAAATAAAATTTCAAGTGTTTTACAAAATCTTTTATTCTCAATTTGATTTATTAGAAGCGTTACAGCATGCGAGATCTGTTTTGGATTAGGTTTATAAGGAAAAATGCTATTCCGATTCCATGAAAAGTATATTTGTAGTATTTCAGCTTGTAAAGGTTATTTCTGGATTTACAATCTTTACAAAGGATGGACAGAGGAAACATTTAGTAAAGGGGGGAATATGGCGTAGTCCAGATTACAACCTAGACTATCAACTAGCAGCCATGTCTGCATCTGGAACACCGGTTGAATTTAAGACCGAAAACTTATCCTCTGGAATCAAGGTCATAAAAGTAAGTGGATCCAACGATGTTCTAGACCTCCATAATCCAAGAAGTGGGCAATCAAAACTTATTTTTCATGGGCGGAATAATGGAAGCACGCAGAAGTTCAGTATTGAAGGAAGTGAAGGCACCGGTTTTACCATTAAGAATGGCACCAAATGCTTGGAGTATGATGCCAGTGGAAATATATATGGAACCACTTGCTCATCAAGCGCCCAACAGACATTTGATATTGTCTATTCACCCGACGATCCCGAGTATAAGCCTCCTTCTCCAGTTGCTGAAGTAAAGGCTTCGAGTGCAGAAGATATTATTGCCGAGCTCAATGCCGGAAATCCAAATCCTCAGGCTCCCCAAATATTCATATTCAACGAAAAGTCCGAGAAAAAGCGAAAGAATAGCCATTCATCCGATTCTGACTCTAATTCCGATTTTTCTCCAAGAAGAAGGCATCACCACCATCACTACTCTCTCCATGAATCGCCATATTTCACCTATTAGAAGTATCCTGAACAGATTATTGTGTAAATTAAATGTCTTCTAGTCTTTTAGGTTCGATCTGTGTGTTCTTGGATTAATAGAGGAGGACATAAGTCAAAAACATTCCTTAAAAGAGCCCTGATGTCTGGGGATGAAGTGCTCGACAAGTCTCTTGTAAACAAGTTCTTTAAGTATGCAAGAATGCAATCCAACAACAAAAGATGTGCGGACTGCAGCAACTCATCCCCTATATGGGTGACTGTGACCTATGGATTCTTCATATGCACAGAATGCGCTGCAAAACATAGGGAGCTTGGAGTTGGGATAACCAAGGTGAAATCTACTATTCTGGATACATGGAGTCTTTCCGAGCTTCGAAGAGTGTATGTGTCTGGAAACTCCAATGCTCCGAAGCTTGGAAAAGACACAGACCTTCGAGCCAAGTACACAAAAGCCAAATGGTATTCCGATGCTGTTAGTGAGCTGTCTGAGAAAAACAAGGAGGATGAGCCAGGGATCTCTTTCATTGAAAATCTGACCAAGAGAAGCGAAAGGGCTTTAGAGCCTCGGAAGGTAGAGGAGAAGAAAATGCCTAAGTTTTCGGACTCCAATGCAAAGTATGTGGAAGAAAAGAACACAATGAGCGAGAAACAGCCAGACCTCCCAAGGGAACCTAGAGATAAGATAAACAAACCTGTAGCCATCAGGAAAAACTCGTTTCCGTCTCTCCAGACCTCCCAAACAGAGGGATTCAACGTCGAGGATAGAGGGTCGGATGTCAGGAAGCTTGGTTTTGGAGCATTGAAGGTGCAGAAGCGTAGCGAGGACAACTTTTCTTCCGAGCAAGGGGATGTTTCCAAAATGTAAGAGATCTTGTTGACAGAGTAAATATTTGAAGATTCATAGAGCACAGATCAATTTATTGTTGACATCTACTTAGCCTTGACTGCTGTTCATGTATCTACACATGAAATCAGACGAAATAAAGAGCCAAATGCCCACTTGAAAAATCCTTTTCTTTGCTTCATCTCTATTTGACCGGAGAGAATTTCCCCAGGCATGGTGCCGAATTCGTCGTACATTTTTTTCAGCTCTATCCATTGAAGACTAACGTCATAGTCCAGGACTTGTAGGATTAGTTTCTCTGTAGCGTTTATTTGGTCGATCCCGTGATGGCATATTTCGATCCATGAGAAGTTGGTGTACGAAAGATCCATGTATATTTTTGACGATATTATTATACATCCGATAAATAGGAGATATTCATTCCCAAGCATTTTCTCCAACTCTCTTCCTCTCCTGTTGGACGCAAATTTATTCACATCCCATGAAGATCTTTTGTTCATTCTTTCGATGTGGTTTGGCAGATCTCTTTTCATCTTGTCAAAAAGACTCTTTGCGGTCAAAATTGTGTATAGGTTTGTATGACTTTTTTTCAAGCTCTTACATATTCTATGTCTGGTATATCCGTCGTGTATGCTTGTTCCAAGAAATTGTCTGAATCTCGACAGTGTTGTATCGTTCATCGGCATGTGTTCTCTGTAATCCATGCTCATGAGCCTTGGACTCAACATCTATTCCTTATCATTTGTTTTAAAGGAGGCAACTCTCCCCATTTGTGTCTCAACCTAGAATCTTAGGTTTCAGAGACGTAACCAACCATCTCTATTCCGGAAATCTGTTACAAAACATAAACTCTAACGATGTTTATTGCCAATTTTTAATCAAACAACACCCCTCTGTATTTGCGATGGCTAGTGTCTGTGTCTTTTCTGTCTTTTCTTCATCTGTTTTCTCTTAAACGACTTCTTTCCAAAATGCTTACCTTTATTTTTCCTTCTGGTTTCTTTTCTGCTTAACATAGGTGCAATGAATTCTTCTCCCTCGATGTCGTCCGAATCCAGCTCTCTATCTCTGGATTTCTTCTTCAATCTCATCTCACTATGCCTCTTGATCATCTTCTCTGCTTTTCGTTGTCTATCCTTTTCTCCCTCCTCGATTTCCTTTCGAGACCTCATCAGCTCTCCATCATACCCTTCTTCAACCATCTTGAATTCTAAAGTACGCAGATGCTTGGTTGCTACCTTCACAAACAACTTCTCTCTCAATATGGCATCGTCAGCATTTTCAAGATCAATTTTTTCCATGAAGGGTACCACAAAAATCTTGTTAACGAAGATTTCCATTTTTAATTTTCTTACAGCTTGAAAGACTCTGTTCTTTCATAGTATATTCTTCCATCCTGCTCGATGTCCTTAACAAAGTCTTCCGAGAGAACTCCTTCAACAACCATTGCATAGAGTCCTTTTTTGAACTCTCCTATTCTTTGCCACTTTCCAACCCAACTGTTGGAAGGCTGTAGAAGTGCTACAACACCTCTGAAGTTGCTTGTGGTGCATTCATTGACATTCGAAAGGTTTCCCTTCATCTCAAGCATTGGGCAGTTTTCACATCCATCTTTTCTAAACCCATTCAAGGTCTTTATCTGAGAGCATCCCAGACATGCACGGAGCTTTCCGCTTAGAGTTCCTTTAAACTTCTCTTCCATATACCCCTATATAAAATGGGATTTATCTTTATTGGTGAAAACTAGCGCTTGCTCCTATCCCATAGTGGACAAATTTATCTTAAAGTTTTCCCACATTACCCTTATGGATATAGAGAAAAAGATTTCCTCGATGATCAAATTAGCAGGGAAAAAATTAGAAGATTTCCGATACATGGCATCTATAGCCCTAAACTTCCTGGAATGCTTCCTATATTCATTCGTAGGAATCATTTGTTTAATACATTCTTATGATCCTATAAAAAGTGAATTGTTCAAGTATGTTTCATGTATCTTGATTGCAATGGGAGTAGTAGATGGGCTTCACAAAATTCCTACAACCTACCTAATAAAGACAAGAAAGAAAGCATCCGAATCAAGAATAATCAGATGGTTAGAGAGGTTTCGTAGAGCTTTGATTGGGAACAAGATAAATGAAGTTATAGATTTCTTTGGAATTTTTCTGATGATTTTTGCAATTTCTGTCATGATATCTTCGATCTGGATAAACATAACTTCACTTCCTAGCGATAATCAGGACTTCGGGGCCATCGCCAAAAGTTTGTTCTGCTCTTCAGGATTATACAGTCTTCTATCTCTCCTGTATTCCCTTTATAATCTCTTTCGGCAGGGATATGAGTATATTGTCGGCTTCCAAAGGCGTGAAACATACTCAAACAGTGCAGGCGTTGTGATCATATTTGAAGATTCAGGAAAGGAACTACATGGAGCAGATAAGGAACCGTTTTCTAAAATGCCTGTAATTACTCTTCCGGAGGTAGTTTTTATGTTAATTTTTATTATTTGGGGATTCATTCGAGGAGGATCCAGCTACATGAAGAAAACCCTTACACCCACTTTTGTTATACTTAGAGTGTCAACCACCATATTGCAATACATGGTGCCATTTTTCCGGTATTCTGGAAACAAAAACCTAACTTTGTTTCCTATTATTTTTATATCTCTCCTATCATTTTCCTCATATATTTCTGGGCCAAACAAGGATGAGATCAAAAAGTTACTAACCTCCACCTCCTCTAGCGCTACTACTACCACTAGCTGATGGTAGGTTCTAAATCATCTGTTATTAGAAGGGCTTCCCTATACCGTCTAATGTGATGAGGAAGGATGCGAAGTAGGCGATTCCAAGATTATAGCTGTAACAAGGTGTAGATCTGGAAGTATAAGGTATGGTTCTTATAGTATAATACACAGGATAAGATATTTTTGTTTTTAAAATTTTTCTTACCCCCTGAAAAGAATGGAGGAAGACGAAGTAAACTCTGGGAATATCTTGATTGAGTACCAGCTCAAGTATTGCTCGCAGATACTGACCAGGCTTAAGCGGAATTCGAATGCACCTCCATTTCTAGAGCCTGTGGATCCTGTGAAGCTGGGGATTCCTGATTATCCGGAAAAGATAAAGCATCCCATGGATTTGTCTACTATTAGAAAGAAATTGGATCACAAGGAATATGAAGGAGTGGAGGGCTTTGATGGAGATATGAAGCTGATGTTCAACAACTGCTATACATATAATCCTCCTGGAACTGTTGTCCACGACATGGGAAAGGCACTTGAGACGGTGTATAACGGGCTGATGGAGGGAATGCCCCAGGAAGTCCCCAAGAAGCGGAAGAAGACAGAGACACCTGTTTCAGGAAGGCCGAAACAACCAAAAAGGAGTGTAAAGCCAGTTGATGGAGGGATGAAGACGGAGGACTATGAGTTCTGTTCGGAGGTGCTTGCAGATCTAATGAGGCCTAAGCACAAGGCATACAACTGGCCATTTCTAGAGCCTGTTGATGCAGAACTTGTTCCTGGATACTATTCTATAATTAAGGAGCCCATGGATATGCAGACTATAAGAATCAAGCTGGAACAAAGAAAATACCAGAGTACAGATGAGTTTGAAAGGGATCTTGAGCTTATTGTGGAGAATTGTAAGAAATTCAATGCGCCTGGGACGGAGGTATATGAATGTGGGCAAGAGTTTGAAAAGGCAGTGAAGGCTCATATGCAGAAATCTCCACCTGGCGACATCAAGGGCAGGATATCTGAGTTGAAACGAAAGATCATGTCCTACACTCGGGAGATTAGGATGCTTGAATCGAAGCTAGCTGAGCAGACTGGAGAGACGTCTGCAAGCAGAGCTTACTCGTTGAGTGAGAGGGTTAGTATTGGAAATGCTATATTGAACATGAGTAAGGACCAAACCGAAAGCGTTGCAAAGATAGTTCTGAAGAATGGAGCCGGGGAGTTTGTGGAGAACGATGAGATCGAAGTGGACATGAGAACGATTCCGGACCATGTTGTAGAGGAAATAGATATGTACATCAAGAGTATTAATGTTGGAGAGGATGTGCGAGATGAGTAGCTTTCTGTAACCTTTGATGGAGGTGATATAAATTAATAAAGTATTTTGTCTCCTCGGTTGATTTTGCAAACGTCATTTAGGGGCCTCCCTTAAGAAGAGAGCTGAGGTGGAGTATTTAGGCAAAAAACAAAGACCCCTTATAACCTAACGCAGAGATGAAGAATGTATGCCGCTTCTTCATTGAGGGAAAGTGTAAGTTTGGGTCGAAGTGTAAGTATGACCACGTTCGGTACACTTCTTTGGTAGATCCGCCTCAATGGATTTATTCCTCTTACAGAGGGCTTGATCTGATGGAGATTTCGCCGGAAGAGGTGCGGTTCGCGCTGATGTGCGGAGACATGAAAGAGGTTCTTGATAATTTCTGGATAGGGAATTATATGACTCTGTGTGCGGAAATGGATTTTCTCGAAAGTGATGCCCGAATTGAGTCGGTGTCCAATAGATATGTGGATCCTAGAGAAAATCCTGATGTCTTTATGTCACCGTTTGATGTAAGCAGGGTGCTGAACACGATAAGGCAGATGAGGGAGCAAGGGGCGGGATCTTTGCAGAAAGATTCTCGGAGAGGCGATGGTAATTGGACAGGAGTATCTTCTGGATCTCCACGGCAGTACTCTACTGGGGACAGGGGATATAGAGACAAAGGGCACGGATGGGGCTCTGGAGAGCCTAACACCAGGGCAGGATGGGCTCAAGGAAGCAAGGCTGGAGATAGAGGGAGCTATGGAGGGCATAAGGGGGGATATGGAGAAAGAGACCCACGAGGATTTGTAAGAGAGCCTCCCTATCCTAAGGGAAAGGACAGTGAGTATAGACAGAAGAATGAATGGGGATATGGAAAGAATATAAACAGAAAATATTCCAAACCAGAAGACGAGTTTGATATCCAAGATAGTCCATCTTCGTTTACAGGAGCTTATGGCAGGACAGTACAAAAGACAGGGGATGGGGCATGGATCCATAGCTCTGAAGCATTGGGTGATAGACAGATTGGAGGTAGAGGCTCGGGAGATGAGGAGTTTATCGAAGAGGATTTTGAGTATGGAAAGGTTCCTTACAGCTATAGAAAGCCTAACAGGTGATGTTATCAGGCCATTAAAGTTATTGTGCGTTTGTTCAAAGTTGTATCGACAGAAAATTTTGCTAATTCCCTGGTGGCGCTAGGATGGTTATTTCGTTACCAAATGAATTAGCCCTGAGTAACCTAGGATGACCTATTTAAAGAAGATATACATGCTGAAGCGTGAAAGAGAAGAGGCAATGTTTAGCTCTCCCAAGACACCTTCGAAAAGGATTCCATATAAAGATATGTTTATACCGTCAATGCCTTTCGTAACAGATGTCCAAGACTCTTCCCTAACTACCGACGATCCAGCCTCGTGTGATGTATTTGGATGCACAGACAAGGACACAGGTTCTGACACAGGCAAAGAAAGCACGTGCAACTTTATTTGTAAAACCGGAGAGGGGGCATTTTACGAAGTGTTTGTAAATCAGAGGGATGGGCGAGGAGAAGCAAATCATCATTTGGAGGAGCCGGTGATGCTTTACAAAAGTAGAAAACTCTGTGTGTACGATACCGACTACACGATTGTAAAGAAAAGCAAGAAAAGGATTTCCGGAGAGCTTGATAGAAAAAACAGAATGAGGGAGATAGAGATGCTGAAGGGAATCGAGTCGGAATACGTGGTCAAGTACTATGACTTCTGGGAGAGCAGGGGATATCTATTTATAGAGTTAGAGTATTGTAATATTGGGACTCTAAGGGATTATATTCATGAGGTATATTTTCTCAGAAAGTCCAAGTTTTCTCCCGGGATAACAAAGAAGATGATGTACGAGCTAGCAAGCGGATTGGAAGTGATTCATTCATGTGGAATAGTGCATCTCGACCTAAAGCCAGAGAATATCCTGATGAAGAGTGTTATTTCGAGGGAGAAGTGCCCGGAAAGATGCCAATGTATGTTTCCCACGGATCCTGGGTCGTTTGTATTCAAGATCTCCGACTTCAACATAAGCAGATACGAAGGAGAAGACATAGATGACGATGGAGACAAGCGGTATATGGCACCGGAGGTGCTGCAGGATGTATGTACAAAAGCTAGTGATATATATAGTCTTGGATTGATATACTTGGAAGTTATTGCCGAGATCATTCTTCCGAAGAGCGGAGACAACTGGATGAGGCTTCGAAGAAACGACTTTCGAGGAGTCAAACTTGACCGAGTATGCAAGCTGATGCTTGACATGAACTACAAAAAGAGGCTCAATGCTAAGGAAGTCATAGATATGTTTACTTAGATCTTGGTTTGGAAGATTCCTCTCTTGATAAAGCTTTTCAGTGTTTAGTTTTTCTAAAGTTTTGTGTCTGGGCGACCCTCTGCCCACGATGTTCACACCGCTGAACCAAAAGAAGCTGGTGAATGTTAGTGTCATTGCTCTTAGAAAGTTTGGGAGGAAGTATGAACTAGGAGTTTACCCCAACAAGCTTTACGAATATAGAAATGGAATGGCAACACCTTTGAGCGAGATTCTTCTTACGGATACGATTTATCGGAGTGTGTCAAAGGGAGAGATAGCTAAGCAAGCGGATCTGGACTTATTTAATAAGACGCACGAAGAGATAGTTCTTGAAATATTGAATAGTGGACACGAACAGAAGAGTGAAGTGACTAGGGCTTACGAGCAAGAAAAGACGGAGCGGGAGATTATTGAGTTTCTTCGGAACAAAGTGACTAGAGGGGGAAGGCATCTTAATGAGGCTTCTTTGAGGGAGGCGATAAACAAAGTGCACAACATATACATCGGAAATAGTAAGAAGCAGTCCCAAGAGATACTGAGCAAGCTGGAGAAGATAGGATTTGAAAGGGTTGGAATAAGAGTCAGTGTTGGAGGAAATGATAAGATTATGGAGTTTGCTAGGAGGAATGGAGAAGTGCATGATGGCTACGTGATTATAAGAAGCGAGTGCTTCCCTAAGTTCAAGGAAATATGTGAAGAAGAGAAGGTAAGATATTTGATATTAAGAAGAGAAGAGCCCGAAGATGAAGAGATATGCTAGTTATGTTTTATTGTGAGAAGGAAAAGCCCATCAAATTTGGAATTGATGGGGAATAGTTCGATGTATCCTGACGTGGACCAGAAGCGATTCCATAACATTCTCCAAAGATCTTTAACACAGTTCAAGCTTAAAAAGCCAATGATTACAAATTACATGATCTACCACTTGGACTATCTTGTGTTTAACTTCTGCTATTTCCGAGACATTGCTCTTGTTAGCGAATGCTTATGCACAGAAAATAGCCGATTCAACTTTGCGTTCTATCAGAAGATGAGTGTTTTCATACGGATAATTGACTTTGGAAGCAATGGCTCTGGTGGGGACGAGGGGAATAGAGGAGATCTCTCAATTGAAGATGCCTCGAGCCGTTCCTTGGGATGCTCTTCCGAATGCGTGTATCCTATGACGAAAGAGGAATGGATAAGAAGAAGCAAGGATGCTTTATTTGGATCTGTTGGAGAATTCCGGGAAAACACTTCGGATACAGAAGATTCAGATGATAGAACAAAGACAAGGGAAATTCTCAGAAATTTCGAAATCAGCGAATACTTCGGAGATGAGGAAGATTTGGAATATTTTGTTTTCAACTCCACGTCAAAGGTTCTTGCATACTTTTTTGAGGTTCTAGCTTTTCACTTTCGGATCCATCCCCATTACATGACAGAGGCTCTTGATGGTCGCTTTGTCAACTCCTTTCTGGGTTTACTTTGGTTTGAACCGGCATTGAATCTCTTTTCGATTCTGCTTGGGCTGAAGGGCCTTAACATGCAGAAGCTGGCCATGCTGCTGAAGGACTCACGTCCTGTGTCTGTCCTTATCGAAAGAAAGTGTTATGTTGCATTAAAGATGTTGCTTCTTGCAGACTGGATAGGCGACGACAGCGGGTCGATGTCCAGCGATGAAGAAGATTTCTTCCACGACGAGATAGTGTCTGGGGGAGAAAAGCTCATTTCTATGTTCCTTAAAGAGGAGTCGTATTCGGAATTCAAGCAAATATACGACATAATTGAGATCCTAAATTGTTCTCGGAGATGCCCTAAGCTAGAAGTTCCCGAATTCAAAAGAGTGGACTCCAAGCTAGTCCTCTACATAAGACTAATGGTGGGACAGCTGGATCTCCTTATGGATGAGATATTCCAAAAAGAAGTTTATTTCACACTTATAGACCTGTTCTTTGGAAACCCGGATCATATACCTCTCTTGATTTCCCTTACAATATTTCTCTCATCAGCAATCAAAGACCAGTCCAAGTTCTCTATGCTTATAGATGCTGGGTTTTTAGATAGATTTCATGATGCCTGCATCAAGCTTATCTCCATTGATAAGGGCCCTCGCCCGGCTATAGAGTCCATATTCTCCTGCCTTGTGTACATCTATCCCCTTGTCACATTCTACCTTGCAAAGTTGAACAAGGAACTCCTCGACACAGACAAGTGGGTATATCTTTCTTCCATGATGGGTCCCTATTGTAAGATAGAAAAGCTTAGCTATTCCAACGACGAAGGCATAGAATTGTTTCTTAATGACTGTGCAGATGAAAGCTTTGCTAGATACATATGCCACCTTATTGTCGATGGAATGCCGGTACCTTCTGTGTTCCTTGAGAAGAAATAATCGATGTCCTACTATCTTCCCAGGCGGTGGATAAGCACGAGATTTACTTATCAAATAAATCTAATTCAAGAAATTCAATAATCTCTCTAACCATGCTTTCGTCCATGAGCTTCTCCAGACATTCAATTGTGTCTCGCACACGCAACGACTGTGCTTCTTTCTCAAGCTTGGCATAATGTAATGCCTTCTCTTTCTTTCTGTACCTCAAATAGGACTCTTTTACTTCGTTCAGGACAAGTATGTTTTGCCCATCTTTTAAGTGTTTCTCGAGATCGCCAATCGTTTCTTTCCCATATGTTCTTTTCAAGCTCTCCAATCCATGTTCTATGTTTCCATTTCTTATCTCTTCAAATATACCTTCTAGCTCGGAGTATCTCCCTTTTGGTTTCCGAAAACCCTTTTTAGGGAGTAGCATATCCTCTTCTGCTCTGGCTCTAAGTTTTCCTATTACACATTCCTTTTGGCAGCAATGTTTCATTTTCTTTCCATGGTAAATATTTTTCTCTACAACTTCGTACTCCCCTCTACTTAGCACCTTCTTCGCTATACGTAATACTTTACTGTCCACATAATCACATCCCTCTCCTTCGACTCCTTCAAATACCTTCAGTTTGTTTTCAAGACTCTCTATTGCCTTGATGAAAATCTCCTCATCCAAGTACCTTACATAATCCAGCATATATACAGACCTAGTCTTGGCAGAAATCAGCGAGTCAAGATATATTTCCGAGCCGTGGGAATCGTTGATCTTTCTCATTAACTCCACTGCCCGCTCTAACTCTCCAGAGTATATATAACCCATTGACAGGAGTAGAGGCTCATCGCAGTGCATGTCGAGCCTCCCAAGGAAATCAAAATCCTTGAGCACAAAAGAATGTGCCAGTATCCGGATGAGTGTAGACCTTCTATAATCCCCATCAATCCAGCATTCTTTTGCAATTCTAAAAGATGAACCGAAGTCTCCTAGAGTTAGAAGTCCTAGATACAAGAATCTCTTGGCCTTGATATTAGATGGAAACCTCTTCAGAAGATCTTTTAGAAAAGTAACAGATTCTTCGTATCTTCTTTGAAGATATAGAACATACCCTTTGTAGGGATAGATACTTATTCCAGATTCATATGACAAAGGGAAAGAATGGATTAGTTGAAGTGCTTCGCCGTAAAGACACAAATCTATCTTTCTAGAAATCTCTTTCTCGACCCTTTCCATATGGGCCCTGGCCTCGTGGAGCATAACAGCCGTGAATATTAAAAACCCAGATACTCAGAGAAGTTTATTTCAAAAAGTTATTAGTTCTTGCCCAGAGAGTCGAACACTTCCTTAACTTCATCAAGAGTGAATGTCTTAAATACATTCTTGTCCTTGTAATACACTCCTATGTCAATATCCTCAGGACCCACTTCTTTCCCCGCAAATTCCCTCACAGAGGACACACAGTTGACCATGTTGTCATCAAGACTCTCCAGCCTTCTCTTAACAAACTTCTTCGCTTCGCTATATCCCATCCCAGAAGAACATACATCTGCCGTTTGGTAAGACCCACTGGGATCTACCTGGTATAGTCTTGGAACCCCTTTCACAGGACCTGCAAATATCATAAGCGTTCCAAATGGACGGTATCCACTCTTCTGTGTGTACTCTTGCACAACGGAAGAGAAGTGTGCAGTAAATACATCTACATCAGGATATCTTCCATACACGTCGTAGTACTCTTCCGCTATCCGGCATCCCATGTTAACCTGTATTCTGCAGTCAGGTTGAAGCCCCGAATAAGTGCATCCTATTGTATCGCATATCTTGAACACCTTCTTAACCTCCTCCTTTATAGCAAGAGGAGGCACATCCTTAAAGGATATCAGAACAGCTCCATCTCCTGCGCTTGCTCCAATCGACAAACTCCCATTAATTGCAGCTCGGAGGGCATTGTCACACTGGCCTAGATTCCCTTCGTTGGAAAACAAAGTCACAGGCTTTTCACGACTGAAATCCATGGGTCCTTCCCAATCATTTTGTTTATCCTTGCTCTAGGGAATTGAAAAACAGGAAAAGCACACAGAAAGTTGTTGTTTTAATTGTTGGCAACTTGTTCGAGATTTTTCTTGAAGTTGTCAATGCTCCCTTTCTCTTTGACCACAGAAAAAGACCCTCCCCTTAGGATGATCTTCCCATTCTCGTTTAGAGAAGTAAATTCATCCCGTAACATGTTTGTGAATCCAAACTTCGAGCTAACCTGGATCTTCTGATGTCCAGGGAATTTGTTCTTTGCTCTCCTTAATGCTTCAATGGCCACATCTTTGAAAGTGTCCTTTGTTCTTATGCTGAGAATAGGCTGGTTAAAGACAACCCTTGCAGCCCTTCCATAAGGCTTTCCAAAGGATCCTCTCATTCCTGTCTGAAGTCTATCGGCTCCTGCACAGCTCAACATCTTATTGATCCTAAGAACATGAAACGGATAAACACGGACTCTCAGATGGAAGTTGTCCTTTCCTGCATGCTTTACCATATACTTGTTGGCACATATACGGGCTGCCTCCAATGCCTCTGCAGACAGGTTCTCTCTCTCATTTGAGATGCAGTTGACCAGTAGTGGAAATTCAAGGACTCCTGCTTTACGCCTTCCAAGGTCGAAAATCTGTATTTTGGAGTCCGGAACTCCTCTGTTAAACCTTGACTTCGGATATGCCTTCTTCGACAGATATCTGTAGCACCTTCCTGGCCTTCTTCCCATTTCGAGGGTTAAAATTTTTCCTAGCTTAAAATAGAAGCTTCTGGGCTAAAGGACTTGGCCTTCATTCCGATCCATCTACTTACCATTCTCTTTGCACTCTTCTTTTACTATCTCCAGAATTTTGTGCTGAAAGACATCGCAAAACACCCAGAGTGCTGTTTTAGAAACAAACCCATATCCAGAAAGAAGAAGGACTCTTCCAATCATTCTTCTAATCATCCACTTGATAGCAGGCCCTTGGTTTTCCTCGCCCTCCCAGACATTCGAGCCCATTGCAAACTCCGAATCCATTTTCACAGGAACCACTTCTATCTCGAAAGTACTCACCACCTCCCTCATCTTGAAAGCACAATCCCGATAGTACTTCTCCTGATTAAACTTGAGGCAGTTATCCCAAATCAAGTTAAGATCGGCCTTGAACTCCTCAAAGGACCTATACTTCCCTATTTTCTTCTGAACAATGCTTAAGTCCATCGGTTTCTTTATTACCTCGTAATAGTTCGGTGCGTCTTTCTTCAAAACCCTTCTTAAGAATATTTTCGACTGATCAAACGACTTGATAGCTGTGAGAATCCTCGTAAGCCTTCCAGGGAGGAAGAGCATCCGATCCAGAAACTTCCTCTTCTTTTCATTGGTCGATATCAAACCGAGGAGGAACATGTTCCACATCTTCTTAGCAGCCATGAGAAGCTCTCTAAAGGGCACTGCCTATTTTACCCTTTTCTCCAATACCCCAGATGTTTTATCGCCTGAAGGACGGCGAAAGAGTCTATACACTGAGTGAAGAAGACAGCTTCAGTGCTCATCCTGCAAAATTCACAATCGAAGATAAGTTCTCAAAGGAAAGAATAACAATCAAAAAGAGATTCAACATTCCGCCGTTTAACGACTTATGATACGAAATACCTCAACAGAAATTAAAGAAGATTCAATTTAATTGTCTCCCATCCTTCAATTATCCATAAAGATTGGAAGACTGCCCCATACCACCGCTGGTACTGTTTTCTTCATCTTCCTTTCCACTGCTCTTGGCTGAGTTCTTTTTATTGGATTCAGATAGCTTAGACTTGGATGATTCAGACAAATCTCCAACCTTTCCTCCCTTAGGAGAACCTCCAGCTCCGCCATTGCTTCCTCCAAACCATCCTCTCTTGGCACCGATGGCAAGAATAATTGTGATAACAACCACACATACAATAATTCCGATTATTGTGTTTCTCTTGGCTTTGTTGTTTCCACTGTCTCCAGAAGTGTTGTTTTCGTTTGCTGAGTCAGCCATATTGTTATACAGATGAGAATGCTTCTTTTATATTTATTCTGTAACACATGTAACCAATCCAGTACTTTCAGATCCAGACGTGTTTCATATCATAAACGTCGCCATTGGACTTTTTACTGTGTTTCACCCCTCACTAGATAAGGCCGAGCAAAAGTTATCCCTTGACAGTTATTTCAGGCTCCTTCTCCTCTTGATTTCCTGCTGTAAATCTTAGGTAGTCGATCTTACCTTTCAAATAAATCAGCTTTGAGAAATCAATGGCTCTCTCCTTCAGCTTTCTAATAAATAATCCGACATTCTTTATGCTCGAAACAATCTCTCTCATAGTCTCCAGTGCCTCGATCCGCAACGGCTGGTCAACAAATTCAAGGAGTATCTCCCCTAGCACCTCTTTGTCTTCATACGACAATGTTTTCAGCATTAGACCTCTGTCCTTTCTCAACAGAAACTCACTGATGTATGACAGATCCCTTCTCCATATTGCTTGCTTCAGTATACCATTCTTCCCGCCTTTTTCGTCCCCACCTCGAATCCCAGACTCTTCAGCCTTTTTTTCATAATATGAACTCATCCTAACTTGTTTGGGATTCTCTTTACTCTCGTCTCTCATCGACAGTATTCTCTTCTTAGTGCTCTTATAAGTCTTTCCGCTCTCAGAGTTGTCGTTGCCAACATCTTTTTCTTTCAAACTTCCGTCAAGCTTATTCTCCTCAAGACCATTCAGTTCCGACATTTACGGTTAAGATTTTTATTCAAAATATTTGTTCTATGGTGGGTCAGCATCTAGTAACATCTAGCTCAATATTCCTCACCAAAAAGTCTTCTATGCTTTTCTTCTCTACCCTTAGGACATCCAACTCAAGCAAATCACAGTAGTTTTCTTTACTTCCAAGAGATGGGACTGTCCTTCCAAAGTCTCCATTCACAAACTCCTTGATGTACATTCCAGCACTGGCTTCAAGAACAATCCGGTAATATATCCACCCTTCAACCTCTCTCTTTTCCGATTCGAGAATCCAAGCCTTCTTTATCCTGGCCAGATTGGCTCTTCTGTGTAGAACCCTCAGTGGTGTCCTCTGTTCCACTATGTAATAGTTTTGCAGGGCAAGCTCCTTTTTACAGCACAGAAATATAGAGTATGTTTTGTTTGATTGGTTCTCTCCCCCAAAGATCACGCTCTTGCATTCCTTCCTCACCACGCTCAGGTTTCTTATTTCGACTTCTTTATAAAGAGCCAGATTCAACCTCTCAAAGCTGAGGTTTCTTCGGGGGTTTTTTACAGAAAGGAGAAAGGGCCTTCCTTCAACCATTCGAACATCAAAGTCTTCTCTTCCTGCAGGAGTAAAGATAACATCATCTGCTAGAAAGAACTCCTTGACTTGGGACTTAAAATCCGACACGCTCCTATTGCATTTGAGTCGTCCTTCTACTACTAAAGGCGATTGTGTCATGTTTCTATCCATCTTTGTGTACTCTCCATAGATATATATTGGGCTATTCTGCACCGATATCTTCACGTCGTCCTCTACTCTCACCATTATCTCTGTGTAAGGAGAGTTCCAGTCTCCTTGTGGAAGCCTATTCTTTAATGCTGCCTTGTCTATCTTTCCTTTGCTTCCATCACTTACTGAATAGACCTTGTTTTCATACATTTCTCCTTGATTGGCACCCACCATGCTCTCCACCATGCAGAGAACATGTTCTTCGTTCATCCTGAGAGGCATGGGCATAATGAACCGACAGATACCATATTTATTTTGGCATATTTCCCCACTCATGGAAAAACAATTCAACCATGTGGAGAAGTATGGATACATAATATCTGAAATCAATGGGAAAAAGGAAGAGATGCTGAAGGAAGAAGATTACAATGCCCTTAAGAGGTGTGAGAGCCTGGAAGAAGTGGCAATCAAGCTGTCGAGGACATACCGTGGACTCTCGGAGGGAATTGCCTATACAAAGCCTGAGCTGAAGAAGAAGCTATTAGAAGCCTTAAAATCAGACTTCAATTATTACCACGATGCAGAGGATAAAGGTATAAGAACAATCCTCGATTACTACATGGACTTCCATAAGATACAGAACTTCTTTTATCTTCTTCAGTGTAAACTCCAAGATCCAAACCTTGAGAAAAGCTTCGAGAAGATAGAAATAGGAGACTTCAGTGCATTGAGAACAATCAAGTTTTCCAACGATATGGACGATGTCCAGAGATATTGCATAGAAAACAGCTTTCTAAGGAAATTTGAGAGAAAGGTCAAGTTCAAGAAGGAGTTTTCTGCAAACAACTTCCAAATTCTTCAGACATTGTTTTTCAAGTTCCATATTGAGGAGACATTTAGAAACCTTAATGACGACATGGACCATATGAGGGAGATACTGAAGCTTGAAGGAGACCGGCAGATAATAGAGATTACAGTAAACACGCTCAATTCAAAGGATGTAGTGGGAAAAAAGAGAATGAGATTATTTCCCGACGTTCATTCCATGAGTCTAAAGACTCGAGAGCTCTTGTCCCATGTTGAAAGTCTGGATGACATAAAATCCATCTTGAGCGAGACTTATGACTTTGACTCCGACATCTCGAATGTCCTTATAAAGGCCGAGCTTCAAAAGTACCAAGAGTCGTTTAGAATGTATGGAGACCTTAGCTGTGTGTATTCGTACTTCAAGATGAAGGAACAGGAAATAAAGAACATACTATGGGTTGCCGAATGCATTGTCCAGAATAGACGGGATGCAATGGACCATCTGTTTGTTGTCCGATGATTTTTTATTTGGTTGGGCAGCCCTTCAGAGAAATGAATCATTTGAAGTTTCTAACGATAGTGGACAGTAATGCGGTTAGAAGCTCGGATCTGAATCAGGAAACATCTAATTTATTGAAGGGGATTGTAAAGGAGATAAAGACCTGCCAGTCGGCAAGGAGGGGCTCAGACCTTGTATTTGTCCTCCCAGAGCCCAGAATAGTCCTTCCCAAGCAATACTTAAAAGAGCATGTTGAGACGAGATGGGAGAGATTCGCAAGGGCCAAGGGAATAAAAAGAAGAAAGAAAGGATCTCTTGTGTACGACGAGGAGATAGGAGAATATATTCCTCGATACGGGCCCCACAGCAAGAAAAATAGGATTCTGAAGGCAGCAGTGAAGGATGGAGAAATAACTGTGTCTGCACTTAGGAGACAAAGAAAGAACAATATCGAGAAAAATGAGGCTAACAGGCTTGCCAACATTTTTCGAAGAAGAGAAAATAGTTAGTCTAAAAACACGTTTATAATGGAGGCTTGGGAGCTCGAAGTTCCAAATAAATCTTGATTATCTTACAATGTGTGTCTTCCACTTTAGATAGGGGACCAGCGTATCCATCAGCCCGTTACGGAACATGTCTTTCAGCCTGGAAATCTTCATTTCGCTGGTTATATTGCCCTTGGCTCTGGTCAGTTCCTTTGTTGTTTTGCCTGTGAGTATAAGGAGTGTTAGCCAGCATGTAAATGCACTCGACATAGCAAGCAGATACTTGTGGATGGACATCATGTAAGCGAACTTCGTCGAACCTCTCAGAACTGCAGCCAGGGAATGAAGACTCATGAAGAAAACCGCCAAATACAGATCCTTGAGGTTATTGGATGCAACACATCTTCCTATTATTGGGCAATGGTGGTCTCGTTTATGATAGCATTTGTTACATATCTCGCAGTGGACTGTTTTTGTCCCCACTATCCTGTTGCATCTATTGCATATTCCTTTTACATTTGCATTTCCAAAGTCGAGGAGCTGTCCAGGAGACTTCGCCAGGCACCCCACGTAGTAGTAAAACGAAGTCAGAAGCAAATATATGCGGAACGATACACCAGAAACAATGGCAGCCTCGTAAAGTCCTAGAAGATACAAAAGGATAACAAAGGTTACAATAAGAAGCTCTATGTATGCCACAAGTTTATTTATCATCTTCCAGGCTTCCATAGCTCTCTCTTCCAGTTGCCTTTTAAACTTTTTTCTCCTTTTTGCAGACACTTCAATCAGCCCACGCCTACTTGAACCTATGTACAGAAGCCAAAGCTTTGTGGATCAAAAAAGCACAAATAAAACTTGATATTGGCAAAATCTTTATTCATGGTACAGGCCTTAAATAGGAATGCCAACCATCTTACGGAAGGCCGTCGTTGTTTTGTTTATCCTACATATTTCGTTCTCCCCAGGCCCTCCTGTATTGCAATTGTTGGAACCTTCTGCAAATACTATCCCGTCCAAATTCCCACACCCATTAGGAGGATTTCCCCTAAGTGCCCTATTTTTCCTGTCATATTCCTGAAGGTTTCCGAAGTAGTCCATCATCTCAGAGCTGCTAAGATCTCCAAACATCATATCTCTTCCCTGCAGAAAACCTCCATCCAATTCTTTACTTCCTTTATGATGTCTTCCTTTTCTATGTCCGGAATAGTTTCCCATCCTCTTTCTCCGAAACATCCTTTCTTCGCGATAGTCTTTGCCTCCATCGCTCTTGTATGTGTCTTCTTCTCCGTCCTCGGTGAATTTAAGATGGTCTTCGTCACGCCTATATCTTCTTCTTCTTCCTCCAAGGGATCCCATTCCAAGCCCAAACGAACCATATCCTCCTCCTAATCCCCCATCATAGTCGAAATCATAGAATTGCCTTTCCCCTCTCCAATAATCAGAAGAACTTGTTTCACTATCGTAGGGCGAGTTATCTGGTCCATAGTTCTTATCTTCCGAGCCCGAGTCTCTGTCGTCTTCGGGAAAGTTCTGATTTTCTTCTTCTTGCTCATATCTGTTCCTATGGAACCATGCTTTTACTTTTTTCTTTTGGCTTATAGGAATCCAGCTAAAGATTTGAAAAAGATCTTCTCCGTTATTTCTACAGGTTTCTCCAACCACTTGGTTGTCTTCTCTAACTCCAATACATTCCGACCCAACAACGATTTTCAAAGCGTTTCCAGGTAACAGAATAAACTTCGTTCTTTGATTCCAATTTCCATGCTTTGGATAGAAATGCCATTTCCTGCTGCCATTCAGTGCAAGATCTGCAACCTTATTGCCACCCATCTTTGGAACAGGAAAAAGAAGCATGTTGTGGGAATTCTTGCCATCCATTTCCACCATTCGAAACTTGAGCGGCTTGTCTTTTGATCTTCCTACAACTATGTTCACTCCATTCCGTGTCAGGAATCGCTGTTTTCCCTCAGAAAATATATATCCCATCTCTTCCATAGCATATGTTAATGCTAGATAGATAAATAGCATAACTTTGTCTTCCATTATTTATTAGAATTTTATACTCATCGAGGCCAGAATTTCCGAAACGTCTGTCTGTGTTTGCATCTCCCAAGCGGTACTTTCCAATACTCATGTATTGAATATTCAAGACAAAAGCAATGCTTCATAATATGAAACACTTTTTGAAATACTCTCCGAGGAAATAACAGAGCATATGCACCTTCAAAGAAAGTTTTTGAACTTTGATATAACTGGAGTGCTTGGCTCGGGAAGCTATGGAGATGTATTATCGGCCGTTGACAAAATTACCGGGATGGATGTGGCCATAAAATTTGCCAAAAAGGATGTGGACCAATGGAAGAATAGTTTTGAACCGAAGATACAATTGATCCTAGACCATGAAAACATATGCAAGCTTTATGGATGTATCAGCACATCGAGAAACCTGGTACTGGTTCTAGAGTTAGTGAGAGGAATTGATCTTCACAAGTATATAAGAAGAAACGGGAGACTGAGCGAGACACATGCAAGGTCTCTGTTTGTCCAGATGTTGTATGGAGTGGATTATCTCCACAGCCACTCTATTGTGCATCGAGACTTAAAGCTAGAAAATATCATGATCAGTGGGGAGTCGGTCAAGATATGTGATTTTGGGCTTTCGGCATTCTACGACAGATCTTCCGTGCTAAAGGATTACTGCGGAACTCCCCAATGCGCACCTCCAGAAATCATGAGGGGAATCCCATACGTTGGCCCTGAGGTTGATATTTGGTGTCTAGGTGTGATTCTCTATGCAATGGTCCATGGAAGACTGCCTTTTGAAGATGCGGACATAAGTCTCATGGGGAGGAATGCAATTTTGTCGAAGATGAAGATTGATGGGTCTCTGTCCGATGAATTAAAGGACCTAATAAGAAGGATTATAGAACCTGACAGGTCCATGAGAATAGAAATAGATCAGATAATGAAGCATCCTTGGATAAATGTTACAAGAGAGGATCACAGAAAAAGGATAATTTTTATTGACGGCAAAGTTATCGAAAGGCTGATTGAAATAGGATTCAGAAAAGAAGATGTTCTCAATAATATCACAGACAAAAACTCCAGAGAGTACTCGGCCTACTGCTTGGTTAACAGAAAGTTATTGTCGGGAAACCTCCTCCTTGTCCCTGGAGAAGTCTGTCTTTGCCGTCCTTACAGCATTGTCGACCTCAGCTTTATGGTTGATGAAAAAGCGGCCCAGACCCACCAAAGGAGGACATGGAGACATGAAATACTCCGTGGAATGAAGCCTATAAGGGGGGGATGCTTTCTACCTTTTCTATGGAACAGAAGAAAAATGTATGCTGTGAAGAGGGACATAAATTTGAGTTTGGAGATGTCTAGAATCCTCATTGAACGTTCCCTGTCGGCATTTCCAAAAGTAACCTTTAGAAAGAAGTCTGGATATACCGTCCATCATTCCAATGGACTATTGGTGAAGATAGAGCTTTCCGAGAAGATTCCATTTACTACATGCACTCTCACGCTTGCAGAGGGAAGTAAGATCGAGTTTATCGACTTTGTGGTGAACTTCATTCTATTTGTTAGTCAAGACGGAGAAAAAGACGCGGCCATAAACTGGAAAGGACAGGTGTTTAGAGATTAAAGTATTTATACAGGAAGTACACAAACTCTCCACTATAGTTGTTTTCTCTTAGGAATTTTCGGACTGTTGACGACCCAACCGTTTTAATCCAGTAGTTTACCACCCAGACATGCATTCCAAGAAACTTCCTCATACTTGAATCTATTTTCTCTACGTTGCGTGACAGCCACATGATATTGTTGAACACCGTCTTTTGGTCGAGGTTCTTGAGTTTTTCCTTATCGCAGTCGCTTATAGAGTATAAGTCTATTTTCCAAAGCTTCGAGTACTCCTCCTCGGGCATCTTCAGTACCAAATTCATATGCTCCCGGGCCTTTTTCTCATCCCACTCGTGTGCTTTCCTTACAAGCTCCTTGATTCCTTTTACCTGTTCTTTAGTAATGCTTTCCACTCCTGTTCTCTCCTTCAACACATTGAGGAACTTCCAGGACATATAACAGAGGGTTTTGTTTAGCCTACTCAATACATAGAGCCGAGATATACCCATGGACTGGAAATCGGAAAAAGAAAAACCCGTATGCTTAAAAGACTTTAATGTTTCTTAGGAAGAGAGAGAGGCCCCATCCCCGACTTGATAAGGCCCTTGAAAAACTCTATGGTCTCAAGAGCCTCTATATTTTTATTCCCCTCAAACTTTAGACCAAGCACCTCTGCCTTTTCTTGGTTACTCCCATCGCTCAGCAACAGCACTTTGTTTATCAAGCCAATCGGCGCATCTGTCTTGATAGCATTCAGCTCCGAATGTGTGTAAGACACCCGATACCCCATATTTGCTAGCGCATGCATCACCCTCAATTGTTTGACAGAGCTGATTCCTAGTATTGAACACAGACGAGGAATCTCGTAATAAAACATTGTTGGTAGCTCTTGCTCTAGATGCCTTAGCACTCCAATCAATCTCTTGTTATCCTCCTTTGCTCTGTTCAAGACTCCCTGGATGACATTTATATCGTTCAGAGGGCCATTCCAGAACGGGCCGCACAACTTCATTCTTCTGCTGCAGTTATCACATTTGTTGCTAATGTCCTCGCCATTTCTAACTTCAAAGATGTTGTGGCAGGTGCACATCCAGAAAAGGCTGTTTTTTTCAATCACGGACCTTGGATTTCTCCTTACTATTCGAAGAAATATTCTAACATAGAAATCAATGCTTAGAGATGCCACTGGCTCCACACTACAATCGAATTTAGATGCTTGCCTTGACACTAGGGATATAATTGTTCTTAACGGAACTTCGTTTGTCCCCACTCCTTTCATGATACTTGTGGAATACTTGATGAGGCACTTCCTCTCGTTAGAACACAGAACTCCCTTGTCTGTTGCAGTAAGGCATATGATCCCTCTGTGTCTAATCGCTCGTAGCGCACTGTCAATGTATTCAGAACAGCTTCCAAAGGGATCTATGTCGATGACATCGAAGAAACAGGGGAGAGAAGCCATTAAAACGTTGCAGTCAGACTTTGTAATAGTGGCTCTTACATCTTTACTTGTCTTAATATTCTGGAAGACAGATTCAAAGCACTCTACATCCTCGATTCCATTCAGAAGAATGTTTGCCTTGATTGTCTCGACAGAAGATTGGGAGATGTCATTCAGATAAACTCTGGAGTTTTCTATCTCCTTGAGATATCTTATTCCGCGTAGCCCCGTAGCAGACATTGCATCCAAAATTCGAATAGAAGTGGAGTCCTTGAAGCATTCCCTGATAATCTCTACAGATATGTCCCGATTGAATTTTTGTGCAGGATTGAAGAATGTTCGTTCGTTCTTGATAATTGTTGTAGACTCTTCTTGAATAGTTTCTTTGGATCCGCTGTCTTCCATATGGGGTGGGACGTCATTTGGAAGCTAGATAAAAACTTGATGGAACTTGGAGCTGGATTCAAAGCGCCTCTCCGTTTTGGAGGGTCTGTGTTCTTCTGGTTAATATCTTTTCCTGGGCTATTAGAAACCTTCCTATCTTGGAATGCTGCTCCACCATCCTCCCTATTCCAGTGCAAAGCTTTTCCATCTGTCTTTCGATTCTTTCCAATTGGACTTGAATTGGAGAAAATATGTCACCCATAAAAGGATGAGATTTTCCAACACTTTGAGGGCAAACCAAGTCGATGAGTGGAAGGATAATTATGTATCCTATGAAACCCTCAAACCCCTGTTGAGCCAGGATAGAGAGGAGTTCAAAACTCGGATTAATGGTGAGCTTCGGAAGATAAACGATTTCTTTTTTCTACTGGAAAAGAAGGCTATGCTTGAAAAGGAGGAGATATTTGCCGATGCCGGGGTATCCCCTGAGGAAAAGTCTCCAAAGGACCCTGGAGTGAGAATAAGGGATTCACAAAAGAAAGCCATGTGTTTAAGTGACGACTATGGCATGGGGAGGGATGACCAGCAGGATCGGCTAAGGGTCAAGTCGGATATGAAGATGGAGCTTGATGAGGAAGGAGATGATGAGGATTCCAAAGGGTCGAGCACATCCTCGGAAGATAGGAACAGTAGATTTGAGTATTTGATTAAGAAGGTAAGGAAAGGAACAGACGAAAAGGGCATTGGAGAGATATTCAAGATCTCCAAGCGTTTGGAAAGAAGAAGAAGGGAGAAGAATATACAAGAGTTTCTTCATGCGGTGATCAGCATCAAAAGGTTTAGGGAGTTGAACTACACAGGGCTAATGAAGCTATCAAAGAAATACGACAAGGCGTATCCTCAGGAAAGATTTCATGAGCATTTTTCTAGAAATGTTAATGAGTCGTACTTCAACAAATCCTCGCGGATTGACGACATATACAGGTCTGTAAAAGAACTCTACAGAAGCGTGTTTGCGAAAGACAACCCAGCCAAAGCAAAGACGGTATTCAAGAAATTAAGGGTCAAGACCAAAGCAGACCCCCTTATCTCTTATGTGTCTGGTGCACTGGGAGGGATATCTCTTGGGATGATGGGGCTAATTAACTTTGGGAAGAGCCAGATGGATAAGGAGCTGTTTTTTTCTATGGTACTTCTACAGTACGGGGCATTTCTTTTTGGAACATCTCTCGTTATATTCAAAAGATTCCACATAAACTACAAGTTTATTTTCAACTTCGATATGTGCTCGTCACTGACTTCAGATAAGTATCTATTTCTGGTTTCCCTCTCGATATTTGCTAATGTGGTTGGAACATGGATCAATATTTCCTTTTTGCATCTTAATCCATATTATCTACTTCTGGGCCATCTCCTTATAATTTTGATTCCATTTAAAGTACTCCACTACGAGTCGAGGTTCTATCTTCTTCTTATCGTGTTTAGAATAATTGTGTTTCCTATGTCGTTTGTCAGATTCAGGCATTTCTACTTTGCAGATGTTGGCCAGAGCTTTACGCCTTGCTTCAAGAAGATATTCTTCTGCGGGAGGCATCTCAATTGGAAGGTAGAGGGGTATGCCAACTCTTTCTTTGCAATAATAAGGTTCTTGCAATGTATTAGGCGTTATAGAGACACCCGTCTTAAGTTTCCGCACATTGCAAATGCCCTTAAGTACTCCTTTGCCATCCTGACTGGATTTTCTATTCCTTTATATGCGACAAAAAGAACATGGGAATTGTTTGTCTATAAGATGATGGTTATCACCATCTCATCGATATACTCTGCCACTTGGGATCTATTTATGGACTGGGGCATTATCCGAAGCAAGATGATATATCCGAGATGTACGTATAGCTGCGGAATAGTATTCAATGTGCTGTGTAGATTTTCGTGGGTATTCTTTTATTGGTTTGAGATCCCAGTGTTCTGGATAGTATTCCTGGAAATAACCCGGAGATTTGTATGGACAATCTTCAGAGTGGAATTTGAACACCTTAACAACTGTAGCGAGTTCAAGTCAAAGGACTCGATGCTTCTTACGTCCAGAGAACTCTTCTACAAGCGAGATTACCAGGCCGATGGTAGACCCAATGATACAGAAACAGAAAATGATTCAAGTGTTGCCTAGAAATCCAAGAAAATCTTTTTATACATTTGGGACTACAAATGGGCCTTCAATGAGATTTAAACCACAACTTACACCGATGGCTGAGAAGAAGACATCTCTGGCCTGATTCTCGAGAGATTTCTGCAGGCTCTCTTAAGATCGAACCTTTTGTTTTTCAGGCCGTTCTTGATGAAGTCCTTTGATGTTGAAGAATTCAAGGCCACATATATGTTGAAGGCCGTGAATAGAAAGATAACACAGAAAAACAAGGTATATAACACTGCAAGGAGAAATAAGAAGGTTTTGAGTGCTAGCCCGGGTGGAGTATTTCTCCAGGGATATATGGCTATCAAGCTATACAGCAATGCTGCATTCACCAAGATAACAGCAACCAAAGTGTACAGATAGATATGGAAGTGCCTTATATTATTTCTGCCTATGCAATTTCCAAACCATAGGCAATGATGGTCCATGTCTAAGATGCATCTGTTGCATTCTCTACAATGGGACATCCCTCCAATACGAAATAAATTACATTCCAAACAATACTTTTCCTCATACTCGGTTCCGTTGATCCTTATGGCTCTTATCCAATCCCCATTCTTGTTGGTGCATATCTGCGTCGAGATGTTCTTTTCAAATGCAACCACATCCGGCAGGTACTTATGATATGTCTTTTTATTCACTCTTCCCGGGTCGTTCAGACACGCCTTCAGAAACGACAAAGAGTTGGCCACAACCAAGAGCACAAGACACAGGGATCCATAAAACGTTTTGACAAGTAGCAGGCAATACATCAAGGTTCCTATGTACATTTTGATATGCAAAAACATCACAAACCTTGTTCTAAGCTGATCGGAACAAGACTCATGGGCTTTGATGCTCATTTTCCTGTTAAAGGGATGGCTTCTATTTGAACATTTTGGAACCAATCACCTTATTTTGAAACTTTCAGATGTTGAGCCTTTTGGACAGACCTATAGAGGGAAAAACCATATACTCCTTTGGAAAGGTTGAGAGTAGGCTTGGAAGTGGGAGATACAAGGTGGTATTCAAGGAGAGGAGCATCATCATGGCCACCGAGAAGCAGCTGGATATAGGGTCATGGGTACGTATGTATGGAATGTTTAGGTCTGGGATTCTGAGGACAATCTTTGTTGGCGGACTGAGTGGAGTCGACATAAACGTTCTTGAGAGGGCCATTGAATATGTAAAGCAGCATCTTTAAGAGGGTTTAATCAAGATATAGGCCTATTAATGATTTCCATATCAAGGCTAAGAGCCCCTATCTCTTCTGAGTCCTCCTTCTTTTCCAATAAAACATTGATAATGCTGTGCTTTTGTCTATCGGTAAACCTTCCATTTATAAGCCGTGTTGCAGAAATGACAAAATCATCCATGTATCCAATAAACGATCTCCTGCCCTTAAGAGCCAGTTCTCTCTTCATTGCATCAGACCCCGTATATAAGTTGCTTAGTGAATTTCCATTGTCTGCCCAGCATTCCTGCATCTTCTTCAGGACTTCCTCGCTCCTTACGACTTTTTCGAAATAGAACATGCATATCAAAGACTGTGCAACGTTTGTCCTATCCAAACAATCCAAGCAGTTTACTCGGAAGACTGTATCCTTCATATCGATACTTTGCAGCTTGAAGTAAAGAAGAAACTTCAGATCGTCGTAGTTGTTTGCATGAGCATTTAAATCAAACGTTGTATGTGGGATGTCCTCGAGGTCTAAGAGTCTATTGAAGTGCAAGGTAAGCTGCTTTTCATGTTTTTTTTCTCCTAGAAGATTGATTACATGTACTTTTCCATATTCCCTCTTGAGCTTCTTGAAATGCTTTGCAAATGCCTTTCGCACTCCATCCTCGTCTCCATAAATGTTTATTTTTGTGGAGATTCCATACTCCATCTGATTCCAGAAGATTGGAACCGACCCTCTGATTATGGTGAAATCAAATATTGTAATATTGTTCCTCTTTGTTAAAAAATGTGTCTTTACAAAAAGAGATGCATTTCCTTCATTGTCAATACCTCTACATAAATACCTTGTCCCAACTCTACTTGAGGACACCAGCGAGAGAAGCTTCATATGATAGAAATCTTCCGACACCTTGAATGCCTTGGCTGCAAAAAACCCACAGAAAAGTGTTGAGATCCCGAGATTAAGAGACTGTCTTTCGGGCCGGTGTGAAAGGATCCATCGGTGAGGATTTGGCCCAAAGTATTTCAGGAGATTGTCTTTCATGTGTTTGTTCCACACAAATTCATCTTCTATGAATAAAGATGCCGAAAAGTAATAAAAATCATGGGACTGCATAAACCCCTTAACTTGGGACATAATCTCATCTGCCCTGTCAGGCTCATTGATATTCAGAAACCTGATTTTGTCAATCTTGTATATTTCGATCCCATCGTACAAACCGGTGAGTGTGCTTTTAGTAACACATGCAAGGAACTCCTCGCAGTATTCGTTTTTCTCCACCTGGAGAATTCCCAAGATTGTCTGGAATTCAATCTGTTTTGAGTCGGGCTTTTTATCTGTAGTTCCTACACAGCAAAGCGTAGCAACACCAGACTCTGTTTCCCATGATATCCTCTTGGAAGATGCCGAGTACACCAGCCTTGCCATCGGATTTCTTATGGGTTTTATTTTGTACCTCTTTGTTTGGTGATGCAAGCAGTACTTCCATACTGTATAGAGAACTATTATCTAGGGCTTCCTCTGCCACAGAAATCCGGTATAGAACTCTGGCGGATGAAACCGGGTATCAGAGACTAAATAAAAGAGTTTTGGATGTGTTTACAGATGAGTGTCTATAGAATAAGTGCATATGTGATTCTCCAGATGTTCGACGTAAGTGTGTACATGCCGCTTTATGCAATTGATGAGGGAAGTTGCTTGGGAGAGAAGCTGACTCTGAAAGATGTCAAGATAGAGACCCGAGCCATCCCCAAATTGTTTGGACACTTAGCAAAGCAGGAGGGAGAGGGAAAGGACTATTGGATGGATAGTCTAGAGATATACCGGATCGAAGACAAAGAGAATATAAATTCAAGGACCGAAGAGATGTCGAAAAACATCACTTTTGGAACCATGTCCTTTGACTTTTCTATGCTTAAGGCAATTCTGAGCCAGGATAGCCAAAGAAACCTAGGCCATTCTCCAGAAATAAAGATCAAGAGCATTGAGGTTAAGATCCCTCTTGCAATTCAGGTCTTTCTTCACATACCAATTGTTCTGGTGGCTGCAATAGTGTTCTATTTGTTTTTATCTTTTGGAATAGAAGAAGTAGAAGGACTCTCCAGCAAAGAAATAGAAAAAATACTGTTATGTCCCTACTCCAGCCAAGAGTTCATCAACAAAGGCTGCATTATTTGCTTAGAGGACTTCGAAGAAGGGGGATATGTTCGGAATCTTGGCTGTGGCCATGCATTCCACAAGGAATGTGTTGACAAATGGTTTCTCAGGAACTTGGCCTGTCCTATCTGCCGAAGCAGGATATCTACAGGCCATTCTCGAGAAAGACGTGAACGACGAAGAGTTCATATCTTGTAATTCTAATTTAGTGTATGATTTCCAATTTAACGTACAGGCGTCTGCTGTAAGCCGGATGTGTGGATTAAATAACGCCCACCGAGCTGTCAAACTTTGATATTCTAAAACAAGTTAATATAAGAAGAAAACCCAAATGTGCTAGGGATGTCCTGATGAATCTTTCCTCGATCCCTCTCTAAAACAGATAGAATAGATGTCACCCTAAGAATGTTATCCAAACAAGGCTTTTGCAGCAACTGTAACACCACAGCTACACCTTTATGGAGGAGGGCAGAGGATGGAAGCTATCTCTGTAATGCATGTGGACTTTACTACAAGATACACGGGAGGAAGAGACCTACAAATTTCAAAGCGGATTCCGGAAAGTCGAGAGTAAGATGCAGAAGAGTTGTGGAGGAAACAGGCAATGGCCACAGAGCGACTGGATGGACTCTCCATGAGCATCGAAGCGGAGTTCAAGACCAATCCAATATATACCAAGAGGAAAACCAAAGGAACTTGGGAGCAAAGCCATCAGATTACCAAATGAAACACGATGGCTTCAAGCGGAATAGAGAAATTATATCGGTAGATTCTGATAAGGATGTGTTCTATGACGACTTTGGAGGACCCAGGGACGAAAGAAGAACACTTTCGGGGAGTAGAGGAAACTATAGACACGATACAAACACAGCCGCAACGTCCTTGATTAGGAGGCACTTCGACAAAAGACCTGGGAAGATTCCACAATTTATGATTGGATCGGAAGGTAAAGAAAAGGTATCAAATTCGGAGGAGCGAGAAAAGGACGCCATAGAAATGCAAACAAAAGAAAGAGATGAGCACGAGATAGACTTGGAGGATTTTGAGGTGATTGCAGTTAATGCTCTCTTGGATTTGTCCCGTGAGAGGATTTAGCATGATTTCTTAAGAAGCCTGTATTCATTAAATAATAAATTAAACCAGTCTGATCAAATCCGTTTAAGAGTAGGAGTTTCTTATCTGTTGACTCAACTCCGTAAGGTGATAGATGTCTTATCGATTTTATTGCGTTTTAGATATTAAAACATTGTATGAGAAAATTTATTTAACCCCAATTTCCTTATTAGGAAAGATGAAATCTCTCCACTTTTTCCATTATATTGCACTGGTTGTAAGTGTAGGAGTTGTATATACGAAGACAATGGAAGTCACAGGGCAAAAAGCTGTGGGGTTTGAAGCTGCCAAACGTACAGGTGGGTTTGAGACGAGTACCATAGGTGAGAAGCTTAAGGGACCTGGAATTGTTGCGGTGCTTGAGCAGAACTGTAATCAAAGTAGACAATTAGAAGATACTCTTAAGAGCCTCGGCGTGCCTTATCAACCGTTCTACGTGGAGGAGAATCTGGATCTTTATAGCACTGCGATTTCTAAAAACGGCGGGGAGATTCCTTTGTTGTACGAGGACGGGAAGAAGGTTGAAAATGTTGTGGACTTTTTAAAAAAGTACAAGGAGGAGCATACAAAAACAGAAAACAAAGATGCAAACGAAAAATAAAGGACTTTACTTGATCTTTGATCTAAAAGAAGCTTCATAACTACCCTCTGTAAACAGGGGGGATTGGTCAAATGGGGGAAGTTTGTGAATAGAAAGATCTTTGAGCTTTTGATAGCCTCCTTCGATAAAGGTTCCATTGAAGAAGAAGACAGGGAATGTACTCTGGTAGGTCTTCGCGAAATTGTAGGGCTTGATCCGCCCGTCTACCGGGATAATCTTACAGGAAATGCCCTTATTATACAGCAGCTCCCTTGCTTTAATACTGAAAGGGCAGAACTTTTTGATGAACAGAACACATTTCTCTTCCCTTATGATCTTTTCGTAATCAGTATCCTTCTCCGAAATACTCCATTCTATCTCTATCCCTTGAATTCCATAAATTAACAACATAATCAAGAAAATTGCTTTCATTGTTGTTTAACTCATCTCAGGTTATATATCCTTCTGTTTTTTGTCTGTTTCAGAAGTTTGATGTCTCCCTGTTCTTTGTTTCATGACATAGATTGGGTTTCCACCGGCTTATTACTCCTCAAAATGCTCTTCAGCCTTGATCCATACTCCATTAATCGCTCATATGGAATCTTCTTACATGTAAAAAGCTTTGAGTATTCACAGAACATTATCATGTGTAGCCCTTTATCTCTTTTCTCATTGTATTTATCAACTGCGTCGCAGGGATCTCTATATTCAAGAATTTCCTCCAGGAAATATTGCTTTTCCCCTGGACCTGTCATTGAAAACCCTCCATTCCTGAAGTTGAGGTTGTAGTATAAAGAAAAGGCAAGGGCCATATCTCTATCCTTTGGATCCAAATGTAAGACCACCAAGAAGTCTCCGTTCATTCCGTAATGGCTATTCAGAGAGTCTAAAGCATCCTTCAGGATTCTTTTTGAGTATCCCTTTCCTCGATATTTTTTCGAAACATACATTGTGTAAAGCAAAACAACACTTCTCCCCACAGGTTCTTCATCTACTATCATGTAGAATGTCCTTCTGACCAGGAACACCGACGCAACCAGCTCTACTCCAATCTTGTATTGGAAAATGTCCATTTCGCCTCCATTGTGAAATATGAAATCAAAGGACTCTGGATCGTTTCCAAACTCTCCTTCTGCTTCGTTGTAATCGTCCATTATTTGTTCGGGAACCTTTATTCCCTGCTCGTCACAGAAGTACTTCACAAACCTGCAAGTCTCTATTGCAAGTACTAGCTGATACACCAAAAGTACCATGATCATCTACCGAGGGGCAACCCCACCTGAATATCTAACCTGAACTTGTGTGTTTACTTGCACTTGATATGAATGGAAGAGCCCTGGGGCTTGACAGATCTAATGTCTTCAAACTCTTCTTTGCGAACAATCTTCTTTATCATCTTTAGAATTATCCAGAACCATATAACATGCATGCATACCAATCCTTGTAATAACACAGAGATAAAGGTCAGGACTCGGCCAAATTCATGTTCCCATATGGTGATGCATATAGGAAATGTAATAAGAGGTGTGTAGATTCCTATCCTAGAAACAAAAAAGACCCCGGCAAAGCATATGAATATGTTTGTGGCCAGAGGCTTATAACGAATGTAGTTTATAAGTTTGCTGATTTCTAAAAATGGGTCTGATATGTCATGTATAGCTATGATGATAACACCCGGGCGTAGCAGGTCCTTGTGATAAGACAGAAACAGAAGAAGCATAGTCACAATGTGGTGAGCAACCATCTGCAGGAAGTCTTTATACATATGCTCACTAAAGAGATAAAATAGCTCAACAAAGTAATATGTAAACTCCAGATAATAATAGAATAAGACTTTAGAAGGAGTCCTGTGAATCCCCCAAGTTCCTATGAGGTTTTCCATGGTGTAAGCTTCTGGTTCACTCCTTATTACAAAGTATCCATAAATCGATGTGAAAGAATAAAACAAAGCCTTCCAAAGAGAAATAGAGAACTTCTTCTTTCTCTCAAACTCTAAACTCTTTTCCATACCAAATCTCTTGATTAAGGTAGACGCCATAGGGAGAATCATCAAATTCTTAACCATCACAATCATCAGAGAAAGAGCCATCAGGAGATATATGTCTCGAGGGAATGCAAAGTGTGTGTTGAAGTCTCTTTCTCTATCCACTGTTATGGTAGGAAACCTCATCGTTAGTCTGGAAGATCCTTTGTTTTGAGTTTGTAGCTCACCAATCGGGATTCTGGGTTGAAGCTTATCCAACAGGTCGTCTGGAGAAATGGGGTGTAGTCGAATACATTGAAAACCTTGACAGACATGACTGTACATCTTTCAATTTAATAAGCTGTTTAAGATCGTCCAGGAAGTAACTCGAGTTTAGATGTTTTCATCGGAAGAAGAATTCTAAACATCCGAGGGTGGATGTTATACACCGGATCAGAAAAAACCCCTCCAGAGTCAAGGTATCTTGTTCTCCCGATTGATGGAGGTAGTTCTCTCGGATTGTATAGAATGTCCTCCAGCGGTTCGATGGTTTCCTTTGTTTTCTTAGGTATGATTTTTTCGATATGCTTGAGATTCATTGATGCTTCAGAAAACCTTGGATTGGCCTCTAGGGCATTTATGAAGGCAATCTTTGCAGATACAAGATTTCCTTGCCGAAGGTATATGCATCCTATAGAGTTGTGCACCATTCCACAGATGGAATCTGTTTGAATAACCTTCATATACTTTCTCAGTGCATCTGTGTAGTTCTTCTCCATGTACTTTATCCTTCCGGCTAGATACAGGAGATAAGGATCGTCAATAGTATCACTATCTTCTTTATGCCGCTTCCTTACTCTCCGAAAGTTCCCAACCTTGAAGTCTATCCATGCATGGAGTCTCGAAACCATAAGGTTGAGCTTTCCTTCCTTCTTTATCCTGCTCAAGATCTCGATTGCAAGGTCATGCTTGGACTGCATCTCGTAAAGGTGTGCCATCTGGATTTGAGCATAGGGATCATAGGTATCCGATACGGGATCGTACAAGATCACACGGAAGACATTGATCGAGTCTTGAAGTCTGTTCATTTTCTTAAGACAAACACCTGTTCTAAACAAAACTTCATAGCTCTTGTACTCCTCTACCCCCAGCTTATTCAGAAGTACAAGCCAGGGTCTTTCACTTGCATAGTCTCCTAAGGCTTCGTAAAAAAGCGAGATTCCATATATCAGAAACTTGTCTTTGTATTCTACCTTGCCATATGCCTTCACAAAGTTCTCGTAGCTCTTATCTAGCTCACTTGTCTGCAGACCTATGTGCCCACTTAGTACACATGCCTCGTAAGATTCCTCCTCTAATTCAAACAACTTATTTGCAATAGTCTCTACTTCATCTATATTTTTGTTTTCTATATGGTATTTTCCTAGACTATATAGAGCTTCAACATTGGAGGGATTGGCTTTAAGAGCCTCTATGCTGCACATTGCCACTTCCTCCAAGTCCAGGTGGATATTTCTAGATTTCTTCATATCTCCCTCTTTCATTTTTCCATCCATGCTTCTACCTATTTTCCCACCAATTTGAACTCCCCCCATGTTTAGGGCAGGTTCCCCACTATTTTATCTCCAGAAGGTATCTATTAATTTCTAGATTTTCCTATTCATGCATCCTCCACATGAAGCTGGCCGTAGGTTTCACTCCGCACTGACGCTCTGCTCCAGCTGCACCAAATCTTCATTTCTTTCCATATAAGATTCTTCAAAATCTAGGCCCAGTATGTTTTGTATTTGTGGAACGTTAATCTATATCAAATCCAACAGCAGCAAAGTGGAATGCCTCCGATGCAAGAGAGAAAATAGTATCGAGATGATAAAGCCTGTCTTCACCGAAATTGAAGTTCAAAGAGATTCTCATATAGAAGTCATAGAAGTGGAAGGTGCAAAGATAAAGCATCGATGTCCCGGGTGCGGTGCTGAAGAAATGATGTACAATACAGTGCAGCTGAGATCTACCGACGAGGGCCAAACAGTCTTCTATTCCTGTGAATGTGGATACAGGCTCACAGTCGAATCGTAAGCGCTTCTTACTCGTTACTACCTGCTGCATTTCACATTTGAAGCGGCAGAGAATGACCCCAAATGCAGGAAGCCAAAAGTATACCGATGGCCAGAAGTTTGCTTTTACTCATGTTTATCTCTACATGTGTAACCAAGATGTATACTTCCATATCTTTCTTGGAATATGCAACTCTCCAATGCATTTTGGCCTGTTTGTTTATTTTATCTGTGTCGGTCTACGGGGCATTCAGGATAAGAAATCGTGATAAGGAAAACAAGTCCTATATGGAAAGAATTGCACGCTATGGCTTTTTCAACTCCTCTAGCAAGGCCGAAGGCCATATTTGAAAATCATGAAGAATAAAACAGTCTTGAATTGTGCTTTTAATCTACAGCTTTTGAAGGCTCGGATGTTTCCATACTTTTCTTGGCCTTCTCAGTCATATCGATGTCGACGTCTCTATTGTGTAGTACTGCAGAATCATAGGATCTTGACAGATAGATGATTGCTTTTATCCACATAACAACAAAGATGAAGATGATTCCCACAGTTATGGGTGTTGCCTTTCTAAGGTCCTCGGTGTCTAAGGCTTCGAACATCAGTAATCCATATATGGATCCTATTGATTTCCCAAGCTTTCCAAAGATCCCATCGTACACACTCTTGAATCTTGCCCGGTATGTGGGATTGATTCTCATCCCAAGCTTCTCCTTACAGATGTCAAATGCAGAGTACTTTGTGATCTTCAGCAAGGACATGAAGATTATCCCGGAGTAATTTTCAAGAATGTAAAGTGGCTTTCCTCTTGGAAAGAGGCTATTTACAATTCCAATTCCAGACTCTTCCATACTGGTGTTGTAAAGTGAAGACCCCAAGAAAAGAGTAATGGCCAGAAGCGTCACAATCGGCGTTATGACCCCAACAAGAAGAAATCCTCTTGTCTCAACATAGCTTGAAAAGGGCGACAAGTTGAGACATATGACCACTGTCGAGGTAAGATACTGGTCAATTCTATTGAACTTTCCGGAGTACTTGCCCTTCTCTTCATTGAAGTATTCTGCAGCAACCTTAACTCCGACTTTGAATGTAGACTCGATCATGTTGTAGGAAATGTTGAAGAACAAGACAATGAGAGACATGGCAAGAAGTAACTTTGACTGCGACATGATCTCAAGGCCCTCTGAAAAAGACACGTTGGGCTTAGCTTTCTTTCTTCTTGATCCGGAGGAGACGATGAACAAGGGCTTTTTCATTGCCACTCTCTCAAGATATATCTTCAGGAAGATCACCAAGACCACAAGAAGGCCTTGGGAGATGAATATTCCCGAGAGTAGAAACTGATTTTGTTGGTAGGCTAGTTTTTCTCGAAGCTTGAAAAAGGCTCCAGCCACTGTTGCAGAAAGAAACAACGACACGTTTGTGATGATTATGAGAGGGGGAATAAACCTCGAAAACTGTTTGATTGTGCACGATTCATTCAGAAAACTCAGGAAAAGATAGGACAGGACAAGGCTTCCCCACATCTCGGCCGAGATGAAGACGATTGTGGCAAGAGGCTCATTTAAGGTCAGAAACATCGATTTGAAGACATTGAGGCCTCTAGTGGACATCTTCCCGTCAACAAACATGTCACGGAAGAGAAACTTGGAAGGAGCAACTTGCTCCTCAATCAGAAACACAACACCACAGAAAAAGAACAGAGATGCAAATCCCCCGCAAAAGATGGAGAAGATTCGCGACACCGTCTTTGTCCCCAGCATATATTGTATGAGGAACACAAGGGCCATGGAAACAGGAAGAATGTAAAAGATCTTGATGAACAGTATTGTTGTAGGCTCCTGTCTCACCATCACAAACATGTCCTTAAGAATCCTCATGAACGAGTATATGAAACCAATTATTCCAAACATCAATCCCAAAACAGTGAATTTTGTGTACTCTACTTTTGCTACCCTGAAATATCGAAGAATCCCTCGCCTGCTGTTAGCTTCCTCTTCTATCTGGTCCTCTGTGGGAATATCTGGATGAAGAGGAGTGTGATTGTTGCTTTCAACTTCATTCATCTTTGTTTTTGTTTTGATTGAATGTAAATACTTTTAAAGACATTTCAATCTTTATCAAATCTCTGTACCTGAGTCTACAACAGATTCAAGAGGGACCAGACTCTGCACCTGTGTCTTTTCTTTTAAGCAAAGCAGTTTTTAAGGAAGACAAGAAATTTGGGCCCTGGAATGAGTTTAAAGGTTGATGAACACTGTTCTTTTATCCAAAGTATGATAGACACAAAGAACTTCCTGTATTACTTGACGGAGCCATACAGACTCAGCACTATATACTGGTCTGTGAACTCCCTATCGATGTTGGGAAGGGAGGAGATGCTAAGAATGAAGGACCGAATAATCGAGTATGTAATGAACTGTAAGAATGACGATGGAGGGTTTGGAGGATGCAAGGGATACCCTTCCAACATAACAAGTACCTTCCATGCCCTGCAAATACTCTACATCTATCGCATAGCTTACCGTGACAGGAACACTGCTTTATTTATATCAGGACTGCTGCAGCCGGAGGGATATTTCTACAATGACAGGTATGGAGAGATAGACACCCGAATCAGCTGCTGCGGAGTCTTGGGGCTGCAGTTACTGTCTCTTTTGGAAAGGGGAGATTTTGATCCCGAAAGTTTGTCTAGGCCGGCGTGCAAGGTGTTTTTGTCGGAGGTTGGGGTTGATTTGAAAGCTATTGTTCAATATATTCAAAAATGTTACAATCTGGATGGGGGATTTGGGGCTGTTGAGGGTGCTGAATCTCATGCTGCACAAGTGTTCTGTTGCCTAAGCACGCTAAGGTCTCTTGGGGCTTTGGAGCTTGTCGACAAGGAAAGTATCTCTAGATTTATAGTCAAGAAGCAGGCAAGATCTGGAGGTCTTTCTGGAAGGGTGAGCAAGAAGGAAGATGTTTGCTATTCGTTTTGGGCATACTCTTCTCTTGTGCTTATTGGAAAAGAAAATTGTGTGAATCAAGAGAGGTTGGAGAATTTCATATTGTCCTGCCAAGGACGGAGTGGGGGATTCTCTGATAGACCTGGAGACGAAGTTGACTTATATCATCTCATGTTTTCTCTGGCCGGGCTCTCTCTACTTGGATACAAAGGTCTTAAGAAAATCGATCCTGGTTTTGGATTATGATAGCTTCAAAGAGAGCCAAAATACAATAAACATTTGTACCTTTTGATGAATATCTTTCACACAATAGATCCCTCATGGCTCTCATAAAGGCTAGGATCTTCAAAAATGTGAAGGACGAGTGGGAAGACCTATGCACAGGAACAATACTCTACATTGCAAAGAATTGTATCTTTGTCGAGGACGATAGATCTGAAAGGTGTATTGAAATATCTCTTTGCCAGAAGCACTGTGGAAGATCGGAAAAAAACGTTGCAATTGTATATGATGATTTTGAGGAATATGCCATCTGTTTTGAAGGTGAGGAAATTAGAGATAGTTTCGCTGAATTTATGGAAAAGACCTTCTGGAGCCTCGAGGAATTAGATAGGGAAAGAGAATGCACTTCCTTTGGAAAGGAGGTAAATCTCTTTGCAGAGCTTCTCGGCATCGGGAAATACGCAGACAACTCTGTATTTGAAAAAATGCTTGAAAGTAGGGATGGAGTGTTGGAACTTCTGAAGATGGAGAGTCTCCATCTGTTTAAGATGTTGCTTAAGAATGGAGAGAAGGTTTTTGAACTGTTTGAGGTTCCTTCTAAGAGCAGAGTCACCCCATATGGATTTTATAGGGAAATCATAGAAAAGAATCTTGGTGGCTCTACTGCAAGGACCTTCGAGGACTTCCTCATTATCATAAACAGGCAAGAATTGGCAAGAAGCGAGAGCAAAATAACAGAAATGTCTGATGAGGAGATAAGGGACCTCCTCAAGAGATGCAGTGGGAACGGGTATAAGATCGGAAGTGTGGAGACGTATCTTGAGAGAATCCACAGACCTAAAGAAAACATCTATCTTTTTGAGACATTCTACTATCTCTGCTTTATATTCCGAGAGAAAATGTCCGAGGCTGTAGACTTTAAATACATCCTCTCCAAGATCAAGGATCTGGTTAGCAGAAAGCCCTTGGATGATAGTCTTTTGTATGCACTCGAGGGACTGTACATATTACTGGATGTATGTAAGTCCGAAAAACTAGATACATTCTACACGGAAGTTTTTAACCTCCTCGGAATTATGGAACACCATCCAGATTTCCAGAACCTTTTGCTGTACCTGCTTAATAACCATGGATTCAGGGCAAGAGAATTTCTCATTAACACTGGGCTGATGAAGAAGATATTTCTGTCCGACCACAGAGATGGTGTAAACGAAGTGTTTGTCTCCAAAGTACTCCTTCATACTGTGTCTTGCAGCAGTAGATTCACACACAGGTACTTCATAAGAAACGATTTATTTAAGAATGTTGCTAGGATGTACAAGAAAAGAGAAAAGGATGCTGTCTACTCCATATTCCTCCAGGCTTATTCCAAGGCAGATGGCGACATGAAGATATATCTCGATAGATACATGCAGAACTAAACTACTTCAGAAATATCTGAACCACATCTTCATCTTCTAGCATGTGTCCAAGCCCGACCTTCTGCGGGCTATGTTTTGCACTAGTTCCCCAGACCAGTGCATATTTGAAACCTTGCAGAAAATCCTTGTGGATCTGAACACAAAGATCCCTCACTGTTCCTCCTTCCTTTATCACCACAGGGTTGTCTAAAGCCGGGGGTATTCCCTTCTTCTTTGTGTAAACCCTTGTGAGCTTCAGCTTGGACCAGATGTCTTCAAGCAATGCATCGATATTCCAGCCTTTTTGGCAGCTTATGGGCGTACTGTTGGGACATTCTGCAATCTTGTTGAAGTCCTCCAGAGAAAGTTCGTCTATTTTGTTGTACACATACAAACAATCTATATAGACGGCAGATCCGCTAATCAAGTCTATGACATCATCATCGCATACATCCTCTCTTATAAACATCTGGCAATTGTTAATTTTGTACTCCCGTAGAATGGCTCTTATTGTATCTTCAGTTGTCTTTGTGAGCTGCAATGTTACCCCGATGTTTATTCCTCCATTTGCTGTATATGTGAGAGATATGTCAGGCTTCTCCTTGTTTAATCTTATGCCCATCTCATATAATTCGTTTTCAAGAATCTTCCTGTCCTCATGCCTTCGGGGATCAAGAACCATTAGGATCAAGTCTGCTGTTCTTGCAACACTTATCACTTGCCGTCCTCTCCCTCTATTTTGTGCAGCCCCTGAAACAATTCCTGGAAGATCTAGCACTTGGATCCATGTGTCATTCAAGCACATCTTTCCAGATATGCAGTCTAGAGTGGTAAACTCGTGTTCTGCTGCTTTACTATGGGTCCCTGTGATCTTTGACAGAAGAGTTGACTTTCCAACACTAGGGAACCCAATAAGAACAACCCTAGCATCTCCACTTTTCGAGACCTCAAACCCATCATTTTTCAGAGACTTGGTCTTCGGCGCATCCAGCTCATGCCTGTATCTTGCAAGCTTTGCCTTAAGAATCCCAAGATGATGTTCGGTCTTCTTGTTCTTCTGGGTTCTAGCCATCTCCGCCTCTATCTCGTTAATCTTGTCTTGGATCCCCATCTAGGGGCTTGTCAACCAGTTTGCAAATATTCGCCACTAAATCCAAGCCCAGTCATCTTTTCATGCTCAACGATGACAGAAATCCGTCCAAGGAACACAGAAAGCAAATTCCATCAAACACCCATCCATCTGTTATGGTCATAAAGGAAATGTTTTCTACACAGAACTCCAGCTTCTGATCCGCAAACACATACAAGTTCTTCTTGGTTGCAATAAACACCTTATTTTCATCACACATTATTCTCAAAGGTTCCGAGTCAAAGGGTCCCATTGTTCCATACATGTGCTCCATTCGGAATGGATAGTGAAGTACAGCAACAGTGTTGGATTTGCAGCATGCAAGATATAAAAGTTTCCCATCTGGAGAGTATGAAAACCTTCTAAAGAAGCCTCTTCCCGCTGTAAAGAGCCTCTCTCCATCAACATATTCCATTTTCTCTATTGCAACAAGCTTGTCGGTAAACACAAACGTCCTTCCCGTGCGGTCTTTGCTTAAAGATGTTAGGACTCCAAAGCGATGGTTAAATGCCAATCCCTGTATTATATCTCCATGGCATTGTACCTTCTGCACCAACTTGGTAGATATCTCCTGGCTCCAATCTTTCTTTTTCTCATCCTCGTCCTTTGAAGCTCTCGAGTTGGAATGGTTTTCGTCCCCTCTAAGAGATTCGTTGTTCAGAGTCACCTGGTACACCAATATGTTTCCGCTGGAAAACCCAACAAAGAGATGCCCATTTCCCCAGACAAGCTCATATGCATCATCTCCATCAATCCTTCGGACTACATGCGGCTTTTCTCCGCTCCACAAGATGACTTCTCCACCATCGGAACAAGATGCTAATAGATCCCCTTGAAATCTGACACAATTAACGCTCCTGTGATGTCCAGAAAGTACTGTGTGATATCTTATCTTTATAGAGGAGTTGGCTGCCGTGGTATAACAAAAATCCTTGTTCTTAGATGCACTTTTTTCCACCCTCCACAGTCTTATATCCTTATCCCCTCCTCCCGTGGCTATAAACTCTTCATTCCCATGCATTGTGAATATGGATGCTTCCTCATGGAAATGCAAGTTGTGTGTGGTCACCTCTATCGGATACCATTTTTCTAGATTCTCCATCAGGGATCCTTCCTATCAGAATTTGTGTATCCCGGGTCCTGGAAAGAAGAACATAGCCACCGACTTATTTAATCAAGATAGTTCTTAGCAAACAAGGTCGAGAAAGGAGTTTTTTCCAGCAGTTTGGCACACTCAATATACTGTCCGCTCTTGAGGTATGCGAAGAATGCATGGTTCAGCCTTCCCTCTTTTTTACACTCGGATGCTGCAAGAGAAAGATTTTTCTTCGAAGATAGAATGTCTGAAAGGAGCAAGCTTACCCAGTTCCTCGACTTAAGAAAGCATTCAGATGCCTTCGGAAGCTCTCCGGCCCTGAGAAAGTATCTTCCAAGCTTGTCATACTTGACTATACTGTTTGCTTTTGAAAATGCCTCATCATACCTGTCCAGCTTGAGAAGAATCTCAAATCTCTGGTTGTCGTCTATGCAAAGATCTAGAGCATTCTCGTGCATTTCCAGAGACTCGAAAAATGCAATCGCCTTACTGCGGATCCCCTCCGTCACCTTGTATTCTTTCCCAAGTATTACAGATCTTTGGAACTCAAGAAACTCCCCATCTATCCTTTTGCACTCAATTGATTTGTCGCGGAGATAAAACAGAACTCCGTTCTCAACTCCGGCAATTGTGCCGTCAATAGATGAAAAATGATATACATATGGCTTGTCTCCCAGGATGAGATAGTATCCCTTACCATTTGATACAAAGTAGAAAACATCTTCTTTTGCACACCAGGATGCTACCGAATAGTACTCAGTCCCAAGATGTATTAATGCTTCCTTTATCCCTTCCTCTGGAATCTCAATCTCCTGTTCAATAAACCCGTTGATCACTTCATGGTCCACTCTGTAGATGCTTATAAATGCTCCACATGCAATCAGAAAGTCTCCGATCATGGCAAGATGGTCGGACGCATGACTAACAGATGACACGAACTCTCCAGTAGATAGGTAAATTCTCGTCTGATCGCAGACATTGCATCCTATCAACCTAGGACTTAGAAAAAACACTTTGCTGATCCCCTTGATGCTAATACTTCGGATCACTTCGGCCTTCTTGTAGAAGTTCACAACCTCTCCGTTTCTCACAACAAATTCATCATCCTCTATGAAGTGGAAATCTCTTCCCTCTCCGCCAAACTTGTTTCGAAATCCCAGAGATGAAAAGATCTTAAACTCTCCCTCGTTCCCAACTGCTATTGTCTTTCCACTCGGGGACACCTCTAACTCGTCGGGGTAGAATCCAATGTTATGCAACTCTTTGACCACACCTATGTTGTCACTCCTGGTACCAAACATAGACCCAGATGCAGAGTAGAATATTCTGTTCCTACTCATCCGAACAAGAGATGATCCCTGCCAAGCATTGATAAAGACAAGCTCTTCATCACACCCAACAATTATCCTTCCGTCCTTCTCCTTCACATCCCATACTCTTCCCCCTTGCAGCATAATCAGATCCTCCTGCTTGAATGTCTTGCTGTTCCATAGCCGCATGCTTCCATCCTCTCCACATGAAGCAAAAAGAGAGAAGCTACTAAACGGATACACCTTGTTGACATTGTTTGTATGTCCTGCGAGGGTTGTTATGCACTGTGTTGTTTGGAAGTCCCAAACCTTCAATGTTAGGTCGTCTGCCCCAGAAACCAGATAATCTCCACTCAGAAAGCATATACTGTTTACTCCAGACGCGTGTCCCTTGAACGTTTTCACACAATGCGGCTGTCCTATGTGCCATACCTTGATTGTGGAGTCCAGAGAGCACGATACGAACTTACTGCAGTCATTCGGGTAAAAACAAACATCCATTACAAAGTGCTTGTGTCCTGTGTATACCATCTTCTGAACAATCTCCTCTTCATATGTCCAGCTCTTCAGTGTCGAATCATCGGAGGCAGTCAAAAACATCGGTTCCTGTGGGTGGACCTCGATCTTCCTGATGAAGTCGTCATGCCCATGAAACATCTTGATCTTCCTGTACTTTCCCAGTTCGTATATGCTAACCTTTCCGTTGTCACTTCCCACAAGTACCCAGTCCATCCTACTCAAGATTGCACAGGTTCTTATCGGTTCATTACACACATGGATGCTGTTTATCATTCCCATTTTGTCGATGTCCCAAACCTGGATATCCCCAGAAAACAGCCCCATTATCCCTATCGGCTTGGTAGGATGCACCTGTATACTCTTTATCTTCGACGATCCAAATGTTTTCTGTATTGTCCTCTTGAATTTCATTTTGTTTACAGCCCATCTCCTAATCCATTTTTATTCACTACAATCTCCAGGGGCTTCCTTGCTCATTCTTCCAAGGACCCAGGCCCTTCCTTCATAAGCTCCTTCAACCCTTCGTACTCTCTCTCTATGAGATAAATCTTTTTATCTGCAAACATATAGATTTTCCTTTTGGAAAAGCACATCCAGTCCACATGACTAATCCCATCAAATTCATGAGTCCACGTGTCCTTATACCCGTAGAATCCTACAGTGTTTTCGCTTACCATTCCAATCACAAAATCATCAGACGTATCCTTAACCTTTATCATCTTCCATCCAATCGATGCTCTTCTTGTCCCTTCCATCACATCTACCCCAGACAATCTCATGAGATATGGGACCCCATCTCTTTTCACCGTACAAAACTCCCCCTTACTAATACTGATAAGGTCGAGAATTCCCTCAATATTCTTTTTCTTCAGATAGGCCTCATTCTTCTCTCCGCATACCATGCTACTCATGTTCCGAGTATCATATTCAACCACACACTCGTCGTTGATGCAATAAATCCTGTCATTTCCCCATTCTGCTTTCTTGCACATCTTTAGAGGCACTGCATCAATATTGTACCTGACACGGAGATCATAAAGTTTCACACATCCTTCTCCAACAGCTGCTAAACATCCCGTCCTGCTGTATGTATGCATCTTGATGCTATCTTCTTTATATGAATACACTATGTCTCCCCGGCATCTATCCCACACCCGTATTCCCTTGAACATGTCTGTGGTGGTGAAGCATAAATCATCAACAGGATAGAAGTTAACATCCTTCTTGAAATGATCTATATTCACTGTGCTTATTTCCGGAGCTATTATGTGTACTCCCCCCATCTTGTCCGAGGCAATTAGCGAATCTCCTGCCACAGACGACGAGTAAAAGCTCAAATCGCATAAGTAAACGATTTCCTCCATTCGAGGGCTTGGAGATCGTTCAAAGAAGAAATAGATTAAACAGATTTTATCTATAATATGTTTCTACTGCCTCTCCACTCCAAACAACAGAAAATTCACTAGATCTTCTAATTCTCCAAGTTCTGCATCTGTCTCCTTGTCTAGGAGTCCTGATTTCCTCATTACACCTGTAAGAAGACTTATCTGCCGATTTTGTACATTCACAATTCGGCCCATTCTCTTCATCTGATCATTCATCCCTAGGCCTTTTTCTCTTTCTCCTAAGGGAATGGCATCGCATACATAGAATCTCCCTTTTCTGTACTCTCTTGTCCCAAAAGATCCAACTCTTTCATCATCTCCTCTACTCCCACTCTCGCTCATATTTCTCCCGCTCTCCTCAGACCCACTTCCGCTTTCCGGTTCTTCTGTTCTCGGGGACTTTCCATTCCATGCCCTTGTTTCTTCCAACGTCTTGTTTTCGTCTCTTTTCATCTCTTCCAAAACAGTTCCCAGGGATTTGAATATCTCCCGAGGATTACTGGCTATTCTCTTTTCTTGGATCATCCTCCGTGTATACTCTTCAAGATCTTTTATCCCGACTCCATCCTCAAACAGAAGCGATGCAAGCCCGTCTAGATCCGGCGAAAGACCCTGGATATGTCCCAAGAATCCAGATCTCCCAATCCTGCCGTTCCAAGAATACATGACTTTCGACACTTCCGATACACCCAGAGCTAGCGACACAAAAATCCTTCTTAGATTTCCAAAGGACACCGACCCCTCGCACCCAGAATTAACCTTATCTCCCCCTGTTGTCTTCTCTTCACTCTTCATTCTTCCGTTCCACTTATCCAACTGCTTAACCATCGCCTTCATATTCCCCAATACAACATCTGCCCAGCATATTCGGACTTTCCCATCCTCATCAATCCATATGTATCTTGGCGACATTCGGTCCCAAAACCATCCCTCTTCCCCGTTCAGCTTCATGGCATACACCACTTGCATAAATACATAGAACACAAAGTCATCGCTCACAAAGATTTGGTTTCCAATCGTAGTATCCACAGGCCCAAGAGACATATGCCTCTGTACCACATAAATTCGGTTAGAGCTCTCAAAAACCCTCATCACCTTCATCACATAAGGCGAGTTGTTGAGTTCATGCTCTAGTAAAAAACCCATCAATAACGGCTGGTAGTACGAAGAAATCCCAGAAAGATCTGCCTCCTCAAGAATAACCTTTTCTCCAGTCACTACATCTACGGCAGAGCTTATCACAATCCTCCTGTCTCTCCGGATCTCGGTTATCTCCCTGTATCCATCCAAGCTCTCTGTCATTGTTTTTCTATGCATCTGTTTTTTAAACAAATCATTTGGAATAATTTATAGTAATGACACTTGATAAACCATTTAATCGATTCGCTCAAATCTACATCCAACAGACTTATACTCTCCGCAGAGAAATAGAGATCCATGCACAATGCTAGAAGCCTCTTTGTCCGCCGAGATATTGATCACTCCTCCATCACATCTTACACTAACTCTGCTCAGCAAATCAAGGCCCCCAAAGCCCCGGATAAGCCCGCTCACAAACTCCTTCAGAGCTCGGTCTTCGATCAGAACACCCTTTCTGCCAAAAACCCTAAAATTAGTTGCTTCCACTTACAATCTATATCGCAACTCCATTCAGCCGAGGGGTGTCCCGCCAAAAATCCATCTCTCAATACCAAATAGTAAATAAGTCCTTTAATGTATATCAGAGTCCAGTGATCACTCCTTTCTTTCTGCTTTCATACATTCCAGAGTAACTGCAAGCTCGCATTTCTCTGCAAACAGCGTCTCGTTCTCTATAAGAGCTTCAGACAACGCATTCTTAAGGTCGATGACCTCTTGGTTCTCTTTCCCTTCAATTATCTCCATACATTTCTTCAGGTCATACTTCAACGAATAGTCCCTGGTCGTTGCGTAGACACCCTTCAGGAAGTGGAGCACCCTTCCCTTGTCACTTTCCCCTTCCTTACTCTTTGTCTCCAGTCTTTTGGTAGCATTCGTTGTCTCGTTCAAAACAGGCCGCATAAACTCCCAGGATCCTGGATTTTCTTGAAATCCTTAGGCTTGGCGGGAAAACTTCCCTCCATCAGAACATAGAGAAAGGCCGTATTCAATTCTTTAATAAGATAGGTTTCAGGAAACACATCGTCTGCCAGATCACCCCTTCTTGTGAAACAGTGTTCGTGGAAGCATCATGGTAAGTGCGCTCCTACATGTATTATATTTGTCCTTTGTGTCAAAATGCAACTCAACCACCTTCTCCCCAACATTAATCCGAAGAAAGTTCTCTAAATATACCTTGTTACTCGTGCTTGGATCAAAGCTTGCATCCACGAGGTTTATTGTCCCAACAAGGCTTCTCGAATGCTCGTTAAATATAAAGATCATGTATCCATAGCATCGAACATATCTTCTCTTCCATAGGTTGGTACATGCCTTTTCAACATCTCCCCGGACATTCACAAATCCTCTAAACCATATGTTATAAGAAAACTTCTTCACCACCAGCCACTTGCTGAGGGACTTAAGGTCCTGAGGAAGAGGCGCAGGAATCAACCTAAGCTCATCGTCCGACACAAACGACAAGTAAATCTTCAGGCTCCATGCATCAGGTGCTCCACTTGTAAAAAAGCTTCGAATGCTTTTAAATAGATTCCTCGACACATAGTTGTCCCATGCCAATCTACTTTCGAGAAGATTGTTATGTATTGAGCGGATTCTACTTCCGTCAACCACAAGCACAGTTTCACACGACTTTACTATATTTCCAGACCTGTGGTACAGGAGAAGTATAAATCTCAGAGGTGTTCCATTGCTCTCGGCCTTGTTGATGGGGACTTGCAGCATCTCGTTGATTCCTATGTCCGGCTGCACTGGATATTTCTTTGTCTCATAGAAGATCCCCTTCGATTCAATCTTAATAGATACACTCTCCACCTCCTTCCTGGATGTCATGAACCTCTCGACCTGGTCTATATGAATAAACAAATGTCCCGGATACCTATTGATAATCACCTTCCCAGGAAGAGCCATACTTTCCTCCTTAACAAAAAGATGGCTTCCTTCCTCATGAAGTACCCTCCTCATTGGTGTCTGAGGTATAACAGTGGTCAATACACTGGGTGTTGCTGGATAGAGGGCTTGCGATGCTTTTACAGCATCTTCTCCTTCTTCCTTTCTGTTTTCGATATTCTCTTCCTTCTTCTCAGCCTCCACCTCTTCATCCACTGTATTTTCCCTATTAATCTCGGATACCTCAGGTACTTCCTCAACTTTGTCGTCTTTGCAGACTCTCTCACACACCATCTCATCAACATCAGAGCACTTTGAATTCTCCTCTTTTAATTCGATGCCAGATAGTTCTTCGTTAAGCTCCTGGAAATCGACATTGAACTTCCCTTCCGCCTTCTCTTCCTTCTTAACCTCACTTCTCTCAATAACAATACTTCTCCCAGCCCCTTGAATTCTACCTCGTCCTCTCATCCTGTTTTTTCTTGCTCCCATGCCTTTGGTTTGGATTCAGAATTCTATTTATCTCAGTAGTCACAGAACTAGAGATGTTTCAGAATCTCATCTTCAAGGAACCAATCATATCTCTTCCTTCATAACACATCCTTTTCTTATTCTGCAGGACCTGATCAGCCTCCCAGAGTTCTGCAGTATCTTCCTTCCACAGTCTCCACTCGTTCCAAGTCCTCCCAATATCTTTATAATGTCATGGGAACTTCTCATCTCTGTACAACATGACGCCCCGCTCCCAACCACAACATTCACTCCCCCCGTGATCTCCACAAGTTTTCTGGCATTTCTCATCCATACAACTTTGTTTCTCTGGCCATACATCCCACACACCAATGGAATCTCAAGAAATATATTTCTCTTCACAGCTTCAAAAACTTCGTCCTTTCCGAGACAGAAGCTCCTGGAATAATCAAATGTAATCACGTCTGGAGAAACCTCGAGAGCTTTCTTAAAGTCTTCAACCCCTTCTATTCTCACCGAAAGCACATCAGGATTCACCATCTTTCTAACTTCACTCCACTTCTCATTATCCTTGTATCTTACCTCTATCCTCTCATAGGCCTTCTCGTCCTTCCACACATCAAGAAGGGGACTGCTCCATCCTTCCAGGTTGTCCAAGCCAACAACAGTGTTTATGCAGATTCCATCCCATCCAAGCTCCTTTAAAACATCCAGATCCCCTCTTGGGCATCTGTTACTTACATTTACATCAAAGAACATCGAGCCTTGGAAAGGTAATCAAAAATACAAGTCTTATTAGTCGTAGACTTTATTTTGTAAAAAATCAATTTTTGTACAGAGACAGTACAAAGTCCCTTTTTAGGGCCCCTTCATCCACACTGTGCACAATCGAGTCTCTGTAGCAATGCCTTTTCATTGCACACCTCTTTAAAAGCCTCTCCGAGTTGAGCATCACTTCCAGTGCTCTTTTCTCCCCAAGTCCAAACATCTCAAGCATCTTAACAACATCTCTGACTTTCTTAATCTCCATGGAGCATTGGGCCCCACTGCTAACTACAATGTTCTTCCCATTTGTAATAAACAGCAGTCTCCGTACATTCCGGATCCACATGATGGTTAAAGACCCTCCTCTCAAGCCCTCTCTCATCGGTATCTCAAAGAATATGCCTTCCCTGATTGCCGTCTTGACAAGTCCGGGCTTAAATGGAAGGACTTTTCCACCATAGTCAAATGTAATCATATCTGGCTGATGTTTTATTATCTTATCCATTCCCTCTGTCCCGCTCAGCTTCACAACAAACAGATCATATCTCATTGCTTTTCTAAAGTCGTATCCAATCTGCTCTCCCTCTCCAAATACAATCTCCGCACGGTTGTAGTAACGCTTTGCCCCAGGAAACTCAAGAGATCCATGGGAAAGTCTTTCGAGGTCCTTGGGCCTCATAGTCTTATTCACACAAAACCCTTCGTATTCACTTTTCTCCAGCTCCTCGATATCTTGCTTTGGATAATCCAGACTAATATTCACGTCGTAGTACATCAGGGTAACCCCAGCCCTTGATTACATGTCCGCAACCCTCAAATCCTTCTTATAATCGTTCGGACCCCTTCCACAGCCTGCTGACAATGCTCATGAAGAACTGGCCCCAAATATAATGAGTTACTAACTGCCATGTCAAGATCAAACTCCAGTCCACCTATTGTCCGATATAAGTCGTGGAGGATCTTTTCTTCAATAATCCCTAGGTTGACAGTAGAAGTTGCATTCTCGTAGTAAGACGGATTTGACTCTCTTCTCAGGGTTACGTAAAGTCCTCTGTGCATTCTCCTTTGCCTGAGTACTTTTAACATCTCGGTCTTCATATCCCCAGGAAATAATGCCCTTGGAATTAACATGTCCAGCCTCTCAACCAGGACAGAAGTCCCTCCAGAATCAACTACAAGATGGATTCCTCGAACTCCAGACACCCTTCCTCGAGATATTATCCCATTTGACACAAAACTTATAAAATCCCCTGCCCCAGCATTCATCTGTTCTCTTAACAAGAGCACAGGAGATGATCCAGGATACCTGTAGTATCTTATCGAAAAGCTCTCGTCTCTAAGGCCCAGCCCCACCTTAAGAAATGGTGGGCTGTACCTGACTGCCTCAAGACTTCTCACTTCGTAGTATCCAGAGCATATTTCTTGCCCCTTAAACTTCTTTCTCCCATCAAACATTTGAAATTCTCTCAGGCCTTCGGAGTTTAGGTAAACAACATCTCCCGGCTGAGGTACCATACTTGGAGACGACAGCCACGATTGAACATACTGCCTTAGCTCCTGCTCTCCATGCCCTATCCCTCCAGACAATCCAATCACATATCGGTCATCACTGTTTTCTGCTAGTTCACTTCTTTCGCTGTCGTTAATACTACTACGAGGTCCTGCACAATGCTCAGCACCCCTCCTGTCCATACCGTCCCCTCCCTCTAGCGACAGAATGCGGATTCCGTTTTCTTCATCCTCCACAGCCTGGTCTCTATTGAATCTCCTTAACCTTCTTACAATTCCTGTTGGACTTAAATCGTTCTCAACATCCTCCGAGACCCGGGTGTTTCTTCTCAAAACAGGCACCATCTCCGAGGACTCATCACTGATAACAAGGGATCTTCTTACAGGTGCCCCTTTGTCTTCAAACAATATTTCTTCATCTCCTGTCATGTCTGTAGATTCCTCGTAAAACCCACTGGATGTGTCTCCCTCTAGGATGCTGCTGCTATACTCAGATATCATTGTCTGCTCCACAGACTGTGTCTCCCCAGGCAAGGGAATGTTCATGTACTTTTTTCGGAATGCTTCAAGACCTACAAAGTCTTTCACAAAGTGCTTTGATCCCAGATCCTCAACCTTTACACAGTCGTTGGACTTCTTTGTAATGGCATATTCCACTTGGAACCAATCTTCGTTCCTCTTTCTATCCGACTCATAAGTGGATTCTCTCCTGCACTCAACAACTCCATTCCACTCAGTAGAGTTAAGGTGGTCAAGGTCGGATTCAAAAAACTGCTCCTTCGGTGGCTTTGGTAGGAAACTCATCGAAAGTACCCTTACCACTCCTCTTTCGTCTCCAAACACAAAGAACTCTCCATCATTCGAAAACTGGCCATCATTGGCTGCAAAGCTCAGCATCTCCTCGTAGATCAGCTTGTCCATGCTATATATTCGAAGGCTACTACCGCAGAGGGCAAATATGTTCTCCAGAGGATGTGGATATGCAATCCCCATTTCCGGTATGTCTATTATGCATCTAAGCTCAGATCCCGCAAATATCCTTATCTTCAAATCAGTGCATATGCAAACGAGAAAATTGTCCCGGAGATAGCATATCCTCTCGATCGACTCGTTCTCCCCAATGTCAATCTTGGTGATAGATCTTTTCCAGTGTCCCTCTAACGACGTGTCCTTTGTTCTCCTTTTGAAGTTTCCCATTCCAGGATTTCCCTCTGCAAAGAATGTCCATTGGAATATTTGAGAGTCGCACGCTGCTGCTATCTTAAGACCCTTCTTCGATCCGCATATGGTATTCACCGGCATTCCATTTGTCTCAAGAACTATGCATCCATCGGAGTTCTGGGTGTCGAAGACAACAAGAAATGGCCACCATCCACTACACAGAAGAAACCTTCCCCCATCTGTAAAGCACAGGCCCTTGATGGACTCGTCAAGAAGACAAAGGTTTTCAGACTCAGACACTATCCTTCTCTCATCAAACCTGTATGTCTTGATAACACCCTTCGACAAAACAACAATCAGATTATAGGTAGATAGGTCGTCTGTGTCAAAAAATTCGGTAAAGACAATCTCGCATTCCAGTTCAAGCTGGAGGAGCATTTCAAACCTCTCCAAGGACCAGATGCTCAGTAATCCGTGGGAATCACACGAAACAAGGACTTTCCCATCACTACTAACACAAAGGTCGCTCACAAGGTTTCGGTGGCCTATGAAGCTGTATACCAAAAGCCCTGAGTAAATGTCCCAGAGCTTGATCATTCCATCAGAGCCTCCAGACATAAAGAATCTATTTCCTTGGTCAAAGCATATTCTATCAACCTGTCCAGAATGCCCGAGAAGCTCCATACTGCTTCTAAACATGTCTCCCATTCCATTCCATATGGAATTCCTCTTTCCCCACACCAGTACTTCCTGAAAACCACTCAGCTCCCTCCTCTTGTACTTGTAACTTCGTGCATACTCCTTAAAGTCCGTTATCTTTGCTCTCCTCAGCATCTCCCTCATGGCCCTCTCCAGCTCCTCGCTCCGGAGCTCGGAATCTCCCTTTCCTTGAGACTTCAGATGCTCGTAAAAAGCCACAAAGGCCTCTATGTCCGACATTCCAAGGGCTAATGGAGAGAGATTTCTCTAGAAACGATCAACTCACCAATCATGAAAAACATTTTATTTAGATTCAAGAGTATCGACTGTCTCCACAATGGAATCCCTAATCGGGTATATAAGGCCGCATTCATCACACGTCAGGCTTCCCTCTACAACATCGACTCCAAACAAAAGCTCCTTTATCCTTTCATCGTCGTCTGGATCCTCGACAAAGGATCCGATCTCCTGCTCCGAAAGTAAATTGCCAAAAAAGCCCTGTAGACTTTCAACAAGAAGTTTGAGTCTCTCTCCTCCATTCTCTGTAAACGTATGCTTGTTGAAAATCTTTGCATTTCCATCTATGCTGCTTCTCTTCACCTTTTCGCATCGAGGAACTAGTCTTGATGTAAACGAACATCTTTTGCACTTGAGGAGGCCTAGAAGAAACGGCTTCATCTGATGGGGTCTGCATATAATTGTTATCCAAGAAGTCTATCAAAGAGACTTTAAAACAGGGTAAATCCATCTGGGTTCCATCCCACTATACAGAATGGACACTTCCAAAGACCTTGAGATCAAAACGAAGATAAGGCTAAAACTCCTTGCCATAGATAAGATGCTTACTGAGGACCTTGGAAAAGAGGAGATTAAAGAGCTAAGGCAAAGAATATGGCAGCTCCTTGGAAGAAAGGAGGAGATGAAATCGGGAATATCAAGGCCAACTGCTACCACAAAGGATCTTTACAGGGCCAATGAAGCCTATGAGGGATACAGCCTCTAATGAAGTTCTAGGGCGAACATCTCTCTAGAAAAAAATTTCGACAGAAGCCCCGGAAATATGGCTGCCGAGAAGAAGACAGAAGTTCTTGAGAAGAAGATCTCAATAAAGCCCCGCAACAAGATAACAAGGGGTGTTCAGGTGGAGACTCTCATGAAATGTGCCGACAATAGTGGAGCAAAGATCCTCCGATGCATTGGAGTAAAGAGGTACAGAGGAAGGCTCAACAGGCTTCCTGCAGCAGCGCCTGGGGATATATGTGTCGTGTCCGTTAAAAAGGGAAAGCCTGAGCTCCGAAAAAAGGTGCATTATGCCATTCTTATAAGGCAGAAGAAGATCTGGAGGCGCACAGATGGATCTCACATTATGTTTGAGGACAATGCTGCAGTCCTCATCAACAACAAGGGAGAGTTGAGAGGAGCCCAGATAGCTGGCCCAGTCCCCAGAGAAGTTGCCGACATGTGGCCTAAGATATCATCCCAAGCATCGTCTATCAACTGACAATAAACCAGTTTTATTCTTGACGTGGTCTAAAGCTTTGTATCTTACTTGTCTTGAGTATCAGGACAGGAAATCATTTCACTTTCCGTTCTTCAAAGCTGGACTCATTGTTTCTCATCTCAAGCATTTCCTGTCTATTTTTATGGAGGACTAGTCTGCTCAGAAGCGGAGAGGGAATGCAAAGCATTAGAAGATACATAATAAAATGGGGAAAGTACGGTATAGACATCTTTGCCGACCCAAATGTGCCCAGGATCGATGATGCAAGTGTGTCCGAGGACGGCCTCAGGAACGAAGACTTCTCTCCATAGTCCTCGCACGATACATTCCCAACTCCCATATACTCTATGTTTATGTTATATCCAGACAACTCATAATAGAGAGAGTCCGACAAAGTCTTTAGGGCCTGTTTCGAGCATCCAAATGCAGAATACAGAGGTGTCGATGCTTCTGCCATCAAAGATCCGATGTTGATGACATACCCATATCCGCTGTCCATCATGTTGACAAGCACATGTCTTGTCAGAGACATCACCCCAACAAGGTTAGCATTCATGATGTCTTCTACAGTTTGCTCCACAAAGTATGCTGGGCTGTCCTCTATTGCACTTACACAGTTGATCAGAATTCCTATGTCATATCTTTCTATGAACGACAGGTTGGGGTTTCTTTTGTAGTCCACAATGTGCATGTGGCACTCGGTCATCCTCCCTATCTTTGCATGGAGTCTTGTGAGCCGGGACTCGCTTCTTCCAACAAGGAGAATCTTCATTCCTTTTTCTGCAAACTTCCTGGCCAGCCCCATTCCAACCTTTCCTGTTGCTCCATTGATGAGAACATACTTCTTCTTCAATCCTTCCCACACTTGATGGTTTCTACACTTCGAGTATATGTACTGGTATATGGTCGGGAGTATCTTCAACATCATGTATGACACGCCTAGATAAATTAGCTGGATAACCATTTCCAGGGCACTAGAAGAAAAATAATTTGAATACACTTTCGAGTTGCCAGAAGAATGTTAATTAAGTGTTTTGATTATTCTTCTCTTTGTACTTGTCTCCCTTGATCTGTTTCAAAATCTGTTTGAGCCATTTACAGTTACCACAATTCCCTTTCTCCAAGATAAACAAAAATGGACTCTGCCATCGCACCACTTCTGCTTTTTGCAGCAGTGCTTGTTCTTGGAGCCACTGCCGTAAATCTCATTGTGTTGAGAGCGAATAGCAGTCCGGAGGTCTCTGGCACAAAGTACATAGAGGAAATCCAGTCCACAAGAGCAAAGGGACTCATGTTCCTTCTTCTGGTTCTTGTGCTTACAAGCATTTATTACTTCCTTTGCACACAGAACTACCTCGAGGGAAGTCCTCCCAACTTTCTCAAGGTGATCCGCATGGACAGCCATTCCTTGAAGATGCTTGAGCTGTGTACCAGAAACATTCAAAAAAGCTTTATGTTTTATGCAACTGCCCTTGTCATTCCTCTGGTGTCATCGAGGAGATTCCGGGTGCTGGGTGTCGACGAAAAGGTTTCAATTGCATTTGTAAGGTACTATTCACTCTTTGGAAGTTTTTTGTATCCGTTTATCTTCCACGTTTCCAATGGATATGATCTTGGAGGTTATTTGGTAGAAGTTCTAAACATAGCAGAGAATTCCCTGCTGCTTTTACTGTACTTTGCATTGCTTCAAAAAATATGGAAGATGCATGATGTCCTCTCATACACACAGATCATCACCAAGTTTGAGATCGAAGAGGTTCTTGGAAGGGTCAGCCCCAAGATTGTTGGCATTATGGCATATTTGTGTGCGGACATGGCTTCCGGAGCATTTAGAATGGCAAGGATGTTTTTTCCTGTAGAATATGGCTTGGGAATTCCTACCAACTCGCTTGCAGAAACGGCCTTCTTCGTGGGGCTATGCTACTACTCGATTAAGTTCCTGGTTACCCCGGGGAACGGCATCTGTGAGTCTATCCAGAAGATGGAAGGCATAAAGAAGCATGTTGCGTCGGGTTTCTTAAATCTTGAACACAGGAGTGGGGACGATATGATGGATGTTTCCACAATTCCAAATATCTAACTCCATTGCAAACGAAACAAAGGCGGGGTTTGGAGACCCCTCATGGGGTTCCTGAACAAGTTGGTGATAACTGTGAAGAAGCCCACAAAGAGGTCGAAACAAATCTGCATGCACATACGTAGGATGCTGGAGCCTAATGTCACTGCCAAACTTAGAGACAGAAACACAACAGTGAAGTCTTATCTAGATGTTGCCGATGCATTGGAGCTATCTCACTTCATTCTGGTGGATGCAAGAGACATCAAGATCGGAGTCCGGCCAAAGGGTCCTACATATGTATTCAACGTAGTCGACTACAACCCGAAATACGTTAGGGTGGAAGAAGAGTATTACAAGAGCGATCCTTGCATTACGTTCACAGGAGAAAGCGACCTCAAAGGCTTGTTTCTATCTCTGTCGTCCCAGCCCGAAGCATTCAAGAGAAGCCTGCACTTCTACTTCGATGGAGATCTTATTCACATAAGGCATTATGCCATTCTCACAAAAGAGGAGGAAGACATAAAGGTTGGGTTCAATGAAATAGGGCCCCGGATCACAATGAAGCTTGTTAAGAAGATGGATGGGTTTTTTGAGTAGGGTTATCCGTTCAAATAAAGCACTTAGAGGCATCTATCTTTATTCAGGAACTTATTAGTCTTGAAAAGTCCATCTCCAAAGTTGCAGTGAATTATCTTTTCCCTTATCCATGGGCTAGTGAGTCTTGAGAGCTGGACGTATCTCTTGTCCAGTAGCACAAGTACGGCATAGTCGTCTCTGTGTCTCAGCGCCCTCCCCAGAGCTTGATTCACCGTTTTCATTGCTATGGCTGTAGTGTATCCACTCCCGTTGAATTTGGCTCTTTCTTTAAGTTCTAGATCTTGGCTTGGATAGGGAACTCCAACAACCACAAGTAGTCTGCAGAGACTATCGTTGAAGTTTACTCCTTCGCTAAGGCTTCCCCCCATCACAGCAAAGAGAATACAAGGGCTTCTTCTAACCTCCTGCACGTATTCCTCAAAGGTTACCGAGTCTTCGTAGAGAGCTTTCTTCGATCCTATCGTATCTCCACATGCCTCCTTAAGTATTTTGAGATATGCTTTTGAGGGCAGGAAACATACCATCCCTCCACTTCTGACTGCATTCGATAGGTTGAGTATGGATGAAGCTACGTCCTTGATAGACATTGGACTCTCCCTTGTTTCATAGTTCACTACAATCTCTTTTCCAGACGGCCCTGACCGAATCACAATCGGCAAGAAGTCCTTGCAGACACTTCCATATGAAAAGTATTTGGGGCTTCTCTTTCTAAGTGCAGAGACAAGCTGGTCAATAGGTTCCATCGTCCCTCCAGCCAGTAGCAACGACCTGCATTCGAGCACATCTTCAAAGTACATGGATGCATCTAGAGGTGTAAATTTGATTCCCTTTGAACTGTAAAGGATCCTCCCGCTTTTGTCACTCATTGTTAGAAGAGACAGAAACTTCGATATCTCAGGAAGTTTCATATTCAGGTCCTTCTCAAACCCCTCCAGCTTCCTTGAAATCCCGCTAACGGCTATGTAGTCCTCGATCTCAAGCATGTTGAAGTCCTCAATACCAGCCCCGAGCAGAAACTCCGAAACACCCATCACTCCTTCATCTCCCTCCATGTCTCTGCAGTGTACACACCTGAAGCTCCCTATCTTCTTGAGTACCTCCATAACCCTCTCAAACTGCCCATCCCTTTTCATCCTCCCCCCATATCTTTTCTTGTAGAGTTCCATCGCTTTGACATATCTATCTACTGTTCCAAACGATATACTTGCTGTGTTCATCTGTATCACAGAATCATAAATGTTATGTGCTTCATCCACAACCACAATACTTCCTTTCACATCAATATCTGCACTTTTCCTTCCCTCTCTGGTGAATAACAACTGATAGGGAAGAAATACAATGTCGCATTGCTGCGAGTAGCTTCTGGCAGTATAGTACGGACAGAACCTCTCTCTCCCCCCTGTAGCAAGTAGATCCTCCACATCAATCACCCCATATCCATCAAACTCTTCGCATCCGTCATGGAGCATGCACTTTCCCTCCTTGACTGCCTCCTTGCACGCTTCGTTCATTTCATCGGAGCTCTTATACTTCCGAATCTCTTCATTCAGGCAGTAGATCTTTCTGGATCCTAGTACAACCGAATTGCATCTTACACCTAGCTTCTTGAGTTCATTAATAGCTTGTGCCAGCTGAGTATGTGTTCTTGTGCAATAGAACACTGCTTTCCTGGACCCCTGGAAAAGTATCTTCTCCAGCATTCTGTTTCTACAATCCATCTCTGTCTCCTCTATGTCCATATAATCTGCCACTGCGCTGAGAAGAGAGATCGTTTTGCCCGTTCCGGTAGGACTCGAGAATATTCCAACAGATCCGCCATCAATCACCCTCCTCGCATCTTCTATAAATAACTTCTGGGATTCGTATAGCTCGATCCTGTCCATCCCAGGGAGGCAGAAAGGAAACTAAAAAGAAAACCAAAGAACCAGTTTAATCCGATTTTCTAAGCTCCAATGGGACAATTGTCCCAGAAGACAATCCGCAATAAAGAGTGTTGCCAGAAAACGCTAGGGATAGGCATCGAACTCCGTTTCCAATTTCCTTAAGGTTATAATTTGCAATAATCCTTGAGCTGATTGTCTCCCAAATAATTACGGACTCATCTGTCCCTAATGCAATCACAGGCTCAGTCTCTCCAACTGCAATCGACCTAACAGGAATGAGCGTGTCAAGACTCTGTATGCACTCCTTGGAGTCTAGCTTCACAAGATATACCTTCCCACTCTTCTCTCCATATGTCAGAATCGACCCGTCCTTCGAAAATGCCATTGCAGTGACACTCTTCGACTCGTCGTAGTCTGCAGGGGAAACCTTCTTCTCCTTTGCCTTCTCATAGTCAACATACATCCCTCCAAGATATGTCTGCATGTGCTCCGGAGCATCCAAGTCCCAGATCTTCACAGTCCCATCTGTGGATCCGCTTGCGAGAATGTTCTCCTCAATCGGGTGGAACGCAACACAGTTGATCCATCCTCGATGCATCTTTTCCGTCTCCTTCCCAATCTTTGCAATCAGCTCCCCTCTTGTGTTATAGAGGTTCATCGTCCTGTCAACAGACCCACTGACTATCTTTGTATCGTTGCTGTTGATGCTCACACACAGAACATCTCTACTATGCCCCTCAAGGGGCTTTGATTTTTTGGCCTCTGTGTCCCAGATCCTCCCTATCCCGTCAGATCCAACAGTCACCATCATGCTTCCGTCCTTAGACACATCAATCCCGTTAATTCTCTTGCTATGCCCCCCTTCATATAACTTAAGTATCTTGCCAAACTCAGAGTCAATCTTGCTGTGCAGATCCCAGCTGAAAACCTTCTTGTCCTTCGATGAGGAGTACAGGATCTCCTTTCCAGATACTCGCACAACCTTCAGGCCCTTGACCTCGTCCTTGTGCCCGTTCAGATATTCCAAAACCTCCAGCTCGGCCGATGACATTTTCAGGGATCAAAAATTTTCAAAGAAATCCGCTTTACCAAAGATCATTTATTCTTAAGCGACTTCAGGACATCCCCAACCACTGCGCTTACAGACTTTACTATCCCCTCCCTTCTGCTACGGATCCTAGATTCAAAGTGCACATACTCCCCTTTTCTAAGACATACATTGATCAGCACACATACGTTCTGGAGAGTCATACAAGCTATGTTCCCAACAGCATAGCTCTCGTCGTACTCGATGTCCAGTATCTCCCCGTTCAGGACCTTGCTCACCTCCTCAAATATCTCTTCCAAGGTTCTTCTGGTAACAAACTTGAGTGTGTATGTGTTTTCCCACTCAAGCTCCTTCCACGTCTCTCGGAATTCGTCAGAGTCCATCTTCTTTGGCTCGAGAAACTCCGACACTGCCGTTCTTACCTCCGCCAAATTGATTGTATACACCGTGTTGGCATACTCTCCACATTCGTCAGGATACCTGAAGGTTATGGATCCACTTATAAACCCATTCGATCCTTCGATGATTCTGAATGTAAATCTCTTGGTCACCACTGACCTACTGGACAACGAAAACGGCGTGTTGATGAATGTTGCATTAAATCCCTGGCTGGTCACAAAGTCCAGTAGTATGTTTTGAAGATAGGACGAGGTCTGGTTGATAAGAAGCATATCCATCACAACCTCGTGCCGGGTGTAACTTGTAGTGGCCTCAACATAGATGGGATCCGACAGCCCTGTCAGCTGGGTTACATTCCTCATTTCTCCGCTCCCGCCTTCATCCTTTCTCAGAAACTCGCAAAGCTTATTTTGATTCCTTTCATCACCGGGTCGCACCCCAGGAAGTACAATAGGGTCCAGAACATTCTCCCTGCACCGTACTTGCCTATCAAACTCAATCCCCACCTCCTCATCACAAGACATCAGAGATCTAATACATGATATTATTGTCGAATGGGAACTCACATCGATAGTCTTGCTTTCCTTCCCGTATTCAACAAACTTTAGCATGATCCCAATAACCCTGTCCTTTTGGTCTTCTCCAAATGTCTTGCACATCTTAGCCAATTCAATGCACATAAATGCTCCCAAAAACGTCTGTGTGTTTTCTAAATACAAAGGCTTGCTGGAAAGCTCAAACGAACAGTCCAGCATCTCAACAGTACTGAGGAAGATCTCCTTTGTGGCATATTTCCTAAGAACCTCAAAACAGCACCTCAATATCTTCCCATACTTCACCGCGTTTATCTTATTCACCAATGTCTTCAGATGGCCGATATATCCTATTGTTTCTCTCTGCCCAGGCATAGTATTCTTCCTCATGACCTCGAAGCAAGAGGAGAGAAATACCAAGGATCCATAGCTCATCTCCGGATTGTCCGACACAATGTTTTTCAATGACTCAGAAATCATCTCTTCGCTGTAGGATGAATAGACATCAGCAAAGTATGCCATCTTCTTCAGGAGAAGCACCTTGAAGTTCTGGTTCTGCGATGATGCATCATGAGTATCAATGAACTTCGATCCCAGGAACTCGGAGATTCGCAGAAACTCGTGGGTCTCTGCAATCTTGAAAGCAAGGTCCAGGCACTTTGAACAAAGACTCAAGTCGTACGGGTCTATAAGTTCCAAGAAGCTCATTGCATATCCTGAAAACGAGTATGTGGAGAGCAGAAGCTCGTCAACAGCATATTCTCTGAATTCGGGAAGATCTGCAAGACACCTCAGTATGGTGTCTGTACTTCTCTTCAACAACTCTTCGTCGCTACTAATCCTGTGAATCGATATCCCCGCTTCAAGCGCCGTTTGGAAATCCCCGGAAAAAAGGAACCTCTCCAGAAGGCCTGGGTCGCTAGTCTTCTCTATGATGGCCGTGGAAAGCTCGCTTGGTATCGACAAGTCCACCTCGTTAGCATACTTCAATGCCAAGTCTGGATCCGTCTGGTGCAGAGAGACAAAGGCCTCCCGCAAACAGTTTGGATCCAGGTCTCTGAGCAGTGCATGGTACAGAAGGTCTGGAATTTCCTTGTATGTGTCCATCTTCAGGAAGATCTCTCCAAGACAGAAGTATGCATTTCTTCGAACATATGCGTTCGGATGGTTGAGGTTGTCTTTGATCAACTTGTAGAAGTTCCCTACAAGTTCCTGGTCGTCCAGAGTACTGACAAATCTCATTACAAACCCTCGGACATACTCATTTGGATGCTCAAGATCCTTTCGAACTTGATTAGACAGAAGAAGTATCTCCTCAAACGACTGAGATCCTCTGGATTTCGGAAGTAGCTCTAGATAGTAATAGAATAGCCTCTTAAGCTCGTTGCTCTTCACCACTAAGGTCTCCTTTGTTACTTTGTGTGTAAGAGAGCCAAAGTCCTCTCCCTGGCTCATCTGTGCTATTATCTGTTTCATTCCTTCAGCCTTGTCCTCCTCGTTGTTCGACCCCAGCTTCTGCATTATCTCGTCTTTCCTCATCCGTGTTGATGTGTTTAGGTACAGAGAAGCCTGCATCTTCGGGGCTCAAAATCGAATACAAAATATCCCAAAGTGCACTTCCAGCCAGCATTGCCCATTGCTCACATGGAAGCCCAACTCCTCTTTCTAAGGAATTAATTCCAGACTCCATCCTCCCCAAGAATGTCCGACTTCCTCAAGGCATGTAACGAAATTTCTGGCGAGATCATTAGACTCTACAAGCAAGAGAAGAAGATAGATGTGAATGCAATCAAGTCCAGGGTGTGCAAGAAGTACAACCTCGGGGCTACTCCGCGTGTGGTGGACATAATCTCGTTTATTCCACCCGAGTATGGGCATCTGATTCAGCAGCTTAGGGTGAAGCCGGTTAGGACTGCATCTGGGGTTGCTGTTGTTGCAGTGATGTGCAAGCCCCACAGATGCCCCCACATAGCACTAACGGGGAACATATGTGTATACTGCCCTGGAGGCCCCGACTCCGACTTTGAATATTCTACACAATCGTACACGGGATATGAGCCGACAAGCATGAGAGCCATAAGAAGTAGATATGATCCATTTGAGCAAGCACGAGAAAGACTCAAGCAACTCAAAAGCCTTGGGCATAATGTGGACAAAGTCGAGTACATAATAATGGGGGGAACGTTTATGTCCCTGCCCGAATCCTATAGAGACCACTTTATCTCAAGGCTGCATGATGCCCTGAGCGGGCATACATCTGCCTCGGTAGAAGAGGCAGTGAGGGTTGGAGCAGAAGGACGGTTGAAATGTGTTGGGATAACAATAGAGACAAGACCGGATTTCTGTGTGCGTCCACACCTCAGTAAGATGCTAAGCTATGGATGCACGAGGATTGAGATAGGTGTTCAAAGCGTGTATGAAGATGTTGCCCTGGATACCAACAGAGGACACACGGTTGGAAGTGTGTGTGAATCCTTTGGGCTTTCTAAGGATGCCGGGTTCAAGATAGTTGCACATATGATGCCTAACCTTCCAAATGTTCCTATGAAGAGGGATCTTGCACAGTTCCGAGAATACTTCGATAACCCTAGGTTCCGGAGTGACGGGCTGAAGATATATCCTACTCTCGTAATTAAGGGGACAGGACTTTTTGAGTTGTGGAAGAACAACAAATATAAGAACTATTCCCCCGACGAGCTGATTGATCTCCTAGCAAGGATTCTTTCATTTGTACCTCCATGGATGAGAGTCTACAGAGTGCAAAGAGACATTCCGATGACATTGGTAAGCTCTGGGGTGGAACACGGCAACATAAGAGAACTCGCACTTGCCAGAATGAAGGACTACAGAACAAGGTGCAGAGATGTAAGGACTAGAGAGGTTGGAATCAAGAATATTCATGAAAGTGTCTTACCAGAAGAAGTAGAACTTGTGAGGAGAGATTATGTGGCCAACAAGGGTTGGGAGACATTCCTTAGCTATGAAGATGTGAAGCAGGATATTTTGATAGGGCTTTTGAGGCTGCGCAAATGCAGTGTGGACACGTTTCGAAAGGAGTTGAAGGGCCTAGATCCACCTTCGGAAACAGGTGGAGAAAGTCCTCGGGGAGGGAAATACCATCCTGCTGTGGTTAATGGAAATGCATCCATGATAAGAGAACTCCACGTGTACGGGAGTGCGGTGGCCATAAACAAGAGCGATGAAAGAAAGTACCAGCACCGGGGATATGGCACACTCCTGATAGCCGAAGCCGAGAGGATTGCAAGGGACGAGCATGGATCAAGCAAGATCGCAATTATCTCGGGAGTAGGGACCAGGAACTACTACTCCAAGTTTGGGTATGTCCTGGAGGGCCCGTACATGGTCAAGGACCTATGCTAAGCCCTGAAGATTATATTAAACAAAATTTTATTTGATGAATTTTATCTGGCTTCTCTCCAAAGTAGAAGGTAACTTCCGAGAGCCAAGGATCCCCTGGTTCATTCAGTATCTTTTGTTTTTGAGTTGTCCAATCTGGAGATCATCCTCGATAAGGAAATCTCCCAGGTCTTCCTCTGTAGTCGTGTTTGACACCCCTGGATCCATATCTATCGTTCGACACTCTCACCATGTCCTCGAGATCAGAAGGAACCGTCTGATTGGCTTCTCTTAGCATCCGGATCAGCTCCCGTGCATTTCCTTTGTCGTTGATTGTAAAGAATGTATGCGATATCCCCTCCTTTGTGTTGCCTCTTGCCGTCCTTCCAATTCGATGCACATAGTCCTCGCATGTCCCTGGGAAGTCGAAGTTGATCACAAGCTTGACGTCATTTACATCAAGTCCTCTTCCTGCAACCTCTGTGGCAATTAGAATCGGCCTCCTCCCTGATCGGAAGTCATCAAGAACTTTATCTCGAATGTTCTGCGATTTGTCTCCATGCAATGCTGCAGCCCCATACCCAGATCTATTCAGAACATACTCCAAATCGTCGCATGTTCTTTTCATGTTGCAGAACACAATGACCTTGTCTCCCTTGAATTTGTCAAGAACTCCAAGCAGCTTGTCCTCCTTCTCACGTCCACTACAGACTTCAATCACTTGCTTGATCTTGCTGTTTGTCTTAAGCTCTTCATTTCCAACAACCACTTGAATGTAATCATTCATGTAGCTTTCTGCCAGTCCTCGCACCTCTCTCGGCCATGTTGCACTCCACATTAATGTCTGTCTGTTTCCATTTGTCTTTGGAATAATCTTTCGGAGCTGCGGCTCAAACCCCATGTCAAGCATCCTGTCGGCCTCGTCAAGAACAAGGAATGTCACTCTGCTAAGCGGTGCATGCCCTTGCTCATGCAGGTCAATCAACCTTCCAGGAGTTGCAATAACTATTTCTACCCCCTCATGCAAAGCCTTTATTTGTGGCTGCGATGAAGCTCCTCCATAAACCGCTGTACTCCTTAGTCCAAACATCCCACAGAACTCGTCGGCAACTTTCTTGATTTGCATCACAAGCTCCCGAGTCGGCGCAAGCACAAGCGCAATAGGCCCGTCCCCTCTTCGCAGAGGCTGCTGATCCTTTGCATGCACAAGCCCAGGAAGAATAAAACTCAGTGTCTTTCCAGATCCAGTCTGTGCAATCCCTACCATATCCCTTCCGCTTAATGCCATCGGCCATCCTTGTGCTTGGATAGGCGTGGGCCCACTGAATCCCTTTCCTTCAAGCTCCTCCACAATCCTAGAGGGAAACCCTGCCTCCTCAAACCGGCTGATCGGATGTGGAATATCCATCCCCTTGACCGTCATCTCGTTTGTCTTCCTGAACGAATCGACATCGCGCGAACTCATTCTACTGATAGACTCCGCCTCCTTGTAGAAGTTCTTCTGAAACTCCACAGGAGGAAGCTCTGGAAGAGGATCGTATCTCTGTCCCTCACGTCTTTCCCGAGGAGGATATCTGCCCCCTCTGTCAAATCTGGGCGACGTCCGAAACCCTCTTCTATCTCCACTATACCCTCTGTATGTCATTGTGGGGTAAATTTTTAATGCGATATTTTAAGATAACAGCCACTCAACAGAAAAGTTCCAATGCTGCCACGAGACAATAAAAACCAAAGACTTTATTTCTCTTGGGGACTCCCCGCATACACCGTCATCCGGCTGTTCCCCAACACCTTCTCAATCACCCCCTCAGACGCTAGGTGCCGCAACACATTCTCCGCAACCCCGAGGTTCAGATTGTACTTGCTCCCAACACCATACCGCGTCACAACACTCGCTCGGCACACATCCTTGCGCACCTTCGACAGGAGCTCCTCGGTCACCGTCACTCCCCTGCGCACTTCCTCCTTCTTCTTTCCGTCGCTCCACTTCTTCTTGTCCTTCCTTGTTCCAGACATGGCCTTGAGTGCCTTCTTCTCCTTCGACTCCTGGATCTTCTTGGCCATTTGTGGGAGTCCAATTTTCCCACTTCAAATCCCATCCCAGAAACTCCCAAAAGAAAAAACACAATCATTGAGAGAACTTGCTACTTTAATAAAGATAATTCATCCATAAAACAGTCACTATTACTCTACATTCAAAACCAAAGACTTTCAGATCTCTTCTCCATCCTCGTCGAAAAACTTCACATTCGGCCCGGTATTATTCACCTTCTTTAGTTCTCCGAGATCAAACTCAAATTCCACAGACCCTGGCAAGTTAAAGTCCCCGCCATCCCTCATCTCAAATGATCTCTCCTTCTTCTCCTTACTAAATCCAGGGAGCTTGAATTCCCTTCTCTTGGGGCCTTCCCCATCCTCCGACAGAACTCCTGTGCTATCCTTTGGTGGTTGGAGATCGTTATCCTTCCCTCCCGACAGATCCTTCCATTCCCCTTCTTTTGCTTTGTCTTTGAGCCCAATCCTCCTCTTCGGCTCCTCTTCATTCTCAGAAGCCTTCACTCCAGCTCTAAACTCTCCTCTCTGGAACTTCCGCTCAGACAGAGGCTCTGTGTCGTTGTCAGACTCGCTCAAGTCTATAGTATCGTTGCTGTAAATTTCGCTGCTGTAGCCATCAAAAAGCAAATCTTCCATAGCATTTTCCATGCTCTCAGTGTCTGTTTCGTAAGCTTGGTCCATATCCACATTTTCGAGGATCTTCCTTATCAATGCTGTATTGTCCTCTTTCCCTTCCCGGCCCTCTCTGGCTTCCATCGACTGGGTAATAAGCTCCATAAGTCTATCGGCCTCTTCCTCAGACAGCAGCCTCTTCTTCCTCGCCAGCAGAAAGTTCAAGAGCTCCTCATACATTCACGGGGTTTGTTTTTCACAAAATATACCTCTCTTCGCAAATAAAATCGCCTGTTGGAAAGACGTCAAAAACACACAGAGGTGGCCTTGAAACAGCCAGTTCGAGACTTCAAGAAGATCATTTAATGAGCTCAACAAGCTTTGGCTTCCAGTTCCCTGGAATCCTCATCTTGCGCTTGTAGTACCTTGCAACACGATACATCCGGGATGAAACAAGGATAAGTCTGTATTTTGCAGAGTTGTCTTTCCTATAGATGTTCAAGTGACTTCGGAGGGTGTTCGCTCGGCGAACCAGAGACTCAAGATCAAATGGGATCTTTGGAGATGCCCCATTCTCTTCAAGGAACTTTGTGATTTCACACCCCAGGACGTCCTTGGCATTTCCGACTCCATATTCGTCTCTTAGCTTTTTCCCTATATCAGGTGCAGGAATCCCCTTGTTTCCCATCTGGATAACATCGGCCTTAATTTCATCAGCCGTCTTTGTCAGCCATGTTGGAAACACTGTTGCATACGGCTTAACGCTCCCCGAGCGTCCTCTTCCGCTAGAATGCATCTTTGCCATCTTTAGATTGAGGGCAAATTTTTCCAATCCAGAAATCCACTCCTGGCATTCGGAGGCTATGGGCTTCTTTGGGAGTTTCTGGGATGGGATTTGAAGTGGGAAAATTGGACTCCCACAAATGGCCAAGAAGATCCAGGAGTCGAAGGAGAAGAAGGCACTCAAGGCCATGTCTGGAACAAGGAAGGACAAGAAGAAGTGGAGCGACGGAAAGAAGAAGGAGGAAGTGCGCAGGGGAGTGACGGTGACCGAGGAGCTCCTGTCGAAGGTGCGCAAGGATGTGTGCCGAGCGAGTGTTGTGACGCGGTATGGTGTTGGGAGCAAGTACAATCTGAACCTCGGGGTTGCGGAGAATGTGTTGCGGCACCTAGCGTCTGAGGGGGTGATTGAGAAGGTGTTGGGGAACAGCCGGATGACGGTGTATGCGGGGAGTCCCCAAGAGAAATAAAGTCTTTGGTTTTTATTGTCTCGTGGAAAAGTATTCTGCTCTGCCTAAGGTGTGAGTTTTTTTCTTATTCCAAGACTTCCACTATAATAATCTTTTAGTCCCTTCCCAAATGTCTGATAATCCCTAAAGGCTCCAACAAAGAAAATAAGCATTGTAATTGTATAGAATACAATTTCGGAAATAACTCCTCTAAAATTAACATCTTCACTTACTTTCTTATTTCGCTACTCCTACTAGCCATAACAATATAAATCACAGTGTATGCTATTCCTCCTAATGTACACAGTCCGGAAAATCCCAGAAGAAACCTTCTCTGATGTACATATTCTTCGTTGAAAAATATAAAAGAAAGGAAAATCACAAATATCTGTGTCCCTGCTACAAAAAAGAAGACATCTTTGTTATCTCTTATGCTTATATTGAAACTTGCAACTTCTCCACACAGAAAAATCAACATAAATCTTCTTATTGCACTAAACTGTTCTCTCCTCCCGAAGGCATCTAAAATTACTTATCTCCACTTACCATTAATAGCTGTGTTAGCTCCTAGCTTTTTGAAGTTTGCCCACATAAAGTCACTCTTGAGTCTTCTGTATATGATTGGAAGGAGAGCAACTTCCCCAAGAAGAATTCCCATATATGTATAGATATATCCAATAGCTAATTTCTTAATTTTACCTTCTACTTTGAAGTTACAACTGTTAGTATTGTGTGCATCAACTATTAACGTGATTGTAAGAGTCAGAGAGTAAGCAAGGACAGGAATATATAGAAGATATTGAAATAGAATCTTACGCTGAATTATGTCCCATTGAAATATAAACTGTAATATGTTTGTTATGTCCAAGAAAATTATAAACATCTTGAATGTTGTTGTTTCGTCATCTAGTGCAAAGTATGGTCCCGATAGTAAGGCCAGACCTATTACTACTGTTCTTATTACGAAAAAGAAAAATGCAAGTTTTGTGTAACTTATGTTCTTTTCTGGCTCGGCCTGATTCTTCTCCATTAAGAGAGTTTGGATGCTCTGGCTTTTTATCCTTTAATTAAATAGATATCAATTGAGAATTATATCACTGGACTATATATTAAGATATTTCTGGGAGCTTTCAAAATCTAATTCTTAATCTAGGCTTCCTGGAATCAAATGTTTAGATTCGTGGCCCTTCCTATGGACAGGGAGAACTACTTAAAGCTAGAGAAAGCCATAAGAAAAGGAGAGCATCTCGAAAGCTTGTCTGTTCTTAGAACCATCTTAGACAGGGTTGTTGGGGATATCTCGGAGACATGTCCTAAGGAGGACCTGGAGCTTCTATCCAAGTCCATCCAGCATCAGAGACTTGTTTATGAAAAGGCTGTTTCTTTGTACGAGGGAATGCAGGTTGAGAACATGGAGGAAGACGTACTGATAAGATGTCTTGAAGACTTCAACCGGTCTCTGCAAGAGTACTATGCACTCCCGGGGAATTCAAAGCCCCAGGACTCCGAAGAAGAGAAGGACAAATTATAACAAATGTGATCTATCAATAAACTAATTGTTTATTACTCGGACTCCTGTCCCGGGATTAACAATTTATCAAAGACTCCAATGGCCGTCAGCGATTTGCAAGTGCTTCTTCGACCGATCTGGATATTATACCTACATCCTTCTTAAGATCCCACATCTGGCTTCTGTCTTTCCATTGGATCAAGCATTCAAATCCATTTTTTATCTTGATGGAAATCTCATGCTTGGTGCACTTTTCCACATCCAATGCTAAGATCCTAACAATGGCTTCGTTGTCTTCCCCGCTGCATTCTACAGAGTGTCTTTTCTTAATTCCAGACAACTCTTTACATAGCCCTGACACCATCGCCGACATAAACATGGCGTCTCTAATTCCCTTGAAGAAGCTGCATCCCTTTCCTTCAAAGTATTTTCCGAAGTGGTGGTAGAGATGCCCCAGGTCTTTTCTATCGCACAGAGGAGTGGCTTCAATCGATTCAATCACGAAGCCAGCCCCTAGATTTATCTTGAGGTTGTATTCCAGTATTCGGAGCCTAACCTCGCTTGTATCTACTTTCATTAGTTCCATTCCAAAGGCTGCACACAATGTCCGGAACTCCTGTCTTATTTCCTTCACATCACCCTCGGTTATGTTTTGGGTTTTTAACACTTCCTCAAGGTCTCTAATTTCCATCTCCATCTTCTCCAATGCTTCTTTCAGCACACGTCTCTCGGCTTGCTTCCTTGTTCTCTCTTCCTCAAGTCTCTTCACTTCCTTCCTTCCACTCTCAATCGTTCCCTCCTGCTTACTCATCAATGCTCTCAGCTCAGAGATCTTCTGGTGCCTCCCATCCCCATCCATCCCAAGCCTATTCTTTATTCTGCGTATCTGCTCCTCCATCTCTTCATTCCTTCTTTTACTCTCTTCAACCTTCTCAGAGGTTTCCTTCAGACATCCTCCAAGATGATTATACTCTTCAGCAAGCCGATTCCTTCTATCAGTTACCTCTCTATTGAACTCAACTTCCTTCTCTTTACGAAGCTCATACCACTCAATCTTAGACTTCATCCGGCATTCCGTCTTCAAAGCTCTCAGAAGGCTTGAGGCATCCGGGCTCTCAAAAACAGTCCCTGCAATCCTGAATTCTCTTTCCAGCTCCTCGTTCACCTTCTCCTGCCGCAACATCCTATCCTCAAGATCAGAACTGAACTCCAAGAAGAACCGTGTCCGAGGCTCCAGGAAACTCTCGTAGAACCTTTCCTGCCGAGGATGTACCTCGTTCCGCGACTTCGACATTGTATCCCTTCTTGTATTCGACACAACAAGACTGTCCAGAAATCTGATTCCTTTGGAAACCAGTAGCTCAGAAACATTCACCATCTCTTTCCTCACTTGTGGAATTATCTTCCGAAGATCTTGGGTGTTGATGATCTCTTCTACATTCACTGTCTCATTGCTCATCAGAGTATCTTCAAATTCCTCCTGTTCATTCCTACAGGGCCCTTCTCTCCACCCTGTCTCGCTGTTCTCAGCCCCTCCTTCCTTACACTCTTCATCATCCTTGACTTCTTTAATCTCTCCTTCCTCCACCCCATAGTTCTCCTTGCACTTCTCTTTTTCCACCTCATCTTCTTTTCCACTGTTGTCACCCATGGCTCCATACCCAACCTCACTATCCTCCATCAAATCCTTCAGCTCTGCATTCAAAAATTCTCCATCTCCTCCGTCTTCTGTCTTCCTCCCTCGAAGATGATCTACCGTCAGCTCCACAGATATCTCATCCTCGCTCATCATTCCAGAGTCTACAGCCTTGTTGCTTTTGTTCTCCTCTTCAGGATATATATACATCACCTGAGGCTCAGGTGCAAACGAAACCCTCTTCTTCTTTGTGTCTTTCTCCTCGCCCATCTCTAAAGTTTTAATGCCCCACATCGGATTTATTTTTGTGTTCTTTGTGCTGTGCCTATGGGAAAAGGAAGAAAGCTCTTTGACATAAGGAGTCTGTTTGAACAGAACACTGCATCTAGATATGACGGAGAGGAGGACGAGATCTACACAGCAATAGAAGAAAAAAGAAAGAGGAAAATAAAGGATCCAAAGCAAAGGATACTTTCCAGAGAGGAGGTGGAGGCTCTTGGAAAGATGGATATAGAGGAAGCCACTTCCAGACACATTCCTTCTTGGAAAGGAATAGAGGAAGTGGAGATGGATGGAGAGCAGGACCAGGAAAATAACGAATGGAAGACCCACGTCCTAAGGAACTTATTGAAGAAGAACCGTTTGAATGTGGATGCGAGAATCAGACTCAGTAGACTTGTTGGGAGAAACGAGGGTTCAAAGATATTGCTCGAGGGCCGAGACATCAAGGACGAGAGACTGTGGAGAGAGATTATTAGTAGATACTATGCATCCGACATGCTTGACGAGGCATTGGAGGTTGTAGACGGAGATGAAGGCTTTTATGAAGATCTGTTTCGAAAAGACAGAGACATCAAGATCCTGAGGGCTGGGGTCTCAAGACATCCCAGGAGTTTTGGTCTCCGAAAAATGATGAGCGAGAATCTGGAAGATATTTTGGAGAAACAGATGTTCCTATATGAAAGTGTGGTTGAGACTCATGAGGAGAGACTTGTAGATCTGTTTATTGGCACAAAACCCAACCATGGGCTTGTGGAGTCTCTGTACAGAGTCCTTAGGGACAAAGGAATCTACTCGGAGCATCTTCTGAGCTGTCTGGTGGAAGATGGAGACAACTCGATGGTGGTTGAAGATCTTCTCAGACTTGGACTGGAAGGAACTCTTCGGATTCTTCGAAGAGGAAAGCGGAGGGTCGAGCTTCCGTCCCCCATCCTCTCCAAAGATACCCTTCTCCTCTACCTGCAAGGGGAGAGACCTGAGCCGATGTCAGCTCTTCCTTCTGACCTCTGGTCTCTGTTTGTCTCGATGAGCAAGCATGGGCTCCATGACGACGAGACGTTTATTTCCTGCTATAATGTTGCAAAGGAGTATTTTCTGGACTCCGAGTTCATTGAGAGATTTTTTGTGATGGAGCCTCGTAGGTATTTTGTTGATTTGATGAAGGCCAAGGAGTGGTGGAAGCTGTTTGTGGGGAGCAAGGAGATTGGATATTTCCGGAGGGCCGAGAAGATTCTAAGGAGCGGAATGAGACAGTACGGGAGAGAGAAGAAAACATTTATCCTTGCTAGATCGAAGATGTATTACATGGGAGGAGACTTCCACAGCAGCTATTCTGTGATTCCTGGAAAGATGAGGACAATAAGAAAATATGTAATCCTGTCTCAAATAAGCCTGGAAAGGGCTTTTGAGGAGTTAGGAAAGGATCTGTTTGATTATAAGCACTGGCTTCTATATGCAGAGCTTGGAGAGAGAAGAGGGATAGATGCCAGTGGAATATACGAAGAATGCATGTCTCGATATCCCGAGAACTTCAAGGTTGGAATTGGGTATCTGAGGTATCTGAAGAGAAAGGACATGAAAAAGGCCTTGGAGATGAGTGACAAGCTTGCAAAGAGATTTATGTCTGAGGAATGGATGTGGTTTGAGAGATTTGTAATATTCAGGAAGCTGGGAAAGATATCGCTGTCTGTTCTCTACAACTCCCGGAGGCATGTGAGATCGGAACTGATTGAGTCGGAGATAAAGTATTATGAGAACAAGGAAATATCTGAGGAAAGCAAGTATTCTGGGTTCTATGCATACAGGAGAGCAAGGATCAAGGAGTGTAACATTGGCGGGATGTGCCTAGACTGTGTAGGGAGGATGAAGGAGTATTATAGAGAAAAGATAATGAAAGACCAGGACAACGGAGACAATTACATCTTGTACTATTGCGTGGGCGGAGGGGTTGATGGAGAGCTCGTGAGGATGGTTGAGTTTTTTGATCCTCGAGGAGGAAGTTACTGGCCTAGAGTCAGGAACAGAGTGGATGTTGGAAGCAAGCTTGAAGCAGGATGGAGGATGATGAATTTTGATTTTTTGGACAAGACTGTATGAGTGTGTGTATGTAACCAAGGGTTTTTAATCCCTTATGGAGTTTCTGAAGGAATTTCTTGAGGAATGGAAAAATGCAATTGCAGGTGTGAAGGACCGTGTGATGTGTGAGAAAATGAATGTGGAGAGTGGATACGAGATGAAGGATTTGAAGAATATATCGAATGGGGGAAAGGGAAGAGATGGTTATGAGAGGGACAAGGAGAATGAGGAATTTTTGTATGATGGAGACTTTGATGGAAGTGCATTTGATCAGGAAAGCCTGATTCCAGGGCACATTCCAGTCATAAAGAGCAAGGATGGAGGCCTGGGCAAAAGGACCTCTGAGGAGAGTGAAAGGAATGGAATGAATGGACATCCTTCGGTTTCTTGTAAGAAAGTAAGCCAAGGATGCAAGGGTGGCTACAAGGAGATTTCCATGAGAGAAAGTCCTCGGATAATAGACATGGATTCTAGAGAGATCTACAAGGGAACAAGACTCAAGAAGCCTTCTGTAATCGGGGATTTTCCCAGCTTATTGAAGAAAAGAGAGATGGGGGAAGCACAATGCAATGATGCAGAATTGGAAAATGGGATTGGAAGGAGACTACTTGAACTGCAGCAAAGGGCATCAGGAACCTTAATGCAAATTCCAAATTGAATGCAGCCTTGCAACAGCTGAAGAAAAGATGTATGGAGAAGGCAAATGAATCTGAGTATGGCAAGAAAGGGCAGGAAAGCTTACTAGAGAAGGAGATAAGCAAGCCTGAGATGATGCCTCTGCACCAAGCAGATTTGGATTCTCTTGGAGTGAGAGGAAAAGAGACAGAGACAGGCAAGAGGTTCAACGGAGGGAATCTCTACAAACAAGCCATTGATTATCAACTCCTCAGATCGACAGGAAGGGTCCCACAGCATATTTACAGGCCAAAGACAAAGATACCGCAAGTAGACGAAAATGATGCCATCTTGGACCCAGACTTTGTTGTTCCGGACTTTGCGAAAGACCCGGCAATAAACTTCAAGGTGAAGATGCAGGACCACAGGGCTCTTGAGAAATACTTCTCTAGTGGGCACGAGATTGACGTGGAGCAACTATTTCCTCATGTGAAGAATGTTTCAAACAACAGTCCCAACAAGTGGCCAACAAATAGTGGTGGGGGATGAGATACACACCTACTTTATTAAACATGTCTATGATTTATTGGGCGAGGACAGGGCATCTGTCGTGGTTTTTCTGGAGCTTGCATTCCCTGCAATAGTATGCATTGTTTCTCGGGTCCTTAAGCTTGCAAACGATGCATCTGTCTTTGTACGTGGAATGGAAGCACGGGGTGCAAATGTAGACCTTTTCCACGGACTCTCTGGTGTCCAGGCCGCATGCATAGCATTTTCCCGAGCATTTATCGCACATCATTGCAGTGTTTCCTGTTGAGATCTTGCCGCATCTTAGCTTCATGTGGAGATACATGTTTCCGAGGATGAGCCATTTGGTGTAAATTCTTGAAATTTTTTGGGCCTAAAAATGGAGAGGCCGTCGGATAAGCCTGAAGGGGCTGATTGTGGAATGGGAGGGTTGAATGGAGGCGGGGCCCTGGAAAAGGGGGAATTGGTTGGATTGGAGAGCAAAGGGTCCTCGCCAGTGAAGAAGTCCCTTGAGGGCCAGAGTATGGAAAGGACAAAAGGAGTTCGTGGGCCTTACCGAAAGACACGGGGGATTGACGGGGGAGGATATGGACACTTGTACGGCAATCTGTATGAACAGGCACAGGCACGGAGACAGAAGGTTCTTGGGTTCCTGCAGAAGGATCTGTTCCAGATTGGGAGGCCTGATCTGAGGAGATTCATGAATCTCAACCATGCTTACGAGTGTCTTCTTCCATATCATATATTTGGGTTTGACCTGTATGAAGACATGCTGTTTATGAATAGCAAAGAGGTGGATGGAATCTCGATGGAGATAGACGAGATGATGGGACTACTCAAGGAGATAACAGTTCTTGAGAACAGGCCCCTAGCAACTGAGGATACACTGGTTTGCGAGCTGCTTTTGTATTATCAGCAAAGATACATAAATTCTGTCTATGGGGACGGAAGAAAACAAAGAGCTCAGAAAAGATACAGACAACAGCTGAGTAAGAGAAACACCATATTTAGACTGAAAATAGGGCTCAGGCCACAGAAAGGAAACGATGTTGATATAAGAAACGGAAAGCTGTACTTCAAGAAAAGTAGGGGATAATGTGTTTGGGGTAGAAATAAATGTTTATTCTTTTTTGGATGCTTCCGGATATGGAAGGGGATTATCTTTTAATATGGCTTAATTGATATGGGAATTATTGATTAGTTAAGGCCTTAGGTCGGATGGAGTCCATGAGGTTGACCATGGGGTCTGAGTTTGTAGTGAAGCTTTTTCAGATGTTGGAGGAGCCTGAGAATTATCCATACATATCATGGAGTCCCGACGGAAGAAGCTTTGTCATATCTGATATTCAGGGATTCTCTGAGTTTGTTCTCGAAAGGCATTTTAGACACAAGAACTGGAGCTCCTTTGTTAGACAGCTCAACAAATATGATTTTTACAAGGTACGGAGGGATGGGGAGAGGGCACAATGGGAATACCGAAACAAATATTTCCAAAGAGGAAGGCCGGAGCTTCTGGACAAGATCCGTAGGAAGAAAGCACCGAGCGAGTGCGGGGTGTCTGGAGGCTCGAATCCAAAGCAGATTGAAAGCGGCATAGTCTACCAGTCGCATGTGCTGAATGCCATCCGGAGTATTTCGAAGTATCTTCAGACTGTTGTCGAGGACATCAACGAGATAAAGAAATACATTTATCACGAGAGGATGAGGATTGCTTCCAAGACAAATGTGCTGTTTGTCAAGAAGGATGTTCCTGGGTCTGAGTGGATATACAGTGCTCTAAAGATTCCCAATTACTCTTTGACAATAGTAGAAGAAAGTACAGACATGAAGAATGTGATGAAATGGAAGTATGATGTAGTTGTATTATATGCGGATGCGCCTGAGTGCAGCAAGGTTGTGAGCCGAATAAGAAGCGAGGACGAGGATGTTCCTATTGTTTTGGTTGTAGACGAAGGATTCAAAAGCGAATATATGAGTATTTTGGGGATAAGGGTGACAGAGACTCTCTTGATGCCCCTTGAGCCGGGAGACTTGGTGGATGTTGTTAACAAGCATAGGAGTCGAAGAGGCCTGGAGGGGGGTTAAGCAGTGCTTTTTATTTAGTATATATCTTAAAATAATTAAATGGTGTATGAGATGAATATTTATGGCTTTCCAAAATCTCCTTAGGAATCAAGAAGCATTGACCTTTCTCCGAATACTTGGGAAGAGGGGGAGGAAAGTCCGAATTGGAAGAAAGGCTGTGGAAAAGATCTGGATTCCAGGGGTTGTGAAGGCTGTGGTGGACATCTTTCCGGTGTATGCGTTAAGAGGAGCCTCGGTATTTCTTCAAATGCTGATAAGAATCTATAAAGCCAAAGTTAGGATTCAGCTGCTTGAAATTAGATCGCTAGCTGGGATACTAGATAGAAGAAAAAAGAGGAGAAGGACGGTGGAAAGAAAAAAGAAGAACATGCTTTCGATTGAAACAGGATATGTGGCAAGTGTCTGTAGCTCCGAACTGGATGGGGTCGATTGTATGGATAGTATAATGTTTAGCTACAGCGAAACATTTGGAGTTGTGGACGGGCCGGAACATATATCCAGAAAGCGTCTTTAGAATGTAGTGGACAGCACAACAGTACTGAATATCAATAAAGCAGGAGCTTCAAGAACATCCAAGCATGAAGAGAGGGCTGAAACCCGGGTGTTTGAAGAAGAAGCCTTTATCACCAGGGAAGTTAAGAAGATAAGACCTCCAATCCAGGGGACTGGGATGTTGTATGCCGGGATGTCTTCCTTTGACTCTGTAGAAAAAGCACGTAATTGGTCTAGGCATTCGAGTAGAGAGGACTTTTCAAACAGCACTTCCAGCGAAGACATGGCAAGCATCCTGCTGAGCAATGGAGACTTCGACGAGTATGCTGGCACAAGCAGAAGGACAAGAGCAAGGACATTCTATTCCATTCTTTTGATGAGCTCAAGAGGGGACATTATACCTGTGCAGAAGAAAGCATATGGCCAAATTGTCTTCACAAGGAACGGGTTCTAGGATGCTATCTCGGATCGGATCAATAACACAGGCATGATTTAATTTATCAGAATTGCATTAGCAGGGAATTCCAACTAATTAGAGATAGATTGCCTTCTGAAATTTTATAATTTAAGTAGATCAGTGGATCTAAACCTGTGATAAATGATATTTTTTTTGAAATGGCACAGACCCATTGAATGGACTTGTTGGGGAAGGACGAACTGTTGAACAAAGGGAGGAAGGTTTCGTTTATGTACTTGCTTTTGAGGATATTAGTCATCGGAATTGGATTTTACCGGAAAAACATTATCGGTAAGCAAATGGTCATAATCCGATCGATGTGTCTGTCCATATGTGTTACAAACGTCTACATGTTTATCTATCTTGAAAATGCAATGTCGAGAAAAAACCTTGAGCAGTGCAAGGCATACTGGGTTATCATTCTCATAGCTTCTCTGGAGGCATCTGTGATTGTGGAAAGCGTTTTCAAGTTTACCAATCACAACCTGGGAGTTGTGGCTTTTTCCCTTTTGTATTTAGGACTATGCGTTGGAGAGTTTATTAGGATGTACTTCGTATGCAAGGAATATGGAGACATGTTTGAATGGTACTATTTTAAGCAGGGGGGTGTTAGCAGCAAGCTGAAAGGTAAGTGACACATATAATTTTAAGCTGCATACAAAGCAAGGGCCCGGTACGATGCATCGAAGTTTCTAATGATCCTAGCAGCCATCCAGGGGATATATCTTCAGATCGAGGGGATCAAATACTACACTGTAAACTCTTTAGAGGCTTTCTTGATGGTGCTTGACCATATTCTCGAGGTTATCACCTTTTTCTTAATGTTCATGAGGCCTAATGAAGAAAATGAGGGCCAAAGGATGTCTCTAATCATGGCAACAGCCTTGAATCTTTCGTACTGTACATCCCAGGTTTCGAGACATAGGAACAGTGACGCTCTGGATTGGCATCTGAGGAGGTAAGTGAGCATTTTTAATTTTAGGCTCTTCATCATAAGGAATAACTTCGAGGCAGTTATAAACCTGATTTTTCTGTATTACTCGGTCTTGGACTACAGGTACTTCGGATCTGGGCTAAAGGAGTTGTTTTACCCCGCAGGGAAAGAGCGGAATGTACTGAAGGTAAAGAGGGACAAGGGCATTCCGGATGTGTAACAATAAATTCTGTACTCTTCTTAGGGCTTTGAATGCTGTTATTTTGCAAGGTCTTGGAATCTTCCCTCCAAAATGGACTTATTGGACAATAGGAGGAATCCCTAACATGAGATGTGAAAGACCAGATGGTGCAGGGTTTGACAACCTACCTGAGAAGGAGAACTACAATCCACACATCAAGGAGTTTACACCTACCAAGGTAAAGCAGAGGAAGAGATACACAGCGCTGAGAGAGATCACAGAGAAGACAAAGCCTCCGGCACAAGAAATGAACAGAGCATCCCAAGAGGATGAAACCGAGATGGATCTTTTATTTTCCTCATTTCCTCGATCGCCATTCAAGTCGAAGAACATTCGAGAGCTGTGAGGATGTGCCTCTAGTTCGTGTTAGGATCTGGGTCTTTTCATTAAATATCTTATGTTTTTAGGTTCTTGTTTTGTGAAGTCTGGAAGGGCTGAGCATGGCAACTCCCAATAGCTCAGTGGTAGAGCATTCGACTGTAGAAGTATGCCGTTATCGAATGGCCGCTGGTTCGACTCCAGCTTGGGAGAGTCTTTTTTCAGACAATCCTTTTGGCCCAAAACCCAATGCAAAAATAATGCGACCTCCCAGGCTCGAACTGGGGACCTTCCGCGTGTTAGACGAACGTGATAACCACTACACTAAGGTCACTTGCCATACCCCCCACAACCCCCGATCTCACCATAAGGCCCCCAGGCGCCCAATAGGACTTTATTGCTCAATCCACTCCTTATCTTCCAGACCCCCCAGAATCATAACACCTAGGTCTCTCATACTCCCTACATATATGTGCTCCCTGGATCTCACTTATCGCCATAAAGCTCTTTCCAATCATCTCCTTTGCCTGGATCTTCCTTCGCTCTCCATCGTCAATCTCCCCCTCAAATAAACTCATCAAAAACTCGCTATCCTTCACCTCAACTCTGCTTCCCTTCTTGTAGTACTCAAAACTTAATGAGTTCAGAATATGCTCATAGTCCTCGTCTCCAAATGACGGGAAAACCTTGTGTTCCTTCAGACCTTCCATGATGATTCTCTTGTTGGAAATCCGGTCCATCATCCTTATTCCAGAAAACGACGTCTGCTCCACAACCCATACCTTTCCATCACTAACTGCCTTGACAGAGGCCGTCCTGGGGATGTTGTGCAGAAGAGCTATCTCTCCAAAGAAGTTCCCTCTTGACAGCTTCCTAAGAAACTGTCCTCTCTTCGAAACCTCAAACTCCCCGTGGTCCACAATGTACATCTGCGATCCAACGTCCTCTTCACGGATTACAAATGTCCCACATGGAATCTCCACCGGCTCCATCGACTCAATTAGTCTTATCTTTTGCTCGGGATTCAGAAATCCAAATGGAATGTCACTAACAAGAATCGAACTAAGAAACTTCATTGTTTCTTCATCCTTCGGGTAGTAGCTCAGCTGAAACGTCTCGGGTGTAATTCTTTCCGAGTAAACTCCACTTCTCCTCAATGCCCTCCATTTTCCTCCAAGGCTTTCTTTGTCTCTTCCTTTCGAGTTCAGTTGCAGATTCATCAGCGTCCCGTCTTCCTCTAGCCTCTTCACAAATCCACCCAGATCATCGGTTGCACCCTTTTCCTTCACAACCATCTCATAAATCGTCTGAACAACATCTTCGTTGACTCGAAACTTCAGGTCCTTGATCTTGTTTCCAATTTCCTCAAAAAGCTTCTCGTCTCTACTCATTGAAGGGAGGGATTTTTCTTCTCTTATCTGGCCTTCTTCATCCAAAGCCCAAGTATTATATTCCGTCTGCGAATAATCCCACCATGAAACCTAATAAGTTCCTGGACACACTAAAAGCAAAATACAATGTCGAGAGAATCCCAGACGGTACATACGTTGTCTCAAATGGAGATAGACGTGTGAAAATCCATGAGTCCGAGCTATGCGACCAGCTCTGCATAAACAGGATCTTCGATTTGTTGGGCTCCCCTTTGGCCGGCTTCAGAAACGTCGGGAGAGATGATCTGTTTCCAGACACCGAGGAAATTAGTGTTCTCAGAACAGTCAGAAAACATCCAAGAGGATCTCTGGCGGACCCAAGCATCTTTCGCTTGCCTTCTGGACGACCTTCTGAGGACGAGGATACAGACCCGTTGATCAACATAGATCCTATAACACCCTCAAGAAACAGGAAGGACAGTTTTGAGCCAGACCCCGACCACTACAAGCCAGACAAGAACTCCCGGTTTCCTCCTTATTAAACGTGTAATCCAAATGTCTTTTGGAGTAATCTTAAGACACTCCAGATTAAATTTACTTTAGTTGTGGGATCAGGGCACCCATGCTGCCAATAAACTTTATGGAGATCTGCTCGACGAAGCCAAATGACTTTGTTTTTGACAAGACAATATGCACTAAGGAGAGTAGAACACCAAGGATTCTTCAGGAATATTCAAAGGAAGAAAAGGCGTGCGTCCTTCGAAGGCGGATACTGGCACTTGCAAGCCGGAAGGGAGGATGGCCCCAGAAGAAGGCATTGAAAAGAGAGTCTGAATCAATGTGGGATGTAGATCTAACAAGGTCGGACCAAGGGCATTTCGACCAAAGAGGAAACTTTGTTCTCGGAGCTGCTCCGAGCCTTTCCTTTATGTGGCTGGTGAGAAGGGGAGAAGACATCCAAGGACCATTCACTGACCGGGAAATGAGAGAGAAGATAAACACCCAAGAACTAAAAAATACACAGGTCAGAAGAGATATAGACAAGGGATTTGTATCCTACGATAGCCTTGCAGCAGATCTTGGAGATTTCCTTTCTTCAGAGAAGCTAGACGAGTACTTTGAAAGCCATGCTGCCGTTAAGAAGCCTCTTGAAAAGCCTCAGGAGTTCTTTGAGGATCTTTCTTCTTTGTCTCTAAAGAAGCATCCAAAGAAGGATCTTGACCGCTCAAAGATCCTTGAAGCCTGTGTCAAATCAAAGAACTTCTTACATTCCAGAAACCCGTCGGTGACCCTTGGCTCCATGGAAAGGAGGATTTCGGGGAAGTCTTTTTCTGAAGCCGTTAAGATCATCTCCCATGCCTCGGGGCTCAGCAAGACCGAATGCGAGGAGTTTCTTAACCTATTTCTTGATGAGTCGAAGCTGTCGATCCTCTCGGATATTTGCCCAGATGGCTTTGTAAAGGTCACACCTGTAACAAGAAAAGGGTCCAGAAGGAAATAGGCCTAGGGTTGTCTCTCAGACAATTAAACAAAGATAACTTTATTGAAACTTCTCCGTGCTCTACCTTCTTCCTCCCCACTTTTTTTTTCCTTTGTTGCTGTCCAACGACTTCTTGTGCAAGAAAGAGTAGATGGATAGCTTTCCCCCTCCAAGGGCTTCTTGCCACATGTCCTTAATCGAATCCTGGTTATAATCTTTCCCAAACCAGATTGCCACCTTGTAAAACGACTGTTTTTCACTGAGTACACACCCGCATATGTTATCGACGGTATTCGAGACACAGAACGCCATGGTTCTTTTCCACAGCTCATCAATACTGTCCTTGCCCACCACAGGAACATCCATTATAATTCTTCCTCCTTCTATGTTTCCCTCATCCTCCCACATCGGCTTGATTCCTTTCTTAAACAGATTCATTGTGCACAGCTTTCCAACCCCGACATTCGATATCTCGTCACAGAGATACAGGAACTCCGGTATCGTCGACACCTCCCCAACAACCATGAGGTCGTCTCCCCAGCTCTTGGCATTCGACTCGTCGTTGTTGTTCTGCCAAAGAACCCACTGCGACGCCAAGTTCATAGTAAATCAGGGATCCAAAATATCCAAATTTACAGCCCATAAGCCTAAGGACTGTATTACAGCATCCACCTCAGAACATAGCTTCTTTATTTGTTTGCTCTCTTTCGCCCATTCGCTTTCTTTTCATCGTGTCTGTGTCTTTCTGCTCCTTTCCATGCAGAGCCATGAAGCATTCGTGGATTCCAAGAAGAAGATTCCTGTTCTTGCCAAATTCAACTCCAGGGATTTTCTTGGCAATGGCTTCCAGTTCCAGAACCGTGTTCATGATCTCGTCAACTGCACTTCTCACCCTTGCAATGTCGTAGTGGTAGGAGGGGAGAATCCCAGACTCCTCTTGGATCTGCGAGTCCATCAGAGCAATCCTGGCCTTCAGGCTTTGGTTCTCACAGTCTAGAATCTTCAGCTTGTTCTTCACCTCTTCCAACTCCCCGCTTACGTCTGAATTCACAACAGCAAGGTTTCTTATCATCTTGGACCTCTGGAGGAAGTTCATTGTGTTTATGCTGTCACCTCTGCTCTCAAGAGAGACATTTCCAATGACCGTCAACTTGCAATTTCCTCCAAGAGAGTCTTTTAGTAAAAAAGTAAGCTTGGACTCCCTATACCCTATATGCCCGTCCTCGCCGTTGCTAAGTTTATTGATCACTTTTCCAAGACATAAAAGAGACTTGTTTATGTTAGCTGCCTCCTTCATCTTCATCTCTTCCACTCCTCGCTCTCTAAGCCTCTCCGACCCTGCAAGATCTACAAAGCACAGCCTTGATGACCTTTTCATCACTTCTCCATTGCTCTTAAGATACACAGTGAATATCGAATGGCTCCGACTGCTTTCCTTGTTCATTGACGTCGACGATGTTCTTCTTATTCTTATTCCCTTCGTGTACATTTCCATGCTCTTCTCGTAGCTGTCTGATTCCACTGTCGTTAGGTTGTCGACAACTACCCCGTAAAGAGGATCTTCGCGTATGGACAGATTGGCCTCGGGATCAAACAGATCCAGCATTGTCTCGTTGTATATCTCAACAAAGGAGAGAGAGATCTTTAGGTCTGTGTTTCTGTGCAGAAGACTCAGAGACCTTTGGACAATCCCAATGTTGTGTTCATTTCCTTGTATGGTGTAGGTCTTCCCACTTCCTGTCTGCCCATAGGCAAAGAGAGTGCAGTTGTATCCCTGCATACACTCCACCAAAAGACTCCTTGATATCTCTTGGAAGATTTCTTGCTGGGTGGAGCCTCTAAAGATCCTATCGAAGCAGAACTTGCTTCCATCTATAACCATCGAGTCCTTGCTGACTGCAATGTCTTCTGGGATTTCCTGTGGCTTGATCCGAAGGTATGTCCTGACGTTGTTGAGCATTGCTTTCCAGATGGGAAGCTTTGATTTTGGTGTTTTATCGCAAAATACAATAGGAGGGCCCATTCCCATCTTATACAGTGGACTATGAAAGACACCTCCTCTAAAGAAAGGAAAAAAGAGTCTCTAGAACTTTACTTAGAAATCAAAAAACAGAGGGAGAACATTGTATCTCCTGTGGATACCATGGGGTGCTTTGTTACCCCGTCATATAAGACGGAAGAAGAAAGGAGATTTCATATCCTGGTTTCTCTTCTTCTTTCTTCGCAGACAAAAGACGAGATAACATATGAGGCCATGGAGAGGCTGAGGACTCTTCTTCCAGAAGGTGGTGCTGCAGATGGCAGAGACTGTGGCCTGACCATGGAGAATGTAACGAGTTCGAGTGTTGGATACATCGACTCCTGCATCAAGAGAGTTGGGTTCCATACCAAAAAGGCCGAAAACTTGAAGAGGATTACAGAAATTCTCAGAGAAAAGGGACTTCCAGAAGAAATGAAGGATCTTGTGTCTCTTCCTGGAATTGGAAACAAGATGGCCATTCTGTACATGAACCATGCATGCGGCAGTGTGGTTGGAATAAGTGTGGATACACATGTACACAGAATCTCCAATAGAATAGGGCTGGTCAAGACTAAGGATGCCGAAAGCACTCGAAGGGAGCTGGAGAAGATCGTTCCAAAGAGAGAGTGGGAGACAATTAATAGAGTTCTGGTAGGATACGGCCAAACAGTCTGTGTTGCAAGAAGGCCAAAATGTGAAGAGTGTTGTATCAGAAGCAAATGTCCTAGTAGCTTTTTTTGACTCTCTCAGAAGTGAATATAACATTAAAGAAGAAATATTTTATTCGCAGACCTCAACTACTCCTATATCGACCATTTCCCCCAGCTGAGCATTGATCCTCTCAAGACTGGAAAGTCGTATCCCCCGCTCCTTCGGAAGCGTGATCAGGATATTCTCCTCCGATTCTCCAATCAGTATGCAACTCTTGCTTGTACAAGAGAAGGTATGGCCTGCAAAGTCGGTCATGCCGTAGACAACTTCCTTTCCTTGGATGCTGATGGTATTTATGACTCCAATTCGTCCTCTAGCTTTTCCACTAGACACAAATACAACCTTATCCACCCCCGGCTCAATATATTCAATCACCTTGGACGTCTCGTTAGAGATCTTGATTGTGTATCCAACGTCGATCGCCGGGTCGCAGAAACGGATGCTTAGTCCACAGCTCGAAACAACATATGGCACATTCTGTGACTCGTATTTCTTTGTGACCTTTGCAAGGCGGTAGCTAGCCTCCGATGAATTGATCCTGTGAAGATGGAACTTCTTGTGCACATTGTATAGAACTCTGAAATGTTCTCCAGTCTTCTCGATAGATACCACATCAAACAGACCAACAGGAAAGTGCGAGTTTGTGCGTACCTTTCCATTCACCTTAACGTTCTTTCCATCCAGGATTATTCTAAGCTCCTTGGAGTTACTAGAATACTTGAGAAACCTTGAGATCAAGTATCCAAGCGGAATGCACTCCGTCTTCCTGTGAGGCCCGCTGGCCGGCATCATTGCAAACGTTCCTCCTTGTTTGTTCAGCATCCATGACTTCGGTGCAGTCTTTCGCTTCAGATGGTCGCGGTGTCCAGTCGGCATTTTTAGGGCAAATTTTTTTCGCCATCAAAACTCAGCTTATTGGCTGGTGGAGCCCACAGCCCAATCCCATTTCTTCAAAAAAGCTAAATGTTTCATGCACAAAGAAATTTGCCGTCCAGATTTGATTTCCAGGAGCCAAATCGATTCGCAGAAGTTTCTGAAACCTGTCACATAAAAACGTAATGAAGACACAATAAATTTACACAAGGAAAGGACATGGTCAAGCTCAATCCACGGGTTAAGAACGAGATCCAGAAACTCTACAGGGCAAACTACGAGGTCCGGATGCTTGAGGGGAAGCATACGCAGATGGAGGTCCTGATAAATGGCCCCGAAGACTCTCCGTACTACGGTGCAAAGTACATCGTTAACATACTTCTTCCAGATAACTATCCATTCAAAAGTCCTTCGATAGGATTCACAACCAGGATATTTCATCCAAATGTCGATGAAACAAGCGGCTCGATATGCCTCGACGTTCTCAACCAGATATGGTCTCCCATATACGACCTCCTAAACATCGTCGACATTCTTCTTCCCCAGCTTCTATCCTACCCAAATGCTGCAGATCCTCTCAATTGCGAGGCCGGCTCGATGTATCTCAATAACAGAGAAAAGTACAACGAAGTTGTTCGAAGCTATGTCAAGAAGTATGCCATTCCCATAACCAAAGAGAAGATAGATGTAGAAACAAACAACAGTCTAAGTGACGAGGAAAGCTTAGGCTTTTAATAAAGCAGTTCTCTAGAAGATCTTTACTGTAGGGGGTCTTTGACCTCAATTCCAAACAACTTACACATGAGATCCTTTCCGATGCTTCGGTTGAAAAGAACCTCCTTGGTCTTGAAGAACGCGTGGGATGTCAGAAGTGCATCACTCCCCGCCTGGTGCTGAATTCCATCTCGCACAAGCCCGAGGTCGTTGGATATCTCCTGAAGTCCCTTCTTCAGATATCTGCTGTTCTGTACAAGAAACTTTATATCGTAGAAATCTGGGAACAGAGCTGCGAGGAACCTGTAAAAGTCCTCTTCTCTTTCCGGAAGAGGGTTGCATGTCAGGATCTTGATAAGATATCCAAAGTCATAGGCGGAGTGGAACGAAACCCATACAACGTCTGAAGACATCACCAATCCCGAGGTCATTAGAACCTCTCCAAACTCTTCCACTCTGATTCCTCTCCTCTCGTGCTCCTTAAAGTCTATTTTGGCTTGGATCAGCAAATCAATCGACTCCTGTGCATACATGTCTGTTTCCAGGCTGAATGCAAAGTTGAACTGCCACGTACTTATGGGGCATGGCCGGTTTCCTTCCCCATCGCTCAGAGATATCCCAAGCTGGATGATATTCAATATGTCCACATTACATCTCAGCTGCTGGTACGCAAACGAGGAGGGCGACTTGAAGCTTCCAACAGGCTTCGCTACAACCCCTGGAAACTCCGTGTCCATGCTTATGTAGTTGTATCTGCTTATAAGCTGGGATATCTTTTTCATTTCTCCATGGAGGTTGTCCTTCCACACATTAAGTATCTGGCCTTCGCTCATCCCAGGGGCATAAACAAAATAATGAGTTACTCCGCGAATGAGGGCTCTTTGCTTTTGAGAATGTCTTTAAATAGCTCCATTGTGTTATTCTTTTTGTATATAAGATACAAGTTGAATTGTACAAGCCTTCGAAGTTCAACATCCGATGTGCCCAACGCTTCCATGTAGAAGCTTTCTGCAAGCCCCGGAAACCCAAAGAACTGATAGGCTTTTCCAATGTTGTAGGAAACTACACATCCATCTTCTCCTTGAGTCTTCTCTTTTAGACTCTTGAGGATGGATATTCCCTTTCTTATAAACATATTCCTATCGCTCACTCTTCTCGACTTCGAGTGGATGAGGAACATCGACGCAAGAATTATACTTTCAGATGTGTTCCGTTCCATTTGGAGAGACGACATCATCTCCACAGTTTTCGACTGCAGGAGATTTGGAATGTGCGAGTTCAAGAACAGGAAGTGGGACACCCCTATGGCTCTTCTTCTTGTAGCGTCTTCCTTATGAGCATTTTCGCAAGTCTCCTCCTTATGGCCTTCGTCGTTTATGCTTCTGGATTCGGAAGAGTCTCCACAAGATTCCGAAGACAGGTCTTCTCCGAGATTTGGAAGGATTCTAAGCCTCCTTCTGCACACTCTCTGAAGGTACTTCTGGAAGTAGGAAAAGTCGTTGTTCCTTTGGAAGCACATAAAGAAGTTGCTGAAGTAAAACAGTAGATAAGCATAGGAATAATTTCCTGTATGGCAGATCACACTTCTCACCAAGGTGACAAAGTCTCCAAAATCTCCAAACATCAGTGATGCCTTCAGCCCAACAAACACAAGCTTACATATGATGTCACTCCGGTGACGGAAGATATATGCCTCCAGGGATCGAAACACTAGAGACATAGCCTCCTCATTGCGGGAGACAGAAAGTAGGCCAACAATCTGGCTCAAAACAACATTGAACCATTCATCAACACTCAGCCCATGAAGATCCCCAAATCGGAATCCCTCTCTGCATCCTTCCTTCATGATCCTGTCCTCCCCTCTCCCCTCGGAAGAGATGCCATTCCCAATATATCTTTGTCTATATAACTTTATGGATCCAGAGGGTCTTTTCTTTCTCTTCTCAAAGATAAATCTGTTTTTCAGAAAGTCATCCACCAGAACCCCATTCGATTCAATAAATTTCCTGCAGTCATCCCCAATAGTCCTGGCTTCCTCGTAGAGAGCCCTTATGCTCATGCACATTTCAGGTGAATATGCACATCCTTTCTTATTTCTTTCATCAACAATCCCAATCAGCTGGGCAATCGTTTCATATTTCTTGGCCATTTCGTGGTTTCCTTGCTTTGTGTAGATAGAATGCATCCGTGACTTAACATCGTCGTTGATAGGATTAATTTCAAGCACCAGCCTGTAGTACAGCAGAGCTTCGTCATAATTCTCTTTGTCATGGAGCATCCTTCCCAGCTTCCAATATACAAATTCCTTCTGGTCGTTGAATTTGTTTCTTATCCTCCCAAGTAACTTTATCACTTCGTCAGTCTTTCCATGCTCTATGAGTATATCGGCAAGATGCTTCAAAAGATCTATCTCTCCAATCTCTGACCACAGCCTATCATCTTCCAGGAAGAGGCCAATACATTCCTCGGTGCCGCTTCCTCCTCCATCTTGGAGACATGCCATTATGTATATCACTCTGAGCTTTGTGCAGAGTTCAACACGTCTCTTAAAGAGATACTTGTCGAACATTGTCTTCATCCCAATGAAGTCGGAAGCTTCGTACTTCAGAATGACAAGCTGCTTAACATAATAGTCCGAGCACGAGCTTTCGTCCTTTGTAAGATGATTTAGAAGCCTCTTTGCCAGCCGTGCAAGCCGAGCCTTGTGTGTTATCGCCCCACGAATAGCATCAAAGATCCCATCATCCACCCCATCAAACTCAAACAGCTCTATCTTGCAGCTCAGCTCCTTGACCTTGTCTCCAGAATACAGGCCCATCTTCTCCACAACCATCTCTCTCTTGTTCCCCTTCCTCTGCAGAACCTCGATGAAGTATATCCTTTCTCGGTTGTAACCAAGTTGCCGTGAGTAATCGTAGAGCTTCCTCCAAAGTCCGTAGTTGTTTCTTTGAAGGTGTGCAGCAACAAAAAAGCAGTAATATGCCTTTGGTATCTCTCCTCTCTCCTCAAAAATGAGCCCAAGAGTGAAGTATGGATGCGGATTTCTTGGCACAAGACATATTGTTTCCTTGAGGACTTCCACACACTTTCCAAGCTCGTTTCGGACATACAAATTGTTTGCAACTGTTATCAAGCTCTTTGCCTTCATTGTTCTTTGTGAGCCTCTCGATGAAGATCTTTTGCGGGATCTTCTTATAAGCCATTCCTCTTCTCCATTCAGCCATCTCACATAAGTCATGAGCTTGGGGGATTGTTGCAAAGGTATTAAATCCAAACGGAATGGAAGCAAGAAGAAGGAGTTGGCAGTGGAGACGGTGAAAGACTCGTCAAGTAGTTTGGAATTGGGACAGAAGACAGCTAGGTTGAAAATCCCAGAATTTAAAAAAAATTTGCTCTGAGGGCTTGAAATGAAGCAACAGATCAACTGTTATGAGGTTGATGGGGTGACGGTGAAGAAGACCTTGGATCTTCCAGAGGTGTTTTCCACACCTATCAGACAGGATCTTGTGCTGAAGACGTACTCGATATACAGGATGAAGACCAGGCAGCCATATGCAGTATCGAAGTATGCAGGTATGCAGCATTCTGCAGAGTCCTGGGGAACCGGGAGGGCGATTGCACGTGTGCCGAGAGTGAAGGGAGGAGGAACAAGAAGGGCAGGACAGGGTGCATTTGCAAACTTCTGCCGAAAGGGTAGGATGGCACACCCAACCAAGACGCATAGGAGATGGGCTAGAAAGGTTGTGGAGAACACCAAGAAGATAGCCGAGGCCATGGCAGTTGCAGCATCTGCACAAACATCACTTGTGGAAGCTCGGGGGCACAGGGTATCGAATGTGAAGATGCTTCCCATCATTGTCTCTGACGACATTTCAAAGGCCAAGAAGACCAAGGATGCACTACAGATTCTCAAGGACTTAAACATGAAGGAGGAATTGAAGAGGATTGAAAAGAGCCGAGGAGTGCGATGTGGTAAGGGGAAGATGAGGAACAGAAGATATACACAAAGAAAAGGGATCCTTATTGTGCACGGAGAGTCCTCTGAGCTTCTTGGGTTCAGAAACATTCGGGGAGTAGATCAGATGAGCATTGACAGCTTGGATCTCCTTGAGCTTGCGCCGGGAGGACTGCCAGGAAGGCTGATCATATGGACCGAAAGTGCCTTTGAGAAGCTGGACAAGATCTTTGGAGGAGTTGAGAGAGAGGCCGAGCTTACTCCTGGATTCAAGCTTCCCGACAGGATTGTGGCCCATGACGATCTTGAAGAGCTGTTCTACAGTGATGCAGTGCAGGCCATTCTCGACGAGCCTCTGTTTGTGGGAAGGACAGAGCTCAAGCTGAGTGATGAAGAGATGAAGGAAAGGCTGAGGTTTGTTAAGAAGCTTGATCCATCTGCAATAAGATCCACTAATTAAACCGATCTTTTTTATCTTCAAGGCTAATATCTCCAAAGAATGGCGGTAGGAATATGTTTATTTACAAAGATGCTCCTTACCTTCTATGGCAAATCCGATGATGAATAATGCATATATTGCTATGAGTGTGTACCCAAGGTCCTTTGTCAGCTTGTGGTGTCTGAGGAGGTAGTTTACAAAGATTACTTTGATTTCAGCAAGGATAAAGACATATGAAAAGTATACAAAGGGAGCATTGGAGATGTTTTGTGAATGAGGGAGGATCCCGTCTTTGGTCAGTAGCAACCGGATGGTAGGAAAGAAGAGAAGAGCATTGAATATGTGCGTGTAGAGGATGGAGCAAGACGACACAGTCAACATCTCATTTCCCTTGTATTTAAGACATGTTACTATTTCCGTAAGATTTGATTGGAGTGAAAGAAACGTACCGGAAAGAAGCTGAATTCCTAATCCTGTTGCATTGCTGATGCGAACGGTAAGATCCACAAGATTTTCCATTATTATCGAGAAAAAGAGCATGGAAACAGCCAAGGTGTAGAGACATGAAATTGTGGAGAAGATCCTTTTTCTTATCATCATGTATAAAAGCAAGCCTGCAAAGAAGGAGCAGATAAGAGAAAGAAGGAATTCAAGGCGTCCGATGTCTATGCGAAAGTGTACCATGCCTACTAGAAGGCTGATCGCCGGAGAAAGCATGATTGTATATGATGTTTTCTTTGAGGACGAAGACAGCTGGTCTGGGTCCAGAAAGATGGTGTTGAATATGAATCGGATGGGGTATAGGCCAAGGGATGGATGCGGAGCTTGAGGATGGGAAGAGACGGTGTCCTGGGCTTCTGCCGGTACCTGCGAGATATATGCAGGCAGAGAGAAAGTGTTGAACAGAAAGGCAAAGAACACACTCAAGGTCATAATTGGAATTGTTAGAGTATCTGCCGTGTTCGAGAACATTATCAGTAGAAGCAGATGGGAGGCTTCAAGAAAGAGGACATCCTTATAGAAGCTTATATGGTGGACAAAACAATTTGTCTTGGCAAATATCAAAACAAGAGCGAGAGATATTGCAATGGAGATTTGAGTGGTACCTGAAATGGCCGACGCAAACACCTGTATGGGGAAGGTTCTATACAAATTTACCATCAGAATCATCTTTGGAATGCCGTTTAAAAAGCATAACACAAGAGCTTGGATAAAGATGTTTTCTATTTTCTTTGTGATATGCTTTGTAACCTTGGAATGATACTCGTGTGCATAGAAGATATTAAGAAATGCCAAGACAACAAATCAGCAGGCAATGTATATTGCCGTACCTGATGCTGATGGCATTTCAAAGAAAGGCTCTAATGACTTTGACAACATTAAAGGGTGTAAACAAAGTCGATTTATGGACCAGGATTGAAAATGGTAGGCTAGATAGGAAGCTTGGAAAGGATTTTGCAGAGAAACCTCAATTATAATTTTCCAGAAAACTTCCCCTTGATGGAGAACAAGTACTTCTGCTTGTATCCTGCCTACATGGATTCATCCAGGGCGCTTTCGGAGGGAAGGAAGTATAGAAAAGAGATTTGCATTGAGAAGCCTCGATACCATGAAATCAAAAATGCCTTGGAAAAACTTGAAATCGAATGTGTCGAAGAGCCTTTGAAGAAGCATCCTCGAGACTTCTTCAACAATGGAAGGTTCCGGATTAAAAAGGAGTATGGAAAACTGTTTGTTGTAGAGGGAGTAAGCCAAACGATTGCAGAGATGAGATCCTCTGCAAGAAGTGGGGGCAGTGTTTCTTCAGGAAAGCAGGCCCATGGAAAGGTGGTGCATGGAGTTGTTCAGAAGGGCGTGTATGTTGAGAATAAGCTTAATCTTGTTAGGAAGAAAAAGACAAAGAAGAAAAAATAAATGCATTATTGGAAATCCATGGGCCTTAGGCCTTTAACTCCTTTCGATCAACATGGCTTTAATTAACTGCTTTCGTATCTAAATCTAGTTTTTCGGAAGTTGAATATCGAAGAAAGGCCCTCTGGAGCCTCGAAAAGCAAGGCGTAGAGGACAAGGAAGAGGATTGAAAAGAGGAGTGTCATTGAAAGAGGGGCAATTGCAACAAAAAAAGCCTCTCTGGACCCAAGGAGGATACACATTCCAAATACAACCAATATAGTCCCTATGTTTGTGTAGAGTATGATCTTAAGCCCGAATTTGTCATCGCGGTAGCCTTCTAACGGATCCTCCGAGATCACCATTGGGCTTTCCATATTCTCGAGTCGATGCACGAAATACTCTTCATCTGCAAAGTTCTTGGCAAAGTATCTTCTAACCGATGGATCAAAAAGCAGATCCTCATCATTAGCAAAGTAGTCTGCTTTTATCAGAAACTCGTCCTTGGAAGAATGCCTTTTCTCCACGGCGCTGGACAGAGCTTTCCATGTTATCTTGTAATACAAGACTTTTCCTTCAATCTCAAGGTTGTTTATTGGATTCCTAGCTATTACCCTGTACAAAAGGTTGTTACGGCCCTCTACACAAAAGAGGATTCTGTTCAGTTCAACTGCAGCATAGTAGTTCTTAAAGATTGAACCCGTTGGAGGATCCCTTGTAGTCACCTCCCCAACTACAAAGTCCTTTCCTTCCTTAACATTGGAGGCAATCAGCTCCTTAAACCTTTCCAGAGTAAAGGCCTCTACAACCTCCGTATCAAGAGTGTAGAGCGGTAGGCCGGAATCTTCCCCGCCAAATACGATCCTGGATCGGCCTTTCAGAACTACTTCCGCCACGTTGCTGTCCATTGGATTCACTTCATAAACAAATTACCTTTATAGCAATCGTGTTTCAGAATTCCAATTGAGATATCAAATCATCTTCGGGAGAAGTAATCCCTTCCAAAAGTCCAGAAATCTATCCAGAAATTTCGCTGTGCTTGGAGATCACTTCCCTGCATGCCTTTCTTACTTCTCTTATTTCCTTCTTGGTTTTTGTTAGTATTTGAATATATGGAGGCTCATTCGCCTCCTGACCAAAGCATGGCTCCACATGCCCAGAAAACTTTCCTCTAATGGCAATGTCTACCGATTTATCGGCTGCAACCGCTTCTATGTCCTTGCGGAACTCATTCATCTTCCCCGATAAATCGTCAGGATCTACAAAAATCCTGTACGAATGGTACCGGGTGCCGTTTTTCCAGACATATCTTCCCAAGATACTGGACGAGGTCCATGGGAGCACAGGCACAGTCTTGACCATAGATGGAATTTTGAACATTGCTTCCTGGAGGATCTCGGGCGTCGGGGCCGAGATCTCATACACCAGCCCATCCGAATCGTCTGTGTCTCCATTCAGCTCTTCTGGCTTGTAACTTCCCTTGACAAGGATCTCCACCCCTAGCTCCTCTTCCATGGCTATCACCACACTATTACGTGTGAGAGCATATGGATTCTTTGTTTTCCCAACGTTGTAAAGGGTCTTGTACTTGTAATCGTTCACCTTCTTCTTAACCTGCCTCTTGAAGTTCAGATCATGGCCTTCAACCCCATTTTCTTCTGCTGTTAAGGAGACCCTACCAGACTCCATAGGTTTGACATCCATGCCCTCAATAGCCCTCTTGACTCTCTTTACCTCTTCTTGAGGTTCGTTAGTCGAATACTCTTTGTCCACATCCCATTTCATCAAGGGGAGTCCTTTTACTTCTTCTTTTCATCCAACATTCCAAGATGTCCAAACCTATCGATGCCTCTTTGCCTCTTCTTTGCCTGGTCGACCATCCTCTTAAATATATAGAGCTGTGCTATCCCTGCATATTCCCCAAACTTCTCTTTATACAGTTCCTGCACAGCTCCATATGCCCTCCGAGTCAATGTCTTTCCATGGATTCTAAACATCTTCTTAGAATGCTTGAAAATATGTGTGTCAATAGGAACAGCACTCAGCTCGCCAACACCTATCAACAAAATGCAATCGGCTATCTTCTCTCCAACGCCCTTGATCGAAACCAATGCCTCCCTGATTCTAGACCTTTGCTGTAGCTTGGAATAGTTCTCTTGTAGATATGTTGCTGCATTGCAGATGTATGAAGATCTGTACCCAAACCCTTTAGCTTTGAGTTCTCCTTCAATGCTTACCAACTCCTCCAGGCTTGGAAAGCGATGGAAGTCAATCCCCTTATACTTCATGATAAACTCTCCCTTTGAATAAAGAAACTCGACCATCCTTGTTATTCTGGAAATGTTGTTGTTGGACGAGCAGATAAACGAAAATATCGTTGGAATTAGATCGTATCGGAGAGCCCTTAAGCCGTTTAGGAGGCCGTCAGAATCAACCTTCCATTTCTCCAGAAGAGGCTTGAGCTTTATATCTAATGTAAAGAAATAAAAAATATCCTCCTCAACTTCCTTTGGAGACCTTTTTCCGCTGAGCACCTTGTAGAGGACCCTACTTCCATCTTGCAAAAAACTCACCAGACATTCTCCCAGCACCCCAGTATATTCCTTCTCTCCCGTCCTCTTGAATGAAAACACTTGTCCACTGAACAAGGTCAGCTCCAGGTCAATGGCTTCTTCCGTACGAAGAGATATCCAACACTTTCCTTCCATGGGTTGTACTTCAAGAATTTACATGGTATTTGGGTCTTAAGAATTTAATAGTGTCTTTCCTTCCTTCCAAAGCTCATCACATAAGCTGCTGTATCTTCTCAACAGCATGGCTGATTGTGTCATCATCCTTAGACGCCAGAGATGGAATGAGTGACTTGGCCTCCTCAACAGACTGGGGGAATAGGGATCCAAGCAAGGCTATCTCAACCTCGCTGAACCCTAATCCAGAAAAGGTTGTTCGGAGGTCTTCTGCAACCGACTTGTCTTTAATCCTGCAGAACTCGTCCAAATATCCTAATGTTGATCTAAATATCTTCGATGCATTCGATCTAAAATCTGCTCGGAATCTTTCTTTCTGTCCTTCAAGCAAATATCTTGCCTCGGCAAGCATAACTGGATGGGAGTCTTTTATATCCTCAGCACACTCATCGATTTCCATCGATTTAGGGCTTGAAAATATCTCTCACTTGAGCATGTCATCTTCTAATCCCAAAATGCTCTTGGAGTACGAGAAAGAAGCACTTCAAACATGCGACGGACAAAACAGCCTTCTTGTAATGGGGGGAGGCCTTAACATCCAAGGGATAATTTTGGAGGTGGTAAAGAAGTATCTGGAGAAGACCTATCTTGTGCTTCTGGTGAATTTCAATACAGAGGACGAATCGATGCTTCTGAGGATGGAGTCTCCTTTCCTTCATGATGTAAGAACTTTGCCAAGGACAAGAAGGAGAGAAAAGTATCTCAATGGAGGAGTGTTTATTGCAAGTAGCCGTGTATTTCTTGCAGACATGATTGACGGCACAGTGGATGTTGAGAAAATAGATTGCATTCTTGTCAACCATGCAGAGACAGTAACAGAGACATCGCTGGAGTCCTTCATCAGCCATGTCTTCAGATCAAAGAATAAAACAGGATTCATAAACGGGTTTTCGGAGTCGCCTGTGCCTCTTTCTCTTGGGTTCTCTCCGCTAGCCAGGAAGATGAAAAGCCTGAAGATGAACAAGGTTGTTTTTTTCCCACGATTCCATTCCTCGGTCGAGAAGTCCTTGAAAGGGGATGCAGATGTTGTTGAGATCAAGTTCAAAATGTCGGAGAGCCGCAGTCATCTCCAAGTGATTCTTTTGGAGATCATCAACGGGCTTCTGAAAATGGCCTTCAGAGGTCCTGATCGAGAGGAGGTGGATGCAGAGGCCATAATATTTGGAAGTATCCGCAAGACATTCAAGCAGATGAACGTTTTGAACAGCAGGATAATGGAGGATCTGTATGACATACGTGGATTGATTTTTCTGCTGTTTTCTTGCGATCCAGGATCGTTCTATGGATATGTCAAGGAAATTGTAAAGAAGCAAGTAGAACTTGGAAAGGATAGCACATGGATCAATCTACCAATATCTCATGTACTAATTGATGGAGCCAGAGAACAGTTTGAAGAAGCAATCCAAAAAATAGAAGATATTAGGGAGCAGAAGGAAAAGAGAAATGAGAAGAATGAACTGGAATCTCTCTTGGGACTTTCCGATTCCAAGTTAAGAGCCTTCTATACCTTGAATCCAAAGATCAAGAAATTGATAGAGATTCTGCAGGAGTTAGGAGAGGCATCGTCGATAGTATTAGTTTCCAACCGTGCAGTCAGGAACATGATCTTAAATGTTTTTGTTGTGTTTGGTCTAGTCTCTGTCGAGAGTATTGAAAAGAAGGAGAACACAGTAAAGATCTTGACCCACTACGAGTTCAAGTATTACGAGAGCAGTTATGAGAATGTGATTTTTGTAGAATCTGGGCAGGACAGCGTTAGGAAGATAGAAAGATACAGGGTGATGCATCCTGTTAAAGTGTTTTTCCTTATGCACTCCTCGTCTCTAGAGGAACAAAGATACTTGAATGAGATAAGAAGAGAAAAGACATCGTTTGAAAAGCTCATAGAAGAGAGATCAAGACTTCCTTTGCAATTGGATGGGGAGGATGTGATTGATCTAGAGGAGCATGAGTCGGGAGAGAAGGACTACACGGTTGTGGTTGACTCCAGGGAGCTAAGAGCCGAACTTCCCTTCTTTCTGTTCAGGGCAAGAAACAAGATATGCATTTCCACTCTTCCCACTGGAGATTACCTAATAGGGCCCACAATCTGCATCGAAAGAAAATCGATCTCCGACTTTATATCATCTCTAGGGACAGGAAGGCTTTATTCTCAGATGAGCATGCTATGCCACAGGTATCCAAGCCCTGTTCTCCTCCTTGAGTTTGATGGAAGGCCATGTCTGTCTGACCACTACCGCTATGACCAGGACACATTCAAAAACAGCATTGCAGCAAAGTTTGCCTTGCTTCTGTTTAACTTCGGAATGCTGAGGGTTATCTGGTCTGAGTCAAGACTATTTTCCACAAAGGTGATAAGAGATCTTCAGAGGAAGGAAGATGTACCAAGTGTTTCTGAAAGGCATAAGATGGACCCCGTCCTCCATGAGATACTTCTGAGTATTCCTGGAATAACACAGTTCAACATCCTAAAGGTTCGAAAATGTTTCAAGAGCCTGAAGGACCTCATATTCTCCAGCATGGATCGCCTTGAGTTGACTCTTGGGAGAGAGAATGGTGTTCTTATATACAACTTCTTCAGGCAGGAGGGCGGAGGAGAGAATAAAACAAAAGCCAAAGCAGGGGAGGAAATTGATGGATGAAATATTTATAGGAAGGCCTTCTAAGAGGGAGATAGATATGTATCTTCTAAATAGGGAATACTCACTACTAAACAACATCGGACTCCGAAGTGAGATATTGAAAAGGGGAATGGCGAAGAGGCTCGAAGAAAATAAGACTGAGTTGGGCTTCGGGGCTTTTAAAAGAAGGAAGCCTAGAAAGAAAAAGGAAGCAAAGCTTGTAGAAGATGGGACGATTAGGAAAAGAAAAGTGTCTGTTGGATACCAAATGAGGAAGGGGAAAGATCCGTTAGCCAAGAAGGACTCGAATGGTCATGCAAAGGGAACAAAAAAAAAATGTATGAAGGAAATTGTTGAAAAGAATACTCTCAAGAATTCTGGATACAGATATGTTGTTCTTGTGTTTGATGGAGAAAGCAGATGTCCAGAGCACATAAGTAGAAGACGGAAAAGAAAGATAAAATTCCAAGACAGGCCTAATGCAAAGGTGCATAACATCAAGGAGTTTCCCTCTATACTACTTCCAACAGCCAAGCCAAGAAGATTGCCTGTAGTGAAAAGGAAGGAAAGAGTATTTGTGAAGAAACTGGCGTCTGTAAATGAGTCGGAAGAAATTGAATGATAGACTGATTGGGGCACCCCTTGTATGGTCATGGTGGCTGTTATGAGTGGTAAGGGAGGAGTTGGAAAAAGCTCGATCTCTATCATGCTGAGCACGGCGATGTCCGAAAGAGGAAAGACACTGCTGTTGGACTTTGATCTGTGTGGGCCAAGTGTGGCTAGTGGACTTGGGATTAAGGAAAAGATATACAAAGGAGAGAAGGGATTGATTCCGGCCAAAGCATCTGAGAACTTGTACATACTTTCGATGGCTTTGCTTATGAAGGAAAGTGACTCTGTGATATGGAGAGGTCCAAAGAAGATGTCTGTATTATCGATGTTCTATGAATCGGCCGATGGCTTTGATAACGTAGTGATTGATATGCCTCCAGGAATATCTGAGGAACATGGATTTCTGGTTGGAAAGGACATTAGTGTTTTGATTGCCACTACTCCGCAGAACATCTCCCTAGGAGATTCTTCGAGAGCAATTGACTTTTGCATTTCTAATGGAATCCAGATTCTCGGGCTTGTGGAGAATATGAGTGGATACTGCTGCGAGTCCTGTGGAAACCCCACCAACATATTTGGGGCAAGAGGAGGAGAAAGACTTGCAATGGAGATGGGTGTTCGCTTTATATGCGAGCTGAAAATCGATCCTCTGCTCTGCGAAGCACTAGATGAAGGGAAGTTCCTCGAGAAATGTGGATCGATCGAGTCTTACATAAGACTCAGAAGATCTGTCCTCGAGATTACAAACATTTAAAGTAAATAAAGATCAGCAGCAAAGGTATTTTATGTAATCATCTCTCAGCCTAAATCCTTTTGTGTTTTTCTTGACCTCCTCTTTTGGAACTTTCTCTGCAATTGCATTAAATATCTCGGCTATGTTTTTTCCTGTCTTTGCACTCGACTCGAAGAATAGAAGGTTTTGACTATCTGCATATTCCTTTCCCTGCTGGAACTCTACTTTTCGGTCTTCCTCTAGATCGGACTTATTTCCAATCAGAACCTTGATGAACTCCCTTGGCTTCTCAAAGCTAAGCTCTTCAACCCATCTCTTTGCAGTTTCGAAGCTTTCCACAGAAGTTATATCATAAACTATCAGGGCCACCTGCGCCCCACGGTAATACATCGGAATCAGGCTGTTGTATCTTTCCTGGCCTGCAGTGTCCCATATTTCGAACTTGATGCTTCCTTCAGGAGTAAAAACAGTTTTTGTTAAGAACGATGCACCTATGGTACTCTCCTCATTTGGATTGAACTCCCCCTTGACATACTTGAGCACCAAGCTGCTCTTACCCACCGAATAGTATCCAAGAACCACCATCTTGAATGTATAGGTCTTCATATCCTCCTTGATGCCAGGCATTTTTTGTTTACTGTCAAGCTTCTTTTATTACTGTCTGTTTCAGATTAGCAAATAAAAGGTTTACAACTCCCCAGAACACGAATGGACAGTATTTCCAGGAAAGAAGCATGGATCGCCAAGCAAGGGAAGGAAGGCCATTGTTTTTAATTTAATCACATGGCCAAATATATTTTTATTTGTTTACAAACAAGTTCAAGCCGGATGGCAAAAGAGACACTAGATCTGTATGAGAAATCCAAGGGAATGCCATCCAAAATCAGGATAGTCGGGGGTCCAAACAACCTGGCATATGGAGAAGGCGATGAATTGGACGTACTGGATGCAAACACTGTTGAAACTTTCACTTTAGAAGAGTTCAAAACAATAGTATTGGACTGCAGGTCGAAGAATAAGGACTTCATACTTGCAAGAGTCACAACTCCAGATCCAGATGACCAGAGCGTCATATACAACTTCTACTACGCTGCATCAGAATTGAATAGGATACTATTCAGGTTTGAGTCTGACAGAAGATTGTTGCACAGAATGAAGGTTCGAAACCCCCTTAACAACATGTATATACTAGGGCAGGTTTACTATTACAAAGTCCCGCCCCAAGAAGTCGACAGAGCACTTGTTGAGTATTTCTTCATAGAAACCAAGGTGGAAGGCAAAACAACAAAAAAGGCGTTTTCACAGGTGTTCAGACACAAGGTAGAAGAGGCATCGGAGGACAACAAGAGATGTCATAAGTCAAGAGACAGTCTCGATGCTAGCGACCGATCCTTGAAGATAAGTAGCATGGAGGAAAATCCCAGAGAGATCATAGAAAAGATTCAGAAAGGCACAATAGCTATGCCTAAGTCAATTCCTCCAGAAAGAAGCGTGATGTACAGTGCCAACTATTTCGCTTCGGACGACGACTTTCTGATGCAGCCGGAGATCAGAGAGTACTTCCGGAGGAACACCCTGGATGCAGACGACGACTTTCTTTTTGAAATAGACAGAACACAGAATGACTTCTTTGCGCTCCTTGAAACGGCCTCGGAAGATGAAAACGAAGAGGTTCTTGGATGGAAAAGAGTTCTTACTGCACACATCAGCATGCTTGTGACCCTCTTGACTGTATGTCTTGTTCTTGGGGTTGGGCCCCAGATGGTCCTTGTTGCTCTCCCGTTGGCTGTTGTCCTTATCTTCTCGTTCATTGGCTCGATTTTTTATATTCTATTCTGCAGAAGAAATACATTCGATACCCTGGCAGTCAACAGCATCGAGGAAGTGTAAATAAATAAGTTTAGATATCACAGCTTCGTGTCCACAAACAGGAAAAAAACAGGCCGAATTTCTCCTAGGAAGGGCTGTTTAATAAACCTAGTTACTGTAATTCCCTTTTCTCTTCGACTCAATGTTTTCAAACAGTCTCTTAAGTTCTTCTGAACTGTCTAAAAGCTTTATACAACTAGGAATATCTCTTCCTTCACTCATAGCCTCTCCAAAATACTCGCTGATGGCTTCTATGAACTGATCGCTTGGTTCGACTGTGTTGATGGAGCAGATCTGAAATTTACATCTGCAATCTTCGATATAGATCTTGAAGTTTCCACAGGCTGTTGAAATGCTCACCTCGCTTTCACTGGCAGTTATTTTATAACTCTTCCTTGCCACATCGGATATTAATCCAATCTTTTCCTTGAAGTAGAAGGAAGATAGCTTTCGAGGAAAAGACGTGTCCATGCTAGATATCTCACGTCCAAAGCCTCCAAGAGCGTCCTTAATTCTACCTCCATTCAGAGAAACCATGTACTTAGTTCTATCAACCATCTTTACCTTCACATGCCCTTTGAACAGGTGTCTAAACACAAATATCAGACTTGTGGGTGTGGAAGCTGTAGGTACAAGCCCATTGGAAAAGAACCCATGGAAACAGTATAGAAGGCCCAGGGCCCCAAGGATAGAACTGTTTCTTAGTCCACAATTCACAGCCAGTGGACTTGCCTTGAGGGATTTTGAACAGTCCAGCTTAAGAGACACGGGAAGACCCGAAATTCTCAACGTCGTTCCTTTGAAAAGGTCAATCGAGATAACATTCAATAGCTCCGAATCCTTTGAGCTTGTAAAGATATCCATTAGAAGCAACGCAAAAGCAACACAGTTATGAACATCCCCTGAGGTTGTGGCTGTCCTTGCCCCAAATCTGCTTGTTGTAACAATAAACTTCTCCTCCCTCTTCTCTATATAAATATCAATTTGTGTATTCTTGACTCTATGGTTCAGCAAGATTTGTTCTCCAACACTAATCTTTCCGTTGATCATCGGGAGAAGCCTATAGGAAAGAAACAAAAGCTCCATGCCTTTTTCAAAGTATTTGCACAATGATTCGGTCTTGATCGTCGATTGCTTTACCTTTCCTCCGTTTATAATCCCCACTATCTCTCCTCTATCGTCCTCTTCCATGATGACTTCTGTATAACTCGGAAAGTCTACCAGTTCACAGCTCCCAACTATTACCTTTATCTCCATGTGGCTATCTACAAATCTCACCAGACGGATGCACACAAAAAGCCCGTTTTCTATAATGAAGACATTTCTATCCCCAAACATGTTTGTCCTATGGTTTCTGTAGCAGGGAAATCTTTCCTCAAAAAAGCTATAAAAGCTGGAATTTTCTTTCTTTCTTTCCAAGAAGACATCTAGGTCTGTAAAACTTCTGAAGGTTTGGATCTCTTCATCTCCAAGAGCTACAAATCCCTTTTCAAAACTAAAAGAAGCATTCCTTCCGTCCCTGCAGAGATACTCCGAAACTCTACTTTCAAACGACTCTACCACATTCTTTCCAGAAGGAAACACATCTTCTTCTATAAACAACTTCCCGTTAATATCGCTGCATTCGACATGCACTGCCATCTTGAACACGTGAAAAGAAACCTCAAATCTCTTGTAGTGGCCCTTTATACTCAGTTCTATGCGCTCGGAAGATCTTTTCACCATCAGAAATATATCCCGGGCCTTCGTGTGTGCCTCATAGACCCTCAGAAACCTCGATATCTTGTCTATTTGATGGGGCATACCAAACAGAAGGTGGCGGTTGAAGACCTCGTTATCTCCCCTGACATTGATCAGTTTCCATTCAGGCCTGGATATCTCTCCACATAATGCAAGGCTAAACGAAAAAAATCTGGTCGACAGAACTGTAATACCTCGATCAATCACAACACTGTCATAAACAGACAGATCCTCCTTGTCCAAGTACATTCGGGTGATTCTATTGATTTCTTCGAAGCTTGCCACCTCATGCTCAGTACTATCTCCAACAAGACTTGGAAGAAGATAGCTGCTGTTGTAAACCGTCTGGAGTGAGGTAAAGACATCACTCTTGGGTACAATCATCGACTTGAAGGATCCAAACAGATGTGCAAGTCGATCCGCCATCATCACATATTCCCCATCTACATCTTTGATCTTCTCCATCCTATGTCTGTTTGAATTTGCCTCTTTCAGGTACTCAACTCCACTTATAAGTAGAAACAAACATTCAAAGTCTGCAGCCTTCTGTTTGAAAAACACGCTCAATTCCCTTCTGCACACTATTTCGGAAATAGAATGGAATTTCCCAAGTGCTTCCTTCATCTCCTTCAAGGCTTGGTTGACAAACATTTCCACAAATCGTTTCAGATCCACCTTCTTCTGCTCTCTGCCTCTCCAGCCTTTTCCCTCTTGCTCGATCTTGTGCCGCTTCAGTGGTAGTCTAATCCGTTCCATTGCTCAAGATTCCCTAGGGTGGATCCCAGGTGTATTTTTGCACCAACGGTGCTTAGAACCAGGACAACATGCAGAAATTACCGTGCTTTATTTCTTATAGTACTCCTTACTTTGGAGAAACGGATTGTAGTTGTACTTCTTCATGTGTGCAACTAGGCGCTTTGTGGTATATCCAACCATGAAAATAAAATAGAACACAAGAATCGGTGTGTACACCGGAATGTCCAATATGTCAAAGTACGTCCCCACAAGTGCTACCCCGACTGTCTTTGTGACAAACATCCAAAAGTCAAACTCAGGAAGATTCCGGATGAAGGGCTTGAACTCGTTGTCTATTGCCTCTGGAACATAGTCATCATCCTCGATATTCTCGAAAGGATCTGGAATCATCTCTCCCTTTGGCGTGAGGAAAAGGATTAGAGCATGGAGAAGATAGATCCCTAGACAGTATGTTATTAGGTAGAAAGCTCCTGTTGTCCATATACGAATGCAGTACAGGACAAACGCCACTCCTGTTATTCCCCATCTTACATCTGGCCTTGGCGCAAGTCTATCTAAGTAGATTTGCTTTAATGTTTTCAAGTCCATTTGGGGGGTTTTGCAATGAGCTCATAAACCCCTTAGGAAACTTATCTTTAGATCTTTTACTCCTAAGCCGCCTATAAATCAACCAGCACTACTCTGCTGCAACTCATCTCTTCTTTCTCTCCTCTATCATGTGAGTAAGAAAAGCCTATGGCCACTTTTTCCTCTGCTGTGCAAAGACCACTCACCCCCACTTTGTCACAGGCAATTTCTTTGTAAGTTTTCTTTGCCTCAAGCTTCCACCTGAGTACTCTTCCGTCAGATCCCCCTGAAAGAAGATATTTTCCCACCACTATCGAGTTTACAGGATAAAAGATTTTCGAGTCTCCCGATATGGAGTAATGTGCATTGAACACATAGGATCTGGACTTGTCCTCAAAGTCCTCGTAGTATATCCGGCCATCGGTTGTACCTGCAAAGAAACCTCCTGGGCCCAAGGCTAGTGATCTAACAACTGTGTTGAACTGTCTTCTAAAGAAGAATGAATTTGTGCGGAGGTCATATGCCACAACATATTCTTGCTGGCCTACTAGAAGAACATCATTCAAAATATCCGAACAGTACACCTTCTTCTCTGTATTTATCACATTTTCCACACATCCGTTAACAAACACAATTTTCTTGTTCCATCCTCCAGCCACTACACTTCCTTTGTACTCATGCAGGAGTTGTATTCCACCAACCCCGCTTGAGATCTTTGCCTTTTCGTTCAAAGACATGTCATATATCCGAACACTTCCCTCTATATCTCCAGCCACCACGTCCGACGTAAGAATAGCCCTGGTAACAGGAATCTCCGCTTCTACCGATCCCTTACATCCAAAGGTGACTCCAGAATACAGCATAAGCTCTCCACTCCACAGGGAAATAAGTATATCCTTGTTGTATGAAACACTTGTTATTGTCTCTTGTGGGACACAGTTCAATTCATGCATCATCTCAAGGGATGTGGAGATAGATAAACAAAGGCCAAAATGACTAGCAGGACGAACCCTGGATGAGCCTCTTTGATGTTGAAGGGTTGGTTGTGGCAAGTAGCCAAGGGGAGATTCTCTATAAGAAAGTCTTTACAAAGGATGAGGGAGTTGTGGAGAAGATTGTGGAAAAGACTGTAAGAGATAGAGAGAGTATAGCAGTGTTCCGTGACAGAATTGTCATGTGTAAGAGGCTGGACGAGATACTTTTGATCATATATTCGCCGATGGAGGTGAATGAGGCATTTGTAGGGCAGGCCTTTGATGAATTCGCAGCTGCATTTGTCGATGTTGTCAAGACACCAACACAAGAAAGAGTATGGAAAAAATACGACCAGATTGTCCTGCTTGTAGCGGGATTTCTCTACGAGGGTGTTATTATGCTTGGGAAGAGTGACGAGATGCTTAGTAAGCTACCAAAGAGGAACTTCGAGGGAGTGGACGGAATAAAGGTTCCAAAAGGATTTGCTTCCTTTCTCCATAGGGCGTCTCGATCTCTTAACATAGGAAATAACAATAAATAAGGTGGACATGGTTGAGTTTACTTCGGTTAGCATGCCTAGTGGCTTAAATATGTCGACATTTCGGCCATGCGGTATTCCTCAAGAGTCTTCTGGACAATCTCTTTTGCATGGTCAAACATTTCAGGTTCAACCCCAAATCTCTTGTAAATATCCAGGAATGCACGCTGCTTCTTGAGTTTGTCAAACTGTCCAGATATCTTCGACAGGACCGAAGAGATTCCTGTCGAGTTAGTGAGGCTTAGACCGGAAATCCTGCTTGGCATTATGTTGTTGGCAATGTTCTTTCCCAATGCAACATTGAATGAGGGAGGCATCCAGGGGACAAAGTTGACTATTCCCTTGTCAAGAAACCGCATAACTGTCCTGGACACCTCTCCGGGATCTTCGATACCGTGCAAGATATTCAGCATCGACACTACAGACTGGACCTTCGTTTGCTCATAGCTTGCAAGCCTGGTCTTTGGTAGGAGAAGTCTTCTCATGACGTCGGAACATGTTGTCTTCCTGACGATCCTAGACATTTCATCGCATGCAAAAGGAGTGTATGATGGTGCAACGAATTTGAGTGGATCAACAGGAATAAGACAGCTATTTATGGACTGATGTGTGCAATACATATATCCCGGAAATCTAATTGTAGATGTGGATGCAGCCATCACTGTTGATATAAGGTGATTTATATGGTCGAATGTTGGGGTGCCGATCCTCAGAGAGTCCAAGGTATATCTTCCAAGCGATGAGTTGTCCATCACGACAATGCAGTCCGAGTTTTCTATGAGTCTTTGAAGCGTCAGCATGGAGTTGTATGGCTGGACAACAACGTCGCTGGATTCATCGTTGTTAGGGAATATAGAGTATGTCTGGACAATCTTCTTGGGAAACTCCTCTCTTATTCTTTCCAAAAGTAAAGACCCAAATCCTGATCCTGTTCCTCCTGCTATGGAGTGGAGCAAGAAGAAGGTCTCGAGAGAATCGCAGCCCTCTGCTTCCCTTTGGATCACTTCTACCACGTCGTCTCCCATGGTCTTGCCCATATAGTATCCATGTCCCCAGTTATTTCCTGCTCCACCTCCTTCGTTGGATAGAAAAATATTCTCCTGATTGAAAAATGATGGTGCTTGGGATATAACCCGGGGCTCCAAATCCACAAGCATTGCTCTGGGAACAAACACATTATCGTCTGATTGGTAAAAGAAGACATCTTTCCTGTCTCCAAGGTCTCTGTTGTCTTGTAAAGTCCCACAGTTGGATATTCCGTGTTCCTTGCACAATGTCTTCCAGAACTCGGCACCCATTTGATTTCCGCACTGACCAACCTGTAGTGTTATCACTTCACGCATGAGGGCTTCGCAAGGTTTCGCAAGTTGTTTGGATTCCAGAGGTATTGGGGATTGGTAGGCGTGGGATCGAGCCCTGATGGCGTAATGGCTAACGCGTCTGCCTTCTAAGCAGAAGATTGCGGGTTCGAGTCCCGCTCAGGGTGTTGCTCTTTTCCTGTTCCGGACTCATAACTACTTATCCAACTCCATCACAAACTCTGTGATCCTCGATACAAATCTTTTTTTGTCCCGTGCCTCTTCATATGCCCTCTTTATTTCGTTCAATATGCCGAGATTATCAACAACACTATCTGCAACCTGACATCCCCCACCATCTTTGGTACTTACACGAAAGGACTTAGAGATAAACTCTTTCAAGCTACTAACAAAGACTGCATCGTCTGGAACTATTTTTTTCACAAACTCAACATGCTTGGAATACTTCGCATAGAAGAATACTCTTTCCAGAACTATGAGGGTCTGTGCATCGTTTTCAACAACTAGGTCTAGGAGGGATGGCGGCTCGACCTTGTGATTTATATAACATGGAAGAGCCAAGGCCCTGCACAGAACTCCTAAGGACTTCTTCTTTATTATTTCAAGCAGATGCCCAATACTCTCATTTCCCAACTTCTTGTTACTTTCAAGGCCAAAGCTGGTGCAGGTAACAGCTCTGCTGAATATTGACAAGATGAGCCCATCCACAAAAGGCGAGGTACCTATGAAGTTGGAAACAAGTTCAAAAAGCACCAAATGATTCACCTGGGTTGGAGATCTGCTGCTAAGATAGTACAAAATTATCCACAGCTTCAATCTTGATTCCTTGCTACTCACTGGAGGTCTTATTTCCTTTAGAAACGACAGAATCTTTCTTTCGAGGCCTTGGTTCGGGTCCTTGCTCTGGGTTGCACTGAGAACTAGTATTCTTGACCACTCATCAGATATTTCATACAACAGATTGCCTTTTTCCAGAATGTAGGCCAAGTGACAGTGGAGCCTATGGAACAATATTGGCTGGTCATAGGACCGCTTGATCAACTCTATAATTTTTTGTACTTTCATGGTAGATTCAAGGGATTTAGACAATTTTAGGAAAACTCTTTATTCTCGGAAACAGCATCCAGAAAAGAAACATCACAGAAACTTATCAAGATTTCGGCTCAAGTCCTTAACATCTGATCCAAGAAGGAGGAGATGGTCCAGATCTGCGGACATTTCACGTAAGCTTCTTATAATCATATCTAACCTTTCCTCCTCGCAACCCATTTTCTCCATAGGGGCCACACAAACCCTGTTTACACCATCCAAGCCCTGTACTTCCTACACCCACCATTCTAATGGCCCCAATCCCGCCTCGTTGAGACCACAGAGAACAAGGGAAGACTTCTCCTCGGGATGCAAAACTCGGAATCTTATACAGGACTTCCTTCTAAAATACAATTTGTTCTCTCGGTAAATCCACACCCAGGCCAATTGCTTTTCTCCACAATCGCTCACATATGCCTTTTCGCTCACAGACGGCAGGAAGTCCTTCTTAGCCCAGAGATTGTGGAAAAAGGATACTCCGATCCTTATGCCCTTCTCATTCTGTTCCAGTATTGTTCCACATCCCACTTCATCCTTGAAAAATCTAAAGAAAAGTGCCTCAAACTCAACCTCGGCAACTAGGAATTCGTCATATACTTTATATTCATAGACATCTATAACCCTTTCTATAAGAACACACATGCTAGTGTTTTCTAGTGTTCTTCCAACATACTTTTTCTTAAGCTCCTCAAAGACTTCTCTTTTTTTCTCCACATTGCTGTTTAGGGAAATTTTAATTTTGTCCTCGATCTTTGCACTGTAGAACATCCAAATAGAGGGGGAAGCCCTCCAGCCGAAATAACTTACAATCTCCAACCATCCCGGGTTTATCTTCTTCCAATGCTTTGGCTCTCTCTTCCCTCAAGACTTATCATAATAGACACTACTTCATCACTCTTTGAAACTAATCTACTGATATGTTTAAATCTAAATAATAAAGCCCTAGGGGCAGATGTGGAGCAAGAAAAAACTAGAGATATTTGTAGTAATGAGCATAGTTGCAGCCGTGATGCTCTCTGTCCTGAAAGTTGTGATACTTGTGAACTACAAAGTCGGGGGGTTGCTGATGTTGATCTCAAGCTTCATAAAAATGGCTATTTCATATCTAAACATGCAATCATTTGATTTCAAGATGAAGTATACATTTATTGTTGCAAGTTTAAGTTTTCTTGGTGGTTATCTGGGGGTGCTTTCGTACTATTCAAAAGCATCATCGACATCATATGTGATCTCTTCTGATCTCCAATATCTTTTTACTGCACTCATAGCCATAATCTGGAATGGAACAAAGTACTCATACACCCAATACATTGGGCTCCTAATGGTTCTAGGAGGGTTTCTTATAGAGATATCTTCGGGAGAATCTCTCTCCATTCCACTCCACATGTTCATTGGATCTTTATCAGGGTTGTTTGGAGCCGTCAGCCTAGCAGTGTTTGAAGCCAAGATAAAGCCTACTCTTGTGGACTTTAAGAAGTTCTGGTGCTATATGACAACATATGGGTTCTTTCTCACCCTGTTTTCCTTGTTCTATATGACAGAAGAGGCGCTTTCGCAGAAATCTACCTATGTCAAGATAGTCTCGTCTCCAGGCATATACCTTGTGCTTCTTATGGAGATAGTAACAACATATCTGCTATCCGAGATTTCTTTGTTTCTGGACAAAGTGGAGAAGTCCACGCTTCTCAACGTGATCACAGGCTTTTCGGCAATTGTCACCGACTTGTATCTGTGCAGAGAGATAGACGTACAACGGTTCTTGGCGTTTTCCTTCACTGTGATCGGCGTCCAAGTATTTAATTTCTTTTGGAAGGAAAGCGTTCAACCGTTTGAGCAAGCATGTACATCATAGAAATAAAATTATTGTTTTGATCCTTGCCAATGGGGCTTGACGAACGGCTGATGAAGACATATTATAGAACTTTGTTTCCCTTGGACCTGATTTTCAAGTGTCTCCGGATCGACGAGAACCGGGAGATTTCTTTTGGGCTAGGGTCTGGAGGATATATTCGCTTTCTTACATTCAAGACTGCTGAAGAATTTAGGAAGAAGCTACTAGGAATTGTCCCTGAGAGAATCGATGTTGGAGCCATCTATAAGGATCGGCCTGTAAAGCATAATGTTCCAAAAGTTGCTGGGAAGGAACTAGTTTTCGATGTAGATCTGACGGACTACCCTAGGGAGTGCTGTACTGAAAAGCTCGTATGCAACAAGTGTCTGGTGCTGATAAAGGTGGCTGTTAGGATTCTTGATTATTCTTTGAGAAAAGAGTTTGGCTTCAAGAACGTAGGCTTTGTCTTTTCGGGAAGACGTGGAATGCATTGTTGGGTGTTTGATGAGGCAGCACTAGAGCTCAACGATATTGAGAGAGGGGAGATAGTAAGATACTATGACACAGTGGTTAAGAAGAAAGTATACTCTAAGGAATATGAAGAGATCTTGCGAGAATATTCTTTTTTTCTTGGAGACGAGACGTTTAAGGAGTCGGAGTTATTTGAGAAGATGTACATAAGAATCGATAAAGAGGTAACACAGAAGAGTAAGCATCTGATAAAGATGCCATTTTCGGTACATCCTTCCACAGAGATCATCTCTGTCCCCATTGATCCATCCTCTTTGGATTCTGTCAAACTAGAGGATTTCCCGAGGTTGGGAGATGTTTTAGAATCGCCTGAGCGTCTTCAGCCGTATCTCGGTATTGCCGAGAAATGGAGGGGCTTGTCTTGAGCTTGATTCTGGATCCCTTTGAATGAGCAGCAGAATATATGAGGTAATCAAGGAGGAAGGGAGTTTGGAGGAACAAATCAAGAAGATATTGAAGATGGGAGTCCTGGCGGACTCCTCTGAGATTCTGGCGTATTTCTTGAGGAAGACCATGGATGTATTTAAGGAAGATCCCTCCATCCATCACTACCTGCTTAACAGAATTCCCTCGGAGCTCATCACAAGATTTGTTCCGGGCCTCCTATCCTTTTACTTCAGCCTCTTGAAGGACCAGAAAACCAACAGAAGAACAGAAAGGATGGTAATCGATTCAATAAAGCATGTACTGGAATCTGCAGCTCGGCTGAATGACGTTGCAGAGGCCCGAATACATGAATTCTTCTACTTTCGCCGAGGTCCTATGTTTGAAGAGATCTATAAAATATGTGCACAGAAGTTTAAGACATCTAGAAGAGTGTTTTTTATCTCCGAGCTCCTTCTTCTTGGATATCCGCTGGAGGACAGCGACTATGATGCCATTAACGAGGGTATTGAGGAGATATTTTCTCTGGAACTGATCAGAAAACTCCTAGATAGAGAAAAGTACAGGAACAATGAAGAGATATTTGAAAAGCTTATCCAGATGTACAAAAAAGGAGAGGATGTTTCGGATATAATACTCCGAATCCAGGAAACATGTGGGGTTGTCTGTAGAGTGCCGGAGCTATGTGTGGTAAATAAAGAGACTACAAGAACAGTGCTCGACACAAACGACCTGAGAAAAATCGAAATGTTTCTTCGAAATGCTACTGATGTCCCTCTTCATGTCGAGGTGATTGGAAAGTATCTAGAGTTATGTGATTCTCCAAAGCAGGTTCTTGGGAGTGATGTCTGGAAGAGACTTAATGTCCGAAAAGTGGTGTCTGAGAATTACGACGAACTTCTTGAATATGCATTCAACAAGCTGAAAACAAGCCCTAGGATTCTGATCAACCTAATAGGAATCGAGTTCAGGCCAAAGCTGGAGGACTTTATTCTCCAGTCAATTGAATTTGTCAGTAGGTGTTCAGATGCAAAGGACTTGAGTCTGTATTTGTATTTCTTGAAAGTTGTTGTGGAAAAGAACTTTCTAAGAAGATCAATCCTCAGGAGGATATTTGACGGACTGATATATTTAGATAACGAAGACTATAGGGTCAGGTGTATGAAATACGAGGTGCTTGGTGAGTTATTTGTACAGTATTCTCTACTAGACAAGGCCATAGAACACAGCAGACATTTGAATGAATCACAGAAAACATGGAATGTAGAATGCACATGTTCGATTCCAGAGAACATTTTTGAGAGGGTAGACACAAGAGACGTGGATGAAGACAATGTAAATGTACTTGCAGCGATTGCATGGGATGAGCTAACCATCGTCCCTGCTGAGGGAGAGCTTATGGCTGTTTCTGTTTTTCTTAAGAAGATCATAGACAGCACAGGGATGTTCTATGAGAATAGGATTTCCAAATCAAATTTTATTCTCCACCTTGTGGATTTGCATGGAATATCAAGATTTAATGAAACCAAGAGAAGATTAATGGATGAGTTCTTCCAATTGCTTGGAAGCATAGTAAGATTCAGTCTCTCAAAGAAGCTTCTTTCAAAAATGTTCTTGATCTCCCTAGACTATTTTCACATCTTTGACACTAGCTGCCTGATCCGGTCCATCGTAAGAAACGACAGATATTACTGCCTGTTCATTTTTTACAATCTGGCCAAGAACAAGGAGAAGACATTGTCAAAGAAGCTCTTGGAATTTCTGAAGAAAAGCTTGAGAGAATCCCAGGAATCGTAAGGCAAAGTGCATTCAATTCTCCAGATCCTTCCTTACGTCGCACAAGTCCTCTGGGGAAATAGGCACACCATCGTCTATTTCTCTCAGCCTTCCTGTTACTTCGCTTACATTGAACCTGCCTCCCAGCTTTTTTGCCATTAGAGGACAGCAGAACAGGATCTTCTTGGTAATTCTTGGGTCCCAGCATCTTAAGACCTCTATTCTCTCCAGAACCTTGAGAAGGGTCTTTTTGGTTTGATCCTTTCCATATCCACCTGCAAGATAAACACAGATATTGTAGAAGAGGAGCTGTGATCCGTTAGGATACCTACTGTTTCCTATCCAATAGAGAGATTGGTCGATAAATACCTTGCACGAGGATCCCAGGGCCTCGAGGAGACCACAGAACACGGAAGTAAGAAGGGAACTGTCTTCCGAAAACAGTTCGAAAAACAGTATGCTGCAATACTGCTTGAGATGGTCATCCTGTGTATGGTAATATCTCTCAAGTGCAAACGCAATGAACTTTTCTCGGAGCTCTTTTGGAGCTTTGGTTTTGGATAATACTATCTTAGAGCCTGGAATTATGATGTCCTCACTTTCCCCATCCTCCAACTTCTTCTCTATGTATCTTAAGACATGGCTTAGCAGTTCTTCACCATTGGGAGAGAGTGCAAGATCCACACACATCTTAAGCACCTTGTTATCTGCTTCTATGTTGTGAATAAGACTCTGAGTGATTGCATGGTGAGTCTTGTTTAAGACATAATAAAACCCCACCTCCAGTATCTCTGCGACTGTTTCTTGCAAGCCTAAGTTAGGCAAGACAATCTCTTCTATTATTGCTTCGTGAAGTTGTCCAAAGGGATGAATGTGTTTCATGACCTGCTTGCATACCATCAGACATACCCTTGGAGAAGCCTTTGCATTTTTCTTTATGATACTTCCTATGAAACTATTCAGATCGTCGTCACAGACAAGACTTGCTATCTGCATTGCCTCCTCCACAACTTCTTCTACGGAATTCTTCCCAAGGAGCTTATAAACAGCGCTAAGAATGTACTTTCTGGATGTCTCATTAAAGAAATCGTAGAATCGGGCAATCTTGAACAGATTCTTCATTGCTTCAACCCTTACTTCTCTTTCCAGGGCGTCTCGAGACTCAACAACCGAAAGGCACGACTGATACATCACAGTAACAAAACTCTCGAGGTCTGGGAGCTGCAGGTCATCTCTTCCAAAGAATTCTTCTATGTATAGGAGCTCAACCCTTGACAGAAAGGTATTTTCTTCCGAAGGCTCCGAAAGGAGATATCCAAACTCTTTCTCACACCCGACTCTTTCAAAAATCCCCCTAAGCAAAGTCTCCAGATACCTCTGAGAAGATCTGCTATAGAAGGATTCATTCATAGCCTTGAGTTCAGAAGGGAGCTTGTATGCTGCAAGTATGGCATCAATCAGCAGTCCCTTTGCATCAAACTCCCTTTCGAGTATAGCCTTTTCCATCAAAAGGATCCTTCGATCCTGAGAAAGACCCTTCAGATCAATTTCTAGAAGGCAATTCTCGTAGAACATCTTTCTTATTGACTCATTTGCATCCATACATCTTTCGGTTATGCATCCATAGGTCGATTGATCTATAGAGATCAGGCTCAAAGCAAGAGCTCTTACTTCGTCGCTTGGATCGTGCCTGACTATGTCCTTGAACAAGTTTACAATCCTCACCTTTGGATTCAATTCCATTCCCTGGTAACTGGAAAGAACTTTTAGTGCTTCTTTCCTTACTCCTTTTTCTTTATCAAACAACCTCTCTGAAATCCTTTCCAGAAACCCATTTCCAATAGCCTCTGGTCCCACTGTCTCTGTTAACAATCTGAGAAGAGAGAGGGAGTTTTTTCTCACCTTTGCGATCTTCGACTCTGCAAGCTTGGAAAGGTAGCAGAACACCTGGAGAACAAACTCGGCACCCTTTGGAACATCCGATACATCTTCAAATGTTCTTCGGAGGAAATTGGATATTCTAGACGGGATGCTCGTCCTTTTGCATACAAGGATAATGTTTATGACCTTGCAGAATTCCTCAAAAAGCTCCTGTGTAGTTAACATCTCCACCATCTCCTTCAATGTTTCCGAATATCTCTTTGTATCGCACTGCTGGATCTCGTTGAATATAAGTTGCATTCTCTCAAGGTTACAAGCCTCGGCTGTAGTCATGACTTAGGGTAAGGCCCTCATACATTAGAACAAATCTCCAAGCTGGAACAGGAAGTCTAAAAGAATAAAATAAGCTTTAATAGTGATCACCTGGGATTATTCAGAGGGATTGTATTCTGCAGGAATCAGTAAACTCTTGGTGTTGAGAATCTTGGTAAAGACAGGAAACTCGACATTCTCATCGGCAAACTCCATGGTTTTTGCCCTCTTCAGCTGTTCCACAGGAACAACTTCCACACCTATTATGTCCACTGCAGATCTCTTTAGCTTGTGTCTGCCCGCCAGCTCCCTTAACACATAGTCGACAGCCCCACACCTGCTTATTGCTCTGCATTCCTTATATCCGTTGTGGATTCCACTTCTGCTGCGGTAGACAAATCGTACCCCGTAGTTCTGGACCTCCTTGAACGAAGGCTCGGGAATCTGTTCGCAGTTGATAATCAACCCTCTGGATGCTTTGATCTTGTACTTCTTCTCAAGAATCTTGAAGAACTTTGCCTTGGCAAACACATGGTTCTTCGTAAAGATGGTTGCCACAAATACCTGGGGTCTTGGGCAGTCCTCAGTAGGCATTGCACTTCCATGGATTCTGTATTCCTTTGTTATAGGGTTTGTCATGTTTACCTTTGAGAACATCGTTGGCCTGGAGGTCTCTGACTTCATAGGGGTAAATTTTTTCAAACACAAATCCCGTGCAGGGATGAGATATCCGATTCGATCTTGATAGAGAGATTGGAATGAAGATACCTTGGGATATTGGTGATGGACATGGGTTTTGTAAATTCTTCAAGCAGGCCCATCGATGGATGTTCTTTTAAAAAAAAAGGATCATCTGGAATACCGACTGGAACAATTTAAACAAAAGGAAAACGACAGGATCGAGTACAGGAATCAACTTCTCGAGCAAGCACAGAAAGAAAGATCGGCGATAGAAGCATTGGAAAAGGAAATAAATGGAATGGTTTCAGCTCTTCTTGAGAAAAAGGAAGGATTTATGGAGCTGAAAGATAAGGTTTCCAAATACAGGAAGGATGTCCTGAGAAGTATAAAGGGGGAATTTGAGTCTCTGTACAGAGAAATATTTGAAGAGGCCTCTAGAATTCATCCTTCGACATCATTCGCAGCTTTTGAGGAGTTTACAAAGATTAAGGGATTGATTAAGAGGAATGTATTTAGAAACCTTGGGAGACGTCTGGAGAGGTTCTATGCAGAAGAGAAGGGGAAGTTAAGGGAATATATTTTGTCACAGATGGAAAAGAAGTTGCAGGACAAACAGAAGATGCATGAGTTTGTGTTCAATATGAAGTTTCTGAGAAAATATGAGGAATATTTTTGTGAAGATACAATGATAGACTTTCTTTACGAAAGGATATCGAAGGGCTTTGAGTACCACTTTATGAGCAACAGGGATACAAACAGACTGGATAAACCTGAATGGTTTCTAGACTTCATTCTTTTGAAGCTTCGTGAAAGCAGGGGGATTCTTGACATATATCTAGAGCTAAGCAAGAAGAACAAAAGAGACGGCGAAGGCAATGGGGAATTTAGAGACTTAGTGGTTAGGACCGGAAACCTAATAAAAGAGAAGATAGAAGAGATATCTGGAAGTAGTAGTAAACAGAAGAGAAATCTAGCACTGCATCTTGGAACCCAGGTTATGAAGTTTAGATACGAGGTTTATCACAGCTACAACATTGTTCTTGAATTTCCCTCTCTAGGAAGTGTTCTCTGCCAAGAACAGAAGAAATATGTTCGGGAAAGACTGGTGAAGATACACGAGGCAAGACATGTAAAATGGTTTGGAGGATACAAAGAGCTTTCAAGAGAGTGTCTTCTGTATATCTACAGGTTCCGGACGTTGGATCCAGTGTTTGGGATGGAAGATGCCATTAAGATTATTGTTGACTACAACAGAGTGTTTTTGGAAAGCCTAAGGTACATAAACAGGCAAGAGGTAAGAGTTCTTTGCTGGGTGTACAGTGAGTTTGAAAGGTTGAAGACATTTTTGCTAGAGCAAGAGAGTGAGGTGGTCTTTGACAGCAGATTAAGCATAGAGAATAAGACTATGGTTGTGAAGGAGGAAGGAGGAAATCCTCAAGATATGCTTCACGAGGCTGTAACGGGATCTCTAGAGAGGATTTCTGATTTCAATAGTGAGAATCTCAAGCTGATTATGTCGTTGGCAATGAATGACACAGCTGAAAGGCTCCGGCCAATCAGGAAGTTTTTTCATGATCCAGGGATGGTATTCCGGAATCTAGTGGTTGATGTTGAAAGGTGTCTTGAAGATTATAAAGAGTGCTTGTCGTACAATGCCATAAAGCACAGTGTAAAAGAGAAGATAGATGGGTTTGTTCTTGAAGAGATAGTGTTGAAGCATAGGCTAGAGAGCTCTGAGTACTTTGAACTTGTTGGGATGGTAAAGAAATTGAAGGAGGTGTTTGAGGGAGAGGAATGGAAGAGCGAGATGGGCTTGAGATGTGTTAGAGATATATTTGAAGGAAGAGAGCCAGGGGACGGGCCACTATCCAAAATGGTCCAAGGCTTGTATGAATAATGGAAGGATATTACTGGTTTTCCCTCTCCTTGGATCGGGAACCATGGAGACTGAATATCTCCTTTATGCACAGGACGTAACAAAGCCCTAAGAAGTACCCTGATTTAAAAAACGTATAATGAAGATAATAAAAAGCTTAAGATTTGGGAGTAATTCGCTAACTCCTAAGCTGCTGGCCATTGCAGGGATTATGATGGTGATTATTATGTGCATGATGATGTTTCCGTCGCCCAAGGAAATTAATAGCAAGATCGAGACTCCAAACGATGAGTTCCAAACAAGGACGTATCTCAATGCCTCCAAGGAAATGAGAGAGGAATTAAAAATAAAGAGAGAAGACTTTGAGGGATTCTACTTCACACTGAGGCTTATAAATCCCATGCGGGATCGGGTTGTAATGATAGTCAACGGAACAAAGATTAAGACGATAGTGAGCAGTAAATATATAATTCGCCTTGTGGAGACCATTGACAACGAGGAAAAATCGCCCTTCTACTTTATATTTCTGTCGTATCTTATTGGATCGCTGTACTTTCCTGCAGGAACCATCAACTTTATTTCAAACTCCGAAGGAGTTTGGTACAATGGTGTCTGCTACACAGGACATCCGTCGATTTTTAGAAGAATATGCCTGCTTTTAATAAAAGACATTAAGTAAGGCTGTTTAAGAAGTGCTGTATTTATTCAACAAATCGACAAGGTCTCTGTACAGAGCAAAGACTTTTGAAATCTTGGCGGATATTGCCTCCATTTCGATGGTGGCATCTGCGCAGGACTCCAGAGACTTGTGTGTTTCCTGGAGCTTGAAGTCCAGCTCTTTGGAATGTTCGGCAACTTCCTTCAATCTTTGAAGAATCTCTACTGCATCCATATGGATAAGAGCAAAAAAAGAGTTTTGAGAAAAGGAAAGGGCCCGACAGGAATCGAACCTGTGACCGATTGATCTGCAATCAATTGCTCTACCTCTGAGCTACGAACCCTGGCCCTTATTGCCATTGCTTCCTTCTCTGAAAGAGAGTGGAAAGATAAATCTCGCCTCTGGATAGCCTTAATGAAGAGTGCTCTAAACAAGAAGAAAAGCTCCAAGCCAAAAGGACTGCCCACAAGATTGGCAACGCCATTCACGATCAAGTGTCTATCGTGTGGTGCCTACATATACAAAAATAAAAGACACAATGCCACAAGGGAAATAGCATTGGGAAAGGACTACTTGGGGGTAGAAAGCCATCGCTTCCACATAAAATGCACTGGATGCAGTAAGATATTAAGCATTAAAACCGATCCAAAGAATGGGGTGTATATCACCGAAGATGGTTGTGTAAAAGTAGAGGAGGAGCCCGGCATCCAAGAAGAAGCAGAAGATACATCCATGAAGTTAAAGAAGGAATCAGCCATGAAAGATGAAATAAATAGGCTCCGAATGCAGGCGAACCATGTCAACTCATCGACTTCAGCTTTTGGTTCTAAAGACAAGCTGGAAAAATAATCTTCTCTAGTTAAACTCTTTATTCAAGTATCTATAGGATTCATAGCTCTTGGCATGTATCTCACTTGTTGTGGTATGAACTTTATAGTGCTGGGACAGGTTGTCTGATCTGGAAAAGGCTTTGGAGCACCCGGGGAATCTGCATTTATGAGGTCTTTCTCCAGTATGCATCAGGTTATGGCGCTTCAAATGCTCATATCTCTTGAAGGCTCTCTTACAATCGTTGTATGTACACACAAACGGGCGATCCTTTAGGCTTCCCGAGACTTTCATATGTCTTCCTCTACTCCCTGCTCTTACAACGTCGGACCCTTTCTTCATGCAGCCGTCTTCAGCCTTCTTTCCGTCGCTTGTATATATGTTCTTAAGTATTCCATCCATGATGTTATCGGTCCATTGACAATTAAAAGGGTATAGTTCGTTTACATTACGGAATCTGTCAAGATCTTGATCTTCTTTCTGGCTCTCAAACTTGTATTCTCCAAAAGAGAACTTGGACCCGGTGAATTCTATCCTTGTATCATCCAGATGCCCGGATCCTTTTCCGCCATCTGCAGAAGACTCTATACGTTCAAGAAGCTTGCTGTTCAATACACTGCTGCATACCACCTCCAGACAGTCTTTTCCAAAGAAATCTTTGAGCTGCTCCAACCTTTCTATATATCCGGCAGACTCCATATACTCATGTATCTGAGAAGAACTCACAAAAGTTCCAAAACACCTGAATATATCTGCAAGGTCCGATACATTGAATAAAACCCTTCCGTCCATCGGAACACATAGATCTTTGATTCAGAGTCTGGAAGAGACACCTCGTTTATACCTGCTTTGGATACTGTTCTTGAAACAACATTCTCAACCCATAATCTAAAATCGCCTGCTTCCTGTTTCATCTTTCTCCCTTTGTGATGTGACAGGCCGAAACTTTTAATGACCTAGTTACCAATGAAATTTGCCACGTCTCCTATTTTCCATACCAATTCTTTTTTTGCTTTCGGCCTCCGAACAAAAATCCACCAAACACATGGCCGCTTAATTAATACGGGAGGAAACTGAATGGATAAAAAAAATCTCGCAGGGAAGGGTTGTAGTTTTCTACCGCCATTGATTTGGAACAACACAGAGAAGATTAGCATGGCCCCTGCGTAAGGACGACATGTATAACTTGAGAGGTTGCCGGATGTAGATTCGGCTTTTTTTTCTAATGCTTTTTTCTTTCCTTTGCTTTGAGAGCCTTTTCATCCCTGCAAAACCAGCAGAAGGAATATACCCTTCAAAATGTTTAACGAGCTTTTTAAAAAAGTTGTGGAACAAGTATCCAATGTCTCAAAGTTCAGTCCAGAGGAAATCGAGAGATGTATGGAAAAGTCCTGCCAGCCAAAGAAGCCAAATGTTACTCTTTTCCTCATTAAAATATCGTCCTCTCCACAGGAAGATGCTAAGGAGCTTCATGAAGCGCTTGAAAAGGCAAGCATCGAGCTGATTCAAAACCTGGCCATAAGAGGACCTTCGGTGTGCTTTGACATTAACAAGAAGGCAATACTCAAGGATGTTCTTGGTTATATCCAAAGTAACAAGGAGACATTTGGAAACAATAGCATTGGAAAAGGCAAACGAATGGTGGTGGAATACAGTAGCCCCAACATTGCAAAGATTTTCCACATAGGACATCTGAGAACAACAATATTAGGCCAGTTTATCGTAAACTTACTGAAGGCATCTGGATACGAGACAGTCAGTATGAACTACTTTGGAGATTGGGGAAAACAATTTGGCTTTGTACTCCTTGGATACAGTAAGTATGGAAGTGAAGAGGAGCTGGAGAAAGACCCTCTCAAGCATCTGTTCAATGTCTATGTGAAGATAAGCGCCGATGCAAAGGAAAACCCAGAAGTTGATCTGGAGGCCAGAGAGATCTTCAGGAAGATGGAGGAGGAAAACGACGAATGGTGCATGAATCTCTGGAAAAGATTCCGGGAGCTGAGTGTTGAAAAATACAAGAGTCTCTATGAAAGATTGAATGTGAGATTCGATGTCTATTCCGGAGAAAGCCTGTACAACAAAAAGGGGAAAGAGATAGTTGAGGCGTATAAGGAAGTCAAGACAGATGAGGACGGGTCCAAGGTATTTGATCTTGGAAAAAACAGAAAGGTACTTGTGATGAAGAACGATGGAACGACACTCTACATAACAAGAGATATTGCTGCCGCAATTGAAAGACTTGAGAAATATTCTCCTGAAAAGATCATCTACGTTGTGTCGACCGAGCAGAACAAACACTTTGAAGATCTCTTCAAGATTCTTGGGATTCTTGGGCACGACGAAAGCAAATTCTTGCATGTAAGCTACGGATTGGTTGCTGGGATGTCTACAAGAGCCGGAAAGGCCCAATTCCTCGAGGACATAATCCAAGAATCTACAAGTGTCATGAAGAAGGTCATGATGTCGGATAGTACCAAGAACTCGTTTACAATGGACGAGATTGACCAGACTGCCGAAGTCCTTGCCATATCAACACTTCTAGTAATGGATTTTACTGCTAGAAGAGTTAAGGGATATGAGTTTGACATTGAAAAGAGGGCAAGAAACACCTCTGGAACAGGGCCGTACTTGCAGTATGCTCATTGCAGACTGAAGAGCATCGAATCCAGGAACAGCGATGTTGACTACAGCGATATCAACACGATCGACTTTAGCCTTATTCATGTTCCAGAGGTTTTCAATCTTGTCTACAAGCTCCTGTGGTTTGAGCATGCTGTTGAAAAGTGTCTGGACGACTACGAGCCTTCGAGAATCGTCACATATCTTCAAGATCTTGCTAGCTGCGTCAATGTCGCAATCAATAGCCTAAAGGTTCTAGGTGTGGAGAAGGAACTTGCCAGAGCTCGACTCCTTGTTCTGTCTTCTGCAAGGATCGTTCTTCATAACGGACTAAAAATCCTTGGAGCTACACCTTTGAATAAAATGTGATTTCTTCCTATTTTCTCTCCGCCAAGGCTCTTGCCCATGGGTCTGAGTTTGGGAAAGTACGTGAACTATAGAGTAAAGGTTAAAATGAAGGATGGGAGATGGATGGAGGGAACCATGCTATCTGTTGACGAGGATGTAAATGTAGTTCTTGATGACAGCGAGGAATTCCGGAATGCAAGAGGTAGCAAAGAGCCTAGACGTAGAGTCTTGGGGCTGGTGATGGCCAGGGGAGATTTTGTTATGGATATAGAAATTCTCAGTAAGCCAGAGAAAGGTGAAATGGAACTCCAGCAAAACTTGTGAATTCGGGAGAAAAGAAGAGACATTCAATTAAATTTTTAATTATAAGGACCCCTTTCTTCCATCCTCATTTTTACCATTAATGTCTCTCCTCCTCCCATCAAGTTCAACTGGCCTGGCTTCCGGCCTTCAATCCTAGGAGATTAAGAGATTTGAGGGAATCAAATAGGGTGGTTCCATCCTTGCTAAATAGAATACGATGAGACCTGGCAAATATCAGTGTTACCAGCATAAGTGTAGTAACCATTCCGATGTATTTGGGATCTTCTTTGAGCCCCTCATCTTCAGAGTCATCGGAAGATTCAGTGTTTTCATTTTCTCCAATGAAAGCAAGGCGAACAAGTAATGACAGCACGCCAATACTAAAGATTCCTATCGAAGTGTAGTTTTTCTTCATCTTAATGTCAAGGCCAATTAGTCCTGCCATTACCAAGCATCCCAGAATTAGAATCCCCAAGATCACTGTATCTTGCTTTCGGCTTTTGCCAGAGCCTAGCAGTTGCCTTATGCACTCATTGAAGACATAAGGCATAAAGATTGCTCCAAGAAACCCAAATTTGCAAACTTTACTGTCCTCACACGTTAAAGAACAGCTGGAGGGATAGAAGAGCACAGCCTTGATACAAAGCAGCATCACAACCATCTCGATAAGAGACAATAAAATGGCCGGATTGAGGAATCCTCCTTTCTTTTCAAAGAAAGGGCTTTCGATCTTCTTGTGCAAAGAATTGGCAAAGCTCCACAGAAGTCCCAGGGATGCCAAAGCAAAAATTCCTATTAATCCATGTTGAGATATTGTTTTTAACCTATCCACAAATAACCCAAGTATTCCAAGTGTACATCCAATAATTGATAAGAATGCAAAAATGCAATCAAAGCCTAAAAGAAGATTTGTGATATTTTTTCCCTCTTTCATCATCATTTTTGATACAGGGTTGTTATAAATCATTATTTATATTTGTGGATCTTCCTAATATGGAAAAGACAGCAATGAGAAAGCTAATTGATAACTTTTCATTGGTAGGAGTATCAGCATAAGAAATTTATGCAAGTTTAAGAAAGAGGGATTTCCGCATATTCAAGAAATATTTAGTATTGCTAATTTACCTGCTAAGTTCCGATTCAGGCAAATCGGCCATGTATTTAGAGAACAGATGGGTATAAAGATTCTGTGGACTACCGATCATCAATACTTGGTTTCCATTTTCTTCTATTGCTCCAGCAACCTCTTCAAGAGCCATATTTGCATTGGCTCCGAAATACATACAAGACCTGAGGTCGAAAAGGACATTTTCCTTGCAAAGGACTTTCATTGCCTTGACAGATTCACTTAGATTTCCAAAAGAAGTTAGAGGGCCAAGGTCCACTACTCTGTACATTTCTTCTGTTGTTTCTCTTGATATCCTTATGGTCTCTCCCAGCTTCGAATGGAAGACCTTTGTTGTGAATAGATGAGACCACAGGACAAAGAAGGAGTTAAAAAGCATTCCAAACACGAGTCCGAATATTGGTGTTAAGAACCATGACACAACGCTGGACATTACTAGCGTCAGTAGATCCACCCAGGACAGTTTGAGTATAGGAGTCCATAGATATGAATACAGGAAGCCAAATCCTATGAACATAGGGATCGTTCCTGAGAGAATAGTAGGAATTCTTTCTCTTATGGGTCCTCCGATAACCAGAAGGGAGGACATGGCAATTGCGCCCACAAAAGAGTGGATTCTGGATCTTCCTCCTGATTTGTTGAAGTAGATGGATGTAGAGCATATAAAATAGGTTGGATATCCAAAGAATGCAGATACAATGTTCCCGATCGACTGGACTCCTAGCTCCTTATTCAAGTCTGCATTTATACCAAAAGTCTCTGCAAAACTCGGTACATTCACAGCTATGTGAACTAAATTGAATAAAGATAATCCAAGGATGTTCATCAAGTTGGCCTTAACTGCCTCTATTTTTATATTTTCTATCTTGAGATGCTTCAGAGTTTCAAGGGGGTTGAGATCAATTCCTCCGGCTTTTGGAATAAGACCCACAGATTTCATCCATTCGATATCCTTTCCTGCAGCTAAAAAGACTAGATAAAACACTGCAAAGATGCTAAAGGAGAACATGGGAATCATCAGGAAATATTCAGGGAACAAAATATCCAAGACCACTGCAAGAAGTGCAAGGACAATGGTCACGGCGAGGCAGACATGAACATACTTCCATGTAATCGAATACACTTCCTCAAATCCACATTCGATGGACATTGCCCCTATGGATACCATAACCCCGTACAGAGCCGGTATAGGGATGTATTTAAGATTGCTTCCAATCTTGAGTGTCTTGAGAACATAGGAGAAGAAAGCAAACAGAATGGTGCTAAGAAAGATGCATGCATAGGTGGTGGAAATTTCTTCTCCAAAGGTGGATGACATCTTGAAACATACCTTGTGAATTCTTCGAGTGTCCTTTTGTGCCTCAAATATGGCTCCTGCTGCGATTCCACCCAGTTTACTAAACAGACCGAACACAAACTGCGAAGCTATTGTTGAGTAGAGGAACATCATGGCACTTACATTTCCAATATTCTTGTTGTGGCTGTTCTCTGTGCTTAGAAGCTTTGTTCCAAAGGAAAGTAGGTCTAATGAAGTCATTGTGAATAGGAGAAAGCTACTGGATATCAGAGACAGTATTTTTTGTTTTGCTGTTTTCATTACACTTTTCATTAAGGGTTTAAATTTTATTGGATCCATAGTCAATTTTCTATCAAAACTAGGATTTTGCCTTTTCGAGAACAAGACGCCTCCCGTACAAATGTGTGCTGCTTCCAAAATACTCAATGGCTGCAGAAACTTCTTCGGGCGACTGGAATGTTACAAAACAAAATCCTCGGCTAGTCCCTTCTCTCTTCACAGGAATACGGACATTTACCACATGGAATGAATCAAATATCTTCCTAACATCTTCTTTGGAGGCTTGGAACGGAACATTTCTGATAAGAAGCTTGTTTGTGCCCTTTCTACTCTTCTTTTCTGTGTGTTCTTTAGGTGGCTCTTCTCTTTTACTCGGAGCATTGCATATGGGTGCATACTCGCAATAGATAACATGCTCCCTCATCCTTCTCAGACTCAGCTTTTTGTAACACCTTTTGGCATCTTCCTCAGAATCAAACTTAAGAAGTGCAAGGCACTTTGAAGGTGCAATACTAATCTTGCAACCATTGTCTACAAGGTCCAAGCACTTCATAAGTTCCATATTCCGGACTATCAGCTTTTTCCTGTCGACAGAGCCGGTAAGATGATCGAGATAGATCCCATTGTTCTCAAGAAACTCCTTGGTTTCCTGGACCAGATGTGTTTCGGCACGAGCCATCCGAGCCCCAAGATCTTTATCGTTAACATCGACAAGATCCTTGATTCCAATCCTTTCGCTTTCGCATATCTTCTTCACAACCGACTCGAAGTTAAAGAACAATGTATTGTAATGCTCGTGCTCACGTTTTTCGCCTCTATCTTTCCATGGGCGCATTCTTGGCTTTACTCCTCCGATAAGCTTTACTTTTCTGTATGCCTCCAATGCACACTCTCCTTTACTAAACTTAACATATGCTCCCTTTCCCTCATGGCGAGGCAGTAATCCAACCTCCTCAACCTCTCCATACTCTTTAAATACATCACTGATAAACCGTTCGTCCGCATCTGCAGGAATGTTTCTAATGAATATTTTCCTAGAATATCTAATCATTCTTTCCTCAGATTCGCTTGTTTCATAGGAATCTTCTTTTGTAGTCTCACATCTTATCTTGTGGTTCTTAAACATGGATCCGTCTCTGTACTTTATTGCCTCCATTCCATCTTTTTCCTCTATGTACCCTATAAAACATATTCTCCGGAACTTGCCCTGTTCATTGTTAACCATAAACACATCCGTTATCTTTCCATGTTTGGAAAACTCCTTCTCGATTTCTTCCTTAGTTGTGGATTCTGGAAGATTCTTAACCACTATTCTCATTCTAAAGGGCAAGATGTTTCTCATGTAAATACCCAGGCCCAAGATAATCCCAATGCTACAAGTCAAAGCTAAGTTTATAGATACAATATCTACCGTACATGTCTGCACCTCTCTCCAGAACTATCTTGATATGGTCCCCAGTTTGGTTAATATCCAGACTTCCTGTACTTCCTCCGTCTTGAAATTCTATTTCTTTATAATCACGGGAGTTATTCAGAATCATACACCCTTTTCCCTTTGTGCAATGGAATCCTCTTTGAAAGAGTATTCGAACTCTTTGCACATATACTGCTTGCTTAAGGTAAATGTTTATGTCTTGTTGGCCTCCATGGCCTGAAAACCAACATGTGTCTTCGTTTGAGTCAAACATGCACCATGCCTGAGGCTGGTTCGAGCTTACTTCCACATCGCTTATGATTTTTTTCATATCTTCAGTCATCCTCGAGTCGATGGGAGACGATTCTTCTAGTGAAATAGTTCTTGCCGAGAGAGTGGATCATGATAGCGATGAGGTAAGCATAGTGGAGATTGTTAGAGAAGGCAGGAAATTGCCCAATGAGAGAAGAAAAGGATCTGGAAGAGCTGAATCTTCTAGGAAAGGAAGAAAGCGAGCTGTAGAAGAAAACCCGAATGATGAAGATGATAGAAAAAGGCTTAAGGATGACTCCTACAGAGGAAAAGGACTGTGCAGAGTAACGGTTGTTGACCAGGGCCTGGAGAGAATATTCCATCTAAAGAGTACAGATACATTAGAGGACATATATAAGGTTTACCATAGGGAAGATTCTCCAATAAAGATGAAGTACAAGTCGGTTCCTATATCAAGGCATCTAACGCTAGAAGAGATAGGATTTGACGAAAGCCATTGGATTATGATTCATAGGCAGGGGCAGACTTCGAGAGAAGCAGGAATTAGGCTGAAAATAAATGTTGACTACGCTAAAGTAGTTGAACTCAGCGTTTCTAAGGAGCTTTCGGTTGAAGGAATTTTCGAACGGCTTGGAGAGATGGGATTTGAAGGAGACCTTTTGGTTAGAAACGGAGTTGTTCTGAATCCCAAGGCAAGCACAGCTGATGTTACAAGGCCAGGAGATATTATAGATCTTGTGAGTAAAGACGAGATTGTTTATAGAGGCTAAGTCCTGAGCAAAATAAAGAGCGTGGGTTTGAAGAAGCCCATAAGATGACAAAGAACAACCCGGAAAAAAAATGTTTCCGAGTATTTTGTACTTATGAAAAGGAGAGGCTGGCTGAGGAAATTAAACAGTGTGTGGTGAAAGAGGAAATGGAAAACAAAATGAGGAATGTTGATTGGAAGAATAGCAGGAATCTTTCATAGAAAATATTCTGGAAATAGAGACAATTAAATTCTTCAAAGTTTGAAATGTAAAATTAGGCCAAGCCCCGATGACCATGGATAGGACTTTAAAGCTCTACAATTCGATCAGTAAGACCAGCGAAGTCTTTATACCCAGAAGAGACAATGAGGTGAAGATGTATATATGTGGGCCGACGGTGTACGACTCTCCACATATAGGACATGCAAGAACCTATGTGATGTTTGATGTGATAAGGCGTGTCCTAAGCGATTATCTGAGATACAATGTGAATTTTGTGATGAACATAACAGACATCGACGACAAGATAATAGTCAGGGCGAATGAAACAGGGGTCTCCATGGACGAGGTTACTAGGAAATACACAGAGGAGTTTTTTGAAGACATGAAAGCCCTGAATGTGCGTCCCCCTTCGTTTGTTACATTTGTGACGTCTTATGTTGATAAGATTATAAAATTTATCGAGAAACTGGAGGTAAATGGATTTGCTTATGAGAGTGAGGGAAGTGTATATTTCAACCTGAACAAGTATCAGGATAAACACGGTTATCCACTGTTCAAGAATAAGGACGGGATAAACACCGAAGGAGACGAAAACAAAGACAAAAGAAATCCATGTGACTTTGTACTATGGAAAAAGTCAAAGGAAAACGAGCCGAGGTATGAGTCGAAATGGGGATACGGAAGACCAGGATGGCATATTGAATGCAGCGTGATGTCTAGTGATATTCTTGGAGAAGATCTTGACATACATGCCGGAGGGATTGATCTTGCCTTCCCCCACCATGAGAACGAAATAGCACAGTGCCAGGCCTACTTCATGAAGGAACCTTGGGTGAAATGTTTTCTTCATACAGGGCATTTGAACATTGATGGACTGAAGATGTCCAAATCCTTGAAGAACTTTACAACAATTAAAGAAGCTTTGGAGGTGATTTCTCCCCGGCAGCTAAGGATTCTGTTTCTCCACCACCAATGGAACAAGGATATGAACTATGAAAGAGAACATCTGAAGTTTGCAGAAAGCATCGAGAAAAAGATATTCAACTTTATGTCTGTGGCAGAAAGTATGAGAAAAAACACTTTGGAATTCAAGACCCTGGAGGATGCCGACAGAGAGGTTCTGGGCGAGCTTAAAAATGTTCAGAAGGTCATTCATAACTCAATTCTTGATAACATTGATACTCCTACAGTGATGAAGAAGATTGTGGAAATGATAAACTTTACAAACTCAAGGATGAAAGATATATCGTCATCGACGGTTCTTGTTGTTAAGGATTACATCAAAGAAATCATGGAAGTATTCGGGCTGAATGAAGTGGAGGCCCAGACCTCTTCCAAGGAGGACTCGATTGCACAGTTGCTTGGAGACTTCAGAGAAAACATCAGAAGAATGGCAAGACAAAAGGAACCCTATTCTTCCTTTCTTAAAAAATGCGATTGGATACGAGAAAGCATTAAAGATCATGGATATATTATTGAGGACAATAATGAAGGTTCCATTCTGAGAAAGAAATAAATTCTTTATTCTGATTTCTTAACAAACTCCTCTACAAACCTGTCCTTATCTTTGGATGCCCACTTTACCTGTGGAAGTCCAGAGAGTTTGCAAATATCACTCAAGTCATTACTTTTCCTGAAGTTGATGTCGACTGTTCCACCTGATGCAAGAAGTCTGAGAATAAACCATATGGGATTTCCGTACATGTCTATGCATTCCTTGCTATACTTTATTCCACAGACATGGTCAACCTTAATGTCTCGGGCAAATTGGAGTACAGCCCGGTTGTTTGTCCGACATCCCTCGGGAAATAATACACAAGGTTCAATGGTTTTCACACAGAAGTGGCCGGTCCTAGCATCTACAAAACCAGACTCGGTGACATAATAGAAGTTTTTGATTCCCGTAAGATATTTCAGAACAAAGATGTCAAGGAGAGAAGATGCATTGGCTGCTAGGACCTTAGGGCGTTCAATTTTGTTGGACTTGATTCTGACAAGAAGTTGAACAACATTTATTCTCGTCCCTAAAAGAAGAGGGACAAGAGGTATCTTCAGGATTGCTTTGAGATAGTCAAGGATTGAGAGAGGTTTTTTCTTGATTTCAACAAACGGATTGATTCCAGAAAGAGGATCATTGTATTTAGAGAACTTTTCCATTGCTAGGGTTTCTGCATACACGAAAAGTTGAACTGTAAAAAGTCTTGAATAAGATGTTTAATTTTCCTTGAGAACACCGCAATCTCTTATCTCAATCTTATATCCTTTTCTGACCTGGCCGGTTTGGGATCCATACTTGGCTATTTTGTGCACAACGTCCATTCCTTCAACCACCTCGCCAAACACAACATGCTTTCCATTAAGCCATGGCGTCTCCTCCAAGGTTATAAAGAACTGAGATCCATTTGTGTGAGGCCCACAGTTTGCCATTGAAAGAATCCCTGCCTTTGAATGCTTCAGGACAAAGTTCTCGTCAGGGAACTTCCCAGTCTCGTAGATGCTTTTTCCTCCGGTTCCATTATGTGCAGTATAATCTCCCCCTTGAATCATAAACCCAGGAATTATTCTGTGGAAGGTGGAATTCTTGTATCCCTTTCCCTCGGGCATCTCGCAAAGTGCCCTGAAGTTTTCGGCAGTCTTTGGAACAATATCATCGGCAAGCTTCATTACAATTCTCCCAAGGCTCTCGTCATTTGCATACACATCAAAGTAAACGTCTTGTTTCTTCTTCTCAGACATTGGGGATGGTTGCTTAAGAAAATTAAACGTTTTGAGCAGAAATTTTTTCTGGCCTCATGGAAAAGGAGCTGTATGGGCTTTACGACCGCCAGATAAGGCTTTTTGGAAAGGACACACAGAAGTCCATAGAAGAGTCACACGTGGTAGTGGTGCAGGGACCTCCGTACATCATGGCTGGAGAGAAAAGGATCAACGATGTTGGGGGAGAAATACTCAAGAATCTGGTGCTCCTTGGAGTAAGGAAGATAACGGTAAATGCAGACGTCCTTGTCTCCTTCAAGAAAATATTTGCTAATAAGATTGAAAAAATAAATGAGGAGGTAAAAGTGACAACCATTGATCAAGAAAAGGATGAAGAAATCTGGGCCAGGTGCACCCAGGCCATCTTCATTGACATGAAAATGAGAACAAATTGTCCAAGCATTTATGTTTGCTCCAGATGTATGGCGTTCCATCCTCTTGACCAAGAACACGTTTGTAGAGAATATGACAGTGTCTCTGTTGCTCACGACTGCTTACTTGGTGCCATAATAGTGCAGGAGTGGGTGAAGAAACTTCAAAAGAGATCTTTTGTAGACGAATTCAGGCTTGAGATCTAAATGGGGTCGCTTCATATTCCCGATGATTTTGTTTAAAAGGATATCCCCATGCTTAAGCATGAACAGGAAAAGAACAGAAGGAGTAGAGAGGCAGAAAAGATACAACGAAAAGGAAATAGTAAAGAAATTCCTTGTGTCAGAGAAGGGCATAGCATTTCTAGTAGACCATACTAATAGAACGTCTTCAGAAGAGGATGTCCGCCTTAATGAGAAGCTGATACGAAAAGAAGTAGATAACCTCATTGACTATTACTTTGCATGGATACATGGCCTCCCAGTCCGGAAGAGTATGAACATGAACAGATATGAATTTATAAAGTATCTTGAAGAGTTCTGCATGAAGAATGACGTTAGTAATCTGTTTGAGTTTCTGTTTATTTGAGAAGACCCATAAAGGCAGAAGTCTGGATTGTATACAACAAAAGAGATGCCTTCTCGAAATCTCTCAATCGTCATTCTCTGGCTTGAAGATCTCACTGGTCCACTTCTGTACGAGTGTTTTTGCCATCGATTTTATCTCCTTTGCTTCCTTGGGGTTTATGGTGTAGAAATAAACAATCTTCCCCACTCCACTCGTGACCAAGTGTTCCTTATGAATCCTCATGTTCTTGAGTACATCCAGAAGTCTCTTTTTAACTTTTATGTTGGGCATGGATTTGTCGGGGAGAGGCTCCAGCCATCCTTTGATTTCGTTAAGGATGCCCTCATCCAAAAGGCTTTCCTGTAACCCCTTATTCATTAAGATGTCTGATATCTCCTCAACGCTTTCCATCTTCCCAATTGCTGGAAGCCCTTTCTGATTGTTTGCATTGTCTTCCCTCAAGATCCTCTGCATTCTTTTCCTCAAAGATCTCGATAACTCCAAGATCTCCTCAGGGCTCTGATCCCTCTTTTCTCCCCGCCCTTCTCCTCCTCTGGCCCTCTTTTGCCTGCTTCTGTTCTCTGCGGGATCACTTTTCCCTACTCCTGTGACGTCTCTATCGTCTTCCTTGTTCATGGGCCTTTTTGGGTACAACGATTTCCGCTTTTCCAATTATATTTGTAAATAGCTAGAAGGGTATTGAAATGAAAGAGCTAGACTGGGCACGCCAAATCCAAGAGAACATTGAAGAGCTCCATGAAAAAAACGAGAAAAACATAAAGGAATTCCATGTAAAGGTAAGGGAGACTCTTCTTGACGAAGATGGGGAAAAGTCTTCCTTCTTCATCTGTAGAATCGGCGACAGAGTTAATATACACTGGAAGTTTGATATCGACTATGATATCATTTTCAGTTTTATTTTGATTCTTAAATCAATAATGTTGGGTATCTTTAAAATGGAAAGCAAGTATTTTAGCTTTTGCATTCTTATGACTGCAATAGTCTTCTCATGGATTGAAGCAGTTGAAAGGCTTCATGCTTCATACAGAAGAAACCCTGATATTCGCAAACTTCTTGAATTCAAGAACTTAATATCAGTATTTCAAATAGCTTTTGGGATCATTTTAACTACCCATCTTCTCTACATACAAGAAGAAGAATCCTCGAAAAGAGATGCGAGGATCTATAGCCTAATGGTTTCGTTGGTGTATCTCTTTAGATGCACATGGAAATCGTCGTTTTTCTTACAAAGTGATGATATTTATCAATTTCTTTATCCAACAGCTCTTACTATAATGTTCTTCATGGCATTCCTTTCGTGGAGAAATAAGACTATGCTATATGATATTCCTTGTGCATTAATTTCTATCTTGATAGCTCTCAAAAATTATGTTGGAAAGCCAGTCTCTCTAGAGAAGGAAGGCATAAATCTCCTTTCTATAATCTTCTGCAGTTTATTTATGCTTGGAATACTCGCAACAGTATATACCGCCAGTGGATTTTTCAAGATTTTCATTCCTCGACTTTTTTAATAAAAATCTGAACAACTTTCCCATTTCTTAAGGGAAAAGAGTCTGAAAAACAGGCTCCTTTAATCACAATTCAAGTGGATAGAGATAAATATGTCTACCTCTTCTTGGGAAGATTAGGCTGGTCCTTCTTTATAATTGGACTTGAGTTGTTGAATGTTAAGTCTGCAAAGTATGAGGAGTTTTCAGGCTTAAGCAAAAATCCCGGAGTAAATAGTTTTTTGGATGGCTCCGAAGCCTTTGGGGCTTCCTGGATGTCTAGTAATTTGCCAGAAATCTTATTGTCTGCATTTTCTCTGGCATTACTTCTATCTATGGTTGCTGTAAGTTTTGGAGGAACTTTTCTTGTCTTTTCTCTTTTAGGGGCCGCCGTCTTCTTTCTTCCAGATCCCAAGCTTTTAGCACTCTTTCCTACAGGCTTGGGCTGAGAGGAGATGTCATTCCAAAGCTGCTCCTTAGTGCCATATCCATCTCCTAGTTCTAGCTCTCCGTCACTCTCCTCAGCCTTAAGGTCCTCTTCAAACACATTGTAGACGTCATTGCTCAAAACAACCCTGCTCTCTTTTGGAGAACTCGCAATCATTTTCTTCTGCATTTCAATTACCTCTGACTTCTGCCTCATGTTTTCTTTTAATGCAGATATAATCTCATCTTTCTCACTTATAAATCTTCGAAGCTCATCAGAATGAATGTTCTCCCTCATAAGTCTGTTATTCTCTTCCTCTAGTTTTTTCATTTTATCTTCAAGGACGGACCTGCTTTCCTTGATCTCCTTCATCTTTTCTATGTGTTCGGCATTCTTTAGCTTCAGCTTCTCTATTTCAGAGCTCATTCTTTCTGTATCCCCTCTGTATCGAATACAATCTTCCTGAAGTTTGCTTAGGTTGCTTCGTAGCTCGTCCTCGACGGACTTAACAATTCTGTGCATCTCATCCATTTTTTTAAAGTCTTGAGCTTCCCACAACCTGTCTTCTACTAGCTCGTTTAGCCCCTTTCTTACTCCTTGATCTTCCTTGCTTTTTTCCTCAAGCCTTTGAACCATACTTACCAAATTAATATTTTCTTCCATAAGTCTCCTTATGTTGTCTTCTCTTTCTGCCATATCATGGTTGAGCTGGTCGACCATAGCCTTTAGGCCATCTATTTGCTCCTTATAGTTGTCTTCGGAGGTCTTTGCCTTCGAAATAAACTCCTCATGAGCTGCAAGAAGGTTGCTGTAGTCCTCTTCAACCAGCAAGGTTTCAAACCTCAGTCTTCTGGTAAGAAGATCTGTATATTGATGCTCTAGAGTCCTTGTTCTATCGGATATCCGGAAATACTCCTCCATCTTATATGGGTCATGAAAATCATGTTTAAACATATACCCATCAAAGTTTCAAAAGAAACCTTTCCATAGCCTTAAACATAAACAAAAACAATCTGTGTCTCCTTTCTTTTAGGTCAGCTTCCCTCCAAAACACCCAATTACCCGCCAAAAAGGATAAATAAAGAAAAACATCCCCCTTACAATGGCAAAGTCCGCAAGACATGTTACAGGTAAGGCTCCAGGAACATCTTTGGATGGAGGCGACAAAAAGAAGTCTAAGAAGAAGTCATCTTCCATGTGCGTTGGAGGAATGTTCAAGTCGGCAGTCAAGCGTATTTCTCGAGAGGTCAGCCCGGACAACAACATCATGCTGACAAGCAACTCAATCCAAGTTCTCTGCGGGATTTCTTTTGACTTTGTTGACACAGTTGCAGACCTTGCAGGAGAGCTAGCAAGGAAGGTTGGCAAGCAGACCGTGGGATCCGATGACATTGTAAGTGCCTTTGAGATCTTGCTCAAGGGAGAGTTGAGGAAGCTGGCCATAAGAGAAGTTCACAATGCTCTTTCAAAGAGCCAGGCCAAGTCCCGAGGAAAATAAAATTTGTCCTAGTAGCAAAGCACTTGAATAATAAATGGTTTGGGGACGCTGTACACTGGTTCGCTTCACAAAACTAGATCTTTTAATGCTCTTCTCAGATTATTGTTCATAAAGAGAGTAAATGAGGTGTGGCTTCCGTATCCACAGAGCGTGATGCCTATCACTTCAATTCGGGCGATGGCCAGTCCTATATGCTCAAAACCTAAAAGGTCATTACTAACAAACGTCTCGTTCAGAAGAAGTTTGAACTGGTCCATAGAGATCTTCAAGCTACATTCAAGTCCTTCTCCTCGATGAAAGAGGTTTTTAAGATAAAAGTCTGCATTGGATAATCCCGATTTCTCAAGAATCCGGTAGCCTGCACTTATAACATTAAGTACCGGATTTCCACTAAGCACCTTTGCTGCTATGCTCGATACAGTACTTATAGTACTACTACTCTTTCTTTTCTTATACAGTTCTCCGTCTATGTATATTGAATAAGTTTTGAATATTTCTTCCTTTTCGCTCTTTGAAAGAAACATGAAATGATGAAAGGATGCATTTGATACCTCCTTAGTATTTATCTCTTCTCCGAAATTCCTTTTCTTCCTTAGAATTGCAATGAAAAATCCTCCTGTGTCCTGGTCATGTGGATACAGTCTAATGCATTTCTCAAGCCCCACGTCCACATCGGAAGGCCGATAATCTGGATTCTTGAAAATCAGATCTTCGGTTCCCCACTTCCTCAGACCCTCTCTGAAAACAAGTCTCGTTCCATCTCCACAGGTAGGAAAAGGTACGAGTCTTGGGTCGTTTCTGAAGTCAACTAGTTCAAACTCCCCTTCAAGAAGGATCTTTTGAACTACACATTCATTCTCTATCGGGTTCAAAGAGCATGTGGAGTAAGATACCAGGCCTCCTTCTGCAACAAGATTACATCCTCTCTTCAGAATCCTAAACTGAGTGTTAAACAGTCCTGTGGTCCGAGAAAGCTTCCATCCCTCAAGAATTCCGGGGCTTTTTCTTATGGTTCCATCACTAGAGCAAACCACATCACAGAATACACGGTCAAACCTGACTAGCTTTCCGCCTTCATATACGTTTGGAAATATGGTGGCATCATGCTTACTAATTATTAGTGATCCATTGGGCTTCTTAGAAGTCTCACTTACAAGCACTTTCAGTCTCTTTCCGTTGGAGTCATTTGCTATCACAAGTCCATTGGTAACAATATCAAGAATTTGTTTTGTTTTCGATCCTGGGGCTGCACACATGTCAATGACCTTTGAGTCTTTCTTCAACTCCATTAGCGAAACAGGAATCATACTAACAATCTCTTGCCTCTGAATTAGCCCTATACTGGTCTGGTTAACTAAAAACTTTGAAAATTCCCTATACTCATCGTCTTTTTCTTTCTTTTTATGGAACTCATAGACATCTTCAAGATACTTTATCTTCCGAACAAACGGATGCTTCTCTATCTTGCTTCTTATCATGCCGGCCAGCGGTGTATTTGTGATTCTAAATGCATAGGCAAGATCCCTTTCAGAAAACCTATGGAATTCGTCAAAGTCTCCTCCATCCATTCCCAGAGTCCTTTTATAATACTCCATATACTCCCTTTTTGGCATTCTGGGTGTTTTTTACTTTGAAAATAATGATGATAATTTGGGTTCCTGAGAACACTCCCCAAATGGAAGAATGCATATTCTGCACACTTTACCAGAAAGACGCCAACATCATTTATGAGACCGACACATCCTTTGTACTGATGGACAGGTATCCTTTATCAAAGGGACATTTCCTTGTGATTCCAAAGGCACACCACCCGTACTTTCACCAATGCCGCCCCGAGGAATTGTCCGACGTGCTTGGAGTCATTGGACATCTTGTGAAAAAGTTTGGGCTTGAGAAGTATAATATTCTCCAAAATAACGGAAACCACCAATCCGTCTCGCATGTACACTTTCACGTTATTCCGTTTGTTTCTTCCAGTGAGCGTTTGAAGATTTCTTGGGAGGCAAAGCCCATCAGCGACAATGAGTATTTAGAAGAAGTTCAGGAGGCTAAACTCAAGATATCGCAATGATTATTAAATTTTATTTGTTGGACAGGCCTCCATTTTCTATTTTTGCCCAACTTCCGGTGTTTTTATAAACCATTTTTGGGAAGCCCATGAAGAGCGGGTGCAGTATTTTTGTTGGAAACATAGACTTCGAAGTTCCTGAAGAACGCATAATAGAAGAGCTCGGAGCTGTAGGAAAAGTTGTTAGCTTCCGGATGGTTTACGACAAGACAACAGGAAAGTCAAGAGGGTTTGGATTTTGTGAGTATGAATCTCCATTGATTGTGGAGAAAGCATTGCAAAACTTGAAGATATCATTCAACGGAAGGCCTGTAAAGATAAACTATGCCGAAAATGACATGCCCGCCAAGGCCAAGGAGCCGGACAATCAAGTTCCAGAAATAGATAACTTAATCAGCGTGCTAGACAATATGGACAAGGACAATCTGAAGGAGGTTCTCTTCTATTTGAGAAAGTTGGCACTGGATCAGCCATCGTACTTAAGAGAGCTTTTGAATAAAAATTCGAGTCTTGTTTATGCGATCATCCATGCCATACTCAAGCTTAAACTGGTAGATCCTGGGGCTATTGATGAGGTTTTAAAGGAATCCTTCGATCTTTCCAAGCAGAAGATGCAAATCCTGGAAAGAATATGCTCCATCTCGGAGGACGACTTGTGCTTCTTCCCAGAGGATGTAAGAAACAAAATTAAGAAAGCAAGGGCCATGGTTTTGAAATCCAGGGCAGATAAATAAATGAATAAATAATATCGCTTTTATAGGTTGAGCCGGCCATTTGGCCTTAAGATGGAGGTAAGCTTAAGAAGCCCGGATTTCCAAAACGGTTTAATTAGTAGCAACTTCCTCCTGTTTCTTTCTAAGAATCTCCATGTTGTATTCCCGGGCCTTCTTCTTCCTCTCTAGCTGCTGATCCCTGCCCTCTCCAAGGAAAAACTTGGTGATGGTCAACCTGGATGGGTAAATAGGTACCAATGCATTTGTCCCGTCATTCTTTGTCACAAAGCATCCTTCAACATACACCTTGTAATCCTCGTAGTTGATGCTTGTGATTACTCCTTCCTTCCCGTCAAACTTACCTCCCTTCACGAGAACAGTGTCTCCGCTTTTCAAGGGAAATGTCCTGAATCCATATTCTTTTCTAAGCTCATGGGAAAGACGTGCCGATGATCTTATTATCTTTTCTCCAATGTTGCAGGCAAAGTGTGCCTTTCTCTGTTTTCTTCTGCTGGACGTCTTCTGCCTCCTCAAGTTCTTCATCTGGGGATGAAAATTTTTCATGGATTTTTACAAATCTCCAACACCAAGGCTGCATTACCAAAACGCCAGGGTTTCCAGACAAACCCTCACTCCACTTTCATTCGAAGAATGCTAACAGATCTTCCAGAACAGACCACAATATTCTTACCATCAGATTCTAGAGAATTAATCGAAGGGATACTGATGGCGTTGAATGGAAACTTGTTAAAGCATTTCAGGCCTGGAAGGATTATCTTCAGGGAATTGGTATAATCCGATCCGTATATCACATATTCTCTATGGCCTGTAAGCCCTGTAACCCCATTTTTAAGGTTTTTGAACTCCTTGACTGGCTTCATATCTTTGTCAAGCACCTTTACTCCCATTCCCATTCCAATAAAGACTTGATTTGCAAAAAAATATATCGAGTGGAAATCAAACTTGTCCTCAAAGCTCTCCTTCCTTAAAATCTGCAAATCAGGTGTCAGCATAACGATATCTCCTCCACATCCCATTGCATATACAGCCTCCTCAGATACTGCAATGTCCATAAACTCTCCTTCCATCACCTCAACCACCTCGTAGGAACTATTCAAAAGAATTAATTTCTTTCCAATTGTATATATGAAATCTCCAATACTAATCATCTTCTTTATGCCTTCTACAGACTTTATGCTTATGTTTCGGACGTCTCCATCAAATGTAACTTCCTTTAGGTTGCTTTGCTTATGCGAAGAGAATAAGATCCTTTCCCCTGTATATATAAAATCCGAGATCCCAAACAACTCAATCCAAAGTGTCTTATGGATCTTGAAATCCTTGAGTATGTAGATATTGTTGTAGGTATCCACAACAACCAAATACTCTCCATGAGCTTTGGCCAGTTTGATTTTGCACTTGGAGAGAAATAGATTCTTCTCGTATTCAAATCTCACTTTTTTCTTGCGAACTTCTATTTGCTTCTTGCATTGCTTTCCGTCAAGCCATGTTACTGTTTTCTTGTGATCTTCTCGTATTCCAGGGTCGTCATCGCTATCTTCCCAGGCCGCCTTCTCTTCAGACTCAGCTCCAGCTTCTTCAGAAATATCTCCAAAGTACTCCTTCTCGTATTCAGAGATCTCCTCGGAAACGGTTTCAAAAGAATCAGAGGATGTGTATTCATAAGAAAAGTCGGATTCATCAGCGTCACCCGTAGCTTTCTTACTCATGGGGATTTCTAAAGGGCCCGATATATTCAAAGCCTAGGGATATTGTCTGTAAAATAGAGAAGAAGTTGGTTTATTTCAACGGAACAAACTTGGAGGATGAGCTTGCTCCTATTCCCGGCCTACCATGCTTTGGAATAACCCTAGTGGGTGCAAACTCAGATAAAGTATATCCAATCATCTCAGGCTTGATTTCAATAGGAAGGTATCCATTTCCAACATGAACCCCGACCAGGGCTCCAATCATAGCTGGCCAGATAATTGCAGACCTTGCCTGTGTACGCACCATCTCAGGCTTCTCAAGTGTCGAGGAACAAGCTGCCTTTGATGCAATACAGTCCTTGATTAGCTGCACCTCGCGCGACGAAAGGCCTCTTCTAATCTTCCTGCGGAGTCTCGATGGAAAAAGCTTTGCAACCTCGCTAAATGCCATCTTCTCAAGCTCCTCAACCGGAACTCCCCTATATGTGTACCTTCGGAAGGTTCTCTTCTTCTTAGAAATGTCGTCCTCCCTTTCTACATTCTCAATCTCATTAGTCTCAGACATAGAGGGTAAATTTTTTTCAGGAAATGTACCAACCGAATCCCAGAAACAAAACCATAACCTTACTCATCAACTACACTAAACTTATCAACTTCAAACACTTTCTTGATCTCTACCTCGTCAATCTCCTCCCCCTTTCTCACCACTCTCTCCACAAACAGATTTGTGAAAACAAAGTCGGAAGTAAAGTATATCTCCAAAGGAAAAACTTCGGAAGGATCCGCACATGTGCAGCTAAATTCCAAGGTATCCGAAGAGCCTTTCTCAACATCCCCTATGTTCCATTCTATGTGAGAATCCCTTTCTCTTGCTGGTCCATTGATTGAGACGTTCGAAACCTTGCTTTTAGAAAAGAAGATGCTTAAGTCCTTCATATTGCACTCTGCAGTATATTCAAACATTATTTGGTATACATTCAGACCCGTCTCACTGGGCCAGAACGTGACTGTAATGGGTGCTTCTCGAACATCAGAGCTTTTCCACTTCACAAGAGCCACATTCTTTTCAATAGGAAATCCCTTTTCACATCTGAGTATTCCTTCCCCAGACATAGACTTGTTCAGATTTGGGCTAAACTTCACATCCTTCCCTACATTTCCAAGCTTTATTTCTATGTCTCTATACTCCTCCTCCTTTATAGTAATGCTCATATCTCCCTGAACCTCTCCGCTTTTGATGTTGTTTTCTTTGTCGATCTCCATCCTAAGCCTTTCCTTGAACACAATGAATACTGGGCTCAATGATGTTTCCAAGGCCCTTCTCTTCTCCTTTACAGGATTACTGTTTGTCTTCACAATACTCTTGAGCTGTTGTATGCTTTCGTTTCTCATCTCTATCTCGAGATTCTTTACTCTTTCAAGTTCTCGATCAATGTCTGAAACAGGCCTCTTCTGGAACTCCTTCTGCTTCTGGATAAGCTCCTTACTCTTGTTTTTCATCATCATCTCATGGATCTTTTCCTCCTGGCTGTCCATGTCCTTTATCAAAGTGATGTTCGAGTCAAAGGTTGTTTGTCCATAAAGAATGTTGTCTATCGTTACCAAGACATCAATCACTTCGCCATCCGTGTTCTTCTGCAAGAGGTCCAGAATCCTCTGTGCCTTTACATTGTTGTATCCTATGCTTGTAATCGCAACATAGTAGGTCGAATCAATTACATTGTAAACATACTTGTAAAAGCTTCTAGTCAAAACCCCGTTTGTAGATGCCCCCGAGCTTATAAAGTCAAATACAAAGTGCTCCATCTTCGACACAGGCATCGTCCGGGTCATTCTGGACACCATTTGCCCTGTCAGGCTGTTTGCAACAAACAATCCGATTATCATTCCAGGGCCTTAATTATCCCGGCATAACAACCCTTCAAAAACATAGACCGAAGTGTCTTGGCAAAAGCATTTCATCCAATTCTTAAGTGTTTATTCATCGCCTTTACGAAGGAAAGGCAAACGATAGTCCATCTTCATCAACCCTCCTCCAAAAAAGGATCTTATGCAGAAGGAAACTCTCCAGAAACTTCTCGCTAGCCTTCATATATCGAATGTGTTTGTTATCTCCATCTATTTGGTACTCCTCGCAGATACTCTCCAAAAGTTCTTCTGAGCTGCCAAACTCAGGTATTCTATGGAGGATAGCAACCTCTTTCTTGTCGATTCTTTCAATAATTGCATCAATATAACTTTTGAATGGTATTCCAATAAGTCCATTACATCCTCTAAGAATACTTGATGGAGTAACTCCACTCGGAGGTACTGAGACAATAGACGACTTCGGCTTCCTTCCTAGAACCCTAGAAATACTCTGGAGAACAAAATTCTTCCCAGATCCTGGATTTCCAAATATCCCTATCCTTGCTTCTTCTCCTATCCAGCTTATATCTTCTTCCCCCAATTCAATACAATTGGCCCCATTCTTTCTCAAGTGCACCTTCCACTCACTAACTATTTCCCTCGGAACGTAGTGTGTATAGTTCAGAATAATAATCAGTTTTTTTCCGTGTAAGGAAACTATCTTCTCAGCTTCACCATTCCTGCTGCCATCGGGGTCTCTTGCATCAACAACTTCAATCACCACATCACTTTTAGACACCAGACTCACCATTTCATTGAGATACGGTTCTTTCTTTTCCGAGTTCTTTAAGGTTTCTTCATACTCCATCTTCCTGAGCTTTTCCATTCTTTTTATCTCTGCATATTGGATATTTTCTTCATCTGTTCTAAGAACCGATGGAGGAACCTTCTCCATTTTCGCTTGCATCTTTCTGTTCATTCTTCTTTTCTTTCTCTCATCTATCCTTGATTTCTTCAGCATGCTTTCCCTCTTCCTTGTGGTCAGCCTCTTACTTTGTCGTTTTTTTTTAATCCCCATTCCGGGGGAGATAATCTCAAACTTTATCCTTCCCTGGAGTTTTGTCTGTCTGATATCCTTGGAACAAGCTCTAGGAATACATCGAATTATCATCCATATTCTTCTTCTGGTTCTTCACAAAAGAATTCAAGCCAAGAAAAACATCCTATTCCCCATCATACTTCAACTAGGATTTGAATTCCCAAAGAACCACAAACCTCTGAGTTGAAATACAGATCCTCTTGGCCTTAAGCCTAGAAAAGCCTTTGATATATTTAGACTTCAATATGTGATTCTAGTAAAGCATTTATTGTTTCAAAACTAGCCCTTGACACATAGATGGCAGACGCTTCTATTCTTCTGTGCTCTATTGCTTTCATACTTATGGTGTCTACCGCCATAGTGGTGTTGACAAGAGGGAAATCCACCAGAAACAAGGACGAAGTGAGAATCGGTCTGATCGGCGCTTTAGCATTTGGATACATTGCATGGGCCTGTGTGTACATGTCGCAAATAAAGCCATTTGTTGGCCCGGAGTAGCTAAGGAAATCGAAAAGCCGGATTTGTTTATCCCTTTGGGTCTAGAAGGCATTTAAATAACTAAAGTGTGCTTTACTTCATTTATTTCTGCCTTTCTTCAGGTGTAAGATTTTGCTATTGAAAGTCAACTCCAGGTATCATCAGCTCGTCGATTGCCCAATCTTCGAAGCTGTTATCTGGAAGTCTTCTCCGTATGATAAATGGAATCTTTTTTTCATTTAGCTCCATGTTGGCAATGGCGAGTGGATTACTTTCATTTCCTATGTCTACAAATGGAGGAGCTCCTGCACTGAGCTGAGATGCACGTACTCCGATTACGTGCGCCTTCTCATATTTGGTCATTCTGGGAAGGGTTTTACGATCTGAACTTGAGATTCTCACTTCGGCATTGGACATGCTGACAATCTCTGTGTTGTTTTCCTCTGTAGAGTATTCGCTTGAAAGCCGGACGTCCTCGCTATCCATCAGGGGCCTTTTATTTGCCCGCAGCTAAAAACCAAAGAAATAACGACCCGTCGGAAGCTCAGATGAAGTTGGAGAAGATGTCCAAGATAAAGAGTCTCGGGCACCCTGCATCGTCCATAGACTTAGCAATATCTGAAAACAGACGATATCTTCTATCTGTGGGTGTTTACAAGCCTTGTGTAAAGATCTATGACTTTGAGAATCTTGCCCAAAAGGTGGAGAGGCATCTAGAGTCAGAACCGGCAAGAGTGTTGTCTCTTGTACCAGATGCCTCAAAGATTTGTATTTTGAGAGGAGACAGAACAATTGAGTTCCATGCCAAGTATGGGCATCACGAAGGAATAAGGACACCAACAGTGTGTTTTGATATCTGTCTTAACAAGTTCCGGGCCGAGTTGATGAGCGGGGGGAAGGGGTCTGCTGTCTATCGATTCAATCTGGATCAAGGGAGGTTTCTGAGAAGTTATGCTGTAACGATAGATGAGATATATTCAATCGAAATGAATGAGTGCAATGGCCTTATTGGGGTTGGAGGAGCTGGAGGAGTGCAGTTCATTGACCAGAGGTGTAAAGAGATAGTAAAGTCGGTTGAATATAATGAGTCTCCATCCAGTATAACCTTCGCGGAAAATGGAATAGACTTTGGAGTTGGAACAAATGAAGGGACTGTTTACTTTCATGACTTGAGAGCCCGAAAGGAGCTGTTCAGTGTAAAACACGACCAAAGAATCAAGAAGGTTACATTTAATGGAAAAATACTGATCAGCTTGGACCGAGGTGCGTTGCGATGCTGCAGCAGAACTGGAATGGTTGGAGAATATCTAAGTAGTTCCGAGATGAACTGCCTTACATGCGATGGTGGGGTCGTTTTTATAGGTCTTGATAATGGAGAGATAAGTGAGATGATATCGGAGGACCTAGGAGAGATTCCACAATGGTGCAAAGTATTCGGAGATCAAGTTGATTGAATTAAATAAAGGATTTACAAACACACCCCGGCATTTAAACTACATCCTAAAATGTTTAAAAGGTTTTCAAGGTTTAAGACATTCTTTTCGGTTATACTGATAGTAATTATGCTAAGAAATGTAAGGAGATTGAGGAGATCGTCATTACTCCCGGGCAGGCATCTACTGCTGATTGCACATCCAGATGATGAGTCTATGTTCTTTGCTCCATCCCTATTGAGTCTGAGAGAAAGAATGGATATTCTTTGCCTGTCAAATGGTAACAAAGAAGGAAAAGGGAAAGAGAGGGAAAAAGAGCTCAGGAAAGTAGGGTCCTATGCAGGGACAAAAGTGATTATGACAGCACTCTTTGCAGACGGAGAAGATTGGGATCCATTGGCAGTTTATTTGAAACTTTTATGGATATACATAACGAGACCATTCGACGTTCTGATGACGTTTGATGAGTTTGGGGTATCTGGACACAAAAATCATATTTCATGCTACAAGGGAGCTAGGCTATTTTTGAAGTTACACAATGTGAAAGGGGCATTTCTAAAGTCCAAAGACTTGCTCCGAAAATATGTGATTGATATCAGCTTTTCTAGAGTCTCCAGTACTATTCCTTTTAGCATGTACATGAGTTCTACCAAAATGATGCTTCTTCATAGGTCCCAGATGGTGTGGTTCAGATATCTCTATGTGCTTTTTTCAAACTTTATGTCGTACAACGACTTCACCATTGTAAACTGAATAAATGATATTCTAAGGATACTGGTTTTTCTAAGGTATGGATATACCAAGGCTTGATGTAGTAGAAATTTTTGAACCCTACGGGAAATGGAATCTGAGTTTATTGAACTGTTCAAGGGCTTTGTCGAGTCTTATCGCACACCACAGGACAAGGATATTGGAGAGGTGATTTCCAAGCTTCCATACGAGGACTACCAGAGAATTATTTTGAATATAAACGATATGCGTGCGTTTGATAAAACACTCGCCAAGGGGATTCTGGAGGAACCGGGGACTCTAGTTCCATTCGCCGAAGATGAGCTAAGCGATATGGGTGGGAGAAAGATATTCCTTGGAGTCAAGGGATCGTTTGGAGATCATCTTCTCAATCCTAGAACCTTGACGAGTGTATATATAGGAAAGATGGTCTCTGTGGAGGGAATAGTTACGTCTTGTTCTATATGCAGGCCCAAGATCATGAGAAGTGTGCACTACAATCGATTGAAAAATGTATTTTATTCCAAGGAGTATAGAGATGCCACAATGGTAACAAAACTCCCTGTTACAAATACAGTGTATCCTACCCGAGACATGGACGGGACTCTGTTAACAACGGAGTTTGGGCTTTCAGAGTATTTTGACCACCAAACCATTGTTTTACAGGAGATGCCAGAGAAAGCACCTCCTGGACAACTTCCCAGGTCTGTGGAGGTGATATTGTCTTTTGACTTGGTTGACCAACTCAAGCCTGGAGATAGAACAAAGATCTATGGAATTTATAAGAGTCTTTGCTTTGGAAACCAGCAATTTCCCTCAAGATTTCGAACAGTTATAGTCGCAAATAACATTGAAAAAATACAAGAAGAAGAAGGAGAAACAGAGCCGGAGATGGAGATGGAATTTGAAGTACTATCGAAGATGAAAAACATCCATAATTCGATTGCGCCCAGCATATTTGGACATGACATCATCAAGAAATCCATAGCCTTACTTCTGGTTGGGGGAAATGAAGTTGTGATGAAGAATGGTAGCAAGATAAGAGGGGATATAAATATCCTACTGGTTGGAGATCCTTCAACAGCAAAGAGCCAGCTTCTTAGATATGTGCTCAATGCGGCGCAGCTATCCGTTCCAACTACTGGGAAGGGATCCAGTGGGGTAGGGCTGACTGCAGCGGTGGTTCTGGACAAAGACACAGGAGAAAAAAGGTTGGAAGCCGGAGCAATGGTGTTAGCAGACAGAGGAGTGGTCTGTATTGATGAATTTGACAAAATGAGTGATGGAGACCGGGTTGCAATTCACGAAGTAATGGAACAGCAGACAGTTACGATAGCAAAAGCAGGGATTCACACGACGTTGAATGCTAGATGCTCGGTGTTAGCAGCAGCAAATCCTATCTGGGGCCAATACAAAGAATCAAGACCTCCCCAAGACAACGTAAGACTTCCCGAAAGTCTCCTAACACGGTTTGATCTCATATTTGTAACTCTTGACAAGTCCAATGCAGACACTGACCAGCTGATCTCAGAACATGTGCTAAGAATGCATATGCTTGGACAGGGATATGAGGAAGAAGGGATAGGAATCAAGCAAGAGGTATTTCGAGCATATATTCAACACTGCAGAAGAAAAAAACCGGTTCTCAGCCGAGAGGCGTCCAGACTTATAGTGGAAGAGTATACTCTGCTGAGACAGAGTAAGGATAGGAAACAACAGATTGTTTCTATCACTCCGAGAATGCTGGAGACAATGATTCGTCTTGCCACTGCAAATGCAAAGCTAAGGCTGAGCGATGTAGTTGAGTACGACGATGCGGAATGTGCAGTGAATCTAATTAAGGACTCTCTATTCCAGAAGGTGATCAAGACATCCAAAAGGATCAAAGTTGGGGGAGCAGAGCCGCAAGATGAGTTTGACCTGGTTGATGAAAAGGGTACACTGAAACAACGCCTAGAAGAGGCTATGATTGATGAGGACAAAGTCGACTTTGTAAGCCACGCACTATATGATTATAGTGCAGATCCAAAAAACCCTAGAGTGCTGGATATCAAGGACTTTATGGAATATCTTGGAGTAGACGTGAGCGTTACAGAGCCAGAAGTGGAAGCCATCCTCTCGGGATTAGCAGAAAAAGACTTAATCCTGTTTGAAAATGGAAGAATATACCTACTGAATTGAAGGTAGAGCTGTCTTGAACTTATTGTCCAAACTAGAAGATACTCTTTTCATCAAAAACCACTAGCTTTTTATTTCCGGGGTTAAGGTTCTGGTTGAGATTCCATCGTCAGTAACTATTTTCACCATAAATCCTTCGAGATTGATCATAAGCCTTTCCTTCAATAGATTAATACATTTTTGGATGATGTTTAGAGCAGCATCAATAGTAATATCTTCAGTGTACTCTCGATCAAAAATTCCGTACACAAAGTACGCTGCATATCCATTGGCACAAAAGGGTACGGAAGAAATGGCTCCATATCTGTCGACAGACCACAGATCGTATCCTTCCGGGCCCTTTCCCCCTACTATCGATGACATGTCAAGTTGCCTCTTTCGGAGAGCCTTGTGAACTTTGTTTTGGATCATATGTGCCAGAACACTTGGACTGAGCTCTATTCCATTCTGGATCTCTTCATAATATGCACTTTCGGACACATAGAGCATAGTTCTGAATGCATCGCCTTGGTCTCCAATCATCGACATCACAATTCTGTTTCCGACTGTCTGGAACTTCTCGTAGTCTTCTTTGACAACAAGAAAGGAAGTAGAGATCTTTGTGTCGGCAGCCACTATTACAAAATTGTTTCCTCTTATTCCTATTGACGAGTCCATATCACAGGGTAAAGACAACAAAAATTACAAATGGATGTCTTAGTATACCTGAATAAATACAAATGGAGAGATGCATAATATGCCACGAGGGCTGCGGTGGTACTGGGTTCTCCCTTTTGAAAGCTATTAAAAGCAAGTGAAAATTTTTCCCTCATATGCAACTTCCAATTCCAAGAATCAATAGTACAAACTACAAGCGTATACTAGCTGAGGCAAGACTATCTGAAGATAGAGAAAAGGTTATTTCCGAAATAAAGAGTGTTATACTACTTATGCCGCACAGGTCGTCCATCATAAGTAATCTTATAAACGACCTGGCAGAAGACAATCCCGAATTTAAAGATAAGATAGTAAGCATGGCTAATGACATCTCAATGGCCGAAGATACTTACGGATTGATATCTGCGTCTTTTACCTTCAAAAGACTAGGGGTAGAAGGGACAGAGGGTCTCTTTTGGGTTAAAGAAATACCTACAACAAATTCCTTGCTTGGATCCACAAGCTTCGAAATGCCTCCGGCTTCTCTGGACCGATGCAAGAAAGAAGTAGAAAGAATGCTTGGGATTTCTAATGAAAAAAGCTTTGAAGAGGTATTTTGCGTAGTGCAGATTATAAGGAGCTTTCGATTCTCTGTTCATGAATGCCTTGGGCAGTTAGGATATATTTCAAAGCAAAAGACCTTGGTGGATGGGCTTCGAATTCTTCATAAGGAGGAGAATAGCCTGTATTTATCTGCATTGATTCTTGAACTTGCAAAGAAGCAAGGGTTTCTAAAGATCCTGCTTGAAGACCTTCCTTTGTTTGATCAAGAGTTTCGGGACATCCTTCTGCCGCTTGTTTTTGAGTACTTCTACGGACCTAGTGATGAGAGCAACAGCGTCTATATAAGCAGTTCCTATATACCTCTTGGGACTTCGGAGGATATAGATCCATTTAGGCGCCTTATTACCGAGACCACAGTAAGAAACATGAAGAGAATTTCTGGATCAAATAAGGTGGAAGCTTTTCTGAATAAGAAAGAAAATCTAGAAGCTAAAAAAGTTCCAAGGATGAGCCGAGAGGAATTTGAAAAAACCAATTTTGAGGACAAAAACGCGTTCTTCAGGAATTTCTGTCTTCTTGGATCCCCAAGTGTATCTCATTTCCTTACATACCTGGAAATCTACAAGGAACAGCTCGTGCTCAATGAAGAGGAGCAGAAGTTGTTTCTCTCTATATTCTTTAAGACATTTGAGGGGCTTGAGTCTTTTTCCCGGATAGTTCTGGAGAAGTTGGTTCTGTTTAAAATTGTAGACTTCAAATTGTTAGAAAACTTTAATGGAGAGCATTCTCTATAGTCTGAGAAAGGATTTCATATGGTGAAATCATTTGCTCTTGTTTATTTACACAGTGATAGATTCGGAGCCCTTTTAGAGATTCTTTTGGTAGAGTTGTTGTCCAGCCGATATCAAAAGCATAATGAGTATGAAATTCAGGAATAGAAGAGGAAAGTGGACGATTAATTCGAGCACTCTGTTGGATTTGCCCATTCCGATCCTGATCAAAGCCAGGAAATAAATTACACTTAATCCGTATGTTACTCGCTTGTTAGCCATGCTAGGGTCCTTTGGCATGATGAATATATGGAAATCGGGGAGTGGTAGCAAGCTTGTAGCCACTAGAATGGTGAATTAAACGGAAGTATTTATTCAGATAAGGGCGAAGCTACTTGAAGTTTTTCTCTGCATACTCTCTAACAAAGGATGACACATGAAGAAACTTCGGAGTGTTGTATTTGTTTTGTATGTTTTCAAATGGAATGCTTTCACTTATGACACGGACTAGGGCATTGAAGCATTCCTTTATGTCATCTTTAGTATGTCCAGAATACATGGTAAAGAGGTTCTTGCATTGATCCTGAGATGTCATTTTTCTCGAAAGATACATTGCAGCCGCTGCTCTTACAGATCCCTTAAATTTTAAGAACTCTTCATAGAGAGTCATGAGCTCTAATAAATACTTCCCCACTGCTCTGCTGTTGATTTCGTAGTTGTTGGCTTTGGAGCATTTCCTGAGAAAGTTTAGTGGAGAGACATATTGGAGATCGTAGTTTAAGGTGTGGAGCATGTACTTTTCTGCTTTTCTCACGTCATCTCCTGTCAATGTCTTCTCTGTTAGAAGAACAAATGTCTGGAGAGCTGGGCACACAACTTCTTCGTATTTGCATGCTATCATCAAGGCAGAGATTCCAACAAGCTGAAGCTTCGAGCTTGGAATAGATCGCATAGAAAGAAATCTGTCAACGAGATTGATTGCAAGAAAGAGGGTGTCATGGCAGAGCCCCAGCTTATCGTGGATGTCAATGATCCAGTCGACTAATAGACTTCTCATCTTCCATGATACTCCATCATTGACATACACGAATGGTTTATCAATAGCCGAGAAATATTCGAAAATGTCATCCGAATATTTATCCGCCATTACTATTTGAGAGGCATCCATAATCTTCTGCTGCCTGTAAACAACCTCTTCCACTTTGCTGAGCGGAAACTGCGTCTTCTCTGCTCTCTTTACAATCTTGTTTGTTACATTCCTCAGAGGCTCTGATTTCCTGAACAAGGCCACCATCCTGAAAATCCAGGGATCCACTTTTGTATTTCACATGGATGGAAGTCTAGTGGCAGGAGGATTTGGCAAGACTTCTTACAGAATGCAAAATCCATGAAGTAAACACAAATCTCAAGCTGGTAGAGCCAAGAATTAGTTCCGAGCACGGGACTCCGAGCTGCTTGCTAGTTACCAGATTTAAGAAATTAAAGATAATCCCGAACAGAGCCTAATGTTTTTGAAAAAGTTGGAAGCCAAAACAAGAGATTCTCTATCTCCCGAAGTAGTATCTGAAAGTGTGGAGAGATTCAGAGAGGCAAGCAAACATGGGGACAGAAAGGAAGTGTCTATGCTTCTTAGGGAAGAAAATGTAGGAGCCTCGATTCTTCTGAGCTGCCCCGAATTGCTAGGGGAAGATGACCTGATAGACCTACTTTTTTGTCCAGATATCTATTCGAGATACATAAGCGCAGAGATACTGACAAGAATCTATGGGGACAAGAACCACAGAAAGGAGTACATTTCTTTCTTCAAACAGATGTTAAAGGAAAACACATCTTATGAAGAGAGCAACTATCTACTATCTTTGCTAGTAGACCTTCTATCCTGCAAATCCAACTCGGAATTCGACGTTGAGAAGAGGAAAATGGAGCTCGCATCCAACAAAATGTTTATTGAAATACTCCACACATCTGTGTTTGTTAAGGAGATCCAATACAATACGCTAATGATCATTCTTATATTCTCCTATAGCAAAGAGTGTATTGACAAAATGAACACTTTGATCGACGATGTTGTTATTATAGTGAAGGAAAGAGCACGAGAGAAGATCTTGAGGGTATGTTATGGAATAATTACCAACATCCTTGATAGTGGGTATATATTTTCACCAGGGAAGCTCAACGACATCTCAAAATGCACTGAGATTCTTTTGGAAGGAGGATATAGTGATGAGGAGCTAATGGCAGATCTGGAAAAGGTTAGAGCCAAGATAATGCAGAGTACAAAGCAGTTTTGCATACGGAACTACCTCAATGAGTTGTTTTCTGGAAGGTTTGAAGACTCTGAGTATCATCACAAGGAGGATTTCTGGAGCACCAATCTTGACATGCTGATGAAAAACAAGGTTGAAATAGTTAAGGTTCTTAAGAAGTATCTGAAGTCCAATAATCCCTCTTGGGTGTGTCTTGCATGCAGTGACATCTTCCAGCTAGTGAAGGTATCCCCAGAAATCAACACGGTCTTGAACAAGTATCAAGTAAAAGAAATACTTTTCAACCTAATCAACAGTGAAAACGATGACATAAGATTCCATGCAATACAGGCATTATATACATGCATATCCTCGGAGTGGAGCTGATGGATAAAGAAGCCTACTCTTTAAAGAACCTAGGCCAGGAGCGGTCTCGATAGGAGATTTTAATAAAACATATATAAGATGAGGATTTTAATGCTTTGTTTTAAGATAAAGATTTGATAAGGCATCTACATAAAGCTCTTTTGAGGAATCTCCTTCTCATACCAGTCAAACATAGCCTCCAGACAATTTTCATCTATCTTCTCGTACGGGATTTTTCCTGAGACAAAGTCCTTGACTATTGTCTTTAAACACCTACTCGTCTCCCATCCCTTTGACATTGACATCAGGTTTATGTAGTTAGTTCCTTTAGAATATCTTGAGTCATTATAAAATCCTTTTAGAGAATAAAATCTACAGAGCTTTCCAATCCCAATGAGCTCTATAATGTAATCAACACTACTATTCAGATCTAGTAGCTGATCAACATTTAGTATTCCATGAAGTATAAGATCAAGTTTCCTGTGTCTTGGGAAAACCAACCCAGGACAGTCAAGCAGGCATGGCCCGTCCTCGATGTATATTGTCTGTATGTGTCTAGTCTTACCGGGTGTTTGACTAACTTTGACTCGTTTACTGTTCATTATTGAGTTGATTGTGCTGCTTTTCCCAACATTTGGATACCCCACAAATCCAACCATCTTTCCTTTATACCCCAGAACAAACTTCAAGAGGCTTTTTCCTTCCAATGCAGAGTAGTGAAAACATCTATATCCTTTGATCTCTGTCCTATTCGAAGATAGGTCTGACTTGTTGATTAAAACAACATGTTCTTTCTTTGGATAAAGCTTACGGATGTCATCGTTGAGAAAGAATTCCGGATTTCTTGCATCGACTATTTGCACTATGACGTCACTTCTCTCGCAAGTAATCCACAGCTGTCTCCATATCTCTATATTTCTCTCAAACACTGTACATCTTTGCAGGCCTTTCCACCGATCAAAAACCTTTCCTTCAACCTCCTTAAAGAGCTCTTTTTCAATTCCCTTGTATGGAACACGTGGGGGAATTGTCCTCGAAAACTCAAACGATTGGGAAAGCCTCTCCACAATAACATCCACCTCGCTTTGTTCTTCAAATTCTTCCACGGAATTAGCAGGCCTTCCTGCGGATATCTTTCTGTTCTTTACCGTTAGCTGCTCAGAGAGCTTCTCTATCCCCCCATACTCCGTAGCTGAGCATCTTTGTACTTTTGGCTTGATCTTAGGCTTAGCTCCAAATCTTTTCTCAATAATTAGTCTTCCCCATTCCGTTTTCATTATCTCTGGGGATTGGAAAACGGCTCTTTGTATCTTAAGGCAATTCCAGAGATTGTGGCCATTTCTAAGAAATCCCTCCGCGAGTTCCGTACTCGTTTTCAAGAATCTCCACTATCTCGTCTGCTGTTATTCTTTGATCGTAGTTGAAGTCGAGGCATCTGAGTATAATATCGACCACAAACTTTGGAGCTGTTAACTTTTTCTCTATTGCATGCTTGAGAGATCTCCTTGTTCCTGCCTTTCTTCGGATGAGTGTTAGCTGATTTTCCTTGCTCTCTCCAGGAAAGAGAGGTTCTAGCGTTATCATCTCGTAGATTATGCATCCTAGACTCCATATGTCCACATAAAATCTGTAACTAGTGCTCCCCATAAGAAGCTCAGGCGACCTGTACCACAAAGTAACAACTTCACTAGAATAGGGTGGCACTCTTATCTCCAGGCTTCTCGACAGTCCGAAATCGGCTATCTTCAATACTCCATCACTCGTGACAAGGATGTTCTGAGGCTTAAGATCCCTGTGCACTACATTCATTTGATGTAAATAGTGTACTCCACATATCAACTGGTTAACAAGCTCCATTATGTTTTTCCCTGTGTTCATCCCAATATACTTTTTCAACTCATAGTCTATGAACGGAAACACCATTGTCAAGAGTGCATCGGTATGTATTATAGACACCAAGCTTATGATGTTTTTGTGGTTAAGTTTCTTGAGTATTGATATTTCCCTAAGGGCAGTCCCTGGCATTCCTTCCTTCTCATTGAGCTTTATTCTCTTCAAGGCAACCTTTTCCTTCGTTTCTGTGTCTATTGCCTCGTACACCTCACCATATGTTCCCGATCCGATTATTCCGCCTAAGATGTATCTTGTCATTTCTGTTTATAGGCTTTGGATAGAGAAAGTTTTCACTGACGTTTCAGGCCACAACAGGAATCTTGATCAAAAGCACCGGCTTTGAAGAAACAGTGATGGCTTTTCTCAAGATCCACAACATCCTTGTTGGTCCAGTGGTTAGGATAGCTGCCTCTCACGCAGCAGGCTCGGGTTCGATTCCCGGACGAGGAATATGCTTTTTAGTTTCAAAAATGAAATGGATTTGGACATGTATAGATCCAATAATCTCGTTTAATCACTAGTGATAGACAATCTGAAGGAGGGTGTAGATACTGGGCATCCACAAATCTGCTCTGTTTTCCCCAGACTCGGTGCATTCGAGAATAATCTCTCTGACTTTCTGCTTCATTGTGTCGGTATTTTCGTTGTTTTTGATTTCTTTGTTTATCCTATCGATCCCTCCCAGAATCAAAGGACTGAAAGTGTCTTTTGCAACACTGCCGTATATAGAAAGTCTCTTGGTAACTTCCTTAAGCTTATTTCTAACTATCAGGTTAGCCTTGCTCGATGCCTTTTCTATTAAGCCCTCGGTGATGCTTTCAAATGTTTTAAGTATCTCCTCGGAATTTAGATTGTCTGTAGACTTCTGTGGGCTACTAGCTTGGCTTTGGGCCGATGGCTCTAGATCTCTTCCCTGAGGCTGTGGGATTGGAATATTGGGCCTTTGGAGATTATTCTGGGGAGAGAGAGAAGGGCTAGAAGGAATTCCCGGCTTAGGAATGTATGGCTTCGACACATTTGACTGAGATGAGTGTTCTTGAGAAGAAGGCCCGCGAGACATCGTCCCATATGTAGACACCGGCTGAGAGCTACTGGAAAGACTAGAAATGTCTGGCATGGAGCTGTATGTCTTCTGGGAGATTCCTTTGGATGCCGAGTTATATGTAGGCGTGCTAGGCATAGTTTTGTATCCAGGTCTAGGAATATACATCTTCTGTGCTGCAGACAGGCCAACAGAAGAATAGGGGGATTTGTTTGGTCCCAGAGGGGGGCTGGGTACCTTCATTCTTTGCTGAGAAATTACCGGAGATGGTGGTGATTGAACGATGTTTTTGTGTGCAGAACTGATGCTTGCCCCGGGAATAATTGGTCTTCCTAAGGAACTGGTAGTCGTAGTACTCATTCCACTATGGCTGGAAAGCAATGAAGGACCAGTCATAGGGGTATTGGGTTTAATGGATGCCATTCCATATTTCACTGTAGCACCAGAATCTTGGCGGGTTTGAGGTTCTAAAGATGGAGATCTCTTAAACACATTCTGTCTTCCATATGAATCTCCGATGCTTGGAGAGGAGGACTTAGGGGAGGAGATACTGCTAGTTGCTCTTCCGAGATAGATGTTGATTCCCAAGTCTTCATATTTGATTCGAGTTGGTGTTTCTCCATGTGTTGATGCATACCAAAAGTATTCCGAAATCATTGGGCTTTTGTAAAGGCCTCCCATCGATTCCAAATCAGACACTATCTCTTTGTACCTTTGGAAAAAGTCTCTAACCTCATAGATGCTTTTTGGCATTCTATACATAGATTCCTTTAGTTCAAAGTAATCATCTAATCTGTTGACTATAGCATACACAAGCAATTTTTCTTCATTCCCCAGCTTATTTGCTAGCTCCAAAGCATTGGAAAAGAAATCCGAATCCGATAGTGGAGAAAAGCTTATTATGGAAAGTAGGGCTAGCCATTGGGAGGTAGATATCTTTTCAAGCAGATCTGAAAACCTAGCTGTAATTTGTGCCGTTGCCAGAAGAATCAGGGGATCATCGGAATCAAAGGACAAAGATTCACTTCCCTTGGCCAGTGCAAGGAATTGTGAAAAGGGAACTGTTTTGTTACTTTCCACAGATTCCGAGTAAGCTTCCTCAAGGTCTCCCTTTATCAAGGCCAAGGTCAAAGGATCTTCGAGATCCAGCTTCAGTTCAAGACTCATTCCAGATACCTTTTTGTTTAACTCTTCGTCCACCTCAAGATTCTTCTTGTTGTTTCTTCCTATGGCTTCTCCAAGCAAAAGCTCACCTAATCCTTTTCTGTCAATGCTATAGTTTCCGTCGGGATAAAGGAGCTTTTTAATCTTTCCGACAAATGCATCTTCTTCTACATCCTTCATCTTCTTGTCTTCAATTTCGTATAAATCTTTTCCAACAATATTGCATCCAACTATGCATCCTGGATTGGTGGGTAGAACATCGGTAGTTACTCGAGGAAGAATCTCAGTAGTTCCCCCTACATACGATAAAGCCATCAATGGATCTCTCTTGGAAAAGCTTACTTCGAATATTCCATCTACTGGAATTGTATCAATAACTTTGTTGCTGCTCACTTCGATTATATCCACCTGTTCCTTAGAAGAAGCTGCCATATAGCCTTTATCAATCAGGGATAGTCTTATAATTCCACTTTCATGCTCTCCTATTTGAGATGTACTATCGGAGCTGAGATTAAAGCATTGAAGTCTCTTCTGGTTGGTCGCGGCCAAAATAGATGTTGATCCATTGGGATGCCACATCACATCAGATACCATTGTTATGTCATCTCCTCCAAGGGTCATGGCTACATTCTTGGCCCTTATATCGAGGATGAGTATCTTCCCATCATCCGTGCCTGCACATAATATTCTAGATACTTTTTTGTTCCACGAAAGGCAAGTTATATTTGAAGTAAGTGGGATGTCACTTGTATATTGACTGTCAAGTCTGTTCAGGTTCCAGAATATAATCTTTCCATTGGAAGACCCTGCTGCAAGAACTCCTTTAGACGGATTGAAGTCCAGTCCAAGCACATCTCCTTCAAGAACACAGCAGCTGGATAGAAGCTCGAAAGAGATATTTTTTTCTGGTGCAGGCGTATAAAGCGTCACCTTCCCATCCTCGTTTCCAGTGGCTAGGATCTCCCCATCTCCCCAGCCACACCACTTGAGCTTATAAAACTTGTTGTCTGTTTGTAAGGGAGGATATTGAACCCCTAGGCTATAATCATACAAAAACAGCTCGGATGTTAGAGAAAACGATGTATCAAATAGCTTGCTCTTCGTCCCCATGGCCATAAATGGCTTCTCATCGGAAAACACCGTCAGACATCTTTTGTTGAATTTCATTTAGGGGTTCTCCAAACATATTTTACATAAAAAGGTTTGGACTACCATGATACAATTTAATGCCTACTGAATCTAAAGACAGTTTAGTAGGAACGCCATATTCTCCAGAGTTTTGGGATGCATACGTGATCAACAGGGATTCTAAGAAATAATCTATCGTCCAAAAGCCCCTCCGGAGCTTAGGTTTTCTTTTTTGATTGGATTATGGTTTATAGCTGCAAAGAAAGAAGCCCTGATTTCATTCCCAAGGAAGATAAAGTTAATAGATGGATTGGATGCTCCGTAGTTTACGATCGTTCGGGCGAACAAGTCAGAAACTTCGAGCATACTTCTCAGGTTACCTCCAACAAGATCCACAGAAAACTCTCCAGAGAACTCTAGTGGAAATCCCATTTTAGTTTCTTCATTATAGATTTCTCCACGACCATTATCTATTTTCAATGTAACCAGCTGATCACTGATCTCCTTTAGGGCCAGCCTCATAATGCTTGGACTGACTTCTCCAGAGTAGTCTGTCTTAAACCCAACCGAAAAAAATGATGATGGATTGTAGAATACTCTTCTTCTTAAAATATACTTGTCAAATACATATTCAAATGTTATTATATATTCCTTGGTAGTTATTTTCAATAGCTTCATCTTCTTTATATAGAATTTCTGCCTTGGAATCAGGGCGAGCCTGTTCTTCGAGCTTAGGGTTTCGAAAAAGGTCTCCTTCAGATCGAGATTCAGAACAAGAGTCTTGTCGGAAGAAACCAGTTGAAATGTTATTTCCTTGGTTGTGTCTATCAGGATTGTGGATGTTCTAACAGCTTGTAATATCCGGTCGATTGTAAATGCATTTTGGGGTGATATCATACAGTCCATGGGAAGGGACGGCCACAAGGATTTATCATTGGAATGGCGTCCTTTGTTAGAAATAACCATCCATGCGGGGTATTGTTCTGAAAATTCAGACCCTGGAAAAACTCTCTAGTAATGGTTGAAAGGGAGATAAGTCCAATTGACTTTGTAGAGGAAAGGTCGAAGGAGATTCAATCCATTGAAGCAGCTATCGAAACAAATAGAAAAAAGTCGATGATGTTCCAAAGGCTGCCTTTTTATCTAAGACGGAGACTCAGGAGCCATGAGAAACGCACAAGGAAGAAGAACCGGATGAGAAAAAAGGATAGACATGGATTAAGGACACATGTATGGTATGCGAAGAGGTTTGAGATGTTGAAGGTTTGGAATACATCTATTCCCTTGAGGAGACGGATGAAGAGTAGTAAGTTTATCTACAAATCACAAAAGAAAAGAGGATTTGTGTTTGATGAATCCTACAAAGACATTGTGGTGTATAAGAGGCCGGATGTAGAGATTTCAGGAATAGATTTTAGTCTTGGGGATGTAGTTCAAAGGATCCAACAGAAGAATATAGTTTTTGAAGCAATTGTTAGTGAAAGGTTTCTAATAATCATTACTTCTGATCTCGAGGAGATAGAGTTTGGGATGATCCTGGAAGAATATGGTAGAATAGAATGCTGCTTATCGTTGATTCAAGTAGATGAATTATTTCTCGATGAGGTAAACGATGAGACCGGAAGACTTACTCGGATCTTGTCTCATAAGGAGAAGGGAAAAATTGATAGGGCTTTATCCGACAGATCCAGCATGGCTATATTTGTTAGAAGTCTCTCGCAAGCCGAGTCTGGGAAGGTACTTCTCAAAAGGAATATGGTTATGAGCTTTTGGCAGGATATTGTAAATGTGGGAATAATTCCGATATGTATTGAAGAGCTCCAGAGGCTTGCACTCGAAAATGATTACATGGTTTATCCATTTGATTACTCAACGACTAGACTCTACAAAGACTTTGAACAATCGTATACGGAGCCTATAAAAAGTAAATATGAGAGAACACCTAGGTCAAAGAAAATGGCACTCAATATGGACTTGATGTACATATATACTAGCGATCCAGTCGTGTTTGCATCTTTTGAACTTGAGAAGGGCCGTGCCGATCGGTGTGCGTTCATTTTCGATGAGAATGACACTGTGATTGGGCGTGTAATCAGAGGAGGATTTTGTTTTACAAAAGGATTATGCAGGGGGTTATGCTATATATTGTGCGATGTTAAAGAAGGTGATGAGTTTTATTCTAGAAACCTCAATTCTCTTTCTTTCAATCAAATGAAAATAACAAAGGTTTTTAGATGACCTAGGAATCACTTCCGAGAGCTATTGAATGTGCTCCTGGAAAACTTCACCATCCATTGGTATCTTTTTTCACTATTTAGAGCATGAAGATGGATTTTAAGAACATCCTTGAGTAACCAAACTAGGCCCCCTTATAGTCTGAGAGCTTTTCTCCCCCATGTTTGGAGAAGAGTTGGAAGGAAAGATATTTACGTACGATTCAAAAAATAATTTGGTTGCATATTCCAATCGAGTCGAAAGTAATACCAAAGTTGTATATATTGGTGGCCTAACATCTCGCTTCCCGATTTGTCTTCCCACAATTATGTTAAATCAGTATTGTATTGAGAATGGCTATGAATTTATAATTCCACAGCTAAGATCCCATCCCGAGTACGGACTCTTTACAATAGATGATGACATAGAAGATTTGGGATGCTTGCTGTCTCAGACGAACGGAGATGTGATTTTGGTTGGAAACTCGACAGGATGTCAAGACATTGTTTATTATTTAAATAATACAAAAGATAGAAAGATTAAGCTTGCTGTGCTTTTAGGGGCTGTAAGTGATGTCGAGTTTGAGGAACATGAAAACAAAAACCTTCCAGATCTGTTGAGATGGGCAAAGGAAACAATTGAGAGGAAAAAGGAGGACGTAGCAATCAAGCATCAAAGTGGTTTATACCTAACACCAAAAAGAATTTTGGACATCTTTTCTAGATATGGGAAGGAAGACATGTTTTCTAGCTATCTGGAGGATAAGTTTTATATGGAGTTAAACAAGGGAGGCACAAGACTTCTTTTTGTGGTATCTGGAAAGGACGAGTATTCTGTAAGAAACATTGAATCTAAACTGAAATTGGTGAGAAATTCGAGAGTTGAGAAGATACCGGAAGGGACACATGTTCTGTCACGTGTTGAAGATGTTGAAATGTTTTTAAGGTTCTTTTCCGAAGAGATCAAAGAGATAATAAAATAGAATAGGAAACATACAGGTTTTTCCAGGAAGCCCTCTATTATTTTCCTTAAGGTGGTTTAGTTCTAGAAATTTCATCATCTGATACGGACAAGGTCTCCAATGTTATTTACAAGAATGTCCACCATTTCATTTGTGAGATAGAGTGGGGAATTCAGGTCGATAGAACATAAAAGGAATCTTGCCTCTCTTAACAGATGGTATGCAGTATAATGGTTGATGTTAACCCTGTCTACCGGTGTCTCCAGCATGAGGAGAATAATAAGACAGAGAAACCTGTGGAGCTTAGGCTTAGTATAATCACAGAATATCTCTGAAAGTACAGAGATCATTTTTTCAGCCCTACTCTTTTCGAAGTTGAAAATAATAAATATCAATGCATCAAATACTACAGTCTCTTCTCTACTATCGAGCTGACCAATTATTTTGAAGGCTCCTTCCATAAGATCGTTTGTAGAGATGTCCTGCTCTCTTAGGCTCTTCATTGTATATATCTTGTACGAGTTCATCTTTGAGACGTCAGGATTACTCCAAAACAAAAGGTAATCAACCAGCAAGTAGAGTTCATTCTGTTTTGTTGTAAGGGTCTCCTTGGGAAGCCATTCCTCAATTTTGTCGAATACCGATGTCTCAAGAAGTTTTTCTGTGTATGGTTGATTATCTTTTACAATGAGATACAACAAGTCCCATCTTCTAAATTCAAGAAGAACTACAAGGTCAATCCTCCTATAGACAGAAGACTGAAGCTTTTGGAATTCAATGTTCTTAAGATCTATCAAGGCAGATAAAACATCAAACACCTCATTGGGATGTTTGTCTATGTATTTTAGAAGAAAATCCCACCTTAGCTCATTAAAGTAATTCTGGTTGAATGGGCTGTCTTTAAGCAATAATGCTAGTGTGGACATTGCGTCTCTGGAAAATTCATCTTGAAGCTCCTTCAGAAGATTTTCAAATATGCCCATGAACGTAAGCTCCCTTCTGAAGTTCAGATCTCCCAAGGCAAGCCTAGGTATTAGTCCCATCCTTTTTTCCTTAACCATTTGAACGCAGTAGTGAGCCATGCTTGGAATTCCTACAGCCTTAGGAGAAAAGAATTCGGAAACACTTAGCACACAGAGTAAATCATACACTTCTTTTCCGCTCTTTCCATTTCCAATGCAGTCACATAATATTCTCAGGCTTTCGGAGTTCTTGACAATAATGTCGATAAACTCTAGTCGATGGATACATCGAAGAACGTTACTGAGTATTTTCAAATGAATAGACACGTCATCCATCCTTTCCATCGAGCAGATTACATCCTCAAGTGCATGGACACCTACCTCAACTGGATAGACCTTCGACATTTCCAAGATCTTTTCGAGTGCATCTGCTCTATCTTCATAGTATATCGACCCAGTTAGTCGGTTGGAAAGAAGGTTTAGTCTCTCTCCTGCTCCAAGAGCCTTGGGTTCTTCATGTTTCTTGAAAAACATTTTGATGTGGGCTTTCAAATTCTTTATTTATGGTTACAAGTCCCTAGATTACCGTCGACAGGCCAAATGTAGGCGATACTATGAATTTTATTTCCAAATCTAGAGCTACGTCACTCTTTTTATTCTTCATCCTTATAGGTTGATGGCCACAACACTTGCATAAACCCCACTTGCCTGGGTCGCTTCAGATTCTTCGAGAAATCGATTATCATATTCCTATCGATTAGAGGGTCGCTTTCATAAAACTTAGCAAAGTCCGATGTATCTAAGTATCCCTTACCCCCTTCATCGTAAATGTTTAAAAGATTTTCGACTTCCTCCATCTTTCCATCTTGGCCCATCATCTTGTTAATTCTGACAAGTACATTTCTGCATAGCTTGCCGTCTCCATTTAAGTCAAAGATGTCGAACAGATATCTTATCCTGTTTTTTCTATTGTTCTTCTCGGAAAAGATTCCCAAAAATTCGAGGAAGTGTGGAAATGTCATTTTTTCATAGTCAGTCATCTTTTCAATGCTTTTCATTATAAGATGACTGAAGGGATTCGACTGGAACTCAGGGATGTTGTTCAACTCATTATATGTTAGATATCCCCGGGACTCCCTGTCTAGAAATTGAAACCTTTCGTATAAATGTTCGATCTCTCTCTCATCAAAAACCGTAGTGTTCTTCAACTCCTCTATTTCCTCCTCGCACAGCATTGTGCTACTCAAAGATCCCATTGAGGGTGGAAGGAACATCCTTGTCATCAATGTTTCACATGGACTAGAAAAAAAGTGATGTTTATCGTTTCATGATAAAAAAGGTCTATGCATTCAGCTTAGACGGTGAAACTAGGCTCAAAAGAACATACGAGCCCTCTCTTTCTGACGAGGAAATAAGATCAATGGTGCTAGCCCAGAAAGAAAGGAACATTGCCAACGGCAGAGAGACTGTCGTCTTTAACAAATTTGGAAACATGTTTATTGCCTTTGTTGTGGAGAATGAAAACGAAATGTATGTGCTTTCCTTGATAAACAACCTTATGTCAATCTACGACAGATTCTTCACCAAGGTTTGCGAGCTTCATTTTATATACAACTTCAAAGAAACACATTTAATCCTAGACAACTACATAGTAAACGGCAAGTGTATCGAAAATGATCCATTTGAAGTAATGAAGTATGCATACTATATAAAATAGATCAATACAAAGAAAAATTCTCTAAATGGAATGAATTCTGATTGAATTTAATCTTTTGCTTATTATTTTTATAAATTTTCCTTGTTTTCTTCACTTAACTCTCGTATTTTCTTGAGGAATTGGCCGATCTTTCCATTAGAGCTACGCAAAGCTGATTTTATTGGTGTCATTACTTTCTTCTTTGTTACAGGCGAATCAAACACCTTAGGTTTTTCTTGGTCTGAAGAATTTTTTTCCATTTTCCCCATTCAGGGTTTATGCAAGGTTGTTTATAAGGCATTCCAAGCACATATAGAATAAGCATTTGTTAAAGCCTATATTATATTCATAAGCTGGAATTTATCTCGATACCAACTATGTAACTAGTTCCTTTCTTAAAGCCCATATGCCAAAGAGACTGGCTTGAGAAACAATGGAATCATTAAGACTATAGCCCATGCATTTTACACTTTTGTATCCAGAGGGAGAAAAGTGGAAAGAAATAAAGAAGGCTGCATTGAAGTCTGTAGTCAGAGGGAATTTGGAAGAAGATGATATGAGTTCTTTATCAAAAGATTCAGAGGACTACAAGAATTATATCATGGTGAAAAGGAACTATGCCAGAGTTGTGAAGCAGATAGAGAAGGGGGAAGTGTATGATTTTTATTCTCAAAGGAGACGATTCAAAAGAAAAATTCATTCTTTGTCAGAGTTCAATAGATTCAAAGTGGTTGCAATACTGAAAGATGGCAGTCGATCCTACTTATTTGAAGATGGTAGGTACAAAGAAATAGGACAGACCACTAGATACCAGAGATGCCCTTTCTGCAACGAGAACATTGCTTCGGAGGAGATAAACAACCATCTGAGAGCAAAGACATGCAATAGGGAGCTAGAATCCGACGAAGGGGGCAGAGTAACTGTTATCTTTGACAAAGGAATTAGAACAGAGTATGAAAGTTTGGAATTCAACTGCAACAATGTTAGAATGCTTAAGAAGTTTGTTTACGATAAAACAGGGATATCTGTGAGCAAACAGGAAGTTTATAGAGGAGAAACAGTCTTAAAGAATAGTGATAGCTTAGGCAGAGAAACAGTCATAATAAAACAGAAGAAGAGGACACAAAAAAATAGCGGATAATTTGTGGCTGAAATGACCCTTAGAATGGAATTGCCTGCCCTGGAGATTCTGAAGAAGAATAGAAATAAATGTGTCAGGATTATCACTCTTAGCAGCAAAACATATCGAGGGGTGCTAGAGAATTTTGATATGCATGTAAATACACATCTCAAGGAAAGTTATCTTCAGATAGATGGAGAGTCGGAGACCTACATCGGTGAGGTTCTAATAAACGGAGGGACAATTGCATGTTTTGATATTATCTGATTCTCTCTATAGAATGGGCTTTGCTGTGAATAAACCAATTTCTTATTGAAGAGTAATTTTGCATGCCTTCCGATTAGAATGGGGAAGATTGACTTATCGCCACTACTTCACAACATTCTTGTGTTTGTGAGGAAGTTTGCCTCCAAGATAACTGTAACAAACACAAGCATATGTTCTAGATCTATTTTTGTTGAAATGCCGAAGTTCTGTGATTGCAGCTTTACAGTCAGAGTCAAGGACTTCATAGCAATGTTGAAGCAAACACAGGAATTTACAGTAGAAGAGAAGGAATTAAGATATAGCTACGAGGCAAGCATGGAAGGAAGCCTTGTTAATGTAGAAAGAAGAATTAAAAGATATGAAGAAGAGTATCAGATTGCCGGAGGTGTTCCATTACTTAGCATTGCAATAAATGGGCTCAAGGTTTTGAGTTCTGAGGAGATTGAAATAAAAGCAGGAAAAGATGGAAATTTTGTGATGGAATCCTTTGGAGTAGTTAGAACAAGATCAAAGTATTCCGGACTCCGCGTTCCCGAGTCTACGGTCGATTCGGTGACTGTAAAGGTAAGGGGTAGGGATCTACGCATTCTGGAGGAGCTTAAAGGAGATGTCATCTTTTCTTTTTTGGATTCGCATATACTGGCATACTCATTGGGAGACAACTTCACCATTGTAATTCAAATAAGTATTCTCAACACATGAAGACCACAAGCACTGGAGGAAAGTGAATAAATTATCTTTGTTTGGATTCCAGGTCCTTTGTCTATTTTTCAGGAACGGATTTGATTTGTTGTTTTTTGTTCCCCTTATGCATGACATTGAATATTTGCTGAAGTATCTGCTGGATAGCACAACCTTGAGAATAGAAAAGCTAGAAGACATCACAAGCTTGCAGCAGGCTGCAGCATTTGAAAAGAAATTTGGGGACACAAAGAGAATCAAGGCATTCTGCATGGAGATTGGTCCTGTAACCTATTTTCCTGTGTTTGGGGTTCCGCTTTCCCGGGACTCCATCACCCATAAGGTTAAGCTCTGCTCGGTTGCTGTTGGAGAATCAATCTATGTATCTAAGGAGTACGTCAAGCAGATGAATCCTCCAGGACATTACAATTCCTTCATTACAAGTGATATAGGATATCAGGTGGGGTTCTTGTCGGATTCACAAGCAGACGTGAAAAACTATTGGTATGCCATTAAGGATCCAAGCAGGATTCTACCTCTTTTCGACATAACCTTTGAATATGATTCTGAATTGGAGATGAGATCGAAGGGAAGCTTTGTGTGTGATAGATGTCGTGTAAACCAGTCGATATCTTTCTGTCCTGCGGAAAGAGCTAGCTTCTGCGGGGAATGTGATGAGGAGGTTCACAGCGACCATTTCCTTAAAAGACATGTGAGATATTACTTTAACGAAGTGGGGAAGAAGAAATTTATTTACTGTGCAAGCCACATGGATACAATGGTGGACTACTTCTGTGAAGAATGCTTTATTCCTGTCTGTACTAAATGCAAAATAAGCGGAAACCATTCGGAACTCCCGAACGGATCACATAGCCTTCTGAATTACGTAGAAGCCTGTGATAGGCTCCAGGAGATTTTGAAGGTAGGAGAAGTCCGACTAGTCGAGGAAGAGAGAAAACTCAAAGAAAGCATAAATGAGTTCAAAAAGAATGTTGAGGATTTCCAAAACAATATTAGTAGCCTGAGAGATAAAATTGAAAGTGAATATAGAAATGCCATGAATGAATTGCATGCATTTGAAAAGAAGGAATTCCAGGTTATAAACACCCATTACATCTCTTATCTTAGCAGATTGGCAGAGCTTGAAAGGATGAGGGAATACCCTTCTGGCCTCGAACCTTCGCAGCTTCTTAGGACTTTCAAGAGCGTTACAATACAGAGGGAATCATTGACCGAAAGTACGGCCGGAGAAGTTTTTAAGCCTGCTGAAATATCATTGAAGGGCCATCTTACTCTTAAAGACGAGGAAAACTACATCACAAGAAAAGGATATTCCCCAAGAATGGAAAAGAGCACCCAACTCTATGTTGAGACAAGAGGAATCAACGTTAATTCGCACGGGAAAAGTAAGTAGTTCCTTCTACCTTTTGAATTTGGTCATGGAGGTCTCATAGGTCTTCTCCTTTGAGCCTCAATCCAAAAGTATCTAATTAAAGCACTTCAGTAAAGGAGATCTTATATTTACAAGAAGGAGACTCTATTTGTTCTTCTTGCAAAATAATAAGGAACAAGTTCTCCTGCTTAGTGGTTGGTTGCTTGTATCTTTTCAAGGGAGAGGACTATGAAAGGGTATGAAAAAGAGGATACTAAGATTCGAGGATGTATTTTTGAAAGCACCTAACAACAACAAGGATCTCAAGGGAGAGTATATTGATCTCATTTCTGGGATTTCTGGAGAAGTAGCATCGGGAAAGCTAACTGCTGTGATGGGAGGAAGTGGAAGCAGTAAAACCTCTTTCCTCAATCTTCTAATGGGGAAGGTTAACAGTAATGTGCTAACGTCTGGAATTATCACCCTTAACGGAGAACAGAGAAAGGTATACAAATGGCTTGAAAGCACTTCTTACTTGGAACAGTTTGATACCTTTACTTCGGGGCTTACGGTGGAAGAGTCCATAAGATACTCAATTATCTTTAGGGGCCGAGAGATAAAGGACTCCACAATTCCGTCGATAGTGGATGACATAATCAGGGATCTGGGGCTGAATAGATTGAGAGGATCACTAATCTCATCTATCTCTGGAGGAGAGAGAAGGAGAGTTATGTTAGCCATTGAGCTTGTTGTAGAACCTGACATAATATTCCTTGATGAGCCAACAAGTGGCTTGGATTCGCGTTTAGCATTGGAAACTGTTCGAATACTCAAAAAATATGCAGAGACAAAGAACAAGATAGTTTTAATGACTGTGCACCAGCCAGGAAATTCGATGTTTACCTTATTCGACGACATAATATTCTTGGACAAGGGAAAGATAATTTATGCAGGGCCTATCTCTGGAATAGATGGTTTTCTTCTTTCCATTGGAATGCAAAGACCGTTTAACATTTCTGTTGCAGAATATTTATTTGAGTTAGAGATGGATATTCGGAAACAGCAAGGCCTTTGGCTCTCCTCCGATCAACATCAAGAGGTAAAATACTGTAACGAAAGTCTCCTTGAAAGGAACAGCCAAAGATTTGTTGTCTCTGCGGTTTCTTGGAAGCATATTTGGCATCTACTTATTCGGCAGTTCAAGATCGATTACAGAAGCGGAGTCATGAGGAATGTATTTCTATTCAAAATGGCTGTGGCAACAGTGCTTTTCTTTTTTCTATGCGATAAGATGAGATATTCTGTTTTTCTATTTATTAATAGAATGTGTCCTAGATACTTAGCCGCAGGCGAAATGTATCTCAACGATCTAAGGAATTTTCTCCAAAAAAACTACGAAGATCTCAACATATTGTACAGCGATGTTCTAGACTTTTTTGCTTATAACATGATTCCGTTTGTTACATGCTTTTCCATATTTAATGACTCAAGCTTCCTAGACCATAGAGCACTTCTTCAGAAAGAATCATTTAGATGTGACTATAGCCCAATATCTCTTTTGATTTCGGTCTTGATATATGAATGTATATTCTCAATAATCAGATCGCTCTACTTCTGTTTTCTCCTAAGCTTAACCCAGCTCAAGGAAATTCTGACAGGAAGGGCAATTTCAATGTTTGTTCTTACGCCTCTTGGCATGGTTATCTTCATGACAATGGTTAAGGCTTTTTCCTCAGGGAGTTACCCATTGAATATCACCAGAGTGGCTGCATTTGTACTTTCAACCTTCCTCAGACCCCTCTATCTGAGTATAGAGCTCGAAGAACTCAGCAACAGATACAGTTTTATGAAATATCTGTATCCAGTATCCTATGGTCTATTTCTCTGCCCTTTTCTACTCTTGGATGCGTTTTTCTACGTTACACTTGGAGGAAGGAGCTCTATATCACTAGGCTTCATTTCATTTCTGAATCAAATCAATGGAGTTCAAACAAGTCAGGAAGACATTCCTTTGAAAAATACCCTCAACTATACCATCACATTTCTTAATAGATGTTACCTTTCCGATGGATTTCTGGTTATTTTGGCCCTGTTTTCGTTTTTATCGGTGTTGATATTATCCACACTATTCTTTGTTTTAAAGTTTAGTCCAAATGTGAGGTTGACGATGAGTGTCAAAAGTTTAGATATGAAGCTAGATGAAATAACAGTTAATTAATAAAATTTTGGGCTAATAATTTAAACTCATCTCCCTGTCTGTTTCGATGGGGAAGCTGTTCAAGAAATTCCGGATAGAAAAAGCCAACGAAAGAAAAAAGTCTAAAGAAAAACCAAAAATAAGAAAGACTCAAGAAATAAAAAGCCATTTAAAAGAACGCTCGGAAATAGAAAAGATATTTTGGTGTCTCGATGTTTCCTCAAAAAGAAAAATAGGATACAGAAAAATCATTGGCCTGGACGAATCGGAGTTGGAGAGAAATGTTCTTCTTGTGCTGGAGAAAGTACTAGAGATAGTAGTAACCTTCGATCCTGTTGATGATCTGTTCTATTCAGTACTAAAAAGGTTAATTCATCTTAAAAATAGCGCTTCCACACATTCCACTCTTATAGATTACTTTCTTGCGTCCATTCTTTGCGGAGTTAATTACGAGAAGTTTGGATGTTTTCTCTTCAGATATTTACCACAGCTTTTATTAGACAATAGAGACAGAATTCTCTCTAAGATTCCCGACTCCGAATTGAAAAAGAAAATATCTGCACTTAAGCCAAAAAGTAAGTTTTCTACTATCGAGTATCGTCAGAGATTCATTATACTAAAGGATCGGGTACTGGTAAATATCGACTAATTCCAATTAGACATTAAAATTATTTATTGAAGATCATATTGATAAAACCA